TCCCTCTCCCTCTCCCTCTCCCTCTCCCTCTCCCTCTCCCTCACGTTTTCAAACCACCACGTCCGTTCTCTCAAAGATGCCCTGCCCTCTCCCAGTGAGGCAAGGAATGGTCAGAACGTCTCTTTGGAACAGTGCGTCACGATCCCGACCCGGCACCTGGATCTGTTAGGGTGTCTCTTCGTGCCAGAGCGTTTGGTTACCCAGCGATCCTTTGACGAGTGCTGGACCGTTCCGCGGCGGGCGCAAAGAATAGAAACCGAAGAGAGGGGGAGAAGAATAAAATGAGTCAATAAAACATGGTGCCGCCGTCAACCCGCAATCCGGCTAGGTCAACGTTATGCGAACCTGCGTCTACGATGTTCCAGACCAGATTTTGATTCCGTTCTCACGCCACGTCTTCGCCACGCGCGAAGCCGTTAAAGGGAGACAGACAAGACAGAAAGAAGAATTGAGAAATTTAAAAAACCACAGCGGCACTTAGAAACACGTATCATTTTTTCACGCCATCATGACGACACAACTACTTTGTCTCTCTAAAGGCACGCGAAGGGCAGGCCTTGGAAACATTCGCTTTTTAACCCATCTATCCCTGTTCTCCGTCTATCCTCGAAGAGGACGGTCATCTTTTCCATGCGTGGAAATTTAACACGTTCAGGAAAAGGGAAGTTCCCACTTTTGTATATAGATATATATATATGTATGTATATATATATGCATGCATCAGCACTTGACGCACACGCCGTTCCCTGGGGTATGATATCCAAAAAAAAAAGAAGAGGGAGAAAAAAAATTTTAGCAAGCAGTATAAACCCGGCCCGAGTAACAACATCAGATCAATCCGCCGCCCAGTTCAGCGTAGGGTTCATGTTCTAGGCGTTCCCCAGTCATCCGATGGGCAAAAAAAGGGCCACATTTCATCACGTATTCCTATCCCTCCCCCCTTGGCTTGGGAGAAGAATTGTGTCGAATGGAGAAGCCTCTCTTCTGGTACTTTTCCTCACGCAAAAAAAAAGCGTCATTACGTCTTTTCGTCTTCATAGCAAAAAGAGGGGAGAAGAAATCGAAGCCGCCGTGCGTGCAAATGGATTGCGCAGATGTCTCTTTCCGGGAACAATCAAAAATGGCCGCCAAGTGAGAAAGAAAGAGAAGATATAGTCGAGAAAGATGATGATGTCGTCCTATCCTCGCCTCATCAAGGTTCCAACATTGATGCATATTCGTCGACTCCCCACCTTCCAATTTTCACATCCGGCCCAGGATGGGAGACCGTAGATGGTGAGAGGTTGAGGGGGAGGTTCATTGCTGTTTCGTCTCCTCGTCAGCAGACGGCTGCTGTAAATTCGGCATCGAATTCGTCGTCTCCATCGTCTCCATTGTCTCCATCGTCTCCGTCGTCTCTTTCGTCTCCTCTATCTCTTTTGGCTCCTTTTCCTCTGTCGTCTCCGCCGTAACGGCGGACGAAGGACTTTTACTCACGCTCAGCCTGCGCTCGAGCGCGTCCAACTTCTGACGCAGTAGCTCCATCTCCTTCTCCCGCTCTTCCCGCTCCTTCTGCCACAACTTTTCCTTATCTTGCAATGACTTGATGTACAAGATGGCATTTTCCACCGTTGCTGCCTTGCTGTTTCCTCCGCCCTTACCACCTCTCTTCTTCCCGCTCGCAGTCCCGCCAGGCTCTTCGTCGTCTTCATCGTCATCATCATCGGCCTTTGCTGCGCCTAGTACCGGGCTCATCTTGGGAAGGAGACATTGCATCTCCTGCAGCGCGACATTGATGCGCTGACGTCGTCCTTGCTCGGCGATCTTGTGGCTCGTCCGTTTGCTCGTCAGCTGGCTGGGTAGGTCGCTCGGATATGTGACACCAGGTATGCTGCGGCCCTCAATCAAGTTCTGGTAGTTGCTGCGGCTTGTCAGCAGCAGCGCGTGCTGCTCTTCCGTCAGCTTCTCGCCCTCCGGCAGCAGCGGCTTGATGCTAGGCGAGATCTTTGGTCGTAACGCAGGTGACACGAGCTGCCCGGTGAGGCTACCGCGCTTCTTAGAAGAGGTTCGACTCTTCAGCTCAGGACGCCGGCCAGCCGCAGGACTGGAAATTGCGCTGGCGGGCGAAGCTATGGTGCTGATGACAGGAGTGGACTTGGTTGTGGGCGTGCTGACTGGAAGTGTTGTGGGCTGTAGACCATTCTTCGCGGATAAGCGGGGTGTTGCATCACCGTCCGCAACAGTGGTGTCAATCTTGGGAAGGTTGGTTTTTGCGTTGGATGTCGCAGCTTCGGGTAGAATCAAGTCGTCGAGCATGGGCATGTCATCGTTGTACTGCTCGTGAATGGTCGACGGAACAGATACGGTAGTAGGTGAGTCCTTGGGGTTCAGCCGCATGAGCGAGGCGGGTGTTGCAGGCATGGAGCCCACTCCATTCGGGCCCACCATGGGCGACTTGGTGCTCGCAGGAATGGCGGGTGAGTTCTTGGCGGAGTGTGGTTTGGGAGGTGGGCCCATCAAGCCTTCTGACAAAGGCTCCGGAGATATCGAATCGGACGAACTTGCATAAGCTCTCGACATACGGGTGCTGTTGGGTGACGTGGGCGACATCTGCGTCTGGGCGTGCATCTCCAGAAGCTCGGAAACCTCCTTGGGCGGGATGACGGATGAAAGCCCGGACTTCCGCTTCTGGGCTGGCTTCTGGATGGGCGACTGGGCAACTCTCCGGCTTCCCGAGCCATTGCGAGCGCTGGTCGACTGTCTTCGAGCTTTACGTTGCTGTTTTGTTTGCTGCAGTGCAGAGTCGCCAAGCATGTCCACATCAAAATCGGCCGGATTAGCTGTAGACGTTCCTTGCTGCGGCCGCCGCTGTTGGCCTTCAAGGGCCGGAGACACCAGCGGGCTGAAGTACTCGCCAGGCACAGCGTACTGGTTTACCTGGTTGAACTGACTGTCATGCGGTGTTACGGCGGGGGTGCCGAGCGGCGTAAACGTCATCTGTGTTCCCAATGTTAGCGTACAGGTCAAACTCGAGATGCAATCGACCGATGAAAGTTCGTCCGCCGCCGTTGCTGTCCTGGGCGCAGCAGCAGCATCGTGGTGTCGAACACCCAAGCATTCACAACACAAGACACAGTCGACTTTCACATTTTGATTAAGCAGAGGCTTCGTCGGACATGCAAGCAATGCGTCTCAAAAAGGAGGAAGGCAAGGCAACTCGGACCGAATACCGTTTCGAAGAATGAATGCGCCGCAGCACGAATTTGAGGAGAGATCAGAGAAGGACGCAAAAAGAAGGAAAAAAAAAAAACTTACAGAGTCCCGCTGTCGCATCTTGTATTCGTGCTCGATCATGGCGCGCGTCTGCGCATCGATCTGCTGCAGATAGGCGCCCATGTCCGAGTGCATCTCGACGCTGTTGGGCGTGGGCGGGATCATGGAGTGCGTCTGCAGCGAATGGCGCGCAGACGGCGCCATGGAGAACGGCTGGGTGGGTTCCGACTGTCCAAAGGTCATCGACATTGGCATGTCGAACATGCTCTGCGCCTGAGACACAGAGCCGGCATCCCGCTGCTGGTGTTGTTGCTGCCCCTCGTGCTGGGCCTGCTCGCTCGCGGCGTTTGCGAGAAGATTCATGTCGACGGCTTGGCTCTGCAGCTTGTGGTGCGCGTTCTCATGGGTGCCGTCGAAATTGGTAAGGAAGTCGAAGGACCCGAAGTCGAGCAGATTGGCGAAATCCTGCTCGCCGATGGCATCAATGCTGGCGAACTGCGGATCGGCTGTCGTGGTGGGCTGGCTCGCAGGCCATGTGGTATTTGAGGTCATGGTGGTTGCGACGGTGGGAGGAGGGAGGGGGAGACGGGGGAGCGGTCGCGGGGCTCGCTGGCGTCGCAATCAGAGAGAAGCACTCTCTGTCGCACAGGGCGGGCGGAGCGACGCTGTTGTAGGAGGGCAAATCCGGGGAAGAAGAAAGAAGCAAAAATGGTGAAGCCGGTGGTTCTGGCAGGTTTTCGCAGTGAGACGTTCCGGCCGGGCTGCTGGTGCGGGTGGGGCGGGATACGTGGGGGTGGTCGAACGAAGCAGAAGGATGCAAATGAGAGCACGCCGGGATTGTTCTAGCGATGGAGCGACGGCATGGATACGACGGGCAGCATGTCACGAGCGTGACGGAGAAGAGGAGGAGAACGTCGAAGGCGAGACAGTGTCTTGTCTCAATGGCAGAGGGGCAAAGAAAGAGTCAACAGGCGCAGCGCGTCCGTAGCCTGCTGCTGGGGCTGCGACCACTGCTGCTGCTGCGACCACTGCTGCTGCTGCTATTACTACGGCTAGGCACCGTGCAGCCGACCTTTTTTTCTCTCTTCTGCACAGGCCCATTTATCATTACTGTATTCATCCTTAGCGGTGGTGGGCGAGCGAATGGTGGTGGTACCAAACTGTGGTCGTCGCTCGTAGCGCATGCTCCAGCACAGGCTCTACCTGCTGCAGTGGCGCCGGAGCGGTGGATGCGGCGCAGAAGATCAAGCGGTCGCCGGCAGCCAGCAGTGGGTCGACCCAGTAAAGATGCGCGTCAGACCCCCTGTGGACAGTGGCGGAGGCCCCGGTGCAGCTTAGCGGGCCCTCCGCCAATCACGGGCTGCCTCCCGCGCCTGCGCCCGTTCACGAGAATCTCCGAAGTCCAGGTCGCCCACCAGGCCCATGACCGAGTCCTCCCACGCATGACCAATCGTCGATGGCCCTGCAGCTGTCCACAATCTCCCCAGCCCTGCACCGTCGGCCTTCCCAATTCACGCTGATAAAATCGGCCTTGCTGAGTTCCTCCGTTCACGTACGACACGCACGTTCGTCCCCAGCCAGTACCCGCCGTGGAAGAGCGCGCGGCCATGCATTGTGCCCAGGGGAAGTCACGACGAATCCATCTTCGCCATCCCGTCGTCCTCGTCGCCGTCGCACCACCGACGGCTTTCTCTCCACGCCTCGATAAAGAAAGGTCCGCCTGATCGACCGAGGATCGCCGCAGCGTGGCTGTTCTCACGCACATCTGCCCGTGTCCCGGACAGCATGTCCCGTTTCAAGTTTGATACGGCCTCGCAGGCCAGGTCATGTTGGCCGTTGCAAGTGTAAAGCACGTCGACTGCCACGTCCGTTCACCACCGCGATAATGATGCTCACGGCACAAGCTTGTTGTCGAAAGCCCTCCCCTCCCCTCACCCGGATCCTTAAACCGTTCAAAGGATGTTCGTATTCGAATCGAACAGAACTACGAGGCCGTGAGGGGAGGGGGGGAAACAAAGAAACATGCAAACACGGGACACTGTACGGCAGGCGAGTTTCGGAATGTAGCCCACGGCTGAGTCTCGCTTCAGAGCTGAAGTCTGCCCGTTGATGTTGGCCGAAGGCGCAATTGCGTTGCCTGATGTGGCCTAGCCCTCGCCCGCCCACGACGCTGGTAAACTTGCCCAGTATTGTAAGCACCAAAGACAAAAAAGTACAACGCGCATGAACGCCTGTTGCGCTTGAGGCTTGTGCTTCAAATTCTGGCTACCCGAACTCATGCCGACGGGATGTCACCGACCGTACCGAACCAGCTTTCGGATCTCTAATTTCTCCATTGCGGGTTATTTGAGTTTCCTCTTTTGGATCTGCTGCTGCTGCTCCTGCGGCCGCGGCCGCGATCACTAGACTATCACGTAGAACACCTGCGTATACTCGCGCCTGACTTCTTCCTCTCTTTTGTTTTTCCCATCTTTGCCACTTCGAAGGAGCACAGAGCCAAAACCGTTGTAGTCATTACGCGCCCGAAACGAGACCAATTCTGGATCCTCGCGATTGCGCACTGCTGTGCTAGGCCACCCCTCCGTCCTGGTTTGTACTGTACTGCTCTGTGCGTACAGTTTTAGACCACTTCGGGTGGTCGTTGTCATTGCGACGGGTTCCACCTGCTAAGCTCTTTTTTGCACGCCGTGCCTGCATGTGCTTACAAACTGGCAACTCGGCTGCGGTGGTAATGCAGTGTAGAGATCATTGCGACTACTGTGCTGCGCTCCCTAGTGCCCTGGAAGGATGCCCATTGCGTCGCACAAGCAGGTCTCACAGAATGCAAGCAGCAGCCTCCTCTTGCCTGTTGTCTTTCCTATGGCTCGCTGCTGTCTTGCGAATGCGAATCAAGGTCCTCATTGTGGCCATTTCTCGCGAGACGGGCCCACTGTCCCTCTGTACGCGATGAGAGCACTCCACCGCCGTTGTGGCCAGGAAACAGAACGAGGGTCTTTTCACCCTCGCCGTCCACGTAGCCTGTCTGGCGTAGCATCGACGTGTTGCCGACCCACTACTACTCATTCGCACTCTTGCGTCTTTTTCGTCGGCAAGGAACATCTTCCTGATCTTGAACTAGGCTGCGAGCTTGCTTGCTGTCGGACACCCCTGGATCTTGGATCGCGAGCGTCGCCCAATCACCGCCGCTCTTCACAGCACACAACCTCTACGAGCTTGTTGCAAGCTCGCGTCTCTGCATCCGAGCTTCGAGCACGACATCATCCGCCCACATGGCGACGTGCGTTTAAATGGACCCGAACTCGCTCCTTTGCCAGACGCGTTTCGTCAACCCCAAATTCCCTCTTATCCCCAAATCCTCCAGGACACGTGCGTGCCTTGGCTCGTCACGGGTCGCCGCATTCACGTGGTTTTGACAGGACACACGAGAAAACCGATCTCGTAGGTCTAACACCCCTTTCTTGACGCCCAGCGTCGAAGTGCCTTTCAACTTATGCGTACAACGGGATGAAGGATTGGGGAATTTGAAGTCAAACATGATTTCCTTCCTAGAGGCTTATTATTCCCCAAAATGGTCGATCTGCACTTGCTGTATGTCGCAAGACGTGGACGACTTATTAGTGGCGGGGCCATCGTTGCATCTGCAATCGACGTGAAGAGCCGTCCTGGTTGAGCATTGACCTTATTCCTCTTTTTATGTTTGAGACCAAAAAGGGCTAATTTGTAAAATGCTCCTTGAACGAAGCGCAGCAATCTCCTTTGCCCTCATCATAAGAAGGAGCAAGACTTGCATCCCTTAAGTGTGCAAAATCCCAAGGTAGAACGTAATCACTCATACGGGAGAGAGAAAGTCCGAATTTGAGCCTGTCCCTTCTGAATGTTGAGAGATTATTCACCACCAGGTTCTCTGCTCGTCTATCGTGCGGAAGCATTAGCAAAGTAGTACCTGGCCACAGCATTTCTGCTCATCGACAGAGTTATAGTCGTGGATGTGGACCCATTCTCTCGCTCCATCCGTCTTCACAGACTGCCTCGTCAGCAGCCTCTTCATGGCACGCCGCGAACATCGATTCCTTACCGTGAAGCGTAAAGGACTTTTTATACTCCTCGACGAGGTTCTCTATATTATGCCACCGGGCGCTCTATTATGCCACCACATGCCGAGATCGTGATATCTCTGTTGGGTCAGTCGAGGCTGAAAGATGTGAATGTTTTGACTTTCAGCTTCGTCTGCGTCTCGATGGGTTACAGCTTCCACTGCACGCGCACCCTCCTCAGCGAGCTGGTCACCATGACGGGGTTGGGCCCCGTGCAACAAGGGAATACGATCAGTTTGGATCATGTTTCGCCGCGTTGACAGGATTTTGCAGCCATGTCACTTGCCGGACACCTTTTGCGACATCATACTCAGACTGGTTCGCTTTGTGGTTCTGACATCCTGGTCAGAGTCTCGAGTTGGATGCTTTGCACATGATGTGTCTGAACACAGACGACATGGCAGCAGTCATGGGCTAAAAGACGAAAAGAGTGTTCGAAGACAAGTGAGCCCTCTCCGTTTTCTTGTATAGATATCCTTCCGAGACATGAAACCTTGAAACACCGAGTCGAACATCAGGAATAACGGAATAATAATCGCAGTTCTTTTGAAAGTCATACCCTACGGAAGTTCTAGTCTTGGCGGGAAAGTCACACTCTCTCTATCAATGTCGCAAGCATACTTAACATGAACAGGGCCTACACGTGTGCGCCACGCCTGGACGACAAGTCGCTGCTCTACTGTCGCTCCACGTTCTCAAGGACGTTCTGCTCTGGAACGGTTTCCACCCAGACGATGACCACAGAGCTGAGCCACGCAAATCCAATCCGGAATCGATGGCAACAAGCAGACTCGCTCAGCCTGGAGACGAACGTGCTCATGTACTGAGCGACGCGCAAGCTGGACTGTGTCTCCGTCGTCACGCAGTCCCCGTCCACAAAAGCGGGCTCGCAAGGCTCGACAGCGAACGGTATATCCTCGCAGAACGTGAGCACGGCTGCGATTACTGTCGTCCAGTCGGTCTGAGCGGGGGTTGTCCACAGCTTCGACGACCTCTTCAGTCTCTCGCAGCGGACTGACTTCGCGGCTGTGCGATTGGTGGGATCGTCGTCGGCAGCATCGCCGTCGTTCTCATAGCAGCCATTGTCTCGGCGTGGCTGTTGAAGCGCGACACGAAGGAGAGCCCGAAAGACGCAACGGAAGCGTCCCCAGCGCAGGAGCCAACCGACGCCCATCATCGCACTCCTGCCCCTGAGATCCACGAGGCGGAAGACCCGTACCGCGGACGGAGACCTCGGCTCCATCGAGGCCGACGCCGAAAATACGGCCCCGTCGTCCACGCTTTGACCGCGAATCCGCCAACGAGCGCGACTTCCGCCGCAGCTCACGCTCCGAAGGAGCTTTCGCAAACGTCAGCGTCAGCCGAAAGGATGAGCCGCGACCTCAAATTCGAGTGCTGACCTCGTGCGGCGCGTGGGAAGCGGCACGGTATGCCTGCCCGTCCAATTCAAGAGGAGCGAGAGCGGACAAACGCGAAGGCGCTCCAGCAAAACCCCCTCACCCTTTTGGCTTGTTGGCGGGCATTCTTCAACGCAAGACGGGGAGGAAGCCTGGATCCGGAAAGGGGGTACGGACGAAGGGGATGTGGTTTATTTTATTTTTCGAAGAAAGGTCTCGTGCAGGGACCCAAACATCTTATATTCTCTCGTCGTGCAAGACGTGCGCCTGCCATATACACTCAAGCTTTCTACAGAACGTGTGAAAAGGGGGGTTGACAAACAAAAAATAAAATACGCTTTCCACGTAGCGGAGCCAGTGTTTGTCCCAAGTGAGAAAAAAAAAAAAGATTTCAACCGTAAGAGACCGTTCAAGTGATTCAAGCAGACATAAGAACGGTTTTGCAAACGCCGCGCTATGCTTTTCCCCAGCCTCCCGGGCCGCCGTGTTCCCCTCGCTTGCGCGTTCCCTAGACAAAAGATCTATCTAGTCCTCATATTCCGTAGCTGCCATCCATGACGAGCTGCATTTCCTCAATGTCCCTCCTACACTCTTCGAACACATCACGCAGCCGCTGCACCACAACCCTCTTGTCCCACTCACCACTCAATCTGACGACTTCGTTGACCAGCTCCGCCATGCATTGGACCAGCTGTTCCACACTGAACCCACTCGTCTTGTCCGCGAGCATGTCGTGCAGCATCTCGATCTCGTGCTCGCGAAGCTCAAGTCTGGGCGTCTCCGGCTTGTTCAGGATGCTCGCTAGGTCGTTCGGGACTTTATTTGTTGCGGTTGGCGCCGGTTGTGTAGACGAGCCGCTCGCCGTGCCGTGAGAGCGAGGTATGGAGTTGGTGTGCTCCGTGGCTGGCTGAGTGTCCGGGATCTGACTGCCGCCCATAAGACTACCCGCACTGTCCCAGTTTGGATAGTATCGTGAGTCCGTGCCGTTGCTGTTCTCGTGATGTTGCGGCTGCTCCTCCGGGACACCGGTGCCTCCCTGCGCAGGCAAAAATCCTGTAGACGCACCACCATAGTTGTGCTGAGCGACACCCGGCGTGCCAGCACCAGGGTAGACCTGGGCTTGAGACTGAGCATGTGGTCCAGCAAGGCCATGGAAAGCATAGCCGGCTGTTGACGGTGCAGGCGCGTACCCGTGGGGAAATCCGGATGGGGTGTGGGCGCTGTACTGCAGAGATGCAGAGGGCGCAGTGGCCGCAGCGGGATAACCACCTGCCCCAGACGTTCGATTGCTATGGCTGTGCCCCTCCGTCGTTGTGCTGCCGGAGTTGCGGTAGTCGTCGACTTGGCTGCCCGGCTTCATCTTCTCGAGCGCGCTCGTCTGCGAATACGGCTGCGCTCCGGCCACAGCGCGTGTGTCTACGTCCGCCATGTGCACGTCACCCTCAGCGTCCGCTCTCGAGGGCACCGTACTTCCATTAGTGAGATGCCCGCTCCCGACGTCTCCGTTCGTGTGCACATGCGAGGGCGGATGCGGATACCGCACGGGTGTGACTGGTGGTGGTGGGCCCATGTGTCTTTCGCCAGGGGCGGGAGGACGACCCACAATCGGCGCAGCATTCGTTGTTGTGCCAATGGGCTTCTTCTCCAGAGGGTTGATCGGTATGCCCTTCCTTTTCTTCTCCTTGTACTCTTCCAGGACGCGCGAGTACATAACCGCGAGTTGCTGGTCCAGCTGCGACTTCTCGCGGCGGAAAGCCTCAAGGTCGACCTCGACGTTGTTGACGAGCTCCTGCGTCTTGCGTCGACGGTCATCCTGTTTGTCCGGGTCGCCAGTGGCCATCGGATCCATCGTCATTGCGTCGTGCATGATGGTGCGGATGTCTGCCAAAAAATCTTTCCAGCGTCGGTAGTACCCATTGGCAAGTCTTTCTTCGATGTCTTCGATGTCCATATTGTAATAGTACTTGCCCGTGGCCACCTCTCTCAAAACGCCTCGTCCGTGGCGGTCCTTGTCTATAACAAACGGGCGATTTTGAAGCGTCTGACGCTGCTCCTCGGTGAGCTCGCCTGTCACGTTTCCTTCGTCTGCCTCTTCGAAGAGGTATTTGTACTGCTGAAAAGGTATCTGCGCGTTGCGAAGGATGCCGTACTTCTTCTTGACTTGCTCGAAGACAACGCCGATGCTCATCTTGAGCAGATTCAGCGCGTTGCGCTCCTCGCGGTATTGCTGCTTACGCTTGGCCCTGTCCTGGGCCCTCATCTCTGCCGGGCTGGCTTTGATCTCCGGCAACTCCGGCAAAGTCCTCTTTTTGCGGTTTGCAGGATCCGGGAACTCACTCGGTGGCTTCTTGACCAGCGAGATGAGGCTGGTGAAGTACTCGTACCGTGCGTCCCTGCCGGGCCGTTCGAGCACGTAGTCAGCGCGTTTGGAAAAGCCAAACAGATCTCTCATCATTAACGGGTCAGGCCGGGCGTCAATTGTATCAGTGCTCATCATGCCGAGCAACAGCACGGGGTCGTTGGGAGGTATAGCCCGAAGCTGCTGTGTAAATATCTTCAGCACGTTGTCGCCTACGGTTTGGTACCAGACGTCCACGTCGGGGAGGAAAATGATGCTAGGCTTCTGGCGCCGCACCTCCTTGAAGAGCTGTACAACAGCCGCCTCTGGAGACCGGCTGGAATCCTCCATCAACGTTGCCATGTCGAACGGTTGCACGAACAACCCTTCCAGCTTATGCAACAGGGCTGAAGAGAGCTCATGCTGGCCCATACCTCTCAAGCCACGGATGAGCATCCTGGGGCGGAATACCCTCGCACGATCAATCTCTCTTTGCAACGTCTCACGCTCAAAGCCTTTCTCATCGTCTCGGTCATCGTATTCGGCCTCCTGTAACGCTGTCAACTTCGGCCGTCTCGGCAAGATGCGGTCGATGATCTCCGAGATCTTCTCCAGCGGGGTCCTCAGCAGGGGCTCCACGGATTTCTGCAGGGGCTCCACTTTGGACGTGTGGCTTCGCGCCGAAGATGGCGTAATTTTGTTTACCGAGATCATAAAGTCCTTGGCCAACACCTTGATCTTGGACGGGTCAACGAGCAATTTCTTCGTAGACTTGTAGATCTGCGGATAGGTGCCTTGGATGGCGTTGAGCGCTGCTTCGGTGCAGAGGGCTCTGAGGTCTGCACCGCCGTACCCGACCGTCAGCTCCGCGAGCTGGTCCTTGAAAGAATCGCTAAGAGGAGGGTCCCAGCCCTTGGTGTTGATGTCAATGATGGCACGCCTAGCCCGCTTGTCCGGCAAAGGGAAATAAAACTCTCTGTCGAAGCGTCCAGGCCGTCGAAGCGCCGGGTCGACATTGTCAGGTCTGTTGGTCGCGCCAATAACAACGACCTGACCACGGTTGTCCATGCCGTCCATGAGCGCCAACAGCGTCGCGACAATGGACGCGTGGATCTGCTCCGTTTTGCTGGACCTGGTCGGAGCGAGACCGTCGATCTCGTCGAAAAAAATGATGGACGGTTGGCACTTTTGCGCCTCCTCGAACAGCAGTCGGAGCTGCCGTTCAGCCTCGCCAACCCACTTACTGAGGGCATCGGCGCCCTTGCGCATGAAGAACGTAACCTTCTTGCCTTCGGTTTCGATACTGTTCGACAACGCCCTGGCAAGCAGCGTCTTACCCGTGCCGGGAGGACCATGGAAGAGCACGCCGCGCGGGGGCTGCACCCCAAACTTGCCAATTACTTCAGGATACATGAGCGGGTGTAGCACCATCTCCTTGAGCGCGTTGATGTGGTCGTCCAAGCCGCCGACTGCGTCGAATTTCACAGTTTCGTCGACGCCGAGAGGATCTGCATCTGCGCCGGCAGCTTTCTTCTCCTTGTTGATCTTGCCGAAGTCCGCGGGTCCACCGGCGGCGTCGTGTGCTGCGGGCGTTTTGAGCACGGTGGGAACGTCGTCCTCATCATCGCTGGACTCTGGCTCTGCACCCATGATTGCAATGTCGTCGAGCTCGCTGGTGAGCAGCGCAGGCCCGTGAGTGAAGCCGCCAAAGATGCCACGGACCGAGTGCAGACGCACATCCCTAGGCTTTCGCTTCTTCCTTTTCTTGCCACCCTGCGACGGTTCACCGTCTGACTGAGCGAGCGCCAGTTGATCCTCTTGGTACAGCTCCTCGAGAGGGCGAATGCTATAGTCCACATTCTTGGTCGTTCTGCGCCGGCGACCCTCGCTCTCGTAATTGATCCCCTCCGTGGCGTACGACTGCGCTTGCCTGGTGCGCCGAGACTCCCGCGTAGGTCGCTTGAGGTCGTGCGCTTCTTCGGCAAGCTCGTCTGGGTCAATGTCATCACTGTCCTCACCGTCAGAAGACTGCTGCCGGCTACGGTTCGTGTTTCGCGCTTTACGGCCTCCATTCTGCGACTGAGAGTTGGAGCCAGCACGTAAGCGCTTGGATTGGCGACGGCCGTCGTCGCCTTCGGACATGTCTTCGTCGTCCGCGGGAGCCTCGTCGTCTGGGGCGAATTCACTGCTCTCATCCTCGGCTCGCTTGCGCTTCGCCGGAGATCGATTTGCAGGTTTAGCCCGTGACTGTTTTGCATCAGCAACAATTGTCAATGGAATAAAGGGACACGCAAATTCAATTCGCACTCACCCTAAGCGTCCTTCTTGGACCCACGGGGCCGTCACTCTCATCACTATCCTCATCCTTGGCCTGCTCCTCGGGTCCTTCCTCCTCCTCTCCTTCCTGCGCAGCTTCCTCTGTCACGGGGTCCTGCTGTCCTTCAACCTCGCCGACAATTTCCTCAGTATGAGTTTCCACGCTGTCCACGACATCCTGCGGAGCCTGCTCCTCCGCTTCAACAGGTGCATCTCCATCCTGGTTTTCTACCATTTCGAAATCCTGAGTACCCTCATGTGATGCCTCCATGACCGTGCTGGGCATCTTCCTTGCGGGTTGCTTGCTTGACGTGTGTTGCTGGGGTCCTTTGCTGCCCCTGGTGCGACGCAAATCAATCACAGAGTCATCGCCGTAATCCGGGCTGTGGGTACGCGACGCGGGGATGGCGTGGCGGCCAGAGCTGGACAATGCCTGCAGCGGCTCAGGCTCCTTCGAAAGACGACTGCTCCTGCGTGTGCCAGTCACAGGCGGGTGGCTGGCAGTGCGGCTGCGTGTGCTACGTGCTCGCTGGACTTTTTGCTCTTCCTTTATCTCCGGCGCAGGAGTGGGTCGGTTGGATAAGGAGAGGGCGTCCCACCTCGTGAAGGGCAGCTTCACGAGACGCGATGGTTTTAGCAGCGCGCTGTGCAACTTGCTTCGGGCCGTTTCCAGATTTCGGCTTTTCTTTGGCGATACAGTGAGCTCGTCACGCTGCTCCTGTTGGCCGTCGTCTGACTCGGCTGTGTCCTCGATAAAATCCTTCTCGTCGTCATCCTCGCTTTCCTCGTAGTCAACCTTCTTTTTCGCGGCTCTACGGATGGCACGGCCCGTGACCGGATTCACTTCGACCTCCTCGTCCTCGGATGAGGCAGTGAACTCCTCCTCGGAGATGTCGTCATCGTCGTCGACGATGTCGCTGTCGCTGCCGTAGTTCCGACGGCTGCGTTTCTTCTGCGGCGTGCGATGAGCGTGAGACGAGGACTTCTTCTTGTGCGAGCGACGACGCGAATGTTGCGGCGAGGAAGGCTCGTCGTTGAAGTCGGAGTCGTTGGGGTCGCTCTGGTTGGGATCGAAGTCCTCGAGACGCCGCTTGCCAGGTCTTGGCATGGCGATGTGTTGCGGAAAGCGGGCGTGAAAAGACTGTTTAGTGCAACATGTGTTGGGACAAGGCGACGAAGGGAGATCAAGCCGAGCCTGTGGATGACTATACGGCTCGTGGGGCGGCTTTTGCGTTGGGGATGTTGATGAGACTGGACGACGGCGCCGTTACGCGGGTACGCAGGTGCGTTCTACGAGCAGACGAGTGCGGCGTGCTCGAGAACGAATCTTCGAGGTTGAGCGGCAGGAGAGGGAGCGTGTGCAACGGAAGTTCTCGCCGTTGCTATCGTTGCGCACCAGCAGCGTCCTGCCAGTCGGCCAAGGGAGCGCCGTGGGTGGAGCGTCGCAGTCGCGGGCGGCGCGAATGACACTAACGCTCCGTCGTCCACAAACACCGAACGGGGGGACAGAGAACAGGGCCAAGGCAAGCAGACACGTGTCTCACTCGACGATTGCGACTCAGCGCGACTGCGAAAAAAAGGGAGAAGGCGGCAGAGAAGCAGCGGAAGGGCTGCTCTGGACGGCAGAAATAAAAACAAAAGGGCGGGAGACGACAGCGCCGATGAAGACGGGGAGCGAGAACAGACAAGAGAGCGATGGACGGATGCGAGCGTGTTTCGACCAGCCCGACAGCCCGCACGGGCCACACGCCGCCGCCCACCAATCACACCTCTTCCACCGCCATCTCGCTCTGCTCGTCTACGGCATCACTGCAAACACCTCCATCACCGCCGCCTCGACGAACCGCCCGGCCATGCGCAGCTCGGCCGCGAACCTGCCGTCGGTCGCTGTGCCTTGCGCCGTCTTGGACCTCCATCGCCGTCGAAACCCACCTTGCCGCCGTCCGCCGCCGCAATGGCCCGTGTCATTGGGTCCGCCTGTGAGTCGACTCTGTCGAAAAAAAAATCAATCCCAGAGAGCACGCGCCCTGCTGCGACCCGCAGATCTGGGGTTGAGGCTCTGCGTAGCGCCAGCGTCCACCATGTCGTCGTCATGTTCCGCTTCCTGGGGAAAATGGGAGGGGGTGCGTGAACACGTGCAGGCTCGCCTTGGGGGTGGAGCGAGCGCTTGGCTCAAGGCTCCGTCATCAGCGGCGCACTCATGCACCCTCAGCCCTCTGCTGCTGTCGCCGCGAACCGCACAAGCAGACGTAGAGATGCTCCGACTTTTGGTGTTTTGTGGACACGCGTGTTCCGTACCGCGTCTGTTGACCCCTATGGCTTCGGCCTGTTTTTGTCGTTGCCCAATGTCTGCCGCTTAGCTAGACGGCCTTTGCTGCACCGCGTTTATCGTCCCCAGATGGAAGTCAAACTTTTGCCAAAAATCATCGTCGTTCTAAGTTGTCCTGGGCGGGCGGGACATGTCAGCCGTCACCAAGCCCAACCACAAAGATATGGACCTTTCTGGTGGTGAACGCGTGCTTAATAATCGTGCTGTTGCCTCAGGCGTCAATGTCCTTCTCCCCTTTTGTCGTCTACTGCTGCCAAACTTCCAACCTGTTCCTTCTCGGTTCACTCTCTTAATTACGTCTTTTACCTCAATCGTGCGTCATGCTCGTGCAGTCCTGTTCCCTTTCATCAACGTGGTGGCTGTTCGGGTGCCGCCGTGCCGTCCCAGCCCAGTCCACCTTTCGTCGTTCAACTACGGTCACTGTGCTTGGAGACGGCGAACTATAAACACAAACACTCGCCATCGGTCAAGAAGCATTGTCGTTCCACTTCCAGATTCGTTATTGGTTTTTCTCCGGTTTTTGCTTAACCGCACAGCCCACAGCTCTATCCCGGCCCCGCCCTGGAATGGATACATTGTTCTCTTAACTGGTTCTTTACTCCCCTTTCATCGCCTAACAGTGGAACCCAATCCCCACAACAGCACTCACAGTGAGAATCACGCGTCTTGTGCTCAACCCCGAAAAAATTTGCTGCATGATCTCTGAACATGCTGCATGCAGTGATGCAAGACCGGCACTCTCGCTCATATACCAGAGGCATCTCATATCGCCAACAGTCATAGGTTTGCGAATCATTGAACTCGTGGATTTGAGACATCGTCTTGCTTTCAGGATTCATCTTCCCTATCGCCACCATATGCACTGGCGTAGTAAAACTATTCCCATCTGTCATGGGATATTTCGTGATAACAAAAGATTAGAAATCCACTCCGGCACTTCTATGGCTGCTGTTGACAAGCAAAAGAATTCATGGTTGATAACCGGCACAATTCTAGTTATACCGTACAGGAACAAGGACCTTTGCCTCTACGGGACAGGCAAGGCACATTGTCGCTGTTCACATAAGATTCGACAGCGACTACTTCAGTTTCGTATTTCGAGTCCAGACATTTCTTGATCAAGTTGACTAATTCGCGTGAAGGAACTTGTATGCTCCTGCCCAGTGATTGGTTCTCCTGTGATAACGCCTCCAGCTCTCTCTCCTTCGCACATACAAAATGATTAAATCAGTGTCGACGTGGTCTTGCGCTACACTGAGATATTTCTTTATCCGTGCAAGTCGTCTCACTAGGTTCCAAAGGCATCCTGGCTTTCTCTCGATCGATCGTATCGGTGCGTAGGTGGGGCATGCTTGAAAAGTTCCAGTTTTCAATGGTGGAACGCATCACCCAAAGCTGATGCTCGTTGCCTGCCCCCTCTTGTGACGGTGCTCCATAAAATCCAGTATTCACCAGTAGGCATTTCCTTGCTACAGTCATTTGTTCTCTGCTATCGCAATTCGTGTCAATATTTAAACATATCCAGTGACAATGGTGAAGCGCACATTAGATGTTGCTTTCTTAGATCCTCTATTGCCGCTAGCCGTCAGACCTACGATATACGTATCGATGGAGTGGCCGACCGGCGGGCAAGCACGCAAGGACTCCAAGTTTCTGTCTACAGTCGAAACCCCAAGGTGTTCTGAGTATTTCCACGAGCCCAATCAAGAAAAGTTTGCAGAACTACGGTTATGCACAGGCAAGTACCACACGGAGCCTCACTATGTCTGCCGCGACTGTATCGCCGAGTCCTCATCGTGGATATATAAGCCAGGGCGGTCATCGAAGCCGGATGAAAAAGAACAGATAGCCAGGATCATCCAAAAAGGTAGGGAGAAGATGCTGTGTTCGTCATGCACTGCCACTGCGATTGCGCACCCTGCTCATGACGGATCTGGGTGCCGCTGTGAAAGCGAGTGGCTCTGCTTTGAGTGTCGCGATGTTATCAGTTGGAAGGGTCAACTTGAGACTTTTGACATTCACAGCCTTGAACAGAACATTCGCTGCGGGCTACTAGGAGAAGCCAACGAGGAGGTCCATCTATGCCCAGGATGCGAAGGCTTCTTCACGGTCGTCCAAGACGGCGAGGCTAGCCACGCGCGTGTCTGTCTTGCCTGCAAAAGAATCGGGTTCGAAAGCACGCAGCCCACCCGCGTCGATCCTGTCGTCCAGGAAGACGCACCGTACCCGCCCTTGCGAAGCCCGAACTGGAGCGGGTTCCCGCCGCGCCTGCGACGCACATCCATCATCGACGAAAGCGTCGCGCCGTCTGCAAACCCCTCCGCCTTGTTCGAGGTCGAAGACGCGGCAAACGAAGCGCCAGCCTCGCCGGGCGACATCGCCATACCCGAGTGGAACTTCCCGCGCTCGCCGCGCGTCAAAGTCGGCCCTCCCACGCCGGGCGCCCTGGCGCCACCGGAACGCGAAGTCCGCAAGCTGCTGCGGTTGTACGCGAGGTACGATTTTGGATGGTGTTGGGTCTGCGGCCGGCAAGGTCATTCGAGTCCAAATTGTCCGCAATTACGTGAGGGGATTTGCACCGAAGGCAGGATGATGGCTGAGTATCTAGTCGCAACAAGGGAGGAGGACCGAATATTCGAGCGTGAGTGGATGCAACGGGATGAGAAAGAGGAAGAAGCTCAAGTTGTTACGAATGAGGGTGGAGAGGGAGGTAAACACAGAGCATTAGAGATACAGTAGATATTGATGAGATCTCCGTTTGCAACGCCCTTGCCATGAACCATTTATCTGTCAGGCGCACAACTGAACACAAAAATGTGGGACTTTCGTTCAAGAATCTCCCTACCCAGGTCTTTTTTTCCTGGCACGTTCTTTCCGTTTCTGCCTCGTTCCATTCATTCCCTTTGTTCAAATGCTCGTTAAGCGGCACAGAATGCTTCTACACAGGGTATCACCAGAATGACCATCGCTTGTTGCCACGTTCTAAACAAAGACCATTTCACCCGATTCCCAACTCAATTACTATGTGACCTTCCTTCGCCAGTGTGAATGGAATCTTCCCAAGCTCTGTACTGGTGCAGGTGAGAACTCGAAGGCCCAAAATATTACTTTTCGCTTCGAGTACATCTCAAACATGCCCTAAAGGCTTTTTTCTTTGGACAAGTTCATCCCCGTCTCTTCCGTCGATCATGGCTCCAATTGCACCCTTGTGTCGATGCTTTCAAACTCTTACCGCATGGCGGTGCCTCTTATATCTGGATATGGCCCGGTTGGGGCTCTACGAATCTCTGCCATAGGGTCATAATCTATCGGCATAGGAGCACGTGGTCTGCTCCTTGACCTCGAACTCTGTGGTCCACGCATCGGACTTCCATAACGAGCACCACGCTCAGGGCTGGGACCAGTGCGCCCTCTCATCTCCATTTCAGAACCGTTCGAGCTGCGAGGTATTGAAAGATTTGAATTTCGGTCACCTATGTATTGGTCTGGGATGCGTGGCGTAGGCGGTACATCAGGGGCTTGCATACTGCCCACGCTAAGGCGCTGGCGACGGGGTGGTGCACGGCCGTAGGGAGGTACAGGCATGCGATTCCAAGCGGAAGGAGGGTACTGTTGTCCTCTCAAGTCACCTTGGCTGGGACGCGGGCGCATGATTCCCGGTAGCGACTGAGTGGACGTGGCGCCGAGTTGATTTGCGTATGGTGAGTCTGTTTCGGTAGGATAGACGCCAGGGCTACCAGGGCGTGAGGGTGTTACTGTTCTCTCCGTGACACCAGTGTTAGTGCGAGCACGGCGTGCTGCGAACTCCGCACGCATTCGTTCCGTCTCCTCCTTTGCGGCCTTCAGACTTTTGCCAAACCCCGTATTCTCTGCCCTGGTCTTAATATCTTCATAACAACCTTGGCAGACGCGCAGCCCACAACTCGAACAGGTCAACCTGGGCCCGCCCTCCACATCGCAAACTGAACAGTTGATAGGATGTACCGTGTTGGCGCTCGTGAACCATTTTCCACCATGATCAGTATGGCAATGCAATTGGGTCGTGCTCAGTTGTGGCGCATTTGAACTGCTTGGACGCTCTTTGATATGTTCAAGAAGCGAAGCGTGGAAAAAGCTCGCTCTTTTCGACTCGTTGTCGATAACAGCACTTGGATTGAAAATTGGTGAGCTTGGTGTATCTTTGGAGAAGTTGTCCTGCAATGATCTCTGGGCAGCCTGAAAGCTTATCAGCAAGCATCACATGGAAAAACCATGAACAAAGAAGAGCGAACGAGAAGCTGCGAGCGGTAAGAAAGTTGAGCGGAGCCAGGTACAAGCCGTTTCAGCACATTACTGTATCCTGTCAGTGCCTTGAGAAAAGAAAGAGGTCACTCACAAAAAACTTCAAAAGGCCGCTGGCACCCTGACCGAGGACTTGAGACTGCCGCTCTTCATCAACGGTCCGCAGGTCGCTCTCGGGTTTCTTGTTTGCGGCGTATTTACTTGGACTGACATCCAGCTGGGATAGTGGTGTCGGTGATCTCAGCACAGGAGGTGTAGAAGGCTGCGCGGGCTCTGCCTCCGGCGCCAGTATGGCAGTGGTGCTGGACGTCTGGGTCTCCAAAGGCGGGAAAGCCTCCAGCGACTGATTAGAAGTAGGACTAAGAGTAGCATCGTACGAGCTATTGCGTGCGTGTCTTGACACCGGGTAGGGGTTTGCAGGAAGCGGAGGACCGGCCTTTGTTACTGACTTAGTGGCCGGAGAAGTTGGAGGCTGGTTGTTGTTTTCTTTGCCAGCACCGACAGGTTTTCGTTTGACAAGGTTCTTAATACGGTGCATGTCTGGCCTTGCGGGCGATTCGTCGTCCGCAAGCGATGCGTGGTCTATGGAAGTGCGTCGGTGATCGCCCGGTGCAGCTTTAGAGTTGTCGTGGGCGATCGATGTCACAGCGTTCGGCGCCACGTAAGGCTGATCGTCCTGGGCAGGTGCGGTGGCCGTCACGGTTGCTGTCGATGACGTGTCCTCCAGGAGCTGACTGACGGGCGACAACTTGGTCGAGGGCAAGACAGCTCGAGCCGGCGGGCGCAGTGACTCCAACGCTGGCTGTGCGATAGACTCTGCCGTGGACCCGTTGCTTCTGGTAAGACTAAGAGAAGCCGGCTTGCCAGTGCGAGTGATGCCTTTCTTTGTTCGAGCAGCGGCCTCCTCAAACGAAGGCCTTGGACTATTCAAGTCGCTCGACAATGTCGCCGATCGCTTCGTCCGCGGACTCGCCGTCACCGACTCATCTCCGTCTGTATTGGCCATTACTTAGTCACGTGTTCAAATGCCATTGTAACTTCACTGCTGAAACACGTGCTACTCATACATGTGCATCACGCAAATTTGAGAAAAGAGAAAGAATTTACCTTTGTCTGATAATATCATGGAGTCTTTTCTGGAGGTCAGATCCACGTTCGGCTTACTCGGCAACCCAGGAAGCGCTTTCGACCGTCTGCGCTCCATCCAAGCACCTTCAATTGGATTGTTCGCAACCTGTTTCCTTGGAGGCACCGGGCCATCCTCAAGGTCTTTCTTTGGCACAGTCGGCCCGGGAACATCTTTCGCAGGGGCGTTCGGAGTGTTCACGACATCCTTTTGAGGTACGGCAGGGCTGTTCACGATGTCTTTCTTGGGCACTGCAGGACTGTTCACAACTTCCTTCCGCGGAACGCCTGGGAGGGCCTTTTCTATGTTTGCAGAGCGAGGTGTGTTGACTAAGCTCAGCTGTGATGCCGATTTGGACGCCGCAGCAAGGAAGCCACCCGGCTTTGGCTCGTCCTTTGGAGGCAAAGCTGGCTGAATCGCGGGGTCATTCAACATGGCCAGAGCAGTCTCAGAGCGGGAGTTGAGACCCCGAACATCCTTTGCTGGTGGAGGCGGCGCCTTGGATGCATCAGAGACATCTTGGTATTGGTTGGCCTTTGGTGGTACATCAGGTTTGACTTCATCATTTACCATGCGGACCTCCGTCTTTGGTTGCCTGCTGCTAGTCCGCGGCGGTGGTGAGATCGGCCTGTACGGGTCGTACTCATCTAGAGCGATGACGTCGCCCATCTCGTCTTCGTTCAGATCAGCCTCTCCAGACCCGTAAGCTTCGTCGATGTCAAAGCTGGACGCGTAAGATTCATTCAATGTCTCATGTTTGCTGTGAAGTCTTTGAATGCTCTGTAGCACGGCTGGAGGGTTTTCCTCGTTCTCAAGAAGCGGCGGTGGCAATTCATCAGTGTTGTATGCATCTATAATGCTGAGCGCTCTATAAGACGGATTTCTTGCAGGAAATGGCCGGATTTCTCTGCCAGGGAGCGCTGATCTCGGCGGTCTTTGCTGTAATGTTGCCATTATGAGATGATTGTCCTTAAATTATAAGCGGCTTCAAATTGCCGCGAGCGCGAGCGGTCCACCAGGGCCTGTATGGAACAGATCTCCTGGGACACAGCAGTACAGAAAAAGACAGGTGAACTCCAGAAAGCGAGGATAATTGGGCGCTACGATGAATACCACTGATGCTGACTGAAGTCGACAAAAGCGAAAAGAAGTGTCGCGACGGAAAGCTGTGCTGTGGGCTCAGCCGCAAGATGACAGGTTCCTCACACGGGTTGTTTCGTTATGGATCTCTAAACCCGCTCAGCCACGTGTGGCCAGACGATGCGATTTCCAACCATTAAGATCCACGGATTATTGGGGTTATGACATAAAAAGCGGATGTTTGAACACACCCTGCAATTTCAAAACGCGTAACAGTCCAGTCGAAAAGCAAGGCGGAGCGACGAGCTGTGAGTGCTCAGGAAAGCGGCGGCAAAGCCTCCTCGTAGCGGGACGCGAAACACGAGCGAAAAAAGGGGCGAAGACATTCTGCAAGCAGCCGACTGTCTGTATAAACGCAGCGCCATTTCCCCTACTCCTCGCGACGACAATGTCCAAAATCGAAATCTCAGCACGGAGACGAAAGTCTCAGGTAGCAAGCTGAAGCACCACGCGTTCAACAAGACATGTCAAAGGATGATCCCAGACTTGCGACGTCTTGGCGAATCAGCCTGAGCCAATTACCCGCGCAGCGAAGGGTTTCGAGGCCCAACCCGAGTTTCCCACACGTTTCTCTTTGTGCCGAGGCAGCGACGTTTGTGGGAAACAGACTCAAGAGCTTCCTGGATTGATGTGCGCGAATTGTGGTGGAGACGTGGTTTGTTAAGCCAGCGGGGGCATAAGCTCATTTCGCGTTGACCCACGTTGTGAACCTAGAAGAATCCAGTATGGCAGGGGATCGAGGGTGCTGCCTTAAAACAATGAGAATTTCCGGCTTGCACGTTACGCATCTGCTGACATTATTTGCGATGTCGCATCTATGCACGTGTCATGCAGCGATACAGAGCATATAACTCATCATTAGAAAGCCATTGGCATCGTGGTCAAAGGACGGCATTTGTGCACGAAGAACGAGCACCATAAAGAGGGCTGATGCATCACATCGTATTTGCCTGACGTCGGAGAGATTTCCAGGAGTGCGATGAAGCAATTACAAGCTTTGGCACAATGTTTATGAAGCGTAAAACATAGTTTATCATTATTTTTGGAGAGTCCAGGCACTCTGTGGGCTAATCTCTCATGCGGCCAAAAAGCGTAATCGTTGCTGTGGTCAGCGTGGTATCATCTTGGGAAAACAAAATCATGAGCAGAATCTTTGACACGGTCGTCTTGTCTGCAAAAAAAAAAAGCACAAAACCAGCAGAATGACCATCTTTCCAAGCGCCACGCTAAATGATCAAGGTACATATGTGGAGTGTTGCCAAGTGGAGGCTTTGCCTACCACAAGATGAAGAGGGCACCGAAAAAGGCTGGCACCCAAAGCCACGGTGATAACGATGCAATAGACGCATCGGAAGTTTTCTGGATCACGTCCGAGACCCATTCCGGCCCGCAGGCCATGTTGACTTGTTGTGCTGCGCTGACGTACGTTGTGCTGATGGGCTGAGTTGAGTTTGATGCGTACGAGCGGAAGATACCCATCGTCCTTTTAAGGCAATCGCTGCAGGACGGTCTAGTGCCCACTGGCATCGTTGTACCTAGCGGCAGATAATACGAGTATGCATCGGCGAGTGATCCATTGTTTCGTCCTGCGACAGCATTGGCAAAGCCTGGATTCCATTAGTAACCTCGAATCACATGCCATCCATATAGATACTCACAGTAGTCGCCTTCGCTATCTTTCTGGCAGGCCGCTTGGTACATGAGAGGATAGGTGATGAATCCATAGTAAGCTTGCATCACAATCTGGTTCTCAGCATTGTAATCGCTTTGGCAGTTGCTTGACGACTTGAGTTGAACAGCAAGCGATTGCATCAAATTATTGCAGGTGTTGTAGTTCGCATCACAACCCGCTTGCAGCACAGCGGTAGTCTGGTAGAAATTCTTCTCTGCCTCGAAGAATCCATGGGACGTCTGAAGCAGGAGCGAAAACGGATAACACGACTGGAACGTCGCATTGCTGAGGAAATTGATGAAGAACTTAGGACACGAATCTGTCGTGAAATTGTTTCCCAACGTAGTGTCAAAAGGCTGGGGCAAATATGTGGCCGTTGAACTTGCAGCAGATTCGGAGCTAGTTTTCGATGCTGACGACTCTTGCTCGGTCGAGGTTGTGGCAGCTCGCTCCATCATGCGTCGTGCTCCCAGATCATCAAAAAGGAGTCTCCTTTCGGCTGGTGTCGGAAGAGGATCGGCGGCTGCGGAGACGACGCTCAGGAGCGAAAAACATGCTAGTAGGAAAGTGAAGATACTCCATCTCAGCCTGGACCACCTGGTTGTAACGCAGTGTAATGATGTGTTTCTATTGGCGATGTGATCTTCACTCCTTGTAAACCTCCGGCTGGATGTTGCACCATTCTGGGCATCCATCTTTGCGGCGTTCTAGCGCGCCAGCAACGCACCAGATCCAGCGTTTCTGTGTATGGAGGACACTAGTCCTTGCTCCTCTGGGGAGAACACAGGCAATAGTAGGCACGTCGTTGCCCTAGAATCAGGGCTCCAAGTTCCAGTCGTTGATCCGAATGTAGAAGTCTGGTCTTGCACTCGGCTTTGCCAAATAGCTCGAGGAGGGTGAACGCGGCGGTGATCGTATTCGCCTGCGGAAAGATCTCGATTCTCTGGAAAAGAGTGACTACAGTTAGAAGTGATGGGATAAGGAACGGCGGCCAGCAGGTTGATCAGAATGCACGTAAAAGTAGGATGCGCATGGCGATGTGCAACCTGATCAGATATAACGATGCCGAGGAGTGGTTGTGCGTGCTCGACCTTTGAGAAGGCTTTCGCTCAGCCATCATTAGCGCATGCGCGGCCAGCCATGAGGCTGCAGGACGTTGCGCTGTTTTGGGGATCGTCTTTTGGATGGCGTAAATTAGGAGATACGCCAACGACGCCCAGTCGCCGAAACAGTCAAGTAGCTACGGGGGGCTTGACCAGGAACAGACATCCATCACGCCTGCGATCAGATATCTAAGAGTCCTGATCAGAACGCTGCCAGGGCGGAAATTGCTCTAACGATGCTTTCGGTGCTCTCTTCATTGCTTTTTACCGCCTACGAAGGATTCTTGTTCCTTAGCCATGCCCGAATCAACTTAGACCGAGACGATTAGTCTCAGCAAAAAAGAAGAAAAAGACGTTGGTGTCGTTACCCCGGAGCACGCTTGTGTGTTCTGGGTCTCCTCTCTGTCTCCCTGCATGAAGGAGGCCTGCATGCAAATCTGTAATTGAACGCTTCAGCAGCTTCTGAGACCGTGAGTTAGCATAACGCGCATATCTCGATGTGCCTCGCCCTTATTCATGTCCCATGCCCACCGTTCGTCTTCTAGAACTCAGGAGCACCGAACCCCTGCCAACGACGGTAGATGAGCTGAGGTTGACTTGCACACAGCTCTCGACGCTCGGCAAACCAGCATCCTCTCTTTCAAGACGCTCAGATTCAACATTTGCACCTGTCAGCTTCGCATCAAAATGCTGATGTTCAAAGTACTATTGGCGCTAACCTTTGGGGACAATTAAACGCCGTTGTCGATGAACCGGCCACTCGAGGTGGAGGCGACGATAGCGTGGTTTTAGCCCAGGACACTTTGGACGCCACTCAATAAGCCACGCGTATTCCCTGTCCAGATCTCAGACTCTTGGGGCGATTGATACAGGAACGAACGGAGTCGATCGTCCCAGTTGGGCTCTGTCTTTCGACGATCTGCCCTCTGGACAGCAACGTCACTGCTCTGCTTTAACCTCATCTGCTTTTCGATAGTCCAGGACACTTGGACGTCCACTCCGTACACCTGGGTTATCCGAGCGCATGTCCTTGACGATGCTTCATCTCCAATCAATTCACGGCCGTCCGCTGCTATTGAATGCGGACGACAGAGGTGATGAGTGCAGCTTTGTTTCGGCGCCAACCAAGTCCTCATCCCGCCTCTCGTGTCGCTTGAGTCGGCAGTCTTGTGCAGTTACAGGCCTCATGGAAGGGCCGCAGAGTGCGTTGACACATTGCATCTCAACGTCTTCAGCAGTGCTTGAACAATGTGATGCCCACAGCGACACTCTGCTTTGTGCAATGGATTGATACGAACGAACATCAGTCCATTCGAACCAACTTTGGCGAAACAGATTGTCCCAGTGTGATCTTCGCTGCAACCACGTTTTCTTCATTGACCTAGGTATTCATTCCTAGTGGAATCATGCTGCTATTCTGAGCGTCCTACATCTCACGCTCCTGTCCATCGCTTTTTTTTTCTACGTGTCATTTTAGCTGCCCAACGAATGAGACTGGTGTCGAACTATCTTGCAACTCCGTACACGACTGTTCACACCGCCGGTGATTTTTCCCGGTCATGAGTAGATCTATCGAAAAATTCGCAATGACGATCAGAGTTTTCTTTGTTTGAAAATATTGACACTTATTTCCGTCCCTGGTTTGTCTGCCCTGTTAAGAGGACGTTCCCCAGGATTGTGCACGCTTCACGACTAGCCTGTGATTTCGAGCAAGGTACAAAAGCGTCAAGCGAAGGTGCGCAAAATGCGCACTTCCCCCCCTGAAAAGACCATGCTAGATGATCATTTATCAGACCTTGAAGAGTCAATTGAGAAAACATAACGAGTCATAACAAAAAGGAGCCCGGCCCGCAACCAGTCAACCACAACGGTTTTTGACGCACGCTCCATGAGAGCGCAGGTGGAGTTCATTGCAAAAATTTTTTTATTCTACGAGTCAACGAATCCTTCATACAGCGTCGGGGACCATGCGCTCCGTACAGCGACGTACCAACTGAAGGTTACGAAGCAATCATGCCAGAAAGTGTTTCTAGTTCGGCTGGGGTTCACTCTTGACCCACAGGAATACCTCTGGATGACACACCTTTCCATTCTAGAAAGTGGCACCACCACGTTGGGCCTGAACAGAGGCCGAATGTTTCCAAATTCAAAATGATATAAAGTCGTTCTCAATTCATCTCTCAAGTGTAGCAGTTGAACCACTTGAAGGTCGGCAATTTGGATAGACGTCAACCCTACGGCGTTGTCGAGAACCATCCCACTCCTGCTCCTTATCCGGTCTCGTATCAAGTCCCGACTGCTGGGGCCACGATGACGACGCACCAAAGGGCTACGCTAGGCCGCTTGTATCAGTCCTGCAAGACAGGTCTATACAGGTTCTCCCATCTTCGTGTCCTCGGAAGCAACGAGAACAAGTATGGGCTTGCTCGCTGCCATTTGTCTGTTGTTTCCACCGTGTGCAAAACAAGCGTCGTAGTCCGCGTCCTGGTCGAGATGTTTAACCATTGCTCGAACCAGTCGGCCTAATCATGCTGTTCCGAAGAGCAGATTTCTTCGTCGAAGCTCAAGTTTTGTCCTTTTCAATCACATGACAACTTGCTTCGCTATTTTTTTCTCAATTCTAGTCACCAAAGAGGTTAAGCACTAAGCGATAGCGATGGGAAAAGGTCTCTGTGTACCGCTAAACAAGCACGCTTTCGGCCGGCTCGTGTTGTTGTGAAATCAGGACACTATGTTCATTTCCAGGCACTGGGGCCAAGTTGAACAGCAGTTCCACAAGGGCTACCATCCTACATGCTACCGTTAACTTGAAGCCTTAGCTTACACCAACGTGTTGATCGGTTGAATAGAATTACAGACCCTCCTATCCGCCTTTGTGATCAATTTTCATGGTCAATCCCAGCCTGAACCTGACGCAAAGGTTTTGGCACAGGCTCGTAGCAAGGAAAGTATATTCGTGGATTGGGGCATCCAGGTTCCAAAGTTGGCGCGAGGCGACGGCATCGGAGTGCCAATTGAGAGAACACCTTGCTCTCAAAACGTACTGGCTAGGACGTCGACGATGCCCTCAAGATGAAGCGAAACGTAGATGAGAGGTGCCGCTATGAGATTTTCTGACTACGCCTTTCGAAATGCCGCGAGCCCAATATGTATAAAAAATTTATTTTCTTAAAAAAAAAAAAAAAGAAAGAAAAAGGAAAAATGAAGGGGGGACAAATGAGAGGGAGAGAGAGAGAGGGAGCGGTGAAAGTCTGTCTTCCCCAGGCAGAAACACCACCACAGTACCAAAGAGCCGGAAGAAAGCTGAGCGCAAAGGAGGTGAGGGAGGCAGGTGAGTCGCAAAGGCGGAACGCACCTTGCTTGTGTACATGGAGGCAAAGATCTTCGGAGCGAGTTCACCTGTCGAAAATGCCAAGCTGCGAATGCACAAAGAACAGCGGCGGCACGGGAGACAAGGAGCTTTTGTTTCCTAGCCATTTCTCGGTGCCACAAGGGGGCAACCGTCGAGGTGTCTCAGCATTGAGCGTATGCAGACGAAACGAAAAACTTCGATAAGTGTCTGGGCAAGATGCCCTGGAATTCAAAGCGTAGCTTCTTTTGCGAACGAGGTCCAAGAACCCAAGATAGTAGTGAGAAAGATCCAAAAAAAAAAAAAAAAAAAAAAAAAAAAGATGGTTGTTACGTCGCTTGTCGTCCTTTTAACAGGAGTGAAATGGGACATCTTCCCTCGGCGCTCAGAATCGAACCTATCTATACTAGGCCACAGTAGACATATTTTTTGGTCAAAGCATGAAGCGAGTCAAATGTGTGTTTTTACCCTTGATTTGAAGGAGCATAGTCACTAGATCACGACTCTTCCGCACTCCGAGTAACCCTTCTCTCTTCATCTTCAGAGGCTTGACTGACGGGCCTCTCGTGTTCATCGACCGCAGTCGGCGCTGTCGATTCCGCGCCCGACGCTCTACCCTCAGGAGCCGGTTCGTCAACCAGCGTTGCAGTATCGTCATCAGCATCGAGGCGCATGAGGTACGTCTCCCAGATCTCAATTAACTGAAGAGAGCAAATGAAATATCAGCGTTGCTCAACGCAGGTAGACGCGCGATGTGCAAGGGCCATGCAAGGGCCAAAGAAAATAGAGCAAGACTCACCTCCTTTTGCGCTTCCACAGCGCCCTCCAGGTACGTCTCGACCCCGCTCTTGAAATCCTCCACCTTCTCCCTCTCGAACCTCTCGCACTCGACCCTCACGATGCGTCCCATATCCTCGAATAGCAGCCTCGCCTGGTGAGCCCTCTTCTCCGCGTCGGCAACCTCAGCCTGCACCTGGTTGATGCGATCCTGCTGGCTGCGCCCCTGCCTGAGCAACTTGTCCTGCGCGGCCTTTCGCTTGGCCAGTTCGGCCTCGGCGCTATGCCACGAGTGGTACGATTTCTGCCGCATCTGGAATGCCATTTTGCAGGAGCCGATCAGTCGGATGTACTCGTCGATGACAATTCCGAAGGTGAGCACGTCTTGCTGGGCTTGTCGGTCGTACAGGTCGCGAATGCGGAGCTGGACTTCGGAAAGACCCTCTAGTGGCCCTGAGAGGAGAGGAGACAGCTCGACAGCGGCCAAGGAGTGCAGGGATGCGGAAAAGTCGCCACAAGCTGCGGCAAGAGATCGCCGCTGCTCGACTACAGTGTCGATTGCCTTCTCTAGAGCCTTGAGTTGATTTTCGAGGGCGTCGAGGTAGATTCTGCGGTCGTGAAACCAGTCGTCGTGCTCGATGAACTTGCCGCTGCTGCCGCTGCCAATGCCGAAGAGACCTTTGCTCTCACCTACGAGCGGCTCCTTGCGTTCCTTATGCTTGACGTCCACGTGGAAGGACTCGCTCTCCAGGAAGAGCTTCAGATCTGCATCATGCTGCAGCGTGGGATGTGCAGCAATCTTGTTCAGCATGCGCTCGAGGGCTTGTCGGCGCGATTCGACGAAGTCGGCGTCAAAGCGGTTGAGCGCTTGCTTTTCCGGCGGCGGAGGCACGATGATGCCCGGGTTGTTCTGGTGCAGCTGGTTGTACAGCCAGAGGAAGTCACGGAAGCGGCGGGAGACGACAAATTCTGGGTTGCGGTAGGCTTTCGAAGTGGTCTGGTGTGCGCCGCATGACTTTTGTTAGCCGACCCCAAGTAGCGCACCGAGGGCTTGAGCAGACGTGTGCACATACCTTCGTGTAGACTTGATATTCTGTGTGCGAGCTTGTGAGGTCGCCGACCTTGTGCGGATCGCCCACTGTGATGTGGAACGTCGGCCTCGCAGCTTCGACCACGCCGACGCTGGGCTGATTCTGCCGCTGTGGCTGCTCTCCAGACGGCGGTTGTACCGGCGGCGGGACGCGCGGCTTTCCATAAAAACCGTCTCCGTCTCCGTCATCTTGCAAGCTCGCAGAGTCCATCAGCCGAGACAAAGACGAGGACTGGCTGGCTGCGCCAGGGTGTGTACCGGGCGATCCGACGTCATCTCCTGCCGGTGCAGCGTCGTCGGCACCTCCAGGCGCGCTGCCGTCGCCTAGCGGCCCGAGAGGTCCCAGCGTATCATCGACGGCCTGAAGCTTTGTAGGTTGAGGTCCTAGGCGCACGATCTTCTTCGGACCACGCCCACGTCTGCCGGAGCCCCCCGTGAGCGTCGTCGACGCCGCGGGCGATGACGTGGTTTCGGTAGATTGCGCTGCCAGCAAGCGTTAGCATTTCGTTCGGTCTCTGATCGCACGGCGGAGCCGGGAAGGACGAAAGAAGACAGCGGGCTGAAGTACCTAAACTCGAGTTCTGGTGATCGTCATCTTTGGGTTGGTTCGGTGGACTGGTGCTCTGTGAGGGCACGTCTGCCAATGGCCCGTTAGTCGATCCGGTCTGCATGCAGAGGCGTATTCGCCGGCAAGAATAGCATACCGTCCCACGGCGAAGCGCCGCCGTCGAGATCCATCGTGTAGTTGAAGCTCATGTTGCGGCGGCCTGGGGAGCTGTTGACGAAATACCGGCGGCTTGGCGGAGACTAGCTCCGATTCTCCGCACGTGGGTCGGTTTGGGCACAGCGTGCGGGCTTTGACGAACGCTGAAAGGCGTTTTCTCTTCTTGGAACGTCACCGGAGAGCTCTCGTCGTCGTCGATGGCAACTGGACGTGCGTGCTGTGTGACGGTTTGACGCACGTCCAGCACGTCCATGCGCCGGCTCTCTTTTTACTCTCCGAACTGTCCATTGCTTGGCAAAGAGGACGTGCTCGCAAGGCTGGTCTCTCCCCATTCGCCTGCAACAAAACTCGTCCCCGTCGACCGCCATCCTGAACACGACGTTGCGTAGTGAGCCAAAATGGGTCGCCGCAGCCGTTTAACAGTACATCTGCGGCGCAAGGCGCGCGCGCGCGCGAGACGTTCTCTAGAATTCATTCGTCTACTTCACCGACGCTATTCAGGTTCTAACCTTTGCCGCTCCAACGTGAAACGGGCGGCTATCGACAGAGAGACGGCCGCACGCTTCGCGCTCGCACGCATACAAAACGAGCTCTTGTCCTCCTTGGCCCCCGTTACAGTTTCTCCCTGTTCCCAAGCTGCACCTTGTCGTGCACGCACGTGTAGCACACCTTCCCGTCCTCTTCCCGCCTCATCTCCGCTCGGACCTGGCCCAGCATCTTCCCCATGGCCACGACCTCGCTCTCGATCAGGACCTTGCCGCCCGTCGGCACCGGCCGCAGGTACTGGCAGTTCAGACTCCTGCTCACGTGTCCGGAGTCCCAGAAGCCGTCGCGGGCGGCGGCGGCGACCGTCATGCTCGTGCACACGTCGAAGATGACCGCCACGGCGCCGCCGTGCAAGTTGCCGCCCGCGTTGGACAGGATGGGCGGCACGGTGAAGGCGAACACGGTCTTGCACAGCGTCGGGTCCTTGGCGTCGACGGTCACGCTGACGAGCTTCAGGTGCGGGCGCCAGAGCGAGTCGATGCACTGCCGACCATTGCGTTAGCAGCACTCCTCTTTTGCCTTCTCTCGCCGCGTTGTTCGCGTCCAAACTTGAGGGGTTTGCGTGTGAGCTGACCTTGTCCGCCTCCGGCGAGTTGTACTCGTAGAAGAATTTCACCCGCTGGTACGGATCGTTCCAGTCGATCGGCGTTTCCTCGCCGTTCGCGTCCTTCACGGAGGACATCTTCGCGCGGAGCGTCTTCAGAGGGAAAAAGGGCATCTGATGGCACGGAAATCGTAGTTCTGGCACCGCTGACACGCCGAACGCGGTCAGCAATTATGTAGAGCGAACTCGACTCTTCGGGATTCCAGCTGAGGTCGTAGTCAACGAGTCATTTGTTCGTTGCTTGAGCTTGAATCGCCGCCGTCCATCGTTGTTTGAACCCAAAGTCTGGAGCTACCTGGGGCGGTATCTGATCTCCAGGGGTGAACCGAGGCTCCGAGGACCAATCACAATACGTTATCATCTGATATCACGTGACAATAAGGCTGTCACCTCATGGTGGGAGTAAGGCTGACAGTTGCAACCACGTCCAAAAATGAGTAGGGGAATGAAACGCCTTTTAAAGCAACTTGGCCAGTACTACAAGGCGATCTCGTTGGCAATCTGTGCCCAAAAATGAATTTGTAGTTTCTAAACCCACTGGCGAACGCTTGTCAGGGAATTTTTTTTTTTTTTAAAAAAAAAGTATAAAGCTGCCTGTATGATATCTTCAGTTGCGTATAACTTTTCTCTAACAGATCCGCCGCTCGCAATCTACCCACACAGTTCGTCTCCCTCTAAACTACAGCTCCTACTTTAACGTCGACACCTACGACGAAGCATCCCCAGCATCTGTTGACCAATAGACAAACACCGAGAGCAAATCTACGACACGACGGCGGTACCTGAGGTGGCGATGGCGCCCGTCCGCACGCTGCTCGTCGTCTCGCGATTCGCCCAAAGCGGACGAGAGCACGGGGTTCGCCCTAGGGCGCAAACAAAGGGGATGGAGCGAGGACGTCAGCGCCTCCTGAGTTTTAGGAGCTCCGTGGCCGAGACTTGTCTGCGGCGCCTTGAGCGTTCCCGCGCACAGCGCACGCGTCCGGAACAGGAGCAGTGTGCGGGATTCGGGTTTTCGGCACACTTTGGATGGATCAAGACGAAGCGATCAGCGAGAGCAGAAGTGAAGAAGTAGAAGAAACGTATCATGAGGAGAGGAAAAAGGAAGTGGGGGGGGGGGGGGGGGGGGGGCCGGCGGGGGCCAGAGTCTCGCTCTTACGTCACAGACATGCGCACTTTCAGATCTGCAGAATCGATGGACTTGCAAAGGCGGTGGTGGGTAGCAAGAGGTGTGTACTTGTTGTCGGCACATGCGGCTGGAGCGCGGTCTTGCACTCCTAGATCACGGTGCTCGTCGCCGTCAACGTCGCCGTCGCCATCGGTGCGGGAGGCCAGCCGGAACCCAAATCACCCCATGCGGCACAGAACGCCAAAACTGGGAGTCCAAGGTCAGGACGCAACGCTGAAGCGTATGCCTGCACGGCTTTCATGCTGCGTCTTCAGGACGCTGGCCCGCGTCAGCCGTAGTCGACGGCGGTCGGGGATCCGGAGAGTGCAAAGTCCACTGGAAGCCGCGTTTTGATCCGCTATTCAGAGCGTTCCGCCAAAAAGTACAAAAGTGAGGCGTCTGGATCTACATAAGACTGGAAGAGGGGCGGGCTTAGAGGGGTGGTGGGGAGAGCAAACGGTTGTCCGGATTCGTCCTGTGCCAACAGTATCGGATTTGGACGCAAGTGGTCCAAAAAAAAAACCGGCGTCAACGATCCCTCAGATGACTCACCAGCGGTGAAGGTCTCTCTCAAGGCCAAGATTTACGTTCCCGCAGATCGGCCCGGAGCATGTTCGATTGGACGTTGGAGAAGCGCATACATTTGGTCCTACGAGCTTTGGACAGTAGCATTCCTTGTGACAGGCTCCTTCTGGTCAGCCTAGCCGGAAAGAGAGAGAGCAAGGCAATCGCGGATTGGTGGGTAACGCAAAACAGCCGTGAAACCTCGATCGCGCACGTAAACACGGACTACCGACCCCACGTGCATGAGCTGGAGAAAGGGTCCGATCTACAACGTCACGTTCCCTAAACGGAAGGGCTCCAAAAAAAAGGTTAAAAGGGGTGAATGATGAACGGATGAAGTGGTGCGAAAAAGAAAGATCTGAGATTTCCGACAAAGACGGTCGCGTCATGTGGATGACAGGTATTTTCGGCGAAGCACAGCCCTGGGCCACAAGCTCGATATCGATTTGAACGTGTCTAGCGCGGGGGCGAAGGGGGCGTCGGTTTTGGCTCTACTGTCATTTTTTTTGTGCTTTTTGCGAATAGTAGCATTTCGCTTCGTAAGATGGTATGGGGTTTTGGTGGGAGAGAAAGGGAGTGTGGGGGAGTGTTTTGCGGAGGTGGGTTTGGGTTTCCCCTACGGCAGATACGGCCCGTCGATCCACACACAGCGGCCGGGACTGACACAGGTCAAAAATGCACGTACATGCAAGCCTCGAAACAAAAAGACTTTGAGAAAAAATTGAGAGATGCAGGGGAATGCTTCATGAGGCTCTTGCTCAACCACCGGGGATTCTTAAAGTGCCTTCCAAAGCTTGGAGAGACAGGGCCGATGCAAAGGTCGAGTGACATCAGCAAGCAAGGTCATCGTCACAGTCGAGCTGCGCATCAGATAACGTAGCGCCCGTGGGTGACTGCAAACTAGGGTTGGAAGTACAAAAAAAAACACAAGACGCAGAGTATGGAGGACCGCAGGTCGCGATGAATGACATCAGTGCTTCCTGCACAGGGCGGAGATGGCTCGAAGCGGTGATGTGCCAAGTCGCTGGCGCGAGCAAGAGCAGAGAGCCAGCCGTGTACTCCGTACATTGCCTGTCTTCAAAGCAACTACGTCGCAGGCGATCATGCACTTCGTCTCAACGAGGAGATTGCAAGCCCAGAGTCGTGCCCTGCTGATCAGCGGGCCACGCGTTGCACAAACGCCGGTGGCAGGTCAGGTAACGGTGTCGTGGTCGCGAGGAAGTGGAGGAGCACAGCATTCGATGCCCACGTCTGCTGGTTGAGATTCTGCTGGTCTCGTCGTCGCTGACAGGCAAGCATCTTACGTTGAATTAAGCAGTGGCACGAGAGGCAAGGTCTCCCTCCCTGTTGTGACGTCGTCTCACACGGCCGCGGACCCATCCCACCACCTGCGACTGCGGTATGCAAGCAGGGGGAAAAGGCATAGTGGGTCAAGCGAGATCTAGCGAGAGACGAGAAAATTTTTTAATGTTTCGTTTCCATCTTGTGCCGGTGGGGAGGGTAGGGTTATGCTTTGCGAAGGCCAGGCGAAAGGGATGGAGCAGCGAGTATCCCAGACAAGTGAGGTTGGAAGAGCAGGGGAGGCCAGGATCGGAGGGAGGCGGGGCATGAGGCTTCTGATAATGACGAGCACGGACGAAGAAGACGGGCTCCAGCCGAACGAAGACAGCACCGTCCAGCAGGCTCTGAACAGCCCAGTCCGTACTGCGGCCTGCTGCTGGCACACAGTCAAGGCCATCCTCTCTCACGCCCGCTCTCGCTCTCGCTGGTCCGTCCATTTCGCTTGTTCGGCGTGCTGCGGCTGTGGCTTCACCGCTCGCGGGGCGAATGAGCGTCTCGCATGCAGGGTCACCATCAAGTTAGAGTAAAGTTACCGTACGTTACAGTAACTCCTTTCGTGAGCATCGTCTCGTTCAGGAAGGTGGGGTGATTGCCGAACGTTGGCCACAAAACTTTTTGTTTTCTTTTTTTTTTTTCCTCCGACACGTGCGTGTGCTTTGTCTTGTAAAGTTACTGTGCGCCTTTGTCATGCGGTGCTCGTCGCTGGCTACTGGCAGCTCAGCCGCAAGAAAGGGGAACGCTTCGCCTCCATGCAACTTCTTGCATGTTTCTCTGTGCGGGACCCATACTTCGTCTTCCCTCACGTCCTCCAACCGTTCCTCACGCCATCCACACGCGCGTACTCCCTACATATGGTGGAGACACGCAGCGTTTCGTTCGCAGCTCGCTCCCTGCCACCGCCCCAGGCCAGAACGATGTCATTCTGCAGCACTCTCGGCCTTCCTCTGCCCCCCAATGCGAGCTGTTGGGGCTAGTCGGGGTCCGCTGGGTAATTAGGTGTGCAGGACGTTGCGGCAAGCTGGTGGAGACTAGCTCCGTCTGTCTTCCCAAAGGCAAGGCTCAGCTAGCCAAAAGCGCGTTTAGCGACGCAACTTGCGCTGCGCTCTGCGCGCTGCACTCTGCACTCTGCGAATCTTTCTTCGATCGCCTGCAAACGAAAACGGAGTCGCAGCTGGCGTCTCACCCTCACAGCTGACAAGACGAGAGTGGGTGTTGCGATTCTCTGTCGATTGGAGCCGTGCAAACGCGATCCACTCGGCTGCGCTAGTCATCTTCCCTTCACTGTCCAGCTGTTGTGTATCTTGCGTTCAACGCTTGTCGACACCAGCTGTGAGGTTCACACGCATACATACGCATGCTCAGCACCGTCTTTTATCATTGGGACTCGCAGAAGACGGCATCGGCCATCCCACTCACGATTGGACTTGGGTGAAGCCGGAGCCTTTAGACGGAGACCCTGCACCCAGCATGCTCTACAACCTCAGTAAGGTGATCCGTGCGCAATGATGCTATCTCCATTTGATACCATGTGACTATAGTAGGTGGTTTAGTACGAGTTGCGCGATCGTGTATATCCGTCTGTATATATATATATATATATATATATATGTGTGTGTGTGTGTGTGAGTATGTGCATGTACGTGTCTAGTGCGTCTGCGCGAGTGCAAAGCGCAAAAGGACAAACCGTGGACGGTCTGGTCAAAATTGGCTCGTGTTGTACGACTGAGCCTTTTTGCCAGCCAGCCAGCCAACCGAGTCCGATCTGCCGGCAAAGATTCATGTCGTGCTTTTCACGTCCTGCACGCTAGCTGTACTGGCCTACCCGTACAGGAGCGGATGGTGGCAGGTGTAGTAGTAGCCAGCTGCAGCTTGCGAAAGCCCGACTCGTGCGTCATGGCAGATCTGACGTTTGGCTTTCCGTCGCGGGCCAGCACCGGGGGGCCAGCCAACAGCGCGCGACCTCCAGCGCGGTAGCCACATCAAGGCATCGGCTTGTTTCGATCGGACAGGAGCAGCAATGCAATGTACCGCACAAGGACAAAGGGAACTGCGTGCACGAACAGAGCAGCGAAAAAGAGGGTCTCTTTCGCATCGAACGTGCCAAGAGAACGAGGTAGCAGATCGGCCTATTTTGGTGGGGCAGCATCTGGCTCATTTTGTGCTTTCCTGCTGTTGGTGGTGGTGGTGGGGGTGAGGACAATGCAATTCTGGGCCGCATGCATGCCCGCATCGCCCTTCTCAAGGGTTTCCGGTCCGGGTCTCGCCTCATGCGAGGGTTTCGAGACGCCTATCAATCATGCTTCGAAAGATGGCCTTCTCGGCTTCTGAGAGGTCACACGGTCAGCCTCTTCCTGCCGTGGACGGTCGGCCAGTACGGAGCGGTGTGCGAGGCCACGGCCTGGTGTCGCGACACCATCTATTTTTCTTTACAGCGTACCAGCATGGCAGGGGGGAGGGTGTAGAGAAGGGATATGGGGTCTTTTGTGCGGGCTTGTGAGAGGACGTTCTGTACGATGAGGCGGCTTGCGGTGTGCGGATGTGTGCGCGCGCGCGTGTGTGTGTGTGTGGGTGGGTGTGGATGTGAGTGCGTGTGAGTGTGTGTGGTGCAAGGAGTATGTGCCCAGCAGACTTTTGCTTGTCTCCTTTGGAGCTGCCTCAGCTTTCTCCAGCCAACGCAGTCAAGCCCGTTCAACTGAGAGCGCGAAAGCAGCCTGATGGGCCGTTTTCTTTCTTTCGACTGGCCACTTTCTACGAGCACCTTCGTAAGCGGGCCACTATTTTTTTTTCTTTTTCTTCTTCTTTCCCTCGCCAGCAACGGATCGCCGTCAAAGAGGGATGCTGATTGGGCCCTTTGGTTTGTGGGAGCCCGCTGGGAGCGCCGCTCTGATTGGCCCCGCGCCACCCGCCGATGCGCGCCGCTACGGTCTATCAAGGGCGCTTGAAGCTCGACAGGCGCCAGAGGCTGGACGAGAGACTCAGTACTCGGCCGTGGCCACGGCCTGGGCCCGCGCACCAGGACCCCTCGTACGAATCTGAGGATGAGAAACGATCGACGTGATGGGTGCAGGCATTGTCTCTGATGGGCCACCTCTTTCATGCGCGGTGCACAAGCAGCAGTAGTGAGAGTGCGACCGTGGGTGCACGGCAGCTGGAAGTCCGGGCATGGCTGCCCCCCCAGACAAGCATCGACAGGACGAGCATCACTATCATCATCGGCAGTGGAAGCTGAGCAGAGACACAAGCTGAAGAGGCAAGGAGAAGACCCAAGCGCCAGCGCGGGCAGAGACAGACGCAGATGCAGAAGCAGGCCTGAGCGACGCAGCAGCAGCCTCGCCATCACGGTCCACGCAGACATCACGTCTGCACTCCGTACGCAGCTTCCACAGCTCGAGTCGCCCGCTGTGGGCGAACGCGTCGCAAGGCCTGCTCGACGGCGATTGCATCTGTCGCTGCCGCCGTACGGAGTCGTGGGCGCCTGCGCTGCTGCTCGGGTCGTGATCCTCTTGTCCCTCTCCGGCTGCTGCAGCGCATGCTTCCCCTTCTCAAGCGGTCTCTCCGTTTGTTTCGTCCTCTCCTTCTATTCCTCCCCAACGCAAAACCCTCGTTGCCGGGACCCAGGCTTCGGGAACGGGCTTGTGACCTTGTCCATCTTTCGAGCCCGCCTGGAGCATCCAATTCTTAGTGCTGGACCCTGGTCGGCTCGTCCTCGCGCCGTATCGTGTGTCTGTCGTATCCCGTCCCGTCGTGTCCTCTCCTGTCCTGTCCTGTCGAACGGTGCAAAGGGCAAAAGCCGGACGACGCCATTATTTAGACGATATCGGGCATCAGATCTGCCCCCCCCCAGCGGCTGCCGCGTTGCCAAAACACGCCAACGCTGCGCATTAATCTCCGCATAGCCTCACATCGTCTTTTTCTGGCCCGCCCGTCCCTCCTCCCCTCCATCCCGTCGTCTTCTTTCCTTTCCAACCGGCCCTCGTCCTCGCGGTACACAAGGGAGAGAGAGAGTGTGTGTATGTGAGCGTGTGAGAGAGGACGTGTGTGTATGCTCGTGCGTGTTTGCACCAGTGAAGGAAAACAAAACACATACACGCACACACAAACACATACACATCCAGCGCGTCTGCTCTTCTCCATCTGCATCCACGTTCTCTCTTTTGGCGGTTGGGCACCCATCTCGCCGTCCGGTCCTTCAGTCACGACGAGCACCGAGACAGAAAACACACAACATAGGCCCAAGACGCCCTGCGTGCTCGCCCGAAGCGACCTGCTAGCGTCGTGTTTCCTTGCGCCAGAGTGCTTGAGACCGCGCCGTCGATTGGCCGGATAGTCCGCCTGCATTGGGTAAGCAGAACTCTTTCATAACTTATCTGTGTCTTCCCGTCCCTTCGCTCGTTACCCAACCCTCCGCTCGTCGCTGTCATGGCTGCAGTCTCCTACACATTTGCCATGATCCAGTCCTGACCTTGTCCCCGTCCTTCACCACCGCATCCCCCTCTTCCTTCTCCTCGTCCTCGTCCTCCTCGTCCTCCTCGTCCTCCTCGTCCTCCTCATCTGCTGCACGCCAGATCTGCCTTGCAAAACAAGGTGCAGACCGTGCTTCGACGTGTGAGCCGCGTATGTCAGATTCAGACCGTGCCCGCCTGTGTTGGGATGCCTCAAGATTTTGCAACTACATGCTTATCCACTCTTGCTTTTTCAAGCTCGACCAGAACGTGCTAATCAATCCCATCATTTACAGAACCCCAGACGCCACGACACTAGATTCAACAGCCTGCAATGTCTCGGTAGCCGTGACGCAGCTACCCTTATCTCTGGAATCCCTTCCTCTCCCTGCCACGAGACCCCGTTGTACGTACGCAGAGCTCGCGATCCTACACCCTCAAAAACTCTTCTCTCTCCGCGACCACCCTCGCGCACCTCGACTGAAGGATCCCGCCCCCTCCCACACATATACCTGCTCAAGCCGGGGCTTCGAGCTGCATCTCACAGCCTGCCACGACGTCTCCTGGTATGCACGTCTGTCTCAAGTAAGCTATGGACACAGAAGATGGACAGGTCTTCATAAAGGCAAGTCTTCATCCCAGCCGGTCTCCCCCCCAAAAAAAATCACTTTGCTGCCTTGGCTCACAGGTTGCTCTTCCTGTTGCTGACAACCCATCCGCCGTACAGAATCTCGCCTACTTTGTGCGAACCCACGAGAAGGCACTTGCGAACGCGCTTCAGTCGCACCGCAATGCGAAATCCAGCCATGGCTCCTCCTCGTCCGCGAGCTTGTCTCCGCCCACCACCCCCTACACCCCGTCCTCGCTGGCGTCCGTGTCGATGCCTTATCTAGGTTTCGCGTCGCGGCAGATCAAGCCCGCCAAACTCGCACTGACCCCGCACCACCTGTACTACCTGCTATCTCGTTTCAGTGAGCTCGGCATCACCGTGGGGCCCATGGACATTCGCCTCGAGAGCATGACGTCGGACCACTCGCACGCCAACTACGTGTCCTTCCTGAACGAGCACCAGCGTCAGAAGCTGCGCAGCTCCGACAGAGACTCTATCCATTCCGTGTCAAGCATACGATCGGTCATGTCCAGCATGTCCTCTCTGTGGCGCTCCCTGGGCTTCTCCTCTGCCGCCAAGACACAGGCCAGAATCGAGAAGCAACAGCAGATGATCAAGGAGGACCTCATTTACCTGTACTCGGCCTTCACCAAAATCCCGTGCCTCCGCCTGTCCCCGGATCACAGGGCCCCACTCATAGCCGGCTACGAGGAGTTTCCCTTTGATTCCGCCGTGCCTCTTTTCGTGTTCAAGAATGTGACCACCCTCGAGATCACCGACCTGGACTTCCGCCAGTTCTGCGGCTGGGACAGGATCGCGGACAATGTGCGCAGCCTGACCCTGAAACGTGCAAACCTGGACGACCCTGCCGACTTGCTCATCAACATCGTGCTCGACGACATGGACAAGCGCCGCAAGAGGTCTGCAAAGGGCGCCTCGGCATCTTCTCCCGTCCTGCCCTGGCCTTCCCCCACCCAGGCACCACGGCTCGCCGATGTGGCTGCTTCGCCCAACTCTCCTCCATCCCTGAGGAACGCTCTGGCTCACAGTCCGGGAGATAACCCGCTGGGTATCCAAGGCTACCCCCCACGCCAGCGGAGCACGTCGCCCGTTCAGCTGCCCGAGGGCAGACACGGATCTCGCAGGGCGCATTCTCGCGGTGAATCAAGAGGTGGCACCCCACAGCCAAGGCGATCCTCGGGCAGCTCGGGCTCGAGCGCTCGCGAGGGCACGCCGAGGGGCAGCTCCTCGAACCTCCTGTCCTCCTCAATGGGCATCCTACCCCTGTCCAAATGGCGCTTCCTCCGACACTTGAGCCTCGCCGACAACGGTCTGACCACGTTGAACGCGTCCGGCCTGTCCCCATTGACCAACACGCTCCAGTCGCTGGACCTGTCCGCCAACCACTTCGTCGAGATTCCCGACTGCCTGTCCAACTTGGTCGCTCTCCGTGCGCTGAACCTCTCCCACTGCATGATCGACTCTGTGCGCTCGCTCGGTAAGAATCCGCTGCCCGCAATAACGGCCCTGAACCTACGTGGCAACCGCTTAACTTCGCTCGCTGGCATCGAGCGCCTCCTTTCACTCGAGCGCATCGACCTCAGAGAGAATCAGATGACCGATCCGGCTGAAATCGCCCGTCTAACCGGCATCCCCAACATGACCGACGTGTACGTCAAATACAACCCCTTCACCCGTTCCTACGCGGACTACAGAATCACCATCTTCAACCTCTTCCGCAAAACCCCGGGCTACGTGGACGACATCTTCGTGGACGGCGCACAGCCTTCTTCTAGCGAGAAAAAGCTCCTTGTCGATCGTGTGCCGGAGCCTGCCAACGTCCCTGTCATCAAGCCTAGCCCTGACGAACAAGAAGAGGACGTGTCCAGTCGCAATCGCCCGGAACCTGTCATCGAGCCATTCGTCGACCCATTTTACGAGCGTAGGAAGAGCCAAGAACTGCTGCGACAGCAGCGCCGCAAGAGCGACTTCGGCTTGTCCACGTCGCAGCGCAAGAAGAAAGCTCCCAGACGACGCGTCGTCGAGCTGACCGAGAATGACTTTCCCAACCAATCGCAACGCACCTCGTCCGAGATTCCAGCGCCTACGCACAACCGAATTTCTACCGACGTGTCGCCACGGCCAGAATTGCAGCCAAAGAACAGTCTCACGGACGACAGTACGTATGGCGGTAGTGAGGCCGAGACAACGCCGGTTCGTAAGACGCGACCAAGTGTGGACTCGCATCGTACCACCACGACAGCGGAGTCGCCGCGTCCGCCGCAGCTGCCATCTGTCGACACCAATGTGTCTCCGTCTCTTCTTCGCACGGGCACCGACTCGGTGCTGCTTCAACAGCCAGTGTATCATTCGACGGAAAGCGACGATTACAGGCAACGTATCGAGTCACTGCGGAATGATTTTGGCAACGGCTGGCTAAGTGTGCTGTCGGACGAGCAGTGGGATGGAGCAGGCCAGCTAGGCTATGCGCCATCGATGCAGCCAGTGAGAACTCCTAGTCAGGGTATCGTCAGCGGCGGCAGGACGCTGGGCTGAGACGGCATGGAATTTTTTCACGTATTATCGAACGAGCATACGCAGACACAGGCAACGAAGAAGCCCAGAGAAAAGAAAGGAAAAAACTCTTCGCTTTGCATACGGCTCGATAATTCACCGATACCCCCCGATCGTGCCTTCGGGTCAGGGCACACAGGCAGGATACAAGAGCATCGGCGTTTTGATTCCCATTTTTAGGCATTTTCATCATCAGGCATGGCGTTCAGTCACGAAACTTGTGGTCGTCTTCTTGTCTTGATCATTCAGAGTTGCCTCCTTATGGTCCATCTCTGTCCGTTTCTTCAAACACATCAACCCGGTCGTTCACATGTACACGACGCTCAAACACAAATTCCATCACGAGAGGAAGGCGGCGGGTTGTCATTTTGGTGGCTCTTATTCACTCACTCTGGCGGCATGCATTTGCTCCCAAAAACCTTTTGTTTTGCCTTTGCAATTTCCATCCGGTTGGATTTTTGGATCTTCCTCGGATGCACCTGTATTTTTAACCTCGTTTCTGATCTGCTTCTTTGCATGTTCTTTGTGGTTTTTTTTTTCACTTCTTCATTGAAGAGCAGCAGCGGTGCGACATTTGAGCATTTTCCGTGCGTGCGCGCGTTTTGTGTTGACAGCATGATTACCCCATGAGTTCGGTTGATTGTTAGAAGGGTTTCTCTTCTAGTTCAAGAGTGGTTGGACTGGTTCTTTGTATGCTTTCTATTCTGCTGCTCTCTCTTTTTTTTAACACTTCTTTTGATGTGGATTTCTCGGCCCCTTTTTCCACTCGGGGCCGCATGTGTACTTTGAAGGAAGGGGGGATTGGCACGGCCGGACGTTTTTATGACGCGCACACGAAGCTAAAAAAATATTGACGGCCGCTTTTATTAGGAAGATGGGCAGGTCGGGAGAAGAGGTACATGGAAAATCAGGTATGGAGCGTGACAGAAGGCGGGTAGGGATGGGCTTGGTTGTGGGATAGTCACGACGAGAAGCCAATTCTTTGTCTTCGTTCAATTGCTCGCAAGTATAGGACGCGTTTTCATCCTTTTTTTTTTTTTCCAAGCATGATCAATGGCATAATACACGGTCCCTCTTCGCTCTTCTGCAACCTTGGCCAGGATTTTTCATTTTCTCTCTCTCCTACCTCTCCATGATGTCCACTCCCGCATCCTTTTTCTGCTCTCTCGCCTGTCCACTCTCTCGCCCTCCAAGAAAGCTCAAAGAGATCGCCACAAGCTCGCTCCGCCGCCCGATGCTGCAACAAAAATAAAAGGGCTACCCCTCCCTCGCCCTTCATTGGCCGCCATCGCCAGGTCTCACCGCTCCCATTCGAAAACGCGTCGACTCTCCTTCATGCCTTGGTTTGGGTTGCGATTCCTCTGCGTGCAGGCCCGTGCATGCGTCGGTAGATGTGTGTGTATGTGTATGTATGTGTGTGTGTGTTTTATGTGTGCAGATCGTGTTTTGTGCGATGTGTCTCCAATGTGGTTCACACCTTCCTTTCTCGACGCCCGAAAAAGCTGGGAAACCCCGTGGCCGAGCCCATTGGTTCGGGGAGATTGTGTCGTTCTACTTTTCATTTGTTTTCATCTTTTTTCTTTCTTTCTTTTTCTTCTTCTTCTCTTCCTGGGGTCTTTGTCTGCTCACCGCTCTGCGAGAGGCGTGTGTTCATCACTTCCTTTTCTTCCTCACCTTCTTTCCGGTACGTGATCCCTGCGGCTTTCGATAGGGCAGGCTTTGGCTGCGGCAGCTGGAGGAGGTGGAGAAGGTTCAGATAGACACTCGGGCTTTCTCGTCACCTTTGTTTGCTATACGGCCCACCGTCGGGGTGAATGGGGTCTTTGGACTATTTGGCTTGGCGCCATCGTTCCCATGCCGTCTCCCCTCGCGAGTTCCTGCTGCTCTGAATATGAGCAAAACACGCGTCGGACGTGAAGTTGGGCAGGCGGTGGCTCGCGCCGGAAAGGAAAGTGAGCTGTCGGAAAGCGCGTGAGCGCGCGCGTGCGTGCGACGTATAGACTCCCATTCGCGTCCTGTGCAGCGAGGCCATTGATAAGACGCGATCAGCGGGCTTTCTCCCAGCTCCGGCGTGCGTGCTGATGAGTCGAGTGAGTCGTCTCTCAATGCGGATCGTATTCGGTCAGCAAATGCATTCGCAGCGAAGCGTGCACGACCCAGCAACGCAGCACTATCAGACCTAACAAGGCCTTATGCCGGACTCCCGTCTCTGCATTTTTGATCTCTTCCCGGGGGTTTCCTGGAGTTGAGCTTTGAGCTTCCCTGGTCGCTGCTTAACGCGGTCAGTCGACAAAGATCTCCGGCTTCACACGCTACGCTCTTGTCTCATCTTGGGCATGGTGTCGATGCGGGTGCTCGCTGGATAGATCGCGGGAATTCAATAGCGCCGTTGTTTGTGATGACATTGCAGATGTAGCTTTACTTTGCATGTCACTCTGCAGGACCTAGCCAGCTTGTCCCCTGGATTTCCGTAATTCGGCCACCGATTGTTCAGCATAAAGATCGCCGTTGCAAGTCAACGCGATGAGATCTGAGCGCGATATCACGTGGTGTCACACCATTTCGTCGTACGCTACTGCCGATAGATCCCCGCTCTTACCCAAGCTCCGTCACACTTTAGACGAGGAATAAGAATAATGGTCAGGCGAACTCCATACTGTAAATCCGTCACCTGATTGTTCCAATCTACACTAGCCGACGACTTAGCATACTACTATTAAACTCTGGGGATGGTGCCGGATTTTTTGTTCAGCACGTCTTGACCCACAGCGTCGCCGCTTTCCGGCTCAATGACCCCGAAGACATTCAACTGCGCCTAAGAAACGCGGATCACACGGCCCAAGACATTCACCGAGTAGATTACGTACTAGTGGTAAGACAATTAAATTGAATGGAGACCTTGCCCTGCTTTTCAGACGGAGTATTGAATTCAATCGATGGCTCGCACGCTATTGCGGCCTTGCTACTTGTAGCGCACAATGCGACCAGCTTTGCGGCACAAAGCAGCCCACATTCAAGAAGTGAATGCGCTCGGCCAACAGCTCTGATCCTGGAGTAAGCGTTAAGCCCTTTTGGAGAAAAAGGCTCATGAGATCCCAACCCATTCGGTAGAGTGGATGAAGGATATACCGGCCGGTAATGGTGCGGAAAGGCACACGGGAAAATGCTGTTCACAGTCTGCTCTCTATCTACTTCTCAAAGCAAAGGTTCCTTGTTTGGTAACGTTCAAGGGGGTATCAAATCTCAAGGCCCTGGTGACGTCTTTCATGATGGTTAGTATGACCAAAGACGGACATGTTCAACATGAGATGCAATTGGGCAACGACGAAGGTGAACTTAGGCTCATAATGACTATGCATTTATGCAGTTGGTCGGCAGATGCAAGGAGAAGTCCAAGTAGGCATAGCTAAAGCAGCTCTGCCTTATCTTTCCAGACCAAAAATCTGCTTGTGTAACATTCTCTACCAAGACGGACTGCGAACGAATGCACCGCCAAGAGGAATATGATTCTTGTTGAGTAGGCATTGATGCAGTACTGAGACACCGATAATCCTTTGAAGCTTGGGTCTTTCCCCGGCTAACGTGCGTGAGGTGGGATCGAACGCGAGTGACAAAGTGCTTACAGCAATGATCCATGAGTATCCGCCCACAAAGACAGTGCTTGCGTACGGAACAAGACCATAAGATGAAGTTCTGTTAGGCCATGGCGCTGAAAACAGGGATGGCGACCTCACCGTTCTGCCGGCGGCAGCTGCAATGCTGGAGGAAACACGCCGCCAGGCACAAACATGTTGTTATCCGGCCACCTGTCGAAGCCGCGTGCATTCGACGGCGCTCGTTACGTGATCGTCGTTGCCGGTTTTCCAACGAGGTCGTCCATCTCGTGCCCGTGACTGCGACTGCGTCGCGGCCGCTGTTCCTGTTGTGATACCTGTTGCGTGCCCGCGAATGAGGAGGTGGACTGCTCTGACGTGAGCCGTCGTAGCCGACGCCTCAACGCCCGCCTACGGTCGTCTCGAAGCGAGCTACGTGCGCGATGACGAGAGCGCGTCTCATGTCTGGGTTGGGAGTCGCCCAAGAACGGATCAACGACTCGGAGAGCGGAACGCTCGGTTCGAGAATGGCGCCGGCACGCTCCCAGAGTTTGCTGTAGGATCAAAGAAGCAGGCGAAGCCCAAAAAAAGAAAAAAAAAAGAGAGAGAGAGAGAGAGGGAGTTGTTCGAGACACCTTGGTCGAAAGGGCGAGTCAAATCGTCTACACCGCTCCCTCAGTGCTAGTCGGGTGGACAAAAAGACAGCAATAGGAACTATTGTTAACGAGATCTGACCGATGGTGTTTTACGGTGGAAAAAGAAAGCCGTGAGAAAGATGATTGAGAACCCGCTTCCCAGTGACCACAGACAAACCAGACATGCATTCGAGCGTTCGTCAAAAGCAGAAAGCCCTATCTCCCCTTTGTTTCGTTCGTTCGTACAGTCCCACCCGGCAAGAGAAATAATGAAATTTCGCGCACAGAAAGACAAAGAGAGAGACACACACACAGCGAGAAGAGAGAAAAAGAGAAAGCGTCCACCCTCTCTCACGAGTACACCCGTTTCGTCGCGCACACATGTCTAAGCATACATAGCGAACGCACCAACGCAACGCAAGACACAATCAAAGTAGCACCACCTTCACCATCCGCATGAATTTCAATTCCCACGGACACCACAGAGTATGACGCTCTGTCGCCGCGAGTGCCCTGCGCGGATATGGGGGTAGTGGCGCGACACGTGACCGCGCCGTTTCCCCAAACCAGGGACGAAGCGCGACGCCGCAGTTGCCCAAACAGGCAAAACCCAGTTCACCCGTCCCATGACTGTACTACGCATTTATCGTCGTCCGAACCTATTCTGCTTCTTCTCGGCCGGTTTTAAGATCTGGAAGCTGCACAGAAGACTCTCGTCCACGCTCATCATGGCCCCAGCGTTGTCGAACTCGCCACAGTAGTTCGGCGCGCTGAACAGCGTGACGAGTTGGCGTTTCGAGAAGAACTCGTAGCCGTCTTCGACAACCTGGTGGGCACGACATATCAGGTCCATGTCGTGCTTCTGTAGGAAGCGCGAGACCACGTCTGGTCCGAATGTGAAGGATACACCCCGATCGTTCTCGGACCAGCCGGTAATGTCCTTGTCAGGGTCAGACCATAGGAGGTCGCAGAGGAGGCCGCAGTCAGGAATCTGTTTGTGGGAAGACTGTGGTTAGCCCAGACAACTATGTGTGGGAAGTGGGCTTCAACTTACGTCAGTGGGTCTCATGACGCGTCTGATCTGCTCCATAGAATTCAGGTCCGGACTCAGTCCGCCATGCATAGTGAAGATCTTCTCGTCGATAATCGCTGCGATGGGCAAGCAATTGAAGCAGTCTGTGAATGTCTTCCACAGCTTGATGTTGTACCGGCGCTTGCATTCATCGTAAAAGCCGTATATGCGATTGATCGAAGCGCATTCGTGGTTGCCGCGAAGGACGAAAAAGTTTTCTGGGTACTTGATCTTGTACGCGAGCAGTAGACAGATGGTCTCGAGAGATTGCTTGCCCCGATCCACGTAGTCGCCCAAGAACAGGTAGTTGGCCTCCGGCGGGAAGCCACCGTATTCGAACAAGCGTAGCAGGTCATAGTACTGGCCGTGGATATCGCCGCAAATCTGGTGATGCAAGAACGCTGGTTAGTAAATAGCTTTCTCTGCGCGGTGTGCCACATAACACAAGCGTGTTCGAGTGCGTGCCTAGATCTCCTGAAACAAATTTCCGTTTTCGTATTGGAGAGATTTCGACGCGCCCGTTGGTGCCCAACTCTGCTCTACTCGCCGCTCGGACCGCATTATGGACCAGAGGAACCTTGAATCTCAAGAGAGACCACGGAAAAGGGTAGTGCGTCCGAGAGAGGGTTTTTTCAAGGAAATTTTTTGGTGCCAAAAAAAGGAGAGAGGGTGGTGCATACCTTGATAGGAGCCTCAAGCTCTAGAAGAATAGGTTGCGAGATGAAGATCTCGCGTGCCTTTGTACACAGGAACCTGATCTCCTGTTCGAGCAACTGGACTTGTTTGCCGGGCCTGCTCCCGCGCACCTCTAGAAGTCTGTCTATGATGGAGTCGAGGTCGACCTCGTTCTCGCTAGCCATGATGTGTGCAGCCAGCTGATGTCGTAGTGCTCACACAGAAACGGAAGAAACGAAAGTGAGAAAAGAAGAAGAAGAAGAAGAAGAAGAGAGAATTGGTGAAGGGAGAAGGGGGAAAGGGAGAGAAACGAGGGCTTCCGCGGATCCGTCTCCTTCTCACCTCCAGTAAGCGTCGCCTTTGTGGGATGTCTCGATGGGGGCGTGATGCCTATGTAGCTGGTGTGCACAAAGAAACTATGGATGTGTGGCCGTATCCTCACACGAGGTCGGCTCGAGACTGCGCTGTGGAGCCGGGAGCGTTGGGTCGGCGATGGGGGGTGCAAAGTGAGCGTCGGCTTGCGAGAGAAGAAATTTTCTAGCGGGGCGGTTGACGTCTATATGCGTAGAGGTGCGCGCAGGGTGGCGGTGGTGGTTTTTGTGAGCTAGAAGTGAAGTTTGAAGGATCGATGGGATGAGGCAAGGCCTTTTTCGAATAAGTTTCTGGCGGCTGTCCGGGGGTGGACGGTGCGTGCAACTCAAAAAAGCTCGAAAGCGATCTTCAGGCAACCTCAAAAGCGGCAGGGGAGTTCGGACGAAGGCTCGAACGCGGGCTGGGCGATGAAAGCTCGTGGATGGCGAGATTGAGCTGGGCAAAGGACGAGAGCGCTGGTGTTGACGGTCAAGATAGGTGAGGGTAGGTGGGCAAGAGTTTCGTTCTGCTGTCCGGCCGGTCGCGGTGATGACACAGGGGTGCGTCGAGGCTCAGCGACGAGACAGATTGAAGATGCGCGAGTGGAGGACGGCAAAGGCGGATGTCAGCGGGCTGGTTTGCAAGGAGGGCGGAGCAGCACAACGTAGCGGCTGGTGGTGATGGTGGTGGGAGTTGGAGGAGATGTGTGGTGCTTTAGGCGAGGGACGCAGTCAGGATGAGTTCGCAGTGGAAGTTGGCGCGCTCGGTCGGATTGCGTTGATTAGTTTCGAGCTAGGGCCAAGCGCTTCAGCGCACGCCGCTGCGAGACTCGCGGGCGGGCGGTCACGGCGATCCTGCGAGCCCGAGCCTGCCAGAGCCCGCCAGAGCCTGCCAGAGCCTGCCCACTGCGAGCCGCCGCCTGGCCAGCGAGCACCCGCCCGGAGCCTGCCCAGCGCACCCGCCCCTCGGCCAGCCCTGACGCCTGGGGCTGCGCGGTCTGGTGCAGCTCCTCCACGCATTTCGTCAACCACTCCATGAAAGAAGAGAGACAAGCCGGACTGTGCAAGAATCCCGAGCCCTTTGTCGTTCCGCCGCCCCGAACGTTTGCAGTCTGCGTGGCATCAACATCTGCGCCGCCCTCCCTGCTGCTCGCACGTAGACTCGCCGTCTTGCCCACTCTCCCTCATCGTTCCACCGTTCACACATGCCTTGCTGGCACCCGGGTTCGCTTTTCTCTACAACGCACAGTCACGTAACCACCTCTGCTTTTCCTGCCTAACCCCAGCTGGCGGACTTGCGGTGCTGCACGCGGAACGTGGCTGTTGCCCGCACTGCTCGTACTTGGACGCGGCGGCCGTGTGTGAGTGGGCGCTCGCGCTCTCCATCCTTCGCCGCGCCTGCTGTTCCTGTCCGCACTTGCCTATCCTGATCAGCAAGGCTACGTCGAGCTAGCTCCTTCCCCCAGCGCGTTTTCCGCAAGGCTTCCACAAGGAAAGGAAGTGGGAGCAGGAAGTCGCCGCCGGTCCTCACATGACCGCCGCAGCTTTGGCTCTCGCTCCCCTCGCCGCTGCCCGTTCAGAGCTGCCCTGCTCAAAGCAGCAACACGCACCAAACCACCGTCGACGCCGCCGCAGCAAAAGTCGAACAAAGCATGACATCGGCCTTGCTGAGGCCCACCCGCCACCCAGCAGCATCACGGCCCCGCCGCTCTGATTGGCCCAACCAGCCCTTGGCCTGTGCTAGGTACCTTCTTCAGCTCCCCTACTTGCCTGTCTAACTCAAAACCCGGCCTACAGGCTTCGACTGCGACCATGTTCGCATGCTCCCGTGGTATTCTTTGCTTCTCTCGCGTGCTCAGTCCGCCATCCTGCCGTGACGCGCCGCAAGCCGTGCAAAAAAAGGCAGTCATCTGTCCGTTTGCGCCACCGTCTCCGAGCAGCTGACATGCGAACACGTCGGGGTAACGACGAGGCGGGGAAGCCCCGTTGAGGATTACACTTTGCCTGACGCCCTTGGCGTGTGGGTGCTATGGGACATACCGCCGTAGTGCACCACAACTCTATGGCGCCTTTCGACATTGCGGTAGCCGGATGCTCATCGGCGTAATAGAGATGCACATATGCAAAAGCACGTGTTCTGCCTCTCTGCTCGTCCCACCGCACTGAGCGACTGACCCATCCCTCGATGGCGCTGCTCAGCGGCCAGCACAGGACGACACTGGCTAGATTCTCCTCTCCCTCTCCTTCTCCGGACTTGGAGGCCACCGCGCGAAGCTGAGATGTCTGGCGAGGAAGGATCATGGTGCAAAGTAGCATCTTACCTCTCTGGGACGCTCCTGCTCTCGCCCCCACCCCCTCTTATTCCACCTCAACGTCCTATCCACTTCCAGTGCCACCAACCGAAAACTCTTCGCCAATGCCCTTCTCCCACATGACATAGTCCGCATCATCGCCGTTGATTTTCTTTCCCTTCCAACCTCATTTCTACTTGTCTTCTCTCCTCGCCTTCCTTTCTAGCCAGTGGCTAGCCCATCGGTCATTTCAACCCCAGCAGCGGAACCAGCGATTGAATAGTCAAATAGCACCAAAGATATGCCGATGCGTTGATTTCGCCTCGATCCTCGCGGCCTGCATAAAATGGAGCATGGATCCAAATGCATCAATGAGCCGGCATGCCCATGGTCCAGCGGAACATTGAACTGCACCCACCCAGCGCAGAGGCAGGGTAGAGACGCCCTCATTACTTCACTTGAAGATACAATCCAGAAGTATGTGGTGGTCTGCAATTCCGAGATCCAGTGCGATCGAGAAAGGTTCGGGCTATCCTCCCGGAGGCGCTGCGACAACGATGGATCGGAAGAACGTGGGGCCGCGAGAACAGTAAATTTGAAGTGCAGCCCTTTCCGCAGACGCAATAGCACTAGTTGCGTCGTATCGACACCTCAATCTGATCAGGGAAGAGAGACAATATCGCATATGGCGTTCGAGCGAGTACGGGCGCTTTCGCTCAGTCCACCACCTGCTCGTCTGCCGTTGCCGTGTGTAGATATTAGTTTTTCAAACGAGACGCCAGAACAGTACATCAATCGCAAGCTGACCGAGCGCTGGTCATCATATTATCGCTCAAGAGTTGGGTCGCCGTCCGCTTCTGCTTCTTTCGCTTCTACTTCTTCTCCTCCTCCTACTGCTGTTACCGACATTCCTGGTCAACAGAAGCTGGCTCGGCAACCACAACATGTCAATGAACCACTAGCGCAAGAGATTCTAAAGAACATCGACGGGATTCTTTTAGAGCATACTGGGGCGCTAAGGGACGTTATCGAGGGTTCCAGACGGTTGTTGATGGAGCGCGCTGTAGATTGCTATGAGGACGGGTTCGATGCCGTTTCCGCACCTGGAATTCCGACGAATGGTCAGTGCAAGGATGTGCAAGCAGAGAATTCTTCTGTTCCCGATCATTTTACAGCAATTGATCGAATGGCCCATCATTCGGGTCTGCCACTGCCACAACAACACATGAATCATCCTGAGGTAGCAACGGCACAGGACAAGGCCATCGAACCGCCCATTTTGTCCTGGGGTAATCAGTCCAGAGAGGAAAAGAGTGTGGTGCACGGCCAGGGAAAATTTCCAGAGACTTATCATTCTTCACCTCGTTCGGTGGCTTCGCAAAATGCATCTTCCGTTGACCGCAGTCGACAAGACCTTCCAGTGAACGATCTTGGCCGATCTCAATGTTCCTTGCCGCACAAATTCCACCACTCAAGCCATCACAGTCATCGTTCTTCAGATAATTTCTATGCCGTTAAAGAGCCCGAAATGTCCTATACTCGTTCCCCGAGGGCTGAACATCAACCACGCAGCATGAACCGTTCACACATGCTGCTCGGAGACGGGCATGAGGATGGCCATGAAGGACTTACAATTAGAACGCACCTACATGAGCTTGAAGCGATCGAACACCGGTCTGTCCTGTCGGCCTCCCCAGCATTACTCGAATATGACCGATTTGCCGCGCTTGCAGATCGAGCATCCCGCAACTCAATGAACGATATCGTGGATACTGCCGCTATTAACGGCCTGACCGGTAAGCTACAAAATTATCAACAAAAGGACTATGGAAAGCTCGACAATGCTCCACCGCCAGAGTCTTCAGCTCATCGTCAATATTGGACCGCGAGGCAGGAGACAACAACTTTGCCTGGAATACGATTGAACGACTCCCAGATAAAAAAAAAATAGCGGACGTGCTGGGGAGGTTGAGATGAAGCGTGAGGACACGACGAAGGCGATGAAGCTGGGAGGAAAGAGTGGGCGACATATCCAGGAGGAAAGATCAACATCTCCTGTAGTTCAAATGCCGATCAGTCCTGCTGCCGCGGCAGTGAAGAGGTAGACAGAAAATATGGTCGGACGTATCATGACAAGGCAAGGTGGGGATAAATGGAGCGATAAGCGGAAAGACTAGACCAAGAGCGCCATGCAAACATTCTCATCACAACAGGAACAACAATCACACAAATGAGATATTCCACATTTCTCACTTTCTCATCTTTCGTCCTCGCCGAGCTTCGATAACCTTTTTCTTCGCTTGTCTAGATATTGTACATATCTCCGCTCTACTACTCCTCTCCCTTCATACCACTTGAAGCGACTTTTATACACACATGATCCTCATTCGTCTAGATCAGTGATTTTTTGCGATACAGAAGAGTTTTACTTCAGAGCCGCCTGCAAGCTTTCGAGCACCTCAATCGCAATCTTGGCCTCCGCGATGTCCTGCTCACTTCCACCGCCCGAAGCAATTTTTTGTTCCTCGGCAAGTTGGTTCCTCACAGCCTCGGCGCTGAAGTCCTCGAGAGGGAAACCCTCAACAGCATTGATGCTGAGTACGGAGCCGGGCTGAACGACGGCGAAGCCACCAGACACTGTTGCGAGGGTCAAAGGTTAGTTACTCGTGTTTCTTTCAATATTCTTGTCTATCCTTCCGAGTGAATTAAAAACAGAAATGTGTATATCAATGGCGAAATATTTTGTCGCTGTTGCCGGTAGGGAGGGGTGGGCGGACGTACGGAAGAACTGTTTGCTGTTGCCGGACTCCTCGATGATCTCGACAAGGCCAGGCTTGAGCTGTTCGATTGCGGGGACGTGGTTGGCGAGGACGCCCATGTCGCCGGATTCAGCGGGGATGTTCACCTGGACACTGTTGATCACGGATCAGTTAGCCAATGCTTGTCCGATCAACGCTGTCCATCATTGTTCGCGTTTGCAAACTCGGATGCCGTATACTCCACAATCTCTCATGCTCCCACTAGCCCGCTACCAATTCCGAGACGGCTGTTGGCGCGGGAGATGTGACGTGTAGTAGTCTCGATGGTGGGGGATGGCAAACGTACACATCGGTGCTCTTGTAGATGCTCTACAGGGAAAGAAAAAAGTCAGCCATCGCGATTCTTTACAAAAGTGCTCACTTCCGCCTCGTCTGCTGCTCTCAAACGATCACAGACACAATCCGCCGCCCGTACCATCGCCCAACCCTCCCTTCAGGAATGTATTGCCGGCAGAAAATCCAACGTACCTGATGCGGCAGCGCCAGACTGAGCTTGATCTTGTCGGTCGCAACGTCGGCGTACCCTCTCCTCTGCTGTGTGAAACGTGCCGCCACGGGGGCTCTGAGGGTCCTGGGCGCCGCGCGGACGGCGTGCCTGGCGACGCGGAGGCTGTTCATGATGTGCGGAGATGATGGGGGGGTGTCAATGGCTGGAGATAGGGAAGAGTGAGGTTGTTGGTTCTGGAGGAGCTTTTGCGCTTTCCGGCGGACGGGGGCCTTGGCGGGCGTGCACTGGCAGCTCGGGCATTGTAGGGTGCGGTAATCGGAGGGGTGGGGTCGACGGTAAACGGACTCCTGTCTCGACACCGCGACGTCCAACGACGCTTTGGAAGATGGAATTTGAATGCTACGACGGGTTTTGACTGACGATGCTTCGTGGTCCCTTTTTCAACGAGCAACCCCTGTGTTGGACTCGTAGGATTGTCTTACTTCTGATGACACGAAACGGCATTTGGTCATGCAATGCCAATCTCCGCAGTTCTGTACTGCACATTTCACCAAACATAAGTCAAAATGGCTCTCATCGCTTTCTAAACTGAATTTCTTGGTGCAAATCCTCTGCCTCATGCTGGCTACCAAGTCTCTTGTTCCCATTACGCCATGTATTTGCGGAATTTGCCCGAAAAGGTCCTAGGATTTGATCATGCTTCGAAGGGCTTCTCGGCGCGAACAGCTTTTCTTAATACCTTCACCCGGTCTTTTCACTTTCCTCACGAGTTTGCACATGCTGATAGGATCAGCGACCGACGCTGGGTGTGCGGAGGTCGCGGACAGGAAAGGAAATGTGTTGAGCTGGCCAACCGAGGCGTTCTGATCCGCTCGCACGGCAAGATGAAAAGCTATGTTTAGTAGCTTCAATGAAAGAGGAGATGCCAAATTGCGCTCCGCTATGCTTCGAATGAGTTCTGGTGGCAGCATGGCAAAGCTGAAGGTACTCATACCTCCTCTGCAAGTCAAACTGTCATCACGTGCAAGGTCACCGCGAGCCTCATTCGTTCTCCTGAAAATGCTCTACACGTTTCGACAATCCGAACTCTGCTCGTCCCCCGTGTCAGGATACAGTTAGTGCTTTAATTTCTGTCCACGAAGCAAGACGGAGGAACCTGGACGGTACGACTTCACGGTCTGGATCCTCACCACGTCAAGATTTTGAAGTACATGATCCCCAAGGCCACATTTTAAAAGGAAATTCCTGCTGTTTGATCTATCACATGAAAAATTTAAAACCCTAAACAAACACAGCACGAAGGCGCGGGATTTGGAGTCTACCGATGAAGCCAACCCTTCTTCTTTTCTGGCGTCGAGTTTGGCAGGTAACACCGCCACTCCATCTGCTTGACGTCTTCCTTGCTCGCCTCCCAGAAGTTCAGGACGTCCTTCCTTGCCTGGTATTTCTCCATGGCGGCGCGCGTCGCGAATCTCGCATAGACACGGAGACCCACGTCGTCGTCGTGGCTGAAGAAGGCCATCCACGTGTACACGCCGTTTTCATCTGCCTCCACAGACTTCCCGAGCTCAGCAAGGCGCGTCGCGATCTCCTTGCGCGCCTCGGGGGAAACGGCCGTGATCCTGGTGTCCTGCATGATCTCACATTCACGCTGGTCGCCGGGTTTGTCGAGGTACCCGCCAACGTAGCCGTAGTGCATGAGGTCCAGTCCCGTCGTCATCGTGGGAGGGATCTTCTTCAGAAACTCGCCCATAGCAGCAGACTTGAAATGGGTCTCGTACAGATCCTGAGCTTCCCGATTAGCGACTAGACTCGCGAAACGTGCACTTCTTGGAAGGGCCACGTACCTCGCGCTTGCCGTAAACCTCGAATGCAAACATGAGTGTCGTTGCATTGTAATCGTGCGCGTATTCCAACGGTATACCGAAGTAATATGTCTTTGTAGTAGGTTCCTCTTGGACGGATGAGTTAGACGGTACATTCCTTGTGTTTGGATGACGTGCACATACTATTGAACACATGAACGGCGAGGTCGTCGTAGGCCGCTTGCCACTTCGCCCAACGTTAGGTCTGGCCTTGTTGCTGGAGTGAGGCAGACTTACTGGGGCGTAGCCACCCGGCACGAAGTTGCAGTTTGCGAAGAGGTAGAAGTCGTTCGCCATGGTCAACGAATTTATCTCGACCACGTCCTTCTTGGTAGACTTGAGACATTGTTGCGCCCCGAGGATATATAAATATGGATCGACACTACAGAACCAACAAAGCCCGGCACAGAAATGCATAAAACTTGCCGCAATTCCCCGGCGATCTCCACAGAATAGCTGGCGTCATCCAAAATTCCCTTCTCACAGGAACAGTTCCTGTGACCATGCCTGGAAGCCGGTACCCGAGACTTACATCCCCGCATCCGTCTCGTACGTGCATATGCAAGTAGTAGCATTATACTAATCGGCCCTTCTTATCCGGCGCTATCGATCAGGCTGAGGAACTGCTGCTCCTCAGCCTTGAAGATCACTGTACAAAGGCCTCCCGCGAATAGTTTCCGTGAGGAGATTCGAGACTTCATGAAGCATTGTGTACGATCGATTTTCTTAGGGATCGGATTTTCTTTCTCTTGCAATCTTGTCTACATTACATCATTCCTTCAATTGGGTATTACGAATCAGGACTTGCTCCAATCTATCTTTACCGCATTCCATCCTCACTTCACACTAAGCGTTTAAGATCGCGTTAAACACGACTAGTGGTACACATTCCTCTCCGCATATGCGTCGTTCTCCAGATAGATCTCAATCTTGTTATTCATCTTCTTACCGATATCTTCGCAGCAGAAAGCAGCTGATTGGATATTAGCACATCTGCAGACAGGAGAAAGTTCGAACGTCGACTCACCAATTATGCCCAGGATACCGAAAGAGAGTGACGACAACGCCGTGGTACGAAGGCCATGCACGTAGCTCTGTTGGAAAGCACCAGCTGCGGCGAGAGCAATGTCAGTCGTGAGACCTGGTACTTTTGCGAGTGCCGCTGAACCAAGAGGGAGCGCGGCCAACAGCGCTGAAACCGAGCTCTGTGGCAGACCCGCCGCAATTGCAGCGGGTGGAACAAGTTTCTTCATGTAGCTACCCTGCACATTCGTAAGAATTGTGGTATAGATGCTAATGGCTACAGCGCCTCCCGCAAAGCGAGCCACACCGGCAAGACCTCCTGTAGTCGATGTCAGCGGGCCCACACATCTGCCCGAGGAGAAGATTACATACCTGAGATACCGAGCTCTACCTGATCACATCCAAACTGAACATATGCAATTGACAGGTATTGCGCCCAGCCGAAAAACGTTTGGCAGAGGAACACCATGGCGATCGACGTGCCCTTGTTACCAGGGTTTCCAAGCGCCAGAAGAGCACCGAAAAGGACCATGCCACCGACGCTGATGATGAGTTGCCAACGCCAGCGGCCCACTTTAGTTCCAAAAGCACTCAGCAATGCAGCACCGAACGCAAGCCCAAGATTGCTGGGTAGCGTAAGCACGGCCTGGTATTTATAGTCGCCCTCGGCGGAGTAAAACACATTGATCATGGTTGGGTAGACGACATTGACCATGTAGTAGAACATGGTAACGACGAACGCAGCCACGAACGGCGCAGTGAGTGCTCGACCCTTGTTACGAGTGAACACGTGAGTAGGCGTCAGAGGTTGCTTCAGCGGGACATATCGCTCGTATAAGGCGAAGCAGACCATCAGGCCAAAACCGGAGCAGAGCGTGCCAACAACCGTTGGACTCGAGGAGGGAAGGATTGTGGTATAGTTCACGCCCGTGAGGATGAGTGTAGTGGCCACGATGAACAGAAAAGCTCCGCCATAGTCCAACTCCTTAAATGCCTGTCTCGTTGGTAGACCGCGCGGGTGCTTCGGTGGGAAATAGTACAGGAAAAGGCCGACGAACGAAGAAACCACCAGAATCGCTGGCGCATAGAAGAGCCATTGCCATCCGGTCTTGTGGTGGGCTCCGGCGAAACGGCCGGCAACTGGACCAATGACCGCAGCGACCTGCACGTTTCTCGTTAGAATTTTTTTTTCTGGCGATAAGTGAAGAAAAGATTTGAGGGGGAACGTACAATGACCCAGAAGTCCGCAATGACGATAGCAATATGGCGCCACTTGTTCGGAAGGAGTTCTGGCAAAGCAAATGCTGCCAACTGAGCGTTACCAGCGCCAAAGCCGATGAAGGCAAAGGAAGCGATCATGGTCGAGTTGTTTTTGGCGGCGCCTCCAAGTATGAAACCGATGAACCTATTGACGAGAAAAAGAGGAATCAGCATGGAAACCCGGAAAGATTTCTGAAGGGCAAATCGAACTCACAGAAGCACGTTTCCACCGATGATAAACCATCGTCGTCCAAACAAGTCGCTGTTGGCTCCGCAGACCATGAAACCAATCGCGACGGTCATCGTGTACCTTCGCTGGAATTTAGCCCAGCGACGACGAAATGTTTTGAGGTATACCTACGTCGAAACATACCACGCCGACCTCGTCACATCCCCGAGATCAGTGGCAATGGTAGCAGCGCAAGCACTGGCGCTCGGCACAATCCAGAATGATATGCCGTAGGACCAGGCAAGAATCCAGACGACTACCCATGTCTTCCAAGTAACGACGTAATCATCATCGCTCTGCGGTAGATAGGTCGACTTCTCAGCTGCCTTCTCTGCATCTGTGACATGCTTCTCGTTCGTCTCCTCTACTTGCTGATCAGAAGCAGAGCTGCGTTCAGTGTCCTCCTTCGTGCTGGTCTGGAGAGGCTTCTCAACTTCTGCCATATTGACCACTCTTCGCCTGACGTAACGAACAATAGGCGCAAGTGTGTTTTACAAAATTTTTTTTTCTTTAAAAAAAAAGTTTTATGCAAGGATGCACGAAGAGAGTCTCGTTATCGGAAAACGAGGCGCTGGCATTTTCCACTCTTATATTTCTGCGAACGCATCACCTCGTTTGATGCTAGTACCCGAAAAGCGAGCCAGCCAAACGCCATGACACAGCGCGATTCGCATTTCTCATGCGAACACAAATTCGTGATCACCTTGGGAATGCTCAAAGGCGTCCGCGCTAGCTCTCTCTCCACCGCCATCTTTTGATAGGTGTCGTGAGCAGAGCATTCCCGCCGATCACTGCTGTGATTGGACTCTTCTGGGGTCCCCGCTTTCCTCAATTGGATGCAGCAGTGTTTGCGGGTAACATTCTCCGTACCCCAGAGAAGTTCGAAGCAGATCATGATAGGGCGTTCCTGCTTGCGCTCAGTTGGTAATTTGCTGGATGTGCGCAGGAAAAGCTCGCTAATTTTTCTTAGCTAATGTGAGCTTGGTATGGATACATTTACTCGGAGAGATGTATTCGAGGACAATCATTAGGTCACGATGGACGCGCGCATTTCGCGGGGTTGGACGAACCAAAATTCGAAGATCCATGATTTCTAGGCACCGCGTACTCGGCACAGATGCCTAGGAACGCTTCTCCGAAAGCTCATCCAGTACTTTGCAGACCGGCACTATTTACCCGTCAACAAACACAGGATTGCAGGATCAAGAGTTGGGTTTTACGAGAGCAGCACTTGGTGGCACGACTAACAGTTAGACGACCTTGGTAGTGAGGTCAAAAAGTATCGAAGCGAAGAAAGCTTCCTGTGCCAAATTTCCCTTTTTGTTCCCTACGTTGAGAATTTAAAAACTTGTCTTCAAAAGCCTTCCAATTTGCAATCGATCTCGGACATGGCTCCAGAAAAAGGGCGTGTCGCCATAGTAACTGGCGCTTCGGTATTGACCTACTGCCCTCAAACGTGATGATACCGAGGCGTTGACGATGAACAGTCAGGCATGGGATTGGCCCTATCACGTGAATTAGTCTCGCGAGGCTGGAAAGTTGCGCTGGCCGACATCCAGCCAAACGAGGACCTCGCAAAAGAGCTTGGAGATGCCGCTGCATTCTTCAAGACCAACGTTGCAGACTACGACAGTCAAGCCAACACCTTCCAAGCCGTGTTTGACAAGTGGGGACGAATCGACGCCCTGTGTGCCAACGCTGGTATCGTTGACCGGAGCTCGATCTACATCTTCGATCACAAAGGATCCGACACGTAGGTGGCCCCATTACGAGAGCATTTTGACCTCCGTCTCACATGAGAGCAGAATCCCACCGAAGCCGGATCTTTTGACCACAGACGTGGACTACAAAGGCGTCGTGTACGGCACGCAGCTAGCGATCCACTTCATGCGTAAAAACAAGACGCCGGGGGGCCGCATCGTGGTCACGGCGAGCGCGGCCGCTCTTTATCCCCACGAGACGTATCCGGAGTACGACGGCGCGAAGGCGGCGGTCCTGAACTTTGTCCGCGCCACGGGAAGGATCCTTTCCATTGTGAGATGAATGCACTTTGTGTTTAAAGCGACTGGCGCTGACACGACAGTCCCCCGCCAGAAAGAGAACATCGCAATCAGCGCCGTGCTGCCCGGCATTGTTCACACGAACATTATTCCCCCAGAGATGGTAGCGGCCGTCAGTCCGGAGTGCCTCACGCCAGTGTCGCAGATTGTGTCGGCGTACTTGAGGTTCCTCGATCACGAGGACAATTCGCTGTCCGGCGAGGCGCTCGAGTGCGCGGCTGACAAGCAGATCCTCGTGCCCCGGCCTGAGTATCTCAACGGCAGGATCTCAAAGCGGGCATGCACAGTCTGGGACGTAAGTAGATTCTCAGGTGGTCGCGACGTTTCTATATTGACTTTCGAGTAGCCACTCTTCAAAATGTATCACCACGAACCGTCAGAGCTTCCTGATGCCATTCCTTAGCTGCATGGGGAACTATGTTGAATGGGCATGCCATCTTGCCGATTCGGGATTGGAAATCAGCGACTGGACATTAGTAGCGATGAAGAAATAAAAGTTGCGAAGCAGTCGCGCATGCAAAACATCTCATTCCGTCTATGACGACTGTTAGACTTCTTCCCAATTCTGACTTGGGGTATCTCGTGACACCCAATAACTCCCCTATTCATGACGCCGCTCTGACACCATCCCGCTACCCCGTGCTCGTCAGAGGTCGTGGTACAAAATGCATTAGATCTAGAAACGCCAACAAGAAGAAACCTAAACGCTCGAACGAGAAGTTTCCGACAGGACCAAGTAAGAAACGAAGGGGTGGCTCTATGCTTGAGAAAGCCGCTTCCTAGAAGTGTCATCCAGGTCGCGTTGTCGTGCATCTGTGGGCGTGTTTGCAGGCTCGGCCCACTGGAAGTTCCCAACCGTCCGACTTCGTGCAGACTGTAATGCCGCAAAATGCTCTTCATCTTCGCCGGCCCAATTGCGCCCTGCCTTTGCGATAGCGTTGGCCGCCTGCACGATGGCAAGCGTGACTTCGGTGTACAGGACATCGGCGAGCACCTTGTCGCGCTTCACAGTCCACACTTCTTCAATTCGCTGCAGCTGCGCGCGTATGCTTGGATCTTCACGGATTGTGTTTAGAGCCGCGACATAGGCTCGGCCGCTGACTTCACGCGTGGGCGGCTCGGAGACGACAGCGCGCACGCGCTCGACGTTTCGGGCGGTGATACGTTCGCGGTTGCGTCGAACTCGGTCGTTGCGTAGCTCGTCGCCCGAGGACGGATAGTCCTCCTCGCTCCAATTTTGCTGAGACGACATGAATGTTCTTTTTACAACTCAAATATCAGATGAACTCAAGGACTGGGGCTTGGTCGTGTATACTGGGTCGACCGGCGATGGAGTAAGAGAAAAAAAAAACAAAAGAACGCCGCACAAAATCCGCTGTAGCGAATGCTTACTCCTGGGGTATCGTCGACTGAAAGGCAGGCTGCGGTGCTTGGCCCCGCCTGGGGAGGAATCCCCTTATGTACGTCTCAACTGATAGGAGTGAGGTGCTCCGATAGGGGAGAAGAGCAAGATCCGACCAGGTTGATTGTCCGAAGGGTCTTCTAGACCCTTTCTTGCACATGCTCTCCTGCGCCTTTCGACGACCCGGATAACAGGACACCCCAGCGGCGCATTGCACTCGTGCATGGCCAATCCAAGCAACAGACGGCCAGACAGACGTTCCCGAACGCTATCGCTGTTGTGCACGGCTCATCATGCAGTTGCTGAGCTCGACGTGAGAGCTGGGTTGACCATAAATCTGTTTTGCACGTTGGGAAGGTGATCTCCAGGGTCTCGACGGGCGCCATATCCAGGGACTTCTCGGGAAGATCGGCTGGGGGACGGTGAAGGCACCGTGGCGAGGTTCAGTAAGCTAGCACCTTGGGCTTACTAATCACGTGTCGTGATGCTACCTCCAATGACTAACCTGAGTCATCCATGGCCGTTGGCAGCATCGATAATGTGCATTTGCGGGAGCTCCAACATTCAGTCCGCAGGCATCCCGCCAAAGCACCCTGTTCATATCGACTCGGACATGCGGATTACCTCATGCTCGACCGAAGCGTTGAGCCTCACGCGGCTAGGTTAACGAGCAGAAAAAACATGGACAAATATGAGACCAGAAGTTCCTCGATATGCGTAGATTTGTCTCATTACTGATTCCAAGCCGTTCTGGGCGGATATGTGTTCGCTACATATCTAAGCACTTCCTTCGACTATCCTTTCTGAGGCAAGATCGACGTCTTCTACCCTAGTGTTGACCATGTCTAGCATCCACCAAGAATCTTTCCTATCAGGGCTGATTTCAAATGAAGTAGGACGCTTTTTGTAGGATACAATCGCAATGTTGAATACAACCTTTAGTCATGTGCTTTCCTGGCTAGTGCAGAACCCAGAGAGAGCAGGATTCTGACTCGAAAGTCTCCACTCGAAACCTTTACATTGGGACCACACGCAGCCATTTGTCCGATAATCCCGAAAAATTTAGCCATATTTCCATGCACCAGCAGAGCAGCTCTATCCTGGTGTGAGATGCAGAGCGTTCGCCAGAGGACTTATTTGCCGTTAACGCAGTGCTCCATGCGTCTCCATGAATTAGTTCGAAAAGGGTTTTTGCGGCTCCGGTAATAGCTCAAATCAAAATGGAGCCACGAGAAGAACGGCGCGAGCGTCTATCCCCTCCAGAGCCCGGAGATAGCGGCTAAAATAACGGATGACCGTGGTGCAAATGCAGACAGCTTTTGTGAAGACCAAGAAGAATGCGATTTTGCCCAACGGGGATTGATCCACAGGGACGACACAGTGGCCTCAGCATGGAGGTAGTCGAAACTTTGTTGGCCGTAGGGCGTCAAAACCCGGATGTTGGTATCGTATTCTAACTTACGGCTTTCATCGGAATGCGAATGGGCAATCGTGATGATTCAAAACAACCCCTCTTTGCCAGTATTTGTTATCTTATCCAAACCCAGACTTCCACTGTATCGTGTCTGAGAAGCAAGCAAGGCCACGATCTCGTTTGTCGCGGCGAGCTGATCGAGACCAGAAGCTACGGTATCTGTTCATCAAAGGCGTAGTTATCTGGGCAGTGTAGAAGCACGATTCAGCTTACGATTCCAGCATCAGCTGCATCCCGAAGGACATCAACCCAGCCAAGACCAGCATAACCGACTTGGGGTTTGCATCATAAAACCGGGGCTCCTGGACGACACGCCTTCCGATTTCCATATATACAGGGTGGAGCAAGTGCCGTTCGTCTCCAATTCCTGATCTTCTCGTGTCCAAAGACTCTGCGCAATTTCAAACTACAAGATGCCCCTCTCCGGTCATTGCAACTGCGGCGCCATCACGGTCACCATATCGGACAAAGGACTTGAAGGCGCGCGCTCGGGCGTGTGCCATTGTAGGAACTGTCGGCGACAAAGCGGCTCCGTGTCCTCGGTCGTCATGCTCATGGACGACAACGACTTCAAGGTCGAGGGCAGCCCGAAATCCTACCTGGACACGAAAACGGATTCTGGGACACCCCTGCACCGTTACTTTTGCGGCGAATGTGGATCGTAAGTCGCCCGTTGGAAAAGCTCTGTCTGGGGTTTGAAATAATCTGCTAACCGAGCTTTTTGCAGCCCTGTCATGTCGGTTACCCCGTTGGTTGCGGGGAAGTCATGTGAGTAGGACCTCAATACAGCTTCGGCAGCAAAACAAAAAGAAAGCCAAAAAAAGATCCGATTGGCGAGACGACTAACTCGATTTCCAGTCCTGAAAATGGGGTTGTTTGATAAAATCCCTGAGCCAGCGGCTGAAGTCTATTGCAAAAATCGGGAGCCGTGGGAAACGCCAATCACAAACACTGCCCAGCTGCAGGAAGGACGTTGAACGCCCCCCCCCCCCCCCCCAACACCAAAACTCCCTCTCCGAACATTTGAATGTTGATTTACGCAGCGACCTTCTTGAGGCGATGATGTGCAAGTTGGTAAAGTAATGCGAGAAAAAGAGAGCTAGCTACCATATGTTCAACGTAACTGGAAAAATGGTCGTACTGTGAGCCGTCATCTGGAGGCGGCATCCTGTTAATGTATACGTACAAAGAAACGTCGAGATAGAATCTGAAATTTGACTAACGCAACCATGACAATTTATACCAATCTTGAGCCAAGTTAAAACACATTCAACCAAATAAAAAGATGAGAAGCGTTGAAACCACTGCTCATTCCGTCATTCATATGGTGATGGTGCCTTTATCCGATGTGAGGAAAGCTGGCAATGAACGTCGACAGGTTGTTCAACACATTGCAACGAGTAAAAATTTGTATGTGGACACTTAGCAGTCGCGCTTCACCCTTGAGCTCGTCTTAGCATCCAAGAGTCGGCTGCGGGCGAAAGATCGTGCGTACAAGACACGTGTCGTATGATGGGAGTGGGCAAGCACCCCACAAAGCTTAGTGCTGCTCACTGACTCTGAAGAAAAGCAATGACCCGCTCTCGCTGGTCGATTGCGTGCTGCTGCAGCTCGTGGGCGAGCTCTGATCGAGTCCGGCAACTCTCGAAGTACTGGGGAAGGAATTCCGGGGACCGACACTCAGGGCCGTGCAAAAACCAGGTTCCTGCCTCGGCAAACATCCATTCCAGGAGAGGATCGGTGAAGTTCTGATGGCTTTCGTCTTGGGCATCGAATTCGGGTCCGAGTGGGAGCAGGAACGATTTGCTCCAGAACACTGTGCCCTTGATGGTGATGGACAAGTCGTTGCCATCATCTCCTTTGTCGCACTCATCAAGTACGAGGCGTACGATGTCTAGGACTTTATTAAGAGGCTTGCGGGCTCGTTCAGCGCAGTAAACTTTGTCGATCCTATCCATGATGACGTGCCTGAGATCCTCAAGCTTGACGTGGTAAAGCCCTTGGCGCACTCTGCTTTGAGCGCATGCGCCAAAGCGCGCCGCTGGAAACCATTGTCTAATAGCCGAATCGAGCGACTCGATGTATTGCACTTCTTCATCGATCACTTGGAGCGCTCTGTCTTCAGGCCTGTCACGATATGGTGTATTGTGCAAGAGCGGCTCCTCGCCAGCGACAAAAGTGATCGATGATCGAGAGTAGCCTTCAGGGTCGACTGAGGCGAGATCATGATCCGGGTCTGACGCTGTAGGTGTTGAACGATTTGATCTTGGCACCGGAGAGCGAGGCGCGCTTCCTCGTGTCTCATCCACCTCGTTTGGATGTGCAGGGGAGTTTTCCATTCTGTTGAAGAGCTTGTCTAAGATGGGAGCCGAGAATGTTATCGTATCCCTTGATCTCGTGTGTGACGGTGGAATACGTCGTGAACTGCGAACTGGACGGTAGGGCTTGTCTTGCTCTTGATCTTCGTCAACAGCTGGAACAGACTGGGTCAAGTGAGGTACTGTCTATTGGAGGTTTTGTGCCGACCTTTTTGTTTTTTTCTCACGCTCCAAGGTTGGACTCTTGGTTTCCTGAGAACAGACTCCGCAGTGATCCTCATGGCAGCAGTCTCCGAGGGTTTCAAAGCCTTTCTAAAGCCGCAAGCGTCTCGATACAGTGGACTTGTTGTGCAGCAAGGCTAACATCGGGGGAGGGCAGTGCTTAAGATTGGGAGTACAACGCAAAGACAAGGCTGAATTGTACTAGAATTGCACCATGGCAAAGGAGACAAGCGACCGATGGTTGTATACGTATTTGAGAGCGAAGAGATGCATTTAGCAGCGGAGGCTTGTAGATGTAGATTCTCAAAGATTAATGCAAGGACGTAAACGACAAACCTTCGGCTTCGAATGGCTTAAGAACAGGCTAAAGATGTGCTTCCAAGGAAGTGCGCCACCGCAAGTGGTAAGCACAAGGCTGAACACATAGTCTCATTGTTTGGAAGTTGACAAAAACAGGAAGATGCAGACGATACTCGTCTTCTTGGTGGGCATAATCGCTTTGTGAACAGACAAGTGGAAGGGAAGAAAGTCTTGCTCGACTTTGCGTGCGGGCGTTTTTCGAGCATGTCTGAAGGGAAGGACTTCTGAGATCAGCTAGTCAGACTTTATTCAAAGCTTGCGGGAAGGACGAGATAGGCAGGGATTTCCTTGGTCGATGGACCTACGCCATGGTCGAGCTCATCCAGATCCTACCCAGGCAACTGGAGCTCTTGGAGGCAGGATTCAACGTTGACCAAACGTGGGCGGCATGCTAGCGAGAATGGCATCGCGCGACGCATACGAGCCCTGCAAGGCATCGCAAATGCATTCTCGAGGAGAGCACTCAAACAGGAGCCGGCGCTTCTGCGTCTGTTTGAAACAAGCCACTTTTTAGGTTCGTTCCGCGGATGACGATTCTAACCACCTCTTGGCCACAACGGCGACGGACTAACCTGGGGCGCGGCCAGGGCCGCGACACTCCCGCAGCCTCTGCTTATTGGTGTGTTCTCCAATGACGAGGTACTTTGTCGAGCCAGGTGTGTGGAGATCCACGGGAGCTAGCACAGCGGTGCTATACTACACTAGTCCTGAGGTACGGCGTTTGGGTTACTGTATTTCCGCATGGCATTTTTTTTTTTGGCCCCCTTAGCCCTGCAGTTCGATGATCGACAGCGGAAAAAGCGGTTGCACATGCCGTGCTGATGCACGACTGCGGGTCGCGGAGCAGAATTGGCGTGCCATTGACAACCAGCATTGCGCATGGCGTGCCGGCGGCAAGCCAGGCATCCGATCGACGCCGCTCTGCAAACGGTTCGGCGGTGGTACTTGGGGGCTCTCTGGCGATGCGAGAAACAGGTGAAAACGAGGAGGCTCCCAAAGTCGACGCCGCGTTGGCACGGAGCTGGCTCCTTTGCCCAGGTTGACGCTGACGTCCAGCTCAGACCAGATCCTCAGGGGAAACGACGTCTTGGCCTGACACATCACGAAGAGCACGACCCTCGCCAGCGTCTCGGCGTCTTCTTGTGGACCTCGAACATTTGCTTGGAACGGGACAGGCCACGCAAGACCAGCTGCTCAAAATGGACGATCTTCACCTTCACGCCTCTCCATCCTTTCCTTCGTCTTCGCTTAACTCTCTTTCCCCGGATTTTCGTCGTCGATTGCAGTCGTTCCCTCCACTTTTCTTCTTCTTCGCTTCAGTCTCCTCTTCTCTTTGAAACTAATCTTTTCAATCGATCAATTGCTCGCAACGCGTTGAGCGCGTCCCCTACTCCCAGCATGGCCGAAGAAGGAATCCACGAGTTACACGTCACCAAGAAAGTGCCCACAGTCACAAATGCCGAGCGTGGAGGGTCGAGCGACGCTACGGAGGCGGAGAAGGTCTCCTTTGACGATCCGCCGATGAGTCCAAGGAACTTCAACAAGAATCCCTTCAGCCGTCAGCACACCTCCTTGGAAGTGGACGACTACTTTGTAAGAATCCCGCCAACATCGCACGCACAGGCAGTCCGGCCCAAATCAACTGCGGGCCGACAATATGGCTATGCTAGATGACATGGGCGAAAGCTGCAACATCTTTGATTCATACCGAAACTAACTCGCCCCAAAGTCAGGTCCAAGGGATATATCCCGTCACTCAAAATGGCCCATTTTCTTGCGAATGCATGGCTCCATCCTCCCGAAGATGATTCTCCCTCTCCTCTTCGTTGGCGCCTGGTCCACCCTCATAACATGCATCTCCTTCTTTCGCCATAACCTCGGCATCTCTAATCTGCTCCTTACCATTACCGGTTTTGTCGTGTCTCTCGGTTTGTCGTTTCGATCCTCCACAGCCTACGAGCGCTACAACGAGGGTCGCAAGTACTGGACCCAGCTCATCCTGTCGAGTCAAAGTCTGGCACGCGTAATCTGGGTGCACGGAGCGGAGCGATGGGATGAAGATCATAAGTTGGGCAAGCAGGATTTGCTGGCGAAGATGACGGCCCTCAACCTAATCACTGCATTCGCGGTCAGCTTGAAGCACAAATTGCGTTTTGAGCCGTACACGGCGTATGAGGATCTTGAGGGACTTGTTGGACACTTGGATACGTTTGCAAAGGCGGCGACGAAGGATGATTCGTGTGTACCAAAAAAGGTTGGCTTCTTCAAGAACGTGGGCGAGCATCTGGGCGTTAGCTTTGCCGAGTCGAACCCTCGTAAACTGTTGAAGAAGTCGAAAACACCGCTGGGCAATCTGCCCTTAGAGATCCTGACTTACTTGGCTGCGTACATCGACGAGACAATCGAGGACGGCAAGTTGAAAATACCGATGCAGCAGACCCTTGCCTGTAAGTGCTGACATCTCCGACCTACCCAGCTTCGCTTTTGATGTCTGCTAATCACTTATTAGACAACAACCTTGCCTCTCTTAATGACGTGCTCACCGGTACAGATCGAATTCTCAACACGCCCCTCCCGGTCGCCTACTCGATCGCCATCGCTCAGATGACATGGGTGTACATCCTGCTTCTTCCCTTCCAGCTCTACAACTCCCTGAACTGGGTCACCATTCCTGGCAGCATCCTCGCCGCCTATCTCATCCTCGGCCTTCTTCTCATCGGTACCGAACTCGAGAACCCATTTGGCTACGACGTTAATGATCTGCCTCTTGACTCCTTCTGTCAGCAGATTGCTAACGAGATTGATATCATCAGTAGCATCCGGAAGCCAAACTCGAAGCAGTGGATCACAAAGGAGGAGAATAAAGTGCTGTGGCCCGTTAGCAACAGCGGCTACTCAAGTTGGGAAGCCAGAAGTGAGTCGAGGATCCGCAGCGAGCTGAGGTCCAAGACGAACATTGGCTTTGAGATCAGGAGGAGCATGAATGTTGACCGTCCGGCAGACAAGATAACAGAAGCATAGATCTGCCCACACCAGCGGTGGAATAACTCCATTGATAGAAGCATTTTCAAATTGGTTACAAGCATTTAGCGAAGGGGAATTTCAAAGCGCATTCTTCGGGACAGAAAAACCTATTGTAAATCTGAACATTCACAAAAGTAAAATCGTACCTTTCAGAAAAGCGCAAAAATCTAGGGTCATGGCATGGGACATGGAATGGCAACAACTAAGACATCGACACCGTTTCAGCCGTTATCTTTTCTCGCTTGCAGTGCTCGCTCGTAATCGGCAACCTTCAAGGGTCCAGCTTCCCACAGCATTGTAGCTTGGACGATGGATGCACTGTTCTGATGACCTTGTATGTAGCCAACAATGTTGATCCAGGCGCCAACCGCTATTGCAGTCGAAGGTAGCCCCTCGCGAACATGTTCAACATTGACATGTGCCGTATGGTTCTTCGACATATAATCGTGCTTCAGCGTCAAGATACCGGTAGCAGCGTTGTACTCATCTATGCTGTCGTCATGAGCCGACAGTTTATGGCATGACCTAGCTTACAGCGCATCTTGTGACTTACCAGCCCATAAAACGAACTTTGTCACCCTGCGAGTACGAGGGTAGGTCGGTAAGGAAGATCAGCTTTGTTGGAACAGAGCTCGTCATTCTCACTTTAGGCCTCTTGGTCTACATGTTTGAATGACCAAAGCTCGACAGATGAAAACCACGCGTAAGTCTCTTGTCACGCTTTGTAGATCGCTATCGTCTTGTCCAAGTGGTCTGTGCGTTGAGTCCAAATCTGCAGAGCTGTGACGTTGGTCGCTCGTGCTTGTTGCGGTTCCTTCTTCGACCTCGACCCCTCGGTAGGCAGCTAAAACGCACCTTTGAGCGATTATTAAAGTAGTCGATATCCCGAGAACTGTCACATACTCGCTTCCGAGCAAGTCTGAGCTTGATCTGTTCTTGCCCGGAGCTACCTCCCTCCCCGCTTATTCTAGTCCTTTCTCCCGCGCAGAGCCCCTCGTAAACAGGCCTCTCGCTGGAAATCTGCTCGCCATCCTCTCAGCGCGTGCAGATCTCTGATACTTAAAGTTAAGGTCCATTTTTTGGGTGTGACAGCCATGTGGAACTGGTTTGGCGGCGGCGCTGCCGCGAAGAAGGATGCACCGAAGAAGGCGATTTTGGGATTAAGGAGCCAGCTCGAGATGCTAAACAAGCGGGAAAAGCACCTTGAGACGCAAATAGACGAACAGGACAATCTAGCAAGGAAATATGTAAGCACGAACAAGAGCGGTACGTATGCTAGGCTACCCGTTTCCGCCGTCACGGCAACTCGCTGACTCGGATATCGTGACAGCCGCAAAGAACGCGCTACGGCGAAAGAAGCAGTTTGAACAGACTCTTGAGCAGACCAGGGGACAAATAATGACATTGGAGAGTCAAATATATAGCATAGAAGCGGCCAACATTAACAAGGAAACGCTGGATGCCATGAAGAATGCCAGCGCGGCTATGAAGCAGATACATGGCGGCCTCACGATCGACAAAGTCGACCAGACAATGTGGGTTCACTTCCATCTTCTGTGGACTTGCGATGTGCGTCTAGCAAGTATTGACCACGACACAACAGGGAGGAGCTTCGCGAACAGCACGCTATCGGCGAGGAGATCAGCGAGGCTATCACTCAGTCTATTGGCCAAAACGCCGTCGACGATGCAGAACTTGAGGACGAGCTAGACGAACTCATGCAAGAGGAGCTGGACAACAAGATGATGAAAACGGGCACCGTACCCGCCGACAAGATCGGCGCGTTGCCGGCCGCGCCTGAGGATGTCAAGGCTGGCAAGGCGCGAGTGGAGGAGGATGACGAGGAGGAAGAACTTAAGAGATTGCAGGCCGAGATGGCCATGTAGGATCCTAAGGAGCTTGGAATTCTTGTTTGGTCACCGTCGACACTTGATACACCGTACAATGGATATGCACTGGGGAGGCGTTTGTGTGCCTTTCATTGCAGCGGTTCTGCATGCAGTCTCGATTTGATACTGTGACGGGGAAGGCGATGCGTTTTCGTGACGAGGCAGCATCCCTCGCTTTGTCTGGCTTCAATCTGGACGTTCATGCTATACCACGCAGTGCTTTGAGCCGCTAATTGTCGATAGATATTATTCGCAGCCGCTTTTGTGATAAGGTTCGTGAGGGTTTCCTCGCTCCGCAATGATGCAGCAAAGTCAACGCCCGTCCGTGCCAGGGGCCTGCCAAGATTTTTTTTTTTTTTTTTTTTTTTTTTTGTAAACGAGTCTTTTTGGTTTTCGCGATCGTCTCCCCCTCAAAATCGACGATTCGGCATTCGCGCGCGTAAGGTGGAGCACTAGGCAAGACTTCCTTTTAGCTCAGTATTCCGCGCGATATATTGAATCACTTTCCACTCGTGAGCTTCCATGCTCATCGCTTCTTGACTCCCCTGCGGATCAAGACACGTGGGGTGGGTTGGCAGTCATGTTCTTCGTTTGCCATACTCGAGTTGCTGCTCTTTCTTTGACTTGCACAAGGGTTTGCTGCGAGGATGAGTTGGTACTTTGTGCCGGCACGGCTTTCATCTACGAAGCTGGCGCTCTTCATGAACTGCTACATTCGGCTGGATCAAGAGAATGCTTGGTTTGTCCCTTGCCTTTCACATTGTATTCCTTTTTTACGACTCTGGCTTTTTTCTTCCGTACCTTTTCACGTGACAACAGGAGCAGGAGCTTTCTCTGTTCTCCTTCAGGAGAGATTTATCGCTGTGCATTAAAGCTGAAAGGAAGAAGCAGATATTCCGTAACAGTCCTTGCTTCTTTGTCCGCTGAAATGTCTATTGAATGCCGAATGACGGCCGATTTGTCTCCCCATCAGCGAATTGCACAAAGTCTAGCATACAGTAGATACATCGCTAGCATGCTGGGTCACTGTTCCGATCTTTTATTAGTTGATATGTAAACGAAACGAGACCGTCAGAGTAACATCTGCTGGATGCCATCGCCTTTGAAGAAGGGACTGGCTTCCCATCATTCGACAGAGAGATGTTCCGGCAAAATAGCGACATCAAACACTGATCTTCGCCATGCTCCCGTCGCCGAGGTCATCGTTCGATTCGTTTCACAATTGCTCAACCAAGAAGATGATCACGTGTCCAGGTCGCGATCTGCGGTGCAATGTAAAGGTAAAGCAGCAAAGCTCAAGCTTCGGCGCTAAAATTTACTGCACAATTTCATCACTCCACTCCTTAAAGAAAACCCCGTGTTTATACCTCGGACACTTTTGGCTTGCTAGTACGTTCCAAGTGAAGCGAAGACAGCACACCCTTTTTCACGGCTTCTTAGAAAGTATGAGTACCAGCTCCGATAACAGGTATGCAATCATCTCTGCATAATCACCCTTCCTGCCGACTCTGTCCCTCTTGGGTCTTGACCGACGCAGCGCTGTCAGCTTCGTTTCCGCGTTCCTCCCGTGTCTCTGATCATCGTTGATCAGCCATCTGTATTTGTTCTTTGCACCTTTCAAATTGACCTTTCGTTCATGAGGCCTGACCACTCTCCATTCCCGCAGATCCTGGCGTCGCTCTTCGCAGCAGATTCCTCCTCGCTCAAACCCGCCGTCGGTGACCTCGCAACGAGACGATTCAAATTCAAAAAACGCTGGCGCCAGTAGCAGCAAGGAAAGCAGCACTATGGTTCGAAAGGCGCAAAATCCGTCGCCTGCGCCAACACAGAATCCGTGGAACAGAGGGGGGGCTGGGCCTGTCAAGACGACTGCTGCCTCACAAAGCGGAACATCAACACCGAAGGACAAGGGACCAGCTGTGGAGAAGGCGGTGGAACAGCCACAAACACCACAGCAGGGTGGAAATGGGTTCAATGCCGATGAAGTGCGCAAAATGTTTGAAGAGGACGCGAAGGCTGCCCTGGAGGGATTGGGCGGAGAGGCGGTGCTCAAGTTGCCCGACGAGGGAAAAAAACAGGCTTGGGGGACGCAGCGAAAACGTGAGAATCATTCCTACATCCAGTAGCGACGTTAATGCTAACACTGATCCTAACAGCTGGCACCATGTCCAATGGCCAATCATTTGCAGCAGAATTAGGAAGACAACTTGCAGAGCTGGAGCAGAACAAAACAAGCTCCTAATCATCTGCTACTTCTGCCGCCTCCATCAATCTCCATTGACGACTGCGACGACCGAGGATTACATCCTTCCAGATATCTATTGGACATAGTTGACGGCGTGCGAAAAATCGACGAGGGCAACGAGTCCGTTGATTATGGCGACGCGTCTACAGTAGCACTCTGGTCAACCAGGCTTCCACCAGGAACCTTGCGCGAAATCCTGCAACATTTGCTTCTTGCACGTACCTCACATTCGATCTGCTCCAGCCTGCACTCGAGTCATTTAGAACTTTTCAGCCGAAACCAGTTCGGATTGCGTCTTCGACGAAACAATTGTTCGTGAAAACATCACGTGTCGAACTCAACCTTGTCTTCGAAGGCTATGCTGTAGATCCAGATATCTGAATTCCCGAAGGAGCTTCAATTATGCATCGGCATCTGGGACGCAGACCAGAGCGCTCTGTTCAGCTCGATAAAAGGAATTTTTCCACACCAGCATGTGGCATTAATAGAACTGTAGAGTGTCTGTGGTCTAACGATTTTGGAAGCTTGTGAAGAGAATTTGACATCTAAATCTTGTCTACCGTCACCATACAACCAGGTTATCAGAGCTTGCTGGGAGCTTTTAAGATCAAAGCTCAAATGAGCGGAATTGCCAGATATCTGCTTATGAGCACCTGGATCGGGAATATCGAAAATTACTCAGCAGAACATGAGCTAGCTAGCGTGCTAGAGGGACTGGGTCTAATTATTCAGAACAGGCTCTTTCAGATCTTGTATTGGATGCAGTCAGGAATTTCCTAGAATCCCTGTCCAATAGTCATCGAAGCGCTCGGCCCTTTCAGATTGGCGGACAAGAAAAATAGAGCTCGAAAGAGGCCCTTTTCTTAGGAAGGTACCAAAACTTCTCCAAGAACGATTCTCAATGTTCGGAGAGAAAGAGGAAAAATTGAAAGATATTCGAGCTAGCAGAATAGTCGAGGTAGGATTATTTATTTCTCATTTTCCCGGGAAAGAAGCAAGAAGCATACGGATCGAAAAAAGGGCTGGGGGCACTACATACCTCATTCTTCACGATTTTTTGCATAATGACAGAAACGCAGCGACTATGATGATACTTAATAAATATCTGGGCCAAAAAATCACTAGTTCTAGCCTCTTGCATAGAACATGTGGACTGAGAAAGAACACAAAATGCTATGGGATAATTCATGGTCAATGTTACTTGATGGGAGATATGCAACTGCAGTTTGTGCACATGTGGTCCTGCATGAGACAATTGCTCGCTGATATGGATGGCATAAAACACCTCTCTGGTATGATAGATTCGTAACTCAAAAATTGAAGGTGGGATTTGTACAGCGGATGCCTTAAGAGTACACTAACCCTGGCCCTAAATGCTATATTTGAACTACGCGGTGGTACTGAGCCTGCTACAATCAAATATGCTCGCCTCTGGTTCAATCGCCAAGGATGCATATGCATTTGGGGCGAACCATATTTCAAGATGTCTGTTCACAAACTCCACCAACCCCAGTGGGGACATGTTCGTGGGCTGGTGCATATCAATCATGTGGTTTTGAACGTTGCAATGATGCTTGACAATGCTGATTTGGCAAAGTTGTTCCGTGTCGAGTTCACGGCTTGTTGAACTAAACACAAGAAGGTTTGTAAGAAACGTATTCGCGCCTCTGCACGTTTAGTATTCCTATGCCCTATTTAAGGAGACAGGTGCGTTTGATATAAGGTTCCGGCATGAATTATATTAATATATACCTTCCACATCTACCACTGCTGCGGACACACATGTGACAAGATTAACGTTCTGTCACACTGCACAAGGCCTTCCTGCCAGGCTATCTATATTCATTCTACTCCTGTCTGTACCTGTAATAGTAGTTTGACTGCGATGCTTAAACCAGGAGCTGGATCCTTCAGGAACGATTAGACCAATGAATTGCACCGAAAATATCTGAAAAGAAGGTGGCAACCAGCTCCTCGACGCTGCGAATCACTGCCGTGCTGTGAGCCAATGAACATTCGGTCCAAGACGAAGACGTTCGGAGCCAATTGCTGCTTGATAATCATTTAGGTCGTCTGTAATTTCATTGGTTTCAAGCTCCTCCTTGACGATGATTCAATGAGGTTTAATTTTACGCACCCAAGTTTGGGTTCTAATCATCTTGAACCTGCCCTTGCCTAGCAAGATCAACATTGATGAGATTCTTCGTTGGAAGGGCCAAAGTGAAAGGTTTCTAGCTTTTTTTTAAAAAGAAAAAAAAAAGAAAAAGATTCAACACATGAAGTGAATAGTGTGGCTATCACAGATGGCTCATCTTATTTTCGAGGCGTGATAATTCAGCATTCAAGTCCTGTTGTCTTCATCGTTCGGAACCTTGGGACGAAGGAGAGCATGGATGTCAGGTGAGCTGCCTGCCATCTTTAGCGACTTTGGTATGCCTATAACATTGTGTCAGCTCTGAGGATTGCTTCAGTGAAGCGTCAGACCGCATCGGTGAACTATAACGCTGCTCTGCATGTGCTCACGGCATTACGCTTCACAGAGCTGTTCAATTCCAAATTAGCTTACAAGCGGGCGGCGAATGATCTATTCCCGTCCTAACGAGCGTCGTGCCTCACCACTTGTTATACTTGGCTAGCCGCAAAGAGGGCTCACGTAACACAATGATCCTCCTATGCACGTTTTGCTATCTTTCTAACTTGCTTCCATATGGTCCTCCAGTCTGAGTTTAGACTCATGGGCATATTTGGAGACAACGTGCGCTATGGACTGTGCGATCCATTTCTCCAGACTTGAACCCTCGAAGGCGTTCAGTGTTCACAGCGTTAAGCGAGGCTGTGTGTGGAATCATCTATCTAAGGAACTCAACGACATTTAAAGCATCAACGGAATTCATCCTGTGAATTTCGATCGAGCCTCGAGAAAAGTACTTAAACATAATCCATTTGACTTGTCTGATTATGCTTTCCCATCCCGGTCTTTACAGATGCTAAGTCTTAGGGTCTTTTAACGTACTTTCAAGCATGGTCCCGTCTGACGTCGCCGAATATGATCAAAAAGAGCAGGCCTTCGCTCGCGCGTTCCGAATTGAATCATGGAGTCTATTTGGATTCGCTGTGTCTATCATTTTGCTCCGCTTGTAGGTGTTCAAGCTTGTCGCATCTGATCCGTAGTGCCACAGGCTGAAGTAGAACATAGCGCAGCGCGAATTCGTCGTTTCGGGCTCCGCGGCCTGAAAGTTGATGATGCGCTGATGGTTCTTGCTATGTTGACATTGACATTCATGACCTACGGGATCAACCAGGTTCTGGATCGAGGCGCAAAGTTCAATTATCTGCCGCCACAAGCAGCGCATTATATCAGCCTAGAGGATCTGAGAACGAGGGTTATTAATGGAAAATGGGTATTTGCGATTGAGCACTTGATGGTCGCAACCCTTTGGTCAGCGAAGTTCTGTCTACTCACCATATATCTTCGATTAAGGTTCGTGCCTTCTTTCTCAGGTGGATGAAAAGATACGATGCTGACGATCCCATGTTCTAGTGATGCTCTCCAAGCACGTAGAACCCTCATTGCCGTCACGATATATGTAGCATTGACCTATATCGGCAGCGAGATGACGCTGCTCTTCTCTTGCTTTCCGATCCACAGGAGGTGGACTTTAACGACTGATAGTAAGTCTGGAGATTCGTGTTTTAGACGAGTGGCTAATTTCACCCTCTTTTGAAGGTAACTGCTCCTCTTACACTCACTTCCAAATCGCGGACGGCGTGTTTTCGCTGTCCAGCAGTATTATTATTCTTATTATTGGGTTTCCGACCATTTTACAGGTTCGTTTGCCCCGGCGGCAAAAGATGATAATCATTTTTCTCTTCGGGTAAGATTTTGTGATTCCTTGCAGTTGGGATCTCATTGTTAAATCCCCTCTAGCTTAGGGTTCTTGGATATCGCAGCAGACGCCCTGAGAAGAGTATATGTCACACAAGAGAAAATTTATGGGTTCATGTTCTATAGGTGGTACACGATAGAGACTACTGCGGCAATACTTGTATGCAACCTCCCTTTCGTTTGGTATTTGATCTGCGACGTATTTCCTGCAATCAGAGAGTGGGCAAATCACAGCGACTTCGAAAATGTACGATTCTGGAAAGAGAAGAAACGGAAAGGATCCTTCTTCTGCTGCGTTGGAGGTCGCAAACAGTCATCTCAAACCCTGCCATCATTTGTCACCCGGTCCGAGGAGCGCGACATCGACATAGGTAATTGCAACATAACTCCGGCGAACTCTACGGCTCGAGGAGATGTCTCTCCGAGGCATCTAAGCGAAAATATGGAGTCTCCAACGGCGAGCAGGGTTTATGGAGATCCATTGGACGGGTATGTTAAGAGGGCTAAAATGGTCAATTACAAAACAAACGGCGATATCGAAAGATCAGCTGGAATGACCAATGCTAATTCAGGCCCAATGCAGCCTCTGGGCGAAGAGCTCGCGAGGAAGGACTCGGCAACGTTACCCTTAACTATTGAAAGGACTGTAATCAGGACAGGGACATGGCAGAGTTGTCGCTGCTGTGCACAAATTGCACATGGACGTGTCGTATGATCTGAGTGGTGTCGGCAAAGAGGATGGAAAGGTAATACTCGCATGTTAACAGTCAATTCTGTTTATCAATTTGATTAGCACATATTTATTTTCAATCGCACAGCGTTTCAGATGAAGTCAAAAGAGGACAGAGGAGCGGATTAGATTAATACGGACAAAATGCAGCGGACTACAGGTATACTCAAGAATCCATCACACGTGACGTTCTATATCCTGTATTATGTTACAGCTTTTCATCGACTGATCAATCAGTGTCTTAGAATTCAAATAATTCGTCTTTGGCAGCAAAAGAGATCGTCAGATCGAATGAAATGTTGTTGACTTAATTGCGACTTCACAAAAGAGGGTGTTATGGCACATATCCGTTGGTAATCCGCGATATCAAGACGGTGACAGTAATTTTCCAACTGAAAACCACAGATACACTGCATAGTTAGATACATTTCATCGGCTTGATGCCATTCTATCTTTGTTCGTGGCGCTATGAAGTTGGCCTTGGTCCTTCAGACGAATTTTTAGGCTTGGCAGCATTTCAGTTTTGAACAGCTGCGCCACAAGGTGTCATTCCCCCACACGTCCCCAGTCAACCGCGGTATCTCCAAGCCTGGGGATTCTCCACTCCCTCAAACTGAGATGAGGAAAGGTTACCTTTATTTTGCTGAGCTTGTCTAAACTAAGGATTTGTCGATGTTCTACGATGGAGGGAACTCCGCAGCCGGCGACGGCTCCTGCGGGGACGAAAGGTATCGCGGTGATGGCATGTGACGCTTGCCGACGCTTGAAGGTCAGATCGAATGGATTACACAAGGTCTTTGATGGAGTTAGACTGATCCAGGATTTCTCAGATGCGTTGTGTCGGGGCTTTGAATCCTCCATGCGAGCGTTGTGCGAAAGCTAAACGGCCATGTGTTATTTCACAGCGACATCGAGCCCATCCGGTGCATGGACGTGGATCCAGCGTGCTCGTTTTTCACGACTCAGCAAAGCATTCATCAGATGAGTCTGCGAGCAATGACACTGCGCACGTACATAGGCGTGAATACTTGCGGCCTGAAAATTCTTTCATCTCCGCATCTGAACGAGACTGTGCGATTAGATCGAGCACATCTTCTGAGGAGAGTAAGAATCCGTCATCACTGTCCAAACCTGCAGTCGATACAACCCACAATGTTGAAATCCACCAACCTCGTCAATTCGCATTACCTTCAGTGTACTCCGTAACTCCTTTCGTGGAAGCAGACCTTGAATCAGCATACATGAATGAGAGCTGCGTTGAGCGGAGCAGTCGAAGCAGCCATGAAGCGCGATCATCAGTCTCTACTTCAAGCCCGTATGGAGGCAGCACTCAGACCGACGATGGCTCTCTCACAGCCTTGGAAAGAGATATATATCATCTTGTGGACTTGCAAGTGTCCCACTCACCTTTACTAGCTTCGCTAACGTTTGATGCACCCAGCTTCCACAGCAAAATGGCCATGCAAACGCCAGTTTTCTTGCCAGATGATTTCAAAGACAAAAGAAGCATGATACGTCATCGAAGACCGCTCGCTGTCTGCATCGCTTTCGTAACTGCCCGTTTTGTCCCTGGTTGTCGATCATTACGAATTCAACTTACTCCCGATGTGCTAAACATCCTCAAAATGGCGTGGGACCGCATCAATGAGAATGAAGAGGAGCAAAGGACTCTTTTTCAGGCCTTTGCTATTCTTTCTACGTATGCAAGCCCGTCTGATGCTCAGACCTCTGAGAGTGGAGCAGCCAGATACGGCGAGCTCAGTCCGTTAGCGCTTAGATCGGTCATAGAAACGTTCGCCTTGCGTATATCACTTCACCGATCTTGGGACCAGGTTTCATGTTTACGATTCAAAAGTCCTAGCGATGCTCTTGCTAGTGTGCCGTTTCGCCGTTATCTTCTATGGCTCTGGCTGTACACAATGTCACATCACGGAAGTTTGCTAATGCGTACACCGCCCACAATTCGAGAAGACGCGTCAATACGATCGGCCCCGGAAATACTTAGCAGTCTCAAAGAAGAGTACCTGATCAAGCGTATACTTGCAGAAGTTGAGCTTTGTTTACTTTGGAGCCAAGCTGGCACCCGACACCATGAACTTGGTGAATGGTGGGTATCACCTCAGACCGGTGGCGCGATTGATTCTCGGCTGGAAGCACTACGAGCATTGGATGCCGCTCTGGTATCATGGAGCGAACGATGGGGTCTTGTTGAAAAAGACGACAGCGTCGTACTCCCCATCAATAGTTTACAGCGCACATCTATCGACTTCCACTACCGATTCAAAAGGTTCAGCGTAGCAACATATGTTACTCGATTCTTCCACCTTTCAACTATTGAGCAGCGGTCCGATCAGAGCCGCGATCAATCCCCAACACCACCTACCATCATGATGATCGAACTTCTTCTCCAGACGATGCAAGCTGCAATGTCGCTTTGCACCTTGCCATTGGAGCTAAGTCCGATACAGAAGGATATCGCAAGATATATTCCTCACCTCGCTTTCGCGATGCTAGCATTCCCTTGTTATTTTGTAATGCGTGCAGCAGAAGTACCTGGCATACCAATCGCTACGGTACGTGAATACTTCATTGATATTAAGAGAGTTGCAGACGTGTTCTGCGAAATGGCCGCGGATGAATACCACTGCGCATCAATCTATGGTAAGGCCATATTAGAAGAGCTCGCGAGAACGGAGCGAAGCCTCCAAAGTAAGCAAAGTTCGACTCAGTTCCGAAACTCACAAGTTCGTCCTCACACTCCCGCGCAAGTCCACCAAAACTCGATGCAGCCGCCAAGCTTGGATCACACAGTCTACTCAGCGACGTCAGACAGCACTACTCAAACTGACAATATGGATTTCACTCCAGAAGCATCGAGCATGTTCAACTGGCAGTCATTAAGTGCTTTGAACTCACCGAATCAATATTCTGGAATTGGAGGTATCGAGGGCTGGTTTTTGAACAATTTTTGGGATCCTTGAACTGTGCTCGAGACACTCAAAGGAACTTGAGCAAACACCAAGCTAACTCTTCGCATAAACCGACGAAGCAGCACGGAACATTTTTGACAAACGACAGCTCAAGCTCACAAATGTACATTTGCGGACCGACCTCTCTGCTCAAGCTGGAATGTTGTAGATTACGCCCACCTTTCGAAGATCGAATTCTTCAAAACTTACAATCGCGTCTCTCCACGTAACGACTTTTTCTACTAGGTAGAGATCTACTCAGCCTCACCTAGTTTATCAACACTTCACCCCAGAAATTGGGTGGGACGGGAAATCTATCTCGGCTTGAGGTTTGTAGTTGAAGTACATTTGAATTTGACTAAGTAGCCCGCCCGCGACTTTTTGCGCGTTTCCCTTATTTTTGGATTTCACGGCGTAGCCGAGGACTTGAACGAGATGTACCATAGGAAAGAAGATTTGGCTAAGCCATGGTTTTTAGCCGAGCTTGATGGGTCCGGCGATGTCGTCTCTTTTCGTAAAATCTAATGGGGCTGAAACCACCATGCTACCTAAGGCTACTTTTTTTAAACTTGTAAGTCATGAATGACGTTAGATTGTATAGTGATATATTGGCTTATTAGGTTAGTGTCTACTCCGTCGTTACATCAAAGTACTTGTGAGAGCGATCGTACCCTTTTGGGTGATGTCGCAACAGATACTGTAGACATAGCTTCCGTCTGTTCACTAGTTACGTTATTCAAAAGGTTCAGGGAAAGGTATCAAACAACTGATGAAGCTGTACGAGGGCCTACAAAGTTACTTTATGATGCAAAGGGGGTTTTGATGCATATGAAAATTGACACAACGTGTCTGGTGGCGAATTAGCCATGTGGATGCTGAAGATTCTCGGGATATTCCGAGTAGCTTTTCTAGACTTGTGATGACCTGGTATAGCGAAGTCTCTGCCGATACCACATGCCTGGGGACATCCCTCGCTCCAAATGATGACATCTGTGCCGAAAGTCAGGCCGCTTGTTCGATGATGTACAAAGGACACTTCTCCAATTGTACCAGAAATGTGTTACAACAATGAAAAAATGAACCAAGAACTCAAATCTGGAGCTCATTGATTTCTGCGCTGGCATGTTGAGTTCGGACGGCTTGTGTAGTTGACATCATGGCACATGCTCATCATGACTTCGGCCGTTTGAGCCGTGCCTCAAGTAGAGTTCCCCGCCCCCTTGAAATCAAGTATCCAACCATATTGAATCTCTGTCAGTCCATGATCCAATAGCATGTCTTGCGTTGTCAACATCGTGGTCTCACATCCTCCGCTTCTGTACACATTATTGACGCAAAGCGGGCTGACAAGCCTGCAAAGAACGTTCAATGGCCGGATGTGCACAACTAACCGCGGGTGCTGAAACAAATTCAATGGATTGCGAACAGTCTCGTGAGCTTTTAAGTTGACGTTGAAATACAGTGGAAACAAGGGATTTGCAGTGGCGCAAAAGCTTATTTATCCGAGAAGTATTCGATACAATCGGTTGGTTCGTTTAGCACATCTTCCCAAGATGTTCTAAGTTGCGAGGGGAGATAGGATAGTACACTCGCCGAGTCAAGATGCATAAAGGACTCGCGTATCTCAATACCTGGACCAAGATGACTGTGGCGAATGCTTAATTTTGCTATACTTCATTAGAAATCTGCAGAAGCCTTGTTTGTTCCTTTATTATGCTCATACAGCAGCTCATCCTTTACTCTATTTGTGTAAGCGCAGCTGCTGTCGACCATGTGAAGTACCACTACAAGCGGCAGGCAGGCGATTCGAGAAGCCCTTGCCCAGCAATGAACACCCTGGCTAACCACGGATATATGTGAGTTTTGTGTCTGCAAAAGTCGGCGTATGAAGTGCTGATTTCCCACTTTTCGAATCAGAAACCGTGATGGCAAGAACATTAGTCTGAATGATCTGTCCAACGCTGCCATGAAAGTTTACAACATAGACATCCTGCTAGCAACTCTCTTCACGCGTGGCGGGAATCTATTGATTCAAAACAACACACTTGATGGAGTTTTGAAGACCACGGTAGATCTATCGGATTATGATAAGCACGATGCGATTGAGCACGACGGCTCACTGACGCGAATGGACTTCTCTCAAGGTGACGACCACACATTCCAACCGGAAATGTTGAAACAACTCCTCAATGACTCTACGTCAGATTTTCTGGACTTTGATTCTTTAGCAAAGTCCCGTGTTCGACGTGAAAAGGACATGGCGTCGAGAGGAAATCCGCCGCTGGATGGCAAGGGAATTTTTATAGCTTATGGAGAGGCAGCGCTCCTTCTCGAAACCTTTGGCAAAGGCACAAACAAGGCACCGAAGGCGGATATCGAGACGTTCTTTTCCGAGGAGAGACTGCCAGATGGGTACGAAGTGCCGAAGCAGTTGATCACGATACCATCGACGGTCGCCCTGAGCGGGGAGATCCAAGCAGCAGCAGCTTTCCATAGGATGTTCTCGTTTTGAAAAGGCATAAATTAGCACAGCAATCAGCAGATATACAATACCGATATGAATAATTTGAGATTCTGAACAAGAGAGTAAGATTTCAAACATGTTCTTTCGAGGACATTGCAAACTTCAAATCTCGTATGACTATTTTTAATTTGGGAGGCTCACACCTGTAAACGTTTCGCAAAGCCTCAATAACTTGTCTTGGGCCTCTATATCTTCGCAAAATTTGCTAGGCACCGCTTCTCTCCTCCCAGGTTTGAAATACTTTCCACTTTCGATATCTTCCTCCACAAGCATCACATAGGTGCTGACGCTGGACTGCAGATCTCCTGGTGCGTTTTTGCCTCCCATCTTCGTCGGTTGCCATCCGGGATCCATGCTAGTCGACTGGACGTCTCGCCACTTCCTTGCTATCGCTTTAGCGAACATGACATTGTGCATTTTGCTATTTGCATAGCCTTGAGAATCGCTCCAGGCACTCTCACCCCGTTCCTTCCAGGCGATATCCTTCAGTGAGGGATCGCCGCTAGCGTGGTAACCGGAACTGAGGTAAACTAGTTTCTTTGGTTTGTTGATGAGACATGTGAGTATGTATGGTGCAAATGTGTTGACCGCAACAAGTGCTGGGAAGCCTTCAGACGTCATCCGGCACCCGCCGAAGTAGAGACCCGCGTTGTGAACGATCGCGTCAAATCTGCCCAGCGCATTGATATCCGACGCTAGTTTTTTCGTTTCCTTGATGCTTGATAAATCTCCAACCACCACTGTCTCTGCACCCGGACAGGCTTTCTCAGCATCCCGCGCTCGTGTCGTGTTGCGTGCATGTAGAACCACTTTATGACCTCTCTTTACTAGAGTCTGTGCTGCTAGCAACCCCAAGCCGTCCGAAGACCCAGTGATGAGTATTCGCGCCATCATAACCACATTCAACAGTGTTGGAGAGATAAAGAGGATAACACAAGGACCTTCTGTATATCAGTCTACATGTGGAGTTAAGACGGAGATAAGACGCTGCTTCTGCGGCAAAGATTCGCAGATTGGTTGCACTTGACGTAAAGACTCCTGGAGATTAATCAGAAAATCCTAGAATGATGAATAATGCTTGATTTCAAATCCAGACAACCTCTAGTACCGGTTTATTGAATATGATTCTATATGGGACTGAGACCATAGCCTCGCATGTACAAGACATGTCCGCGATGGGCTCAATTGGAACATTACCATAACTCAGGAACACGGGCTCTAGAGGCCCCTAACCCGTGCTTCCGCAGCTTGTCAACCTCTACTATGGAGAATATAGCAGCTTCCTGATCGTCGCAATGTGGTCTTCGCTCATGGCGTACTAGAATGACACAAGACACTTGTCCTTGCCTTAAATGCTTCTCATTGGCGAAGATCACAAAGCGTTTCTCGTCATGGCTTGTGTACAGTTGATGGGAAGTATTAATGATATACGGCTACAAGGTCTACAGTGCTGCAATTCTAGGCGGAACGTCCTAACTGTATCTTGTACGATTCTAGTAGGAGGAAGGCGTGCAAAGCGATTGCAAATCAATTAGTGCTTTTGATTCCCGCTATCTAAGTTGGCCATTGAAGGAAGCTTCATCGACCAAGGTCGTTGCAAAGTTATCCTTCCGAGGCTGTCGAAGTCCGAGCTAGCTGAAAGTCACGTTAATGTGATGAATGCGCAATCATTCATTCTCACTGTCTAATCTATCCTGCCTCTGACTACCGTCCGGCGGAAATTGAGCAAAGCATAAGACCAAGAACCCAACCAGCGCAACGGCAGCATTGATTGTAAACACCAAATAAGTCTTCTCAATGCTTGCAAATGCAGCGAAGACAAGACCAAATATGCTTGCTATGCTACGTTAGCGGCGATGAAAGTGCAAAAATCTACTTGACTCTACTTACTAGTTGTCAGTCGTGCAATATTTTCTACCAAGGTGATCGCACCCAACGCGTCTGTTCGCTCACTTGGGGGACTCATTTGCAAGATCGTGCCTTTGGACGCTGCACCAGTTCCTGACGCGAAAGGCAAAATAATTGCAACAAGGTAAATTTGCCAGCCTTTTTGTATGAATGTGGCAGCCCCAGTAAGTATGCCATCGAGCAACAAGCTGTACCGAGCATAAATTAAGTCAAACTCATATGTCTCTTGCTTAGATGGTGGGTTCGGAGGCTGCAGCGGTTCTTGTTCATTATCCATGGTATCCGTTATTTCGACCTCTGAGGGTTCTTCCGGATCGAACGGCATAGCTAGATCAGACCGATTACCATTTTCTGCCGTCTTCAAGTCTTTATTTTGTGAAACTTTTCTTCTCCCGAATGCGATAATTCGAGGAAATAGGAAAGTGAGAAATACACCGCGCAGCATCGAGTTTAGAGAAATTAGAAAGCCGTTCTCTCTCGTCCCAAAACCGTAGATATCTGTACTGTACATTTGCAGCAGGGTAGGAATATACCCTGTCGCCAATATACCTAGATATACTCCAAAAGCAAGAAGAATTGGCCCAAAATCTCTTTTTGTGCGGCCGTCCAACAGAACCAACCGCTGAGGCGCAAACACTTTCAGAGGCCCAAAAAAACGTCGAATGCCCTTGATTTTTGCGCGAGCTTCAACTTCTTCCTGTCCGCGAATCCAAGGCAGTCCAATTGCCACATAAAGTGTAGACAGGCAAAACAAGCATAATGTAACTCGGAATGGCCAGATGATACCAAAACGTTCGCTGATTTCACCACCGATGAGATATCCAATACTCGTTCCAAAGAACATTGCTCCTTGCAATCTTCCAAGCGAAGGCGTGCGTTGCTCAGGTTTGACGACCTCGGTAATGAAACTGTTTAAAGCAAGCAAATAGCCATTTGGACCCCCTATGATTGTGATTATCTGACTGCATTGTACGATGATGATACCGATACTTCCACCGGACATGACGCCGATGTTTTGGATCAGAAGCCGGACGGCAGGCCAGAAAACTTGAATGAGCAGCGTTGACTTTACGCCAATGCGCTTGATGAGCCAGCCCGTGATGAAGAGGTTGATTAAGCCGAAAAGAGTGGTGCTCGCACCCAGGAGAGCCACAGATTTTGCAGTACTAGCCTCGATCGCCGGCATCGAACAACGATCTTTGGAGGTGGCCAGAGATGGTGGTGTGTGCGTGTCATAATATGCTTGGCAGGTCATTACCCGGAAAACGTAGATTAACCTTGGAAGAATTAGGAAATGTGCAAAGCATCAACGGCTCTTTACCACTTACGGAACTTGCGTAACTCCAAAGCTGAGGCTGACCATTAACGCGCAGAGAAGTATTCGATATACCACGGACTTGCTCCATTCTCCCCGGTCGTCGAGGTCCGCCTGCTTCGACTCATTGCGCAATAACGGCGTCCTCTCGTCCAGGGCGTTATTCCTAGCTCCTTCTCTGTCCTCTACCGCCATCTTTGTGGTTGTGTAGAAGCGATGGTCAAGTCATTATTCTAGATTTGTAAAGTCCGTCCACCGCTTCGTTATCTGCCGTCTGCCTTCCGAATTTGTGCACAAGCGAGGATGGGCTCCACAAGAAAGAGGCACACCACGGGCCGGTCTCGGCATGGGAGAGATGATCGCTCTCTCTTGGTCCTCAATCACCTCGGGAGTATAAGCAGAATGCGGAAGCGAGACTGTATTGTAAACTTGTCGCTCAGGCAAAAATAAAATTTCCGATGGGCCGTTGACTAGCATTTAATGTGCTTTGAACTTATTTCAAGATCAACAAATTGCCTACTTCTTGCGCTACTTGTCCGGCTGCTTGATTTCGTACTGTCGCCTTTTGTGGTAGTGTGTAACGATAGTATCTGAAAGCTATATGATCTCAAAGTCCCTGCTAACGCCTTCAAAAGCGGTCAAAGAGCCATCAAGACTTTTCGCATCACCAAAGTACCTTATCCTGTAACGACCTTGAAGATTTACTTCAGACGGTATCTCCCATTGTATCCTGACCTCGCTCGTACCCATGATCTCACTCTTTCTTTTCCAATGAAATATTAGTTCCCAATCTTCATCTGTTCGATACGGGACCCATTTTTTATCTCTAGACTTGAGGTCGTCGTTGCCATTTGTCGCTGTATGTAGTCGCTCTACCATGGCATATGTGCCTTCAAGACGTAGATTATTCCGTGGGTTTGCGCCCACGAAGGATGCTTCAGCTATATCGCCGGGTCGATATGATGACTCAACGTCCTTAATCACATCACCGAAATTCTTGAAGAGGCCAGCATGATCGACCACCACTCCGGAGATAAAGCTCAAACTCCTGTTTGTGTTTATGGGTGGACTGGGACCGCTCGGAGGTTTCTTCGTAGCCGTCGCTGATAGATAGTGCAAATGATTGATCGTCAGGTGAATATACGCATTCAAAGTATGCGGACCGTACAGAGTGGAGGCCCCTTCGTAACGTTGAACAGCATATTCCTCTTCTGTGGTGATGTAATGTGTATAGCTATTCGCTGGGCCACCAAGTACAACTTCCAGCCTACCATTTGCGTCAAGCGGCCAATCTGCAAGATTGGTTATAAAAGCGGACTCTTTTACAGCATTCCGCCAACGTCTGCCTGCCATAGTTGTGGCTTCCCCTGGACTTACAATAATAACAAGGTGGCCAAGGCGCAGTAGCTGAAGATCAACAACGTTTGGCGCCCATTGGTATGGCTTCGTCGTTTCGCCAACATCCAGCAGAATTGGCTTTGGATATTGGCATCGCTGCTGCTCTTCGCTTGGAGCATGAATCAGGTTGCGCACAACGTTCCAAAGGGGGTTGGCATTTCCCGATCCTGAGCTATTCTGCTTAAAATCAAATGCACCAGGTCCATCTGAAGTACCGGCCGCGAAGGAGTAGCCCAAAGCTGCCGGACAAGTTGTGACTATGGAACCGTTCGGATGGGGGAATGTGTAATTGGCTAAAGACACGAATGTATGAAATGACCGCACATTTTCGTCTGATATAAGATGAGCTTGCACTGATGTGGATGCCATCTTCGAGTACAGCGAACGCGCAGCCTCGAACTGCCGTCTCCCGATTTCGAAGCAAGACTTCGTACCGCCATCATCCAGTCCGAAAAAAGGCCCTCGACCGTGACAATCTTCGTTGCGACCGCCGCATGTGCTATCCTTCAGCGCACATTCCTGATCGGAACCATCCTCGCAGTAGGCGCCAAGCACATTGGGCGATGTATCACCCACATTGGATTGGGAAAACCCAGCGACGAATCCCGGAGCTGTATCTGTCCCTTGCATACTTTTTTCAAAGAGGTATGCAGCAACACCTTTGTTATCACCAGAGATCAATGTGTTGTTCCCTAACATCGAAGTTCCGTGCACGGCAAACCAGGTCAAAACTCCAATGTCCTTACCATCTGACGAGCGAGTAAACCGCAGCAGGGTGAGATCTTTGTCAACGTCATCTGAGTACATTTTGCGTTCCGCTTCCGGGTTCGCAAGGTACGCGTACAGACTCCTATTAATGTTCGCATCCTCAATTCTGGTCTTGCCAATAGAGATTGAGCCCGGTGCGAGACTCTCATGCGCACGCCGTATGGACAGCAAAGAACCTTGAACAATGGCTTCATAGCTCTCTTTGCTAAACCCACGACTAGTAATCTGTGGCAGCAAATAATTCAGCCACGCACCAGGCCCAGAATGCGAGTGCGTTCCTGTGACAGCGACATTGTGCTGTCCGTACATGGCGTATTCCGGTCCAAAATTTTTCAGGCCGTTGAGAATGCCATCGCGCACAGCCGTATCCCCAGATTGCGTGTCCAGCACGAGATAAATCCAGCGATTGGCAGGAGTATCTAACTCTCCAATGATGAATGCGCGAGAGTATAGTCTTTGGCGCAGCCCAGAACCTAGTTGGCTCGTGTTTGCATAGCCCATCAAGTTGAGTTCGACTACCGGGCTATTAACAAGGTATTAGCTGAGCCACTTGACCAGCTTCGATAGCGTTACCCCGTAATATCAGCCTTGCCAACGCCAATTAAGAATCGGCCGCCATGCTTAGAAGAGCCTGATGGCTTTTCAATACCATGATATCGCAAAGCTGCATTTTCCTCACGCAGTGGGGAATCTAGATAAGTCAGATAGAAGACGTGAATGGTAACAATCAAGAGCACTACTGTGCTCACAAAGGCAGCTGTACGTGCAGTAGGCATATTTAGAGTAGGATCATGATTCTCGCTCGGCTTTCATGCATCTCAATCAATCAAAAAAAAAATAGATTGATCATGTTAATCATAATACGGAATCTAATCTTAAGGCTTGACTCACTTGGCGATGGTCGCGTGCCAGAGGACAAGTTAGTGCAGATGCGTGGCATTACTGAAACAGTCGACGCCTAAACTTCGGCCTTACAGCCTAGCGGCCGTTTTCGACGGGAGCGAAAACTATAGTAAAGAGATCTTGATGATATAGTACTACCTCGCCATTGACCAAAGTACAAAGATGCCACTCGGGCTAGAGTCAACTGACTTTCTGTCGCGTAAGTGCTCATCTCCAATCATAAGTAGCACGAGCTTACAGCACTAGACATTGACGGCGAGCTCCAACCTCAGCAACGGGACGCAATAGTAGCGCAAGTACGCGCCGAGATACCCCCCAATGCCGCAGAAACGCTACATCCAAGGATTCCAGTCGCGTACGAACCTCATTTCAGCCCTCTCATAGAGGCGGAACTAGAGCGCATAGCTTCCAAAGCGGAAAAACAGCCAGGAACAGGCATAGATGTATCGCGGTATGAGGCTGACGCCCTAGAAGCACCACCCCGCACGTCACCACATTCAGACGAGCGACATCCGGAAATACTGGCTCAGTGGAGACAGAAGCTGCAACGCGCGTATGGGCTGAAGACCTATTTAGATGGGAGATTAGTCAACCTGAATCTATTGGAAACATATGGGAAAAATGCGTGGTTGATAGGGAATTCGCAACTGGAGGAGGAAGTCAGAAGCTTGGATAGGGAGCTGGCTGAGATGAAGAGACAGGTTGAGGAGGTGGAAGAGCAGAGGCGGAGGAAGCAAGAAGCTGTGAAGGGAGAAATGGAAGGCCTGGAGGAGAGCTGGCGAAGAGGGGTGAGGGGCATTGTAGAAGTAGAGCTTGCTACTGAAGGGCTGAAGCAGGAGATTCTGGCCAGGAAAAGGGCGAGCGCCGCTGTGGGTTGAGTCACTTTGCACAAGGCGAGGGCAATCATACCGACCGCAACCGGTTCCAACTGCGCAGGCTGTCCTTACACGACAGCAAGCCTCATATATGAGGGATTACAGAGCTCGTGGCAAGACCTTTTTAGAGTCCATCCGGACGGTGTTTGACCCGTCAAAATATTGTAGGGTTAGAAGACCGATCGGCGTGATAAAGCCACGCGTGTTCGAGGGTTCATGAGACAGGGCAAGTTCCATGCGTGAAGTGGAATCCATGCTCTGTATGATAGTCACGTTACAGCGTACAATATGCTTACCTTACAATGAACTATCGCATCTTTTAATGAATTCGAACCGCCCTTTCTATCCGTGTTCTGCACGAACCAACGAAAACGCTCAACTGACAATCCGAACGCAGGTCTGGAGAGATCGAATTGATGGTGCACCGGGCACAAATATCAAATCGTACCAGCGAGACAGGGTAAATCGCTAAACTCAACATGTGGACCGTTGAAATGATGATGAGGACAAGCACATTTACTCGGACACGAGAACGATACAGTCGAGCCACGTTAAGCGCAATGCAATCATGAGGCAAGTGTTTGAACAAGGTGTGGGGAACGTATAGATCAGACTCCAAAATGCTCGTATTGACTCTTGGGTTATCATAAATGGATATCTGTATTCCAGTCGCAGTCTGGATCAATCATCGCCCATCATTACGATTTCATCTTCTCGAATGCTAAGCCACCCAACGCCAATGCGAATCATCTGAAGAACAAGATACCTGGACCTTTACAGAGAATCAGCAGCGCCATTCCCATACCGCTATATGCAATCGTCGGATCAGTGTATTAACAAGATCGGATTAAAGAGCTTAAAGCACAGCGGCAACGACGCCAATGAGTCCGGCGGCAGCAGCACCGGCAGCGACGCCAACGTTGGAAGCAGCACCGGTTGGACTGGCACTTGCGCTGGCACTGGCAACAGTTGCTTGAGCAATCTTGTAGCCGTACGAGGTCGTGGTGATCTGCGATGCAACACCGCTGACATCGGTGGTTGTGGTGTAGACGGAGGAAGCGGTCACACTGATCCATGTTAGCAACGGTTCGCAAATATATGCATGAGGTTGAAAATGACTTACCTAGCAGTGCAGCCAGTCCAGGTCGTCCAATCAGCCGTTTTGCTCCACGAACCACTTGTCCAGCCTGGCCAGTCGGACGCTGGGCAAGAGTCACCTCCCCACCTGGACAAATGTTAGCACATGGGCCTTAAGCGAAATTGTACTTAGAAAGACGTACCATTTAGTCCACGGACCAGCGGTCCAACTACCAGTAGAACAAAAGGGGCCATCTGAAGCACCCCATCCTCCGAAGCTGCCGCCCCCGAATGGGCCATGTCCACCGCCAAAGCCGCCATGACCGGAGCCGAAGCCACCATGGCCACCGAACCCAGGACCGCCGGAGACATAGGTGGAGAAGCCGGATGGGTAGCCAGTGCCGAATGGGCCGAACTGGCTCAGACCAAGCGCAGAAGTGAGTGAGGCCCAGTCCGAGCTGCTAGGGCCATTAGGGTGAGCAGAGGTGTAGCTCTCGAAAATGCTGCTTTGGCTGGCGTCAAGACTATGACCAAAAGGACCGAATCCAGAAAAGCCAGTCGCCATAGTAGGAGGGGCCGAAGTGATTGTGGATGAGTCTGACTGGGCAGTAGCACCGTATGCGAGAGCCGCAATGGCGGCAAAAGTTGAGAACGATCTCATCTTCTTAGTTTTGTTTTTGTTTCTTTTTCTCTGCGGTGCTGTATTATGGGAAGATTTATGGGCTGCACAAGTAGGCTTCGACGAGGTGTCTCGAAGGACTTCTTGTCCTACTAAGCGAAGAGCGATAGCAAGCTAATTGATGATGCTTTGATGCACGTCCGTACACGGGGTTTACCCCCTTTATATGGATGTGCGACAGGTTCCTGCGCCCCCAAGCACAATCGGTGAAGCTTGGTCGTGCCGGCGGGCTGAGCATCCGTTTCGGCCTCAAGGAAAGGACCCGATGCACGGAGATTTTTTCGGTGCTGGGATAGTGGACTGTGTGGAGGCTGTGGTTGTGTTCAGTAAGACAGCAATGGGAACTAACAGCACGCACGAATGCAGCAAAGAGAGGAACCAGAACTGCTCCCACAGCTGACGCGGCCTGCTCGGGGCAAAGCTTGAGTTCTTTTGCGATGAGGAGACCCGAAATACACTTCTCGGTGGCTGACCACTGCTCACTGGTCGTATGCAAGGTCGACCTGCAGATCGTGCGGGTTTGGCCTTGCAGACCCACCAACAGAAATAGAGCACCACAGCCGCACACCGGCGCTCCTCATCTCAACTCGAGGCGATCACAGGCGGCGTCCACACACTGCAGCATTGCGCGTAACTCTATTCCCTAAAATTGTTGCTAAGAAACATGCTCTCACAAGCCTTGGGGCCATTGACTCGCTTCACAAATTGGCAGTTGAGCGACAGAAACATGCACGACGAGTCTGATGCTTTCATATCTGACCCTGAACGCCTCGAACGAAAGCCAAGCTGCTTGACTCGTTCAGGAGAGCCCGTTCCCGGATACTGCGTTGCAGCAGCACATCAATGGAGCTGTAAGTCCTGTGCAAGATCGACACAAAATCGTGTCAGCGATCTCCAGTTGGTAGCGTCTGGGGTCAAGCCTCGCTCGAAGACTCTTCTCGTTGCTTGGGACTCTGTGCCATTTTTGGATCCAACTAGAAACGTTTCGGATCGCCAGCCTTGTGGGCACTGGCGGGTCTAATTGGTGCTAAGGCCAAACGGACTGCTCAGCGCTCCGTAACACTCTGGAGAGAGAGACACTTTACCCCGTCTTCTTAACGCATTAGCGTTTAGCGTGACATCATCAAGATAGTAATGAGGACCGTGAGGTGAAAATCGTTCAACGGAGTGAGGGGACGTGAGTAGTGCAATGTTCGCCTACGCTGTGCTTTGCCGAGTTGGTAGTGGATGGGCGATGAGCTGGCTGTCTTGGCTACGCGTGTATCTGGGCGACGCGGGTTCGCTGTTCACCACCCCAATGGAATTTTCCGGTGATATGAACGCACGGCATTATCCAGGAGGGCCAAGGGGGAGGTGTTGAATGTGCAATAATTGACACTGGTCTTGGCCCCGCCATCACGATCGGAGCTTGTCGACGAATTCGCCGCGAGTGACAGAATCTGATCACGACAATACGAGCGCGAGAAGATGGAGTACCTGTCACGCAACGCTCCACAGAACTGCACAGTGTACACCGACACGTCTCCGACAGCTGGCAGCTTTTCCTCAATCGCCCGAACGAGACGACTGTGCCGCGCAATGCTCTACGCGTCTTGATCAGTCAGCTGATGGTGCCTGATAACGTCGACAACCTCGCGGTAGAGTCGACACTCTTCTGCAGTCACCTTGGCATCTCTCAACTTCACAGCTTCCATGCACACGGCTTTTGCTCAGGTCTTCTCACGTGCCGAACTTGTTCAACACAATGGCCCCCAGCCTCTTCGTATCGATAACAAACTCTTTCGGAACGGTTGTGGCGCCATGGCTGAGTTCATAAGGCAACCGACATGCAAGGGACTGAGAGCTAATTTTATCAAGCCCCTCAGATTTCTGAGGCAAACCCACAGTCAGCGGCCAATAAGTGAGAGGAAGATCCCGAGAGGTCTCCGTTCAAAGTTGAGACACATCCTCGACGAGAAATTGAATCGCGTCGCCTATTTTTGAGCGGAAACCATGAAGACGATCGTGTCGGCATGACAACCCATAAGCCTCGAGAATTTTGGGGTCCTTTTCACACAGACCAGCTGGAAGAGATTGTCGGTCATCGATCAGCTTGGCCATCCTGGATGAGCTGTCAGCCTGATACGGCCTTTCAACCAACCGCGTCAACATTTCGTTTCGAGTAAGTTAAGCCCAGACAAACCTTTGCACGTGCGGAGTAGGATCGTCCGGTCCAACGACAGTCAACACATTTCTAGAACGACCGTTTCGATCGAGAGCGGGCAGTAGACACGTGAAATGTAGCCCTAAGCATACACGCTTGCCCTTTTCATCTATCAATCTCCGATGACAAATCGACGAATGTCAAAATCACTCCCTTCAGGATGTCTCCTTCAGACCTACGCAACCGCACAACCCCCTTCTGTTAAACGTGTTACGCCTCTTTGCAGAATGCTGCTCTCATCTAAGATCTTTACCATCATCCGGCTAGTTTCAACTAGTGTATCAGGCAATTCTGTCCTAGAGTTGTAATGAGTGCCCACGTCCGTGTCTACATATGAAACATTCGACGCCCCGTCCGAACGCCTTGCCGCTCGAATTCCCAAGCTTAAGATACATTGACGACTTCAAGCACCCTTAAGTATGCTTTAAGGTATCTGCTCAAGCCAGATCATTTCGCTTAACGAAAGCTGGCATGTGTCGCACTGTCTCTATCTTGTTCCAACAAGGCAATGAACTTCTTTTTTGCGGTTGCGTAGCCAAATTCGTAAGTACCACCATGAGCCACGATATAGGCGCACACTTCCTTCCACGGAATGTTGAGGCGGGAAACGTCGTCTTCAGTCCGTGTCTGCTTCATTTTGCGGTCGCTTCCCACAAAATGTGCGACGGCCTCCTTCAGAAGCCGACACTAAGCGTGGCAATGTTAGCTTGACTACAGGTAACCAGACAAGACAGCAGATTGGAAACGTACATCCAAAGGCGTCCACTCCGGCTTTCGAACCCGCTGCTTCTTGTCCTTGGTCAGCGTACGATGGCGACCGCGCAATGTCGACTCAGCTTCGGCAAAATCGTATTTTCTCTTGATGTCTTTATATGACATGCCATGCGCTCGACACTCTAGCAAGATTCTATCCCTATCAACGCTATTCATAGGACAGCTCATGGTCATCACTGGTGGCCCTCCGTGCCGGCTCGTTGTACCTTGCATATAGCCCATAGGTGGCCTGTCCCCAACATGCGAGCTTCCAAAAGGAGAGTGCGGCAATGCAAGAGATTGGTCGATTGTATGAATCTGTTCTGTTTGAAGGTTTGAAAGTGAATTGTGATTATCACCGCCTTGGGACCGCAAATGAACCTCATCAATATCCTTGAGGGATGTAGAACCATCAGCCACCCAATGTGCAGTTGAGCGCTCTGTAGTCTGATTCAGATGCCTGTAACTAAACCGAGACTGACCACTTTCGTAGGTGTGGCCTGAAAAGGAGCCTGTAATAGCGGTAGACAGTCTCGAGGTCATGGACCCAGTGTCTTCGGAAGACCAACTCAAGCCATCAGAGCCTAGTAAATGATTTTGTATAATGCCAGCGCTTTGAGAGATTGGTATTGCGTCAGCCGACTCGTGGTGAGTGCTTATCAGCGGCCATGTTGGGTTTTGATGATTATGAAGATCGCTCATACACAGCTCAACGCCCACAGGTGAATTTGCCAATGATCGACTCGATCCGCTCATACTGTACGCTGCTTTTTTATTATATTCCTCGTGATTCATCGACCACGAATTAGGGAATGTATTAAGCGCCATTCCCTGACAGACTTTGGTTTGATCAACCCTTTCGACGCCAAGTAATGTCTCCTCCATTTCATCCTGATACCTGGCCAACTCAGTCTGCTGGCTGACGACGGAAGGCAGTGAGGTCTTGAAGGGAGCATGAGAAGTTGCGTAGGCAGGGGTTTGTGATTGATTCCAGAGAAACGAAATGTCGCTTGGTGAAGGCGTCGGCAGCGCTGAAGTCGCATTTTGCAGTATGTGATCTGGCTGATGCAAGAAGGTCTCCAAGGTGAGTTGAGAAGACTTGTAATTGTAGTAGGGTGGGCAAGCATCGTGAAACTTGTGATATTGCTCATCGGCAGAGAGAGTCGAAAGTGGATCATAGCGCATAATTTTCTGCCTCATCCCTATTGGTTCCATCCTGCCACTCTCAGGAGCCAAATGGCTCTCCCTATCTGAGCTTGGGCTTGATACAAGGGCTTTGGAAAGAGCGGTATGCGGTTACGCGGTGTCGCCCTGCATGTACTGAGGCGGTGAGTAACCCAATGTTTCTAACAAGACATAGTAGCTTAGCTCACCTGGATAAATAGTGCAAGCTCTCTCTGAAGCTTTGATAGGAATTTGAACAAACTCCTTTTGAATTCAATTATCGTAACCACGAGTATTGGCGGTCCTCTTGCAGCTCGCCAAGTGAACTATCACAAAAGCAATAAAACGTGGAGTCAATAATGGTGATTGTCAGAATAGATGAGCTCATAGGACAATCACAAAACCTCCCTTTAAAGCCTTCAGAATGGTACGTGCAGTATTAATCCATATAATGGCTCTTTTGTTGAGCGGAAGCAGGAGTTTGTATCTTCTAGCCGGAGCTTTCTATAGTAGTTGTCGCCTGCCAGCTCGGTCTCAATAATGTTCCTTGTCCAGATGATAGAATCCGTTAAACTAGGCACAGCAAACAAACTTGCCTAAGATCGAAAAAGAACGGTATAGGTTCCAACCACAGCCTCATGCGATGATGCTAACTTAGACAGGTGTGCTAGCGCTTGCTGAACAAGGATGGACTGAGTCAAAGAAGGGACTAGCAAATTGAGGCATTAGCTTGGGAGGCTCTGAGAAGATATTTGTGACGGCTTATCCTCACAGAACTGGGGGTGGGCTCTCTGTCACCGCGCCGCGCTTCGCGAGAGCCAAGCCAGAAACAACGTCAAATATGATGCGTTCTTCCTTCAGGTAATCACTCGTTTGAAAGCCGCGGATGGCTTTTGCGCTCCCGTCATGGCCTGACCTAGGCGTTCTTTCGATGGGCCCGTAACTGAGGAACTGAGTATCAAAGCGTAAGGGTAAAGACAGAGATTATCCTAGCATTCGGAAGGAAAGCACTGACTTTCATGAGACTGAATACATTCTAAATTGCACTACCATCATATGAAAGCTTTGTGTACCAGGTTTTATCCTGCCACATCATTGTGGACTGGTTTTGTTTGTATCAATGCCTTTTCGTCAGGATTGTCTGGAAGAAGTAGACACCTTGAATGACTTTAGCCACGCAACATGAGATCAGCAGTCGCAATCAGCACGCAGAGCCCTCTTGCAGGCATACGGAGAATTTTTCTACACGTTCCAGAAGCACAGACTACAAGCGAAGCTCTTGAGCCTCTTGTACTACAGAGCGGCCATGCGCGCTACACCAGTGAGGAGGGACAATTCCACGGAGAGCACCGCAACAAATATTTTTCGCCACTCGAGCTCAGAAAGTTCAGCGCTATCAGGGAAGTTGCACAAAACAGCCCCGCGTCTTGCATTGCCGGGAGTAGAGATGCAGTTGGCCTCAGCACAGGCAGGAGGCAAAGAAGCCACGGTTTGCTGCATGGAGCATCCGCGATCCCATATCCTGGCGATGCATATACTCCCTGATCACACGCTCTAAACGTGGATCCAATCTTTTGCCGTTTGTCCTGTGCTTGGAAATATTTTGCATCGCGATCCCAACTCCTTGGAATCTAGGCCTTTCGTTGACCGTGGAGAAGAAAACTGGAGACCTTGTGTGCACCCAATAGGCAGCCATCACTCTGGTTGACTCATGGTTGATGTAAACAATCAAATGTGGGCGCGGGATATCTCAGAACAGATCCAGATGATCTGTTCTCCTGGTCTGTCGTCATATTCTCATCGGAGCATTCCTAGCTTTCTGCAATATTGTCGATAAAGTTGTGCGAACCTTCACAAGATCACAGGACCTTTGCATACTAGATAATCCTGCACACGAAATAATTCCAAAACAACTCCATATTTAGACACCGAGCTCTCGGCATGGGTTGTTTCCGCATGCTTATCGCCAACCGACAGAGTGGCCAGTGCTGGTTGGCTTTAGAAGGCGTCTTCAACGTGCCTCTACTCTGTCCTTTGTCCTCTTTGATGGCGCCGTCAGCCCCAGCGTCGTTGTCGCCATAGAGATGGCCAAGATTACGCACGGCACAGTCCATGGGTGAACAGAAACGCATACCCGAGGCTCCACTCTTGCTCCGGTAATCGAGCAGAAGTCATATTCCTTTGATTTGAGACTCGTTGGAATATTAAAAATTAAAAGCTGAAATCGCTTCTCTTTCATGTCTTTTGATTCTTATCACGCGTGTTCATTTGACTAGAAGATGAGCTTGAATCCAAACTGATGTATACTACTGGAACTGAAATCAAACCTAATTGAGGCTTCGAAAACCGTATTGAATCTTCCGTCTACTGCTCTCCCGGGATGTGGAACTGGGCATAAGCAGGTTTTTGAGATGAGCAACCAAAGATATTCGCCCTTAAGCAACGCTTTGTCCTTGTAATATCTCTTGAATATTCCATTTCGATCTATCGAATGACAATAATTCGTGCTCCTTGAAGCCAGACCACTACGCGGCCTTGATGAGACTTCTAGAAGTTAGGAAGGCTGTTCTAACCCAAGCAAGGATACAGTTCCAACTTCGGTGGCGTTACTGTAAAAACCCCTGGAAAACATCGTGGATTATCTCTGGGGTCAGGACACGATCGTTGTGTAACATGTTCGCAAAAGATCAGAGCCATTTTTTGTAACATCGTTGTACGACAGCAGCATAAGATCTTGAAATGCTGAACGTACAACAGCACTGAAAAGGATATGATGACAGTCAAACTGAAGCAGATGAGCTAAAAGAAATTCAACTTTCCTAGGATTCGTGCAGCGGACAAATGGCATGGCTTCGTTCAACAAAGCCTCGCAAAATGTTTTCGTAATCCATCTAGTATCCTTGTTGAATCTGGAAGTGAGCGATCACATCGAATCCTAACCCGATGTCCCCACTCATTGAAATTCACAGAATGAGCTCTACGTCCATCACTGCATCTGTACGCGTTCTACCCCATGACTGGGTTTTCTATGTTCCAATCGATAGCGACAACCCAGCCCATCTGATCTAGCACCACATCCCATGTGGGTCGCTTAATAGCGATAACAGATCCTTCAACTATAGTTTCACTTAATCCCTTCTTCTTCCCCGCGCACGGAAGCATTAGTTTAACTTCCTTTTGCTCTTCCGTGACGCCCTTCACAAGTGTCATATGACGGCGGGGTTTATCCGTGCTTTCAACTATGCGCACGCGCCAAATCTCCTCCCCTCGCAACGAGCGCCTGGCATGCGTGGACAGCTGCGACGCATCCAAGATCCACTGACGTACCGCGGATGCCATTCCTCCGGACATGAATTTCTGGCCTCGCCTGTGAGGAGAAAATGCTTCTGGGAGTGGCTCTATAGGCTCTGGGTTAGTCGGCGAAGCAAGCTTTAGAAAGGCAGGCCGACGGGGGAGTGGTGATGGAGGCGACGCGTCTTTGATCTGTGGAGCTGGCAGTGGTGCGTCTAGATATGGAGGTGGGTGTGGCAATTTGCTTGACTTGTTCAAACTGGCCTCGTTTTCTTCACGATCTATTGGGACATCCTCGTCATCAGCTTCTATGTGAAGAGGCGTGAGCGCCTCCGAGATGAAGCGTCGCGGTGTTGCGAACTGTGCTCCTTCATCTTCGAGTCGCGGTCTTTTCGTTGCGGGCGAACGTGCAAAACTGAACCGTGGTGCGGTTGCAAATTGCGGCATCTGCGTTGCGGACACAGGTGCAACAGCCGCTTTGGTTACGAACTTTGGCGCTCGTCTTTCCAGACCAGGGCCGGATGCCCTTAGCGGGTGTATCCTTGCTTTTGGCTTCGACGCATCATCTGATTTTGACATCTCGGCCCTCTGCTGTGCTTTTGCTAGGAAGCGATGTGGTGATGGGGTCTGTTGTTTCGTTAGACACGACGCCGTTGCCAGGGCTAATCCTCAACTTACTGCAGGAGACGACTGTTGTTGTGGCATCTTGCACACTCCGCTCTGTAAAGGGGGCATATACGCTAGATTGAGAAAGAGTATCAAGTTGCTGCGAAAGAGCTCCTCTCGGCTTGCATTTGGTCGTACATGATCAACATTCAAGATGCCCGTTTTTATGTACTTCGGCACAGTCTTTGGTTTCGCCGCACGAATGTTGAATTAAATTTACGCAAATTCAACGAGCAGGCAAATGCATCAATGCTTATCGAGACGCAGTGGGATCGGAGCTTGCTCTGTTTGATGGTGTTGTTGCTGCTCCACAGCATCGCAGGCAAAAATATGGGGATCTCTCAGGCATGCAAGGCTCAACCTTGGATCGCGGTGGCCCGATCTGGTAAGCGGGGCCAAGCATTCGCCCGGGGAAGGGGCTCTCACGAATGAAAGAAGGCGCGAGCAACACGCCATTCAAGTTCAAGTATAAGCTCGCAGGTGCTAGACGTTTCATGACGTACAACAGGAGCTGAATCAAGCTTGCAACCAATGCCCGGGTCCACAATTGTGCGTGATTCCAGCCTTTTGCAAAAAGCGGGTGGCAGTTCCAGTGGCTGGCGGCTGAAAGCTTGGACGTCGCTTAGGCTCTAGGGTCTGTCAACAAAAGCTCCAAACAATCCTCCGCCAACCTTTATTCCACCAGCGCCGGGACGACTAAGGCTGTGAGGTACTCTTTTGACCATGGATTGACAGTCTATGAATTGCAACAACCTGCTTTCTGACGCTCATTTCTCACACTTTATTTGGATGTTTGATCCCTCATCTGCAGAGCAAGGCTGACGTTCAAACACTGCCTCACTCCAAGTGCTCCACCAAACCTTGGCTTATGAGAGTTGCGCGTTCAACGGCAGCGACCTTTGCGTGCCCCTCCCCTCATTAAAGCTCTTTACCAGAGATATTATTCGCTCTTTCACACTCATTGATATACCTCAAGGTTCGAGGCGGCCGTCTCGGAGCTCTTAGGAAAAATGCCACCGAAGCTCACTAAAGGCAGCAGCATGCATGCTGCTGGCATCTATGCCGACATGTCTGTGGATGGACCGGAAATCGGGACACTCGTAGTCATTGTGGACAGGGCGAAAAACCTTCCAAATCGTAAATCAATGGGAAAGCAGGATCCGTACTGCAATTGCAGGCTCGCAAAGGAAGCGAAAAAGACGAAGACCGATAAGAGAGGAGGACAGGTTCCTAGGTGGTAAGTTGCTTCCGTAACACGAACTTCTTTGGCAGCGGGCAACTGAGTCATTCTGTAGGGATGAAGAAATGCGATTTACTGTCCGCGATTCTCCAGATTACTATCAGCTCAAGGTCTCCATCTTCAACGATGACAAGAAGACAGAATTAATCGGTGAGGCGTGGGTTGATTTGCACGATGTGATCAAACCCGGTGGAGGACAAAGTGACCCATGGCAGCATCTACAATGTAAGGGCAAATATGCTGGCGAGGTCAAGCTCGAAATGACGTATTACGACTCGAGACCGAAGCCCGAGAAACCAGCGGAGGAGATGGTCATAGACAACGTACGAGACGCAACAGGATCGATCAATGGCTCAAGGCATAACACACCTGTGAAGAGAAGGCCACTGCCCACAGATCCCATAAGCCAAAGTGGCTCGCCAGCAGAGCCTAACCGACCATCGTCCTCCGCTTGTGGCCCAAGGGAACTCGGTACACCCTCGCGAGCATTGCCACAGACGCAAGGTCGATCAGCCGGAAATACTCCAAGCAGCAACAGGAGAACAGCACATAGCAACAGCCAACCACAACCTGTGGAACGGAAGCCAGTCTCTCAGCATCAGTACTTCCCAGAGACGCTGGATGACCCATTTGTCCAAGAGCCACATTATGCGCCATCCCACCATGAAGTTTACAGCTCTTATGGCGGATATGATCCAAAGCCAGCAACACATGCCCCTCAGCAGGACTATCCGTATCAAGATAACCCTGTTACAGGACTTCCGGAACTTCCGCCAATGACTAACCATCGTCGACGAGGCTCGAGTCGGCCACAACAGGATCCATATCAGAGTGAGTACAGTCATCCCACGCCGCCAATGCAACCTGAGCTGCAGCACGCACATTCAGCGCCTCAGGTTGTTGGTAACGCACCGTACCCGGAGGACATGCGCGACCCAAGGAGCACATTTCAGCACACGCAGTCTGATAATTATATGAATCAAGGCCAAACAGCTCGGCCTAAATACGATGATCCGTACCAACAGCTTCACGATCCTTACCCACAACAGTCCCATGAGAGGGATGCTGGTTCGAGTTACCAATACCAGAACCAGTCCGTGGCTGCTTCAACTGCGCCAATTCACGAAGGCTACAACCAGATCCCACCGACAAGCGTATATAGGCGGCATTCGAACCAGTATGACCATCCGTCATCGAACGACTATCAAATGGATGCCCCTCCACCTCCGCCTCCAGCGCACCGAGACAGCGCTCCAAATTCGGCTAGGCGGGAGTCATACTCAACTTTTGCACCGCCGCCTCTGAATGTTACTCCCATTCGACGATCCCCATCACCTTTGCCATATCAAGAGCCAGAGCAATATTCGAATTCTAGACCCTATGAGTCGTCAGAGTATTCCGGACGAAGAAATACCGCGCCTTCAGAGACATCACCTCACGATCCACACATGATGTATCGTCCACGAGCGTTGTCTGGTGAGGCCATGAGAGGCGTGAATATATCAGCGTCGAGGGAGGAGCAGTACGCTCTGCCACCAAGCCATCCCGAATACAACAGTCCAACAACGGGCACTCCATCAGGACCGCCGAAGTCTCAATCTACGCAGACGATGCGTCGTGAATCGTATCAGTCTCCGTACCATCCGGCACAACGAAGCCCCTTGGCAGTTGAGTCCCCTCGTTCCTTCCGTGATGACAGGTCGTCTTTGCCATCTCAGGCGAATACGCCCAGCAAGGGAAGTGATTTGTTCCAGCAGCCTTTGCCAGCAAGAGTGCAACCGACAACTACACGGCCGTACTCAAGTCACCACTATTCGTCAAGCGAACCTTATGTGCCACAAAATAGTTACCAAACGCCACCTCGACAGCATCCGCTCTCTCAGCAAGTTCCAGCAAGCACCTCGCCAAGCTCGTACCATCATCCAACACCTCCGCAAGACCAGGTTCCTATACTGAAGCCTATCCCCCTCTGTGGCCATGCTACACCGTCTTCAGATCCACGACAATCGCGAAACGTGAATAGAACTACACCCACAACGCGCAAGTCGGTATCCCCTCGGGCACCATTATCAGTAGAGAGGCCCTCAAGCACCTATTTCGATCCAGAATCCTTCAATCGTTTTAATCCTGCGGCATCATCATCTACGTCATCGCTACTAAACCATCCAGCCACGAGCAGCCATGGCAGTACTCCTGCAAAGGATACACCATATACAAGAGACGGCAAGATTGTTGATTTCCACGGGAACCATATTGATCCATCAGATAGGCTTCCCGAAGCAAGCTGGGCTCCAGAACCAGAGCCAAAGGGCAATCCAAAAGAGAAGCCGTACCGTGAACGAGAACGACTCAGCGGAGCACGCGACCTAAACGTCACTTTAGTTAACAAGACGAGTCCGCACGTAAACAAAGTAAACGGCAACGAGAGTCCGACACCCGTGGCAACCGGCGGTGGAAACGGGGTCATCAGAGCGCGGCTAAAGAAAAAGGAGCGACCTTCGAGTGCGGTTGTAATGAACAATGCGAGCCATGACCGTCCTTTCAGAGATATACCAAATCCACCTGGCGCTTCTCCGAATGAATACTCTCCTTCATCACATTGGAATGATCTGGTGAACACTTCGAAGGCGAGCCCCAGCCATTACGCCAATGGGAGTCCGGGTAATTATGGCGAGGATAGATACTACAATTCAGGGGCCACAGGAAGAGCACCACCAATTCCCGCCAAGATTCCATTACCAAGTGAGAGCTACGGAGGATACAGCAACGACGATATGGATGCCCTGAGCCGCGAGATTAGCGGGATCGACATCGGACCTGGGAGTGGACGAGCGAGACTGGCGCGTGGTAGATTACTGGGATACGGGAACTGATAGGTTATGATCTGAATTTTTCCTTACGTGTTAAGATGTATTCTTTTACTTCCTTGGCGCAGTGCACAAGTGTGTCCGGTTTTTTTGACAGGGAGTTTTGGTACGGGGGAAGATATACAGGATTACACGCGGGAGGATAATCTGTGATCGCCGTCTATGACTTTGCGTCGGGCCGCGTCCTCTATTTTCCATTATACATATTCATTCCTACCGCCTAATACCGTTCGTAAAGAGGATGTACGTATATATACGGGTGATGAATAGAATTTGAAGAGCATCAAATCGCACTTCTGGTCCTATGTTTGACCACTTATCCTTTTTGTCTCCATCACGCCAAAGGAATGCCTCAGCGCACGTTTCGTGGCTTCGGCGCGCTCTCGTTGCTTAGCTGCCCAGCCGGACGGACGGTCTCAGCGCCTTGGCGCACATTCGCCCTCACGTCGTCGTCTCCACCTCGCTCGCTGGCGTTCAGCCTCTCCTTGTCCTCGGGTCCTCCAACGCCCTCGAAGTCGCGCGCCTTGTACGGCTTCCCCGTGCGCGGATCCAGGTCGCCGCCCTCGCTGAGCGGGATCTCGCGGTTGTCTCCCGCCCCGGACGCGGCGCTGCCGTAGATCACGTCTGCGCCGGGGAAGCGCCGGGTGGCGGACTCGTCGACGCCGGACTCCAGCGCTGGTGCGGAAGAAAACCCACGTTAGCGACTTTTCCCTTGCGGCGTGCGGGAAGCTGAGTCCCATGTTGGGGCCCACTGCGGGGAAGAAAAGAGGCGCGGTCGGTGTAACTGCTGCGAAATGTGTGCCGGGAGGGTGGTTTGGGAGAGAAAGGGGGAGAAGGGGAAGGGGGGGCTGTTGTCGTTGGAGACGGGAAAGAAGTCCTTTGAGAGGGGAAAAAAAAAAAAAAAAAAGCTCACTCGAATCGCTTGCTGCCCGGCTTCCCACTTTTGCGTCGTAGCTGTTCAGGTCTCTCTCTGCCTCGGCGGCAATGTCAAGGTTGGATTTGCCCCGGTACTCAGCGGACATCTTGGGTGAACGGCTTCGAAAGTGATGTATCTTTACAATTTTTCCTTTATATATATATATATATATATATAGTCTCTTAACTCGCTTGCAAAAAAGAGAAGGAGAGACAAAAAAAGCCTGGGGGATTGAAGAGGTGCTCGTGGAGTGGCGAGGAAAATATATATATACATACATATATATATATATCTTTGTTCTTTGTCTCGGCACGCTCCAGAGCAGACGCTCCTTTTTAAAGTAGCGGTCGCGCCTTGTCGAAGGGCGACGAGATCGCGATCGACCAGGTGAATGGTATCAGTATGATGTAAATGATATGGATAAGGGGGGAGGTGAGGAGCGAGAAATACAACCCACCGCCGGTCCTCCGCGCGAGGCTCCACAGCACGAAGACAAGCGGTGCGAAACGTGAGGGCAAGGCCGGGGCCGAACGGTATATATTTTGATTTGCGCATCATCTTTTTCTTTCTTTCTTTCTTTCTTTCTTCTTTCTTTCTTCTTTCATTTTTGGACATGGTTGCGAATGTCGAGCTCGCCGGCGGCGTTGGCGAGGGGAAGAAGACAAAATCTGCTCCTGTCAGCCTAAGGTTGGGAAGCATCGAGCTTTGTGCTGCGACTGTGAGAATTGACACGCTGGAAAGTGTTGACGGATGCGACTTCGGTTGCTGCTAGGAGCCGGGCTGAAGGGGCGAGCGGGAACGGAAGAGAGCGTCCTTTCTTGAGGCGAGAGAATGACAAGCGGTTTCCTTGTGTCTGGGGGAGCCAGATACAGTAACGAACGAAATACGAATTTTGTTCTTTTTGGAGAATAAGCCCAGTAATACGCATATGCCACATTCGCATTCTTTCATTGCGCTTCGTTTTCTTTTGTCATCATACATCCAGTAAACTCTATCCAAAGGATATCACGAAAAAAAAAACCGTTTTAGTACCTCCTGCATGCGGGAACATCCACCTCTCCCGCGAATGCGGAGACGCGTTTATCTTGCATAGCCCATGCCGTCGGCACCCATGGCCAAGTCGCCCTCGAGGCCGGCATACGCGCCGGCATTTGTTTCCTGGGGCCTTGGGTACTCTTGGGTCGATCTGTCGTAGTTTTCAGGCACGGGCACCTGCGGAGCCTGGGGCATGGCCGGGTTGACCTGCTGCGAAGGCTGCACGCGGACCAGATGCCTGAATCTCTGCACTTCGTTCAGGATCATGCGCTTCATCTCCTGGATGTCGTCGACGACTTCGAAGTGGAAGTCAAAGGGCGTCGGGCATACAGGCTCGTCGCTTGCGTCATGCCAGATTTGCAAATACCTGTGCTCGAGCGCATCCTCGACGGAGATACGGCTGGACGGGTCGAAGGCGAGCATGCGATCGAGGAGGTCGAGGGCGTCGGGGTTAGCGTTCCGGAAGAGCGATTGGAACGAGACCTTCTGCATATACGGCAAGTTGCGAACATACTCCTGCGCACGAGGTGAGCCAATACGAGAAAGGGTCTCTTCGTTTGGCGTTCCAAGGTAATGCAGGATCTGGTTGAGCTGGTCGACGTAGTCGCGTCCCTTGAAGAATGGTTTGCCGCCCAGAAGTTCGGCGAGGATGCAGCCTACCGACCATACGTCGACTGCGTCCACTCGTCAGCGCACCACACCACCCCTCACACGTACGACTCTTTGATCAAATCGAACCCGACTGGTGCAATGGGGGACCACCTACTAGCTTTGGTGTAACTCTGGAAGCTCAACATGATCTCGGGAGCTCTGTACCATCTCGTTGCCACGTACTCGGTCATGTATCCCGCATTCTCGTCCGGGTCTATCGAGAAGCCCCTTGCAAGACCAAAGTCGGCGATCTTGAGCTCGCAGTCGGCGTTGACGAGCAAGTTACCCGGCTTGAGATCACGATGCAGCACGTTTGCGCTGTGAATGTACTTGAGACCGCAGAGAATCTGGTAGATGAAAGATTGGAAGTGGGCGTCAGTCAGCGGTTGGCCGGAGCGGATGATGGCCGCCAGATCGCATTCCATCAGTTCTGCGTCGTGTTAGGTGCTTGACGGGTCAGACAGGTGGGGCAAAGGATGCGTGCCTTCGTACAGATAGCACTCGTTGAATGACTCCGGACGCGGAATGTCCATGTCGTACAGACATGTTATCTGTTGACCATTTGTGTCAGCTTTTCCTTCCTCCTCGATCGACGGCGTCCTTGCGACGCGTCCAGCGGACGTACGTTTCGATGGCCTGACTTGGCGGTTAGCGGGAGGGCTGGCACGAAGTCGGACATCTTTGCCGCGTACCTCTAAAGTGCTGAAGAAGCTTGATCTCTCGCAACGCTCGCTTGGCGAGGATCTTCTTGCTGAAGACGTTGGTGATCTTCTTGATCGCGACGCCTTCGCCGGTGGTGTTGTTCTGCGCGGCGCTGCAAATGCGGTCTTAGTCCAGCTCCCAACGTACAGACCAGCGTGAAAAGCAGTACCAGACAATACCGTAAGCTCCCTGTCCTAGCTCCTTGGTGACATTGTAGCGCTGCGCGTGTGGTCAGCGTCCCACCCATTGCATTTCGCACCACCGGGTGCACGATTGCGGCGGCTACGGTACGAACATCGTCGACCACGAACTCCTGGTTGAACACCTTGAACACTTTCCGTCCTTGCAAATCGCCCATCCTGATCCTTGAGCGGCTGTTCGTATTTCGGGCGGAGAATTTGCCGTGCGCTGGCAGACGAAAAGGATCGCACCTGTAGGCGAAAATGACGGGCGGGACGCTTTTTGGTGGGGTAAAACGCTGAGCTGGGGGCGGGTGGTGCTGACCGGTCAAAAAGAGGCCTGGACGCAAAACGAAGACGAAGAATGTGAGAAGAAGACGGCGAAACGAGCGAGAGAATGGGCGTGTGCAAAGAGGGCGGAATCGAGCTTCACGTGAAGTCTTGCGCTCCCGTCCGTTTCGTCCTTGTTGTAAGAAATGATGGCCGCGTGTGGTGGACGTGAGAGAGAGAGAGAAAAACGGGTTGCGTCTTATGTTTTGTCACAGGCGCAACGCTCCGCTTGCGCTGTTGCGCAACGAGGGGCCGCTTCTTTGGCCAAACGTTGCTCGGCGCTTGTGGCTCGACGAATGATGGAGCCGCTGTCGGTTGCTCCGGCCTGCTGGCTCGCTGGGCGTTGCTGTCGAGGAGCGGATGGGCTCGACTGCTGTCTTGTTTCAGCGGCTCGATCGAACGAAGGGGAGAAAGGCCCGCACGCCAGAGTCCGTCCAAGGACGCCGTCCTGTATCCGCCCGCGTCGGCCGACCCGAACCGTCGTGCTGCCAAAGGTCCTGAATCGCAGTGCCCGCGCTGTGAGCATCGTGCTGATGCGGCTGACGTGCCCCAGACCAGCTTGCCGTGGTACGTCTGCCTTACCCGAACCCCAAGGTCGACGCATAAGCACTGCACCGCTCGCTCTGGCGGTAAGGCGAAAGAACGTGCAGTAGCTTGGACGGGGTCTGGCTTGTGGCTACAAGGCCGGAAGACCTGCTTGAACATGCGTCGAACGGTGAATCAGCAGCATACGTCCTGCGTGGCCTTGTGCTTTTGACCGCCTGGCCTGGCCTGTCGATGTGGTGAGCGTCTCCATTTCTGCTCGTCCCACGTTGCGGCGGGCGAGGCGTCGTCCTTCTCGACGAGCGCCACATCCGACGCCGAGATACAGATGCAACTCGTGCATTTCTGATGATCGGTATGTGGGAGGTTATTTTTTTTCCATTACGCTAGCTTCTATCCGCGCCGCTTGACGCTATCGTCTTTCGACAAGCAGGCTATACCTGGTTCAAATGCTACCTTTCCATCCCAAGAGCCTCTGGGGCCGGGGGTTTGGCCCGCCATGACCTGTACATGTTCACGCACCCACCGAGGCGTCGATGCGAGGGCCGGCTGGAACAGCCCGTGAGATACGAGGCATCGATGCGGCCTTGCACGTCGCAGTCGCCAGAGCGTTGTTGTGCGTGCACTTTCCAGTCCGCCCTTCAAGTGCAGAAATCAAAAACCAAGACTACACATGGTCCATGCCGTGTATTAAAAGGCAAAAAAAAGAAAATTTTTGATACATCATAGCACTAGGGTATAATCAAGATATCCGTCCATCCCATCCTTCAGCAGGCCGTTGCGTAGATTAGTGTGTGTTTCCCGTGTGGAAACCGCTCCCAAATAAAAGAAAAAAAAACTTCCTTAACTATGCCATTCGTTCAAGGATCTTCGTACGAGAACCGCTTTCGAGTCCCGGAGTCGGGGTCGGTCGAGCCGTTGGTGCTGCTGCCGTTTGCAGTCGTAGGCGTCAACGGGGCCATGTTGGTGAACATCATAGTGTGTCCATCGCTACCCAGAGGGCTCACAAGCTGCGTGCCGTTCTCCAAGGGACCGAGCTCTATGATCTCGCCGGGGTTCAGCATGCGATTCGCACGACTGCTGATAGAGCTCGGTAGTGTGCCTGTCGCGACAGTGCTGGCGGGACTCCTGTCGCTGCTGTTTGGCGTGATGGGTGATATGCCGGGATCTGTACCGTTGATCCGCTCTTCACGATGACGCATGACTTCCTTCTCTGTATAGGCGCGCCCGTCGGCTTCCTGTCTGGTAGGCATGTCTCCGGGCATCTCGAACACTTCGCGTTCCTTGCTGTCCGACTCGTGTACGAGTGCTACGTGTGACGAGGTGGCAGAGCTTGCAAGGCCAGGCTTGTAATATTCGGTGTCTAATTCAGTGCGCGCCGGCGTTGAGGCGTCCAATTCTGCTTTCGGGTAGACGGTGGGCCCAGCGATAGGATCGGCGGCCGCGGCGCCGTCGTCGTCCTTGGAATTGGTGGAATCGACCGTCTTGGGCGTCACCTTCTCCGCGCCCTTTGCGTTCTTGGCCGCCTGCGAAGATTTATGCTTCAAGTAAAGAAGCACGCCGACGATCGAGGCTAGGATGATGACGACACCGCCGACGGCAATGCCCGCAATGGCGCCAATCCTCAAGGGTGAGACTTGGCTCGAAGCGCCGCTACCGGTCGGAGACGCTCCGTTTCCGTCATTTGCCTTTGTATCGTTGTAGGACGAGATGGCGACAATGTTCTGCGACGTTGGCCCGCCATTCGCCCAGTTGCACGCAGCAACAGAGAAGTTTGAGCGTTCCCAATCGACGGTCAGATAGGCTTCTTGCAAGAACGTCCTGCCGAGAGTGTACTGCGAGTCGTTTGCTGCCCGTCGCAGGGGGAAGTACCTTGACTCGTTGGCAATGCTCTGGTATGGTGGCTTCGCAATCTGGTCAAAGGCAGCATAGGGTAACGTGATGTTTACAGTGCCGGCTTTGGCGGCTTCCAGCGTGTATGGAGCAACGGTGATGGTGATGTTCGGATTCGAGACCAACATGGCGTTATGCTCCGCCTCCGATAGCAGGTAGAGCTGCGTGGTCTCATCGTACGTCAGGTTGAAGGCCTTCTCAAACTGCTGACAAGCTTCAACTGGCAGCCAAATCTCGGCGATGGTGGAGTCGATGTACGAATAGATCGAATTGGGCAGGAGTGAAGTCTGCGTGCCAGACGTGTCGACGGAACTGATGCTCGTCACGGAAACGAGAATATCGCGTTCATTGTCGGTGCCGAAGGGGAAGGAAATACCGTTTGGGATGAAGCGATCGCTGTCGTACCCTCCAAGCGTGAGACTGCTGTACACCTTCGCAAAGCCTATGGACGGAGAAGATGCAATTAGTACGTGATACAGCCGTCATTTGTATTTGTTTTCGTGAGGCAACTCACGGTAGGGAGCTCCTGCGGTGTAACCCCACGACACACTGGGAATCAGTCCCGCCTTTTTCAGATCGGTAAGATAGCTGGGTGACTCGTCCACGAAATTGGTGAAGTTGGTCGGCTTTGGATTGATGCCAAAGTGGCCAAAGTAAAACGCATCGGTGGCGAGAACACCGACGGTTTGGTTCTTGAGCGTGGGGCCTCCTTCGCCCGGGTATCCCAACGTGACGGTGTCGTAGCCGTAGTTTGCGTTGCCGTACAGGCCCAAGTTCTTCTCAATCCACAGCTCGTACAGTCCGATCGTATCCCAGGTCGTTGACTGCGACATGTTGAACGTGTCTCCTCGCGAGCTCGCGCACGTAGAAAACGAGCTGGCATCGGACGGGCATCCGCGAGGATCAATGACCCATTGTTGCTGGCTTGCGGTTGAGATCATGACGCGCACTGCCTGAGCGGGCGTGCCGACCTGGAGGGCGAAGGTGTTCCATGTCCCGTCGATGCCCTCCCAGTTCTGGGCAGGAGAGAAGGAAATGGGAGCAGGCACGGTCGTTGCGCGCGGGCGAAGACGGCCGGGAAGACAGGACGACGACGGGGTCAACGCCAGGAGGGACAAGGCAAGCCAGCAGAGGGAATCCGCGCGGCGTGCGAGTGGGAGCATGGCGGCGGATGCGCATGACCAGGAGGCCAATTGAGCAAATCAACGAGTGTGAGACAAAGCTGGCTATGTCATGGCTGGCAAAGATGCAGGCTGGAGCGACAGGCAGGAGGCGTCGACGATCTCCAAGGACGCAGGACGAAGGACGAAGAACAGGCAGCGCAGCGGGCGAGGGACGAGAGTAGGCGAGCACGACGGGGAACGAGGGCGCGGACGGGGGAGCCAACGTCTGAGAGTGCCCAGACGAGCGACGGGCGCGCTGCGAACGGCGGGGGGCGCGGGCTGGCGGGGGAGTCCAGCGCGGGAGAGAGCCGGAACAGGCGGGTGCAGCGCGGGAGCTTGCTGGCGATTCGCGTGGCCAGCGAAATTGCGACCCGAGGCCAGAGGCTGCAAACAGGCGCTGGCCACGGCGACGAGCACGGGGACCACAGCACGGACAAGCCACGTAGCGATCGGAGTCGTCGCAGCCATGGCAGCAGCAGCGGCAGCGGCAGCAGCACCAGCTCCAGCACCAGCACCAGCACCAGCTCCAGCACCAGCACTGCTCCTTCGGATCCGCACGGCCGTATCTGGCCTGGCAATGCGCCACCGATGCTCCCCGTGCTGCTTTCGGGCTGGAAGGCGCAGTTGTGCAACGCGTTCTGCGGAAAACGCACAGCGACCGCGGCTCAACAGCGCCGTTGGTGACAACTCGCACGACGACAACCACCACCACCACCACCGCCAGAGTCTCCTCATTTCGATCCGCACGGCTTTCGCCAAAGGAGACGTCCGCGACCCGCGGCCAGGAACGACATGTGTGGCCCTCGTTTCCGGGCAGGATCGCCAGCGCTCGACGGTCTGGACCGCTGCTGGGCGCGCAAGCCTGGCCTCCAGCCTTTTGCGAGTCTCTGCGTGCGCGCGATTTCTGCACGTTCAGGACGCATGCCCTGATCGAGCCCGACGGCTTCCCAGGCCAGACAGCAGTTGGTCCACGGTGTTTCAAGCCCAGCGGGTGGAGACCCAGCCGAGCTTGGGCTCCGGGTGGAACAAGCCGTTGCACGACAATGACTGGCGCACGGCGGCGCTGGCCCGCGCTGCATCGGACGGGGCTTGGGCTCGAGGCACGCCCGGCATGCGCCTTATCCTTGCGTGTGCCTCCCTGCTTGCCGCACCGCAGTCCTGATTGGGGCCTGCGTCAAACTCCCAATAATTGCGACTCCGATCGTCTCTCGTGCATCAGTGGATGATTAAGATTTGCCTGGTGATCCTTACCGCTGGCCGTCCTGTTCTTTTCGAGCTCCAACGACGTCCTCGTGAAATCCTCATGCCGTGCAATCATCTCAGGGCTTCGCAGTCTCATCCGCCACAGGGCTCGGTTCGACGCTCTTAAGCCTTCGCCTTCGCTCCCGCCTTTGCCTCGATGACCTCTGCGCGCTCGTTATAGCAGGGCATTACACTCATAATGCGTCTGTCGCTCGCTTCTTTCCTCGCGGCCTCGGGGACCTTGGTGCTGTGTGTCGAAGCCGCAGATCCCACTCGTTCTTTGCAATGGCAGCGTCGCGGACAGTGGTATCGAAGAGATGGATCCGGTACGTGCTCGCCGTCTTCTCGGACTCGCCCGCCGTCTCCGTGGAGCTCTCGAGAGCGCATAGCGGATAAACACTGATCTTGACCCCTCCAGATTCTAATGCCACCCAGCCGTTGGCCGCACCGCTATCCCCAGATGCAGGAGCCTCCAGCTCCAGCAGCACATCAACTCCCGCATCCATCTCGTCGGCCCCTCCCTTTCCACCACCGACGCCGTCTGGTTCGTCGTGGCCCGCTTCGCTGCGTACGGGCGCACCCGTCTCAGCGGGCAACAATGTCTTATCCAGTCCAGTAGCTGACCAGAAGTCCTCCTCAGCAAGTCCCATGCCGCTCAACCTTCCGAACAAGAACCCCGTCGCGAGTAACACATCAAACTCGAGCCTTGCAGCGGACGTTCAGCTTCCTTCTGGCAGCGGGTCTCCTAGCCCGTCAACGAATGCATCCTCAATCGTCCTCGCGGACAACAGCACTGTGACTCCACCCTTCCCGCTGCTGAACTCGACGAAGTTGGGTTTCAACGCCACCGGATCCGCGAACGGTTCCAGTTGTGGCGGATGCGTGGTGAACGCCCAAGGCTTCGTCGACTGGTGGTTCCCATCCAATATCTTCCTCGACATTGCCTCTATTTCAACGATCACGTTGAATGGAACAGCGTCCTACACTGCGGTTCCGTTGTCAACGTGGACGAACCTCAACGACCAGCTCACGCAAGATACATTCATTTACACAGAGTACTTGGACCCAGTTGCGAGCACAACCGTGGAGGACTACATCTTTACCACACTACCCCCTCCAATCGCAGCATCGACATCGGTAACGACCATCAGCGACGTCAATCCGCTACCGAACGGCACCTTTGGTAGCTCTCAGCTCAACATGATCAACGCCGTTCCAAGTACCCCGTCCATTGTGGTCGACCCTGCCATTCCAACGCCCATCTCCGCGACTCAGGTTGACAACATCGCCTGGTACACGGCTTATGAGGTTGAGTTTGATCAGTCTACAACTGACGACTCTGGCGCTCCTGTTTGCCAGCGGTCAACCTCGACGTACACCCTGGACGAGCCTTACGCCTACACGCTTGATCCATCAATCACGTTTGGTGACTCACTCGTGGCTACAGGCCCCGTCGATCAGTCTTTCTTGAATTACATCCCGTATGCGTCCTGCACGACGGGTTCATGGACTGCTTCACCGACTGTGGTTGTAGTCGTCGAGGTTGCCGTCCAACGTGGTTTCAACGTCTTCCTCGTTCATCACGAGGTTAGCGATCCTGGAACCCTCGACACCCCGACTGTTACAAGTGATGGTGGCGCTGCCGCCGCGACGAGTAACGGTGCCAGTGTGGTGTCTGCCGTTGCCACCGTAAATGGCAATACAGTCACCTTCCAGGCAACCGTCACTGGGAATCCTGCTTCGGTGACACTTCCTGTGGGCGGCTCATCTGTTGTTGCCAGCGTCGTCGGTGGTGGTTCTAGCAATAATAACAATAACGGAGGCGGCAGCGGCGGCGGCGGTATTGCCTCTGCCATCATAAGCGCTCTAGGTGGCGGGAACAGCAATGGCGGAAATAGCAATTCTGGCTCGGGCTCGGGCTCGGTAAATGGCGTCGGGTTTGCCAACTCGGCCTCCCCTTCAAGTGCTGGCTCCGGCGGCGTCCCCGTCATCACGGTGGTAAGTTTTGTTCCTCCCCTTGTTGTAGAAGTAGTTGCTGACGAACAGCAGGGTGGCCAAACCTTCGTCGGTAACCAGGCAACTGAATTCAGCCTTGCCCCCGGCGCTACGCTCACACCTGGCGGCGTGGCCACAATTGGAGCGAACACGGTGAGCCTAGCCTCGAATGCGCAATCGATCGTTGTCAATGGCGTCACTTCGCAACTCGTGCCGGGCTCCCCACCGGCACCAACAGCAATCACTTTCCAAGGTCAGACAATCACAGAAAACTCTCAGGGAGCCTTTGTGATCTCGGGTTCTTCCTTGGTCGCAGGCGGGCAAGCAATCACAGTCGGTTCGAATACAGTTTCGCTGAATGCCAATGGTCAAACATTGACCGTCAACGGTATCGCAATCACGGCTCCTGCTGCGTTGCCTACCGCTCCCACCATCCAGATCGACGGCACCACCTTCCAAGCCCAGGGTGGTGGTGAATCCTTCGTGCTTGGCGGCCAAACACTCGTGCCAGGAGGTCAGGTCGTCTCTGCAGGTACGACGATCTCGCTAGCTAGCGATGGAAGCGTGGTATTTGTGAATGGCGTTGCGCAGCCAGTTGCGGCTATTGTGGGAAATCCAACCGTCGATATCGGGGGCACAAAATACACCGAACTTCAGGGAGGATACTTCGTGCTCCAGGGCACAACACTGCGACCGGGGCAGACTTCGGTCATCGCGGGGACGACGATCGCCTTCGGCTCAGATGGTTCCTACGTCGTCGTGAATGGAGCAACCTCAAAACTCAGTCTCAATTCCGTCCCAGTACTTGTCATTGGCGGCACTACGTATGCTGCCACTTCAGGGATTGGATATGTTATCGGCGGCCAAACACTGCGCCCCGGATCAGTCATAACAGCGAATGGCCATACCATCAGCCTGTCTCCAAATGGACTGACGATGGTTGTCGATGGTTTAACGACAGTCTTGAATACACCCATCACCACAAACCCACCCTTGATCGTCTTCAACGGCAAGACGTACACGGCGAACTCGGGGACAACCTACAACATTGATGGCCACATTTTGACCCCGGGAGGATGCATACAGGACTCGGGACACACGATATGCCTTGCCCCTCATGCCACAGCCGTGACCATCGATGGAAAGGTTACCAAGCTATTTCCGGCTGCCACATTGCCCGCACAAGCCAGCGCGGTTACTACATCAAGTTCAAAATTTGTACTTCCTACCTCGAACAGTCCTTCGACTGCTACTGCGACGAAGAAGGGCGCGGCTACATCGATACCCAACCGTCTCGGTCTTGCAATCTTTGCAACATTGGTTTCATTTTTTGGTGCACTGTGTGCTTGGATGTAATAATTTATCAACTGTGCTGGATTAGGCTAACAGGTTACGACTCTGATGACACATGGAGGACACAAAGTGCGAATGGAAAGGTTTGTAATTTTTTTTTTAATATAGGACTCCGGGCATGGAATATACCGGCAATTTGTTCGACGGCGATCTTGCATTGCAAAAATCACAAAGCGACGGAGTTATACAAAGGGAATTTGGCTTTTTATATTTAGACAGCTTGGTCTTGCTTTTGAAAAGACATTGGGAAAAAATATTAAGGGTACTTGGGCAGGAAATGACATTGTAGGATACATCTCATGGGTTACGACAAGAGAGCTTGTTCTAGCAAAGCCGTGGAGGGATCAATGGATAGCTCTGATCTGGTTCATGGACATGGATTTTCTACGAAGGGATTACAGCGTTCTTAGCAAGGAGGTAATAATATCGAAAAATGATGCGACCCAGAAGCCTCGGAAGTGCCACGAACGCCGTCCAAGTCATGATAACGCCCACGTCACGAGCCCGAGCCCTGTAGCGTATGTGTTGGGAATCCTTACGGGCGCGCGGCATCTGCTAAAAGGTTGAGCCACGATGAACTGTCTCGTCCGCGACGACAGCACGTGGACGTCCGCTGGAACATGTTCGTCAGTCGCTTTCGCCTCCAAAAAACTCCGAAACGTGCGGCCGCGTTGCAGGAGGTTTTGGCCTAATAACCTCCGAGCTCCCCGAGTTTTATCGCATCCTTGCACTGCAGTGAGTGCTTACCTACAGGCTCAAGGCGCCCCCCCCCCCCATCTCAGTCGAAGGGAGGTTTCATGGTGTGGACCAGGATCAAGAAGCGACGATTCCCGAACGCTTGAACAGTCCGCACGGTGCTTTTTGGGACGAAATGGGGGCAGACCGGTTCACCAAAACGTCAACAACAAGCGAGCTGCAGCGGGTTTCGTCATTTCGATTTCGTTCTTTTTCAGTCTGACCGGTAGGCCTTGGCATTCGAAACAGCGACGATCCGTCGAATTTGAACGGGGACAGGTTTTGGTTTGGTCAGGGGGGGGGGGGGAGGAGAAGGAGGTCCCGTTTGCGCATGTGGAGATGCGCACGACAGACGTGCACCAAAAGCTAGGGGAGAAAAAAAAAACGTGCGGCTCAAAGGCGAAAAAGTCCGGGCGCTGGCCGGCATGTGCGGCGCGGGAAGGGGAGAGTAGAAGAATCAGCGTGAACAAAGAAGAAAGGAAAGCTCAAGTGCGCAGTAAGGAGAGCGTCTTTATCGCTCCGCCAGCCAATGAAGACGCGACATGTCTCCTCGCTGCTCTGCATTTGAAACCGCGTCCTTCGCTTCTTCAGACTGGCTGGGTGGGCCTCTGCGCTGACTGTGGCCCCCAAAAAAAAAAAAATAGAGGATCGACCCAGGGCGGGATTTGACGACCGGATCGGGGGAGTCCAGGAATCTCTCCGCTCGAAAGCGGGAAGGGCAAAAACAAAAAAAAGAAAAAAACTATGTGATCGTTCCCGCTTCGGTGCGGTCGACGGGTGCAAAACAGCTAGCGCCAGGCAACTCGTTTGGTCTTTTCAACCCCCCCGCGACCGAGAAACAGATCTCGTGGCGTTGGGTCATGAAATATATATCGGCTTAGTAAGCAACTATACGTTTTTGCCAAGTCCGCCCCGAAGATGGCGGCTCCGCGGGCGACGGATCGGGAGTCGCCGAATCGGGTAACGCTCCCTTCCCAGCTCTTTTATCGTCACTCGCAAGCAGCCGACGGTGCTCAATCGTCTCGAAGCAAAATGGTTTGCGCGCGTCCTTCCGTCAGTTCAGAAAGATGGCCCTGCCTCCGGCTCGACTTTCTCGAGCGCAAAAGCGTCGTTTGCGGTGTCAAATCCAAAGGCTCATACGACGCAACGCATCATTCTGTCTGAGAGCCTTTTTTTTTTTTTTTTAAAGACAACTCTTTGCCATAACAACAGTTTCAATTCGGTCACTTTTGGTTTTCTCAATCATACATCTTCAAAGGATCCAGGGGACCAGTGCTGTTCGCCCATCCTACAGCGACGTGGCCAACCTCATCAGCGTGCCGCACATCACCAAGCTGCACGACGGTGTTTCTTAGTCTCCTCGCCTGAGCGCTCGCATCCTCCATTGATGAATAGTGTTCGTCTTGGACGTAAGGGTTGTCTCTCAAAAGTGCGGTGAAACTGTCCAGTATGTCAGGCCCTCTTCGCCGCATTCCCATCAGTGAACTGTATATCCCGCAGAGGAACATGGCTGCTGCAGCGACCAGCAGAATCACAAGCCACACCATGTTCACTTTCAGCACCTCCTGCGCTGTCTGGATCGTTCCAACGAAGCTATCCGTGTTGTATGCATTCGTGCTAGCCTCCGTAGGACCCGAAAAATTCCCCGTCGTGGAGCGAGGTGCTACGCTGTTGATCCAGTAAGTGTTGATCAGTTGTGTGAATCTTTGAGAGATGAGCTCGTTGCCTTGCTGCCAGATCAAGGGTGTTGTTGTGAAGGAAAAGGGACTGTTAGGATCAACAAGGTAGCCTTCTATCCCACTCGTCGTGCACGTCGAAGTATCACAGGCAATCGACGGATTCGTGGAGTTGACAAAGTTCTTCCAAAACGACGTGACGCTAACTCCTGGTTGGGCCAGACCGTTCAACGGCGTGTAGTCTGTAAGATTGATCTTTTTGGCGGCTTCGGCGTAGAACGACTGGATGTGTGTGGCTGGAGTTGGCGCTGGTCGTGCTCGAAGAGACTTGCAGGTCGCTCCATCGCATCGAACCTGCAACTCTACGTATTCCATAGACATGGTGCAGTTGGCAACAGTCAATGTTTTGTTGGCGGTAAAGTCTTCAGAAGCGAGTGCTCGGAACGTGAAGTTCGCTGGAGGTGCTCCCAAGTAGGTCAGAAATGAGGCTGCAATCGCGAAATTGGCTCCTAGAGCGTTCCTGTTAAACTTTGGACAAACAGTGAATGAATGATCGGTTCTGCAATGCCCCAAGACACAAAAAATTAAAGTACAACGAGAGAGGTCATCATACCACTGTAGCCACCAGAAGGTGCATAATTCGTTGAATTACTCAAGCTGAGAAGGTTCAAGTCGGCCTCCTCACCATCCACATTACATGTAGAGTACATGTAACCAGTGTTCATGGTGAAGTTTGAGATACCTGTCGTGGGCAATCCCGCGATGGGGATTCCAGTCAGCGAGCTCCAAGTCACTTTGGACCCGTCGTCCGCAATCTCCCTCCATTCAGTGGCGTCGACTCCTGTAGATGGAGGCAGACTTCCATATATCGGAATCTTGATATTTCCATATGGATCTTGGTGTGCTTCCTTTGAGCTTTTGGATGTAACAAGTGCTGAAGTGAATGCAGCGTTGATGGGAGTTAGCAGATTAGCTGACGGAGAACCTTCGCCTTCGTTACTAAATGCCGAAGCGTAAGCAAGATAGGTGAAATTATGTGGCACTATGGTATAGGCTGGCTGAGTAGATACAATCCTCAAGCTCGCTTGGCCACCTAGAGGGGAGAGAGCCCACAACAAGAGGAGCAACGGTGTGATGACGTGAAAAGACCTCAAACTGAGTGCGGCAGTGAAAGTGCTGAAAACAGACCGGCTGTGAAGAAGGTGTTCTAATGTGAGGACTCTGGCGCCAGCTTCAAGTTTCGCGTGTGCGAGCACAATCATGAATCTGGCTACAATGGCCGAGAATGCGATTGGGAAAATGGTAGGATTCTGCGCAGCTTTAGGATTAGTCGTGCACACAAGTAAAGGATATGAAGAAGGCGCACATATTGAGCCGCTTTAAGCAGAGATTTGGCATAATCCGAGTCGGACGGTTCGCCGCGGTGGGTATAGACCAGTCCTGCATAGACGACGAAATAAAGCGATCCAGCCGTTAACGCGACATCGATCGCTGCCTCTCCGATTGTTCCAAGCGAAGCCACCTTTCGTGTCCCACGAAGACGTCGACGGCTCTGTGCCGGAACAGCTGTGAAGGGCCCAGAGAATCCATGCTGTCCTTGCTTTGCGACCTTCACACTAGCCGCCGCTGGTTTGGTTTGCCCTGAGTCGGACGAGTGTGAGCTATACGCCATGTAGAAGCGAACGAGAACCAACTGGGACAGCGTCCCAGCCCGTCGTGGCGACTGTTGCTTATATTGCTACTTTCCAGAGATTTCTCCATCGCCATCGCTGCACTGGAACGAGGTCGGTGACCGTTCTGTTTTTAGTCCTAATGTTGAGATGAAACGGATAAGGCGAAACCAAGGCTCAATCAGATTGAGCCAAGACGGTCCTGGGGCGGTTCGAGCCGCACAAAGGCCAATGAATTTATCCACAGCCTGGACCGATGCAAGCCTCACCTTGATCCAACGTAAGCAGGAATTCATTAAGTTAGTACGTTCCATCGTTGCGAGCCATTTTATCTGACTTGCGTCCCTTTGGAGGGGCCTAAATCCAAGTCAGTGGGCCGATAATGGTTCCACAGCAAAGATCAGTCCTGGACCACGGAGTGCAGCATATGTACGAATCAAGACACAATGCCTTTGTGATAATTATATGAATACTGGTTATGTCTTGGATTATTTGGGTCCCAAGTCATCCTTGATCACGCACCAATAACTATCCACACAGCTCTCGTGGTCAGGCGACGAGAATGTCATCGGGTTACATTGCCGTATACTTAAGGCAAGAAACCACCATGGCATTGCAGTAGTCAGCTATTTACAGTGATGTCCCATGGTATCATTTGCTCTGCGAGCTTATGTTAGCACTTCATCCAATGCCCAAACATGAGGAAATTTCACACCAGCATCGAAAGTTCTAGTCACAACGAGCAATCAGGAACGCCGGGTCCACTTAGATCCGTGTATCCCTTGAGGTCTCAACTTGCGGAATACCAATGTCTCTGAGCAACGAATCCAGCAACAGATCGTTGTCTCGTAAGATATCCCATTCTTCTTGCTTCTTTACCATCATTGTTCCTGCCAGAACGGTACCATTGAATGCGGCAAAACCAACAGCCGTCCCCTCAGGACCTGTCAACTCAGTCCCCTCTTTTCGTCGCGGCATTATCATCAACGCCTTCGATGTCATGCCTAGATTGTAGCTGAACGGGGAAGAGCCATCCTTGGAATCGTGAAGCTCGAGCTGATCAGGATGATCCGTGGCGTACCGCCTCACGGCATCATGCGCCTTTTCGTACAGCCTTCGATAAACATCATACAGTTCTTCTTTTCCCATACCTGGCGATATGAGCTCCCAGAATACTTCGAAAGGAACGCTCGCTTTGTCTTCCACGATGCGGTCCATGAGCACATCCCACTCCATTCTGTCATCACCTTGCCTCATGCCCTCGACGGGAACAAACTGCAGATGCCTATGAGCTTGGCTTGCACCACTATGCTCACCCGAGTTGAAGAAGCCGTACAAGCGACGGCCTTGAGATCCGTCTTCCCACGCACGCAAGCATTCATAAGACATTTCCAAGTCATCAGCTTCTAAGATTGCGGTCTGCGCTTTATTGACCTTTGTCACGAGTAGAAAATGCGATGGTATGATTGGAAATTTGTTCAACAGCAGCAGATGACTTGGTTCAGATGAATTCGGTGGCAGATCTGCAATAAACAACGCCGGGTCCGGATTCTCAAACGGGTTGATTCTATTTTTCGGTGCACTATCCTTATCCTTGCTCGGCAGGGGCTTTTTGGCGAGAGAAGGACAGTAGCGAAGTTGGAACTTGAAGATTTGATGAGTGTTCAGACAACTAGCAGCTAGTGTGAATACTCACGCACCGGCATTCCAGATCTGGTGTGTAGAATGGCTAACGAGGAGGACGCGAAAGAAAGGGCGGTAGACCTTTTCGCGGATACATACTTCAAGTCGACAAGATCTGGAAGTGACTTTGGCAAAGCTTTCAACATATTTTTGGTGTTATATTGCAGGTCTAGCGCGGAAGGGATGATCGCCTGCTTGTGATAAAGCGTCTGGAGGGGAAAGGTAATGACGGCAAAGCCCGATATCGGGCGTCCTTTCAAAACTTCGCCCGGTGGAGAATCACGCACTTAGACTGTGAAGCACATTTTCCGACTCACCTTTAGTATTGGATAGGGAGGCTCTAAAGTTGGAATCAACGAAAGTAAAATTCACTGCTTCATTATTCTTCAAAGCATTTTTGGGCTTCCGGGGTGTGAAAATGGCTCTGTTGAAGATTCAACATAGAGCGTTGCAGTACAGTCAAAGAAGGGCTAGATCAAACCGCGTACAATTCCAGTTTGGCTTTGCCTGTGATTTCAAAATAGCTTTAATTGTGCATGGATGACAGAATACAAAGTCTCTCACATTGTTCGAAGCACCTGGTTGTACTAGTGACGGTTCTGCTTGCTTCATTGCCAAAGGCTCCACTGGAAGCTTTTGTGTCAGAACTTGGAGTCGATCCAAAGAAATCATGGTCAAATTTATTTTGAGGCTAGAGACGTTTTAACATAAAACAAGATATGGTTAGATGCAGTTCAGCGTGTTACCCGGACGGAAAGATCCGAGATCTCCGTAAAAAATTAGCTTGTATAACGTTAGCCAAGATACTCACGTTGACATCACCTCCAAAAACTGTCTCTGCGTCTGGCTGTGCTTATACGAGCGCAGCGGGAGGAATCGATGACAGGCGGCAGCAATCTGTTAATTTTCCCCAATTGCAAGCATCCTCGTCGCAATTATGCCTCGATTTCCGAAACAAGACAGCAGTGCAGATGATCGCCAACCGTAGAGCCGCAAACGAACAGACGTGTCACAAGCTGTTATCCGTCAAGTCCAAACAATTAGGCCAGCGCAAGCTTGACTGCCGAACGTCAGCAAGGCTGGGTTCAGATCTACGTCTCACATGGCTATTTCTGATCCGTTTATTTCTCTTTATTTTTTTTTTTCTCCTGCGGGGATAAGAAAGTTGTATCGGGGCTGACGACGGAGACGGACTGTTGGCTCCGCGGGGACATTTCGGTTTACGAATCTAGCATGGGCTTGTGTTTCACGTTGCTTCTTCCGCGCCGATGAATCCTTCAAGAATGCAGAGCACATGGATGCTTGTAGGAGAGCAGACTGGTGTTCGGTCCCTGGAGCATTGTTTGCCGATCCTCAGTGGTGGACAACAGAAGCGAGACCAGGAGCATGCGGTAGAGCGCCTAACCTTGATTTCGTTCTTCCGGTCCTAACGAACTCTTCCCTCACTCACCTTTCATTACTCTTTCTTCCTTCCTTATTTTGCAACCATCAGAGGCGCTCCGTTCAAAATCCGACTGAGCTTAATTTAATTAGTAGTCCAGACTGCGTTTTCTTTGAGCATTCGCATGTTGAAGAGATCCTCGAGACCTCTCAGCACCGAGCGCTCACCATCGGCTTCCGGCGAATTCTAATAATTTTCGGCGCCGAGAAGCTTCATAACATCCGTCAACACCATTTAGCGGCACGACCTATCTTGAATAGGAGCAAATTGGAGCGGAGCGGGGCGTCAAAGACTCTTTATGAGTTTTTAATAAACTCGTAGCAACTTTGTCTGCATGCTTCATTAGCGACGCAGTCTGGTGTCCCCTGTTGACGTGCAAAAGCACGCGAGAGCTCGCGAGATCATCTGGCGCGACGCGAAATACCCTCGAGCCTAAGAAGTTTTCAGCGAGCAACTCTTGACGATTGCCATCCGGAAGTCTGCTCATCTACGAAAAAAAATGTCGGACGTAGAGAAGAATTCACGAACGTCGATAGATATCGAGGCGCGAGAAGCCGCAGTGACGAAGGAAATACCAGCCGCTCTTCCAGGTCAGGATGCCGCCGAAACACCAGAACAAGCGGCGAATTCTGCGCCCCAAATGCCAGACTTCCCCGAAGGTGGTCGTGATGGATGGTTAGCACTTGTCGGAGGTGAATTCAATAAACTTCCAACTCGCAACTGCTGCTGATTTGAGGTAGGATGGTGCGTGATGTTCATAACTTTCGGGTATATGAACGCATTTGGGTATGTGCATTACTCTTTATCAGTGAGCAGGCTTTGGGACGCGTGCTTTACTGCGCTTGCCATTGCCAAATCCTGCTGCCCCGTAAACGAGACAGTTTGCGCCGGCAGATGGTGGCGGCCCTTCTTTGGCTTGATATCCGAGATTGACTGATCTGATCTTCCAATTTGATATAACTTGGAAGCAGAACCAGATAAGATTCTTAAAATTCGTCACTGCCATCGGAGAGAACCGTCTGTCCGCGCAAATCCCACCCTCTTAGTCAATTACCCGTGGGGAATCTGTGTTCGAATTACTTTTGCGCTTCAGAAAGAGACTGTCATGCTAACGTTATGTCAGCGTATATGAATCGTATTACCTTGCCAATTCTTTACGAGACGAAACGGCGGCGAATGTTGCGTGGATCGGATCTATCCAAATTTTCTTCATGTTCGCATCATCGCTTTTTTCAGGCCCGCTGGTAGATCGAGTTGGGCCAAATTACATATTTACTCCAGCAGGACTATTCCTTGTTCTTTCTCAGATGCTAACAAGCCTCTGCAAAAAGTACTATCAGTTTATCCTTTGCCAAGGCGTGCTCGGTGGTATTGCGACGGGCTTTTTGTACTCTCCGGCCGCCGCTGTGGTAGGCCATTATTTTCATCGCAAACGCCCTATGGCCATGGGCATCATCACCTCAGGATCGGCGCTGGGTGGAATTTTATACCCCATCATCCTAAATCAGATGTTGAACCACTCCAAAGTTAGCTTTGGCTGGACTCAAAGAACTGTGGGCTTCATCGGCTTATTCATGGTCATCATCAGTATTTTCACCATCAAGGCGGGTGTTCCGACAAGGAAAGGCACGTATCTCTTGCCAAGTGCCTTCAAGAACATGGCATATACATTGCAAATAGTTGGTTTGTTCTTTTTTTTCTGGGGCATGTTCACGGTAAGCAATTTCTTTATTCCAACGTGTCACTCCAAGCTGAGTCCATTCAACAGGCTTTCTTCTATATTCCATCCTATGCCGAAGCTCATGGAATGTCCACTTCGCTCTCGTTCTATCTCGTAACGTTCCTCAATGCTGGCTCTATCTTCGGACGTCTAGCTGCTGGAGCATTCGGTGTCTTTGCTGGACAGTTCAACGTCCTCATCGGGTGCTGTGCTATCTGCACAATTATGATATGGTCTTGGCTTTCCATACACAGCAATGCATCCATCATCGTGTTCAGTATATTCTACGGCGCTTTTAGTGGCGGGGCTATTAGCACGATGATCGCTACTCTCGCGTCATGTGCCCCTGCACCAAATCAGATGGGCACCTACATCGGGATGGCAAGCGCTTTCATAGGCATCGCTGGATTGACAGGCACACCAATCAACGGAGCCTTCATAACGCATTATCATGGATTCAACGAAGCGATATATTTTTCCGCCGCTTGTGCTTCTTTTGGATCGGTCATACTTGTTGGAGCCAGACTTGCATTCGCACCAATAACGAAGCTGAGAGCATGAGCGAATTGGTTAATATCATTCATTCGTACTCTTTATTTGTTTCGTTTTGTTCTATCGCAAAGAAAATATATGCAACTGGAAGGCATCGACGGGTTCTGATACGAACCGAGGATTGCTCGATGGCCGCCTAAGATGTACAAGAGCAAGGGGAAGATAGACTTATAGCTTAGATGATGCATAGACATGCTATAAGGTTGTCAAGGGCTCACCTTTGGGTTACCTAATTAACCAAAGGTTGTTCCCATCAGTTCTTCTAATCCATCTCAAGGAAACTTGAAATCTTGTCTCAGTAGAAATATTATTAAAAGGAACGTCGGATATATTCTTTTAGTGCACTAAAATGAATGTCAAATACATTTTCCCCCATATATTGCAGATCACCATAACGAATGACTGAAGAATACAACGCGCAATTCCGCCAGAATCAATTTTGTCTCTCGCGCTTGAAAGAATACGTCTCGCAATTTGTCAAACAGTCACCTTCCCTAAATTGGAGTACTGGTACCACCCGTGCTTGTGTCCATTCCCATCTCAGACTTCGCCTCTCTCGCCCGTGCAATCTTCGCTTCCTTCGATAATGGTGTACCCCAGCCCTTGGCTCGTTTAATCGCCTTCCAACTTTCAACAAGTGTGATGTACGTCAGGAGGCAAGCGAAGACGACGCCCCATTCCCACGTGATGGACGTGTGCTTGAACACTTCTGTGTTGAGTCGCGGTATGTAGATAATGGGGAACACGAGCACGAAGCCAGCGACCACCGCCCAGAACAGAAATTGGTTTGACCAAAGAGCGGGGAATATTGAGAATGGCCCTTCGAAACGTACTGGGTCGATGTTGAACAACGAGCGCTTGAAGTGCTTTACCTCCCACGCCGTGACCAGAAGCAGATATGTTAGCGTGGCATATGTGGTTGCCCTAGCTCGAAAGACAATTCCACAGGACTCGTTCCAGCCGTTGTTACAGTCTTCGCCGAGATCACCAGCGCCAGCGCCATACGCCACAGAGGCAAACGCCGCAAGACACAGGCTGCCCATGAAAGTGCCGTACATCATCTTGTCTATGATCAACTCCCTTGTGAAGACCCCAATCTTCAGGTCATGAGGCGGTCGAAGCATGATATCGTGCTGCGCTCGCTCAAGACCGAGGCCAATAGCCAGGAAACTGGAGGTGATGAGATTCACCCAGAGGATCTCAAGAGGGGCCAGTGGGAAGACCGAGTTGTGCTCTTTATCACGAAACGCCAGGCCGATAAGCAGGAGAAACACCTGGGAAATATTGCTGATTAGCAGGTGCATCAAGAACTAAAATGAATTATGTTAGTCATGGAATCTGTAGAGCGCAGGAGCCGAGAGTGAACCTTTTGTATGTTGTCGAAGAGTCTCCTTCCTTCCTCGACCGCTTTTACTATGGAAGCAAAATTATCGTCTGTCAGGACCATGTCTGATGCTTCTTTCGCCACATCGGTCCCATTTCTACCCATTGCAAAGCCAACGTCGCTTCTTTTCAACGCAGGCGCATCGTTGACACCATCTCCCGTCATGACACAGAATGCCTTACGTCGATTCATTGCTTGAACCATGCGAACTTTCGTTTCGGGGCTGCACCTCGCTACTACCAAGGGGAGATGTTCAAGCGCGTCAAGTTCCTCGTTACTCATTCGATCAAACTTGCTAGCTGGCATGACGAGTTTTTCATATGCTGCGTCGCTGAGCCCAGTCGGTATTATACCGACAGCTTTGGCAATACTCTCAGCAGTCTTCTGATGGTCTCCAGTCAACATGTGCACTTTTATTCCTGCTATTTGGGCTCTTCGAACGGCTCCTGCAGTTTCTGGACGTGGAGGATCCTGGATGCCGACCAAACCTAAAAATTCGAGCTCTTGTTCCATTTCTTCACGGTTTTCTTGCTCGAAACGTTGGGTGCTGTCAGGTCCAAAAGCACGATATGCTACAGTCATAATGCGCAGACCTTGCGAGGCGTACTGCTCTAGTTGCGTACGAACCAGTAATTTCAATGAATCATCCGCGGTGGATTTTTCAAGAAGTACCTCTGTTGCGCCCTTAGTGAAGGCATGATGGGTTCCACTTCTGTCACGGTAAACTACCGTCATGCGCTTATCTTTTGAAGAGAATGGGTATTCTGCAGTGAACGTAAGTTCCTCGTAGGCGATTATGGTGTCCTTAGCAAGACCAAAGCGCATAGCCAAAACTTGCAGAGCAACCTCGCCGGGCTCACCATCACCAGTCCATTCGCCATTTGAGGTATCAACCGACTCAACGTCAGATCCCAAGGTCGCAGAGGTCTTGCCGCGGGTCACAACCGCCAAGTTACAAAGAGCAACAGTTCTCAGAAACTTAGTCACGGGATTTCTTGATCCTAGCGTAGGCAGCTCTAGATTTTCTCGGTGCACGCTGCCGGAGTCTGGGTTGAATGGGTTGCCAACATCGACAACGCTCAGCCTTCCGACTTGATGTTGCTGCGGGATCCATGCTTGAGTAGCTATCATTTTGCCACCCGTAAGAGTACCCGTCTTGTCGGAACAGATATGAGTAGTGCCACCAACAGCCTCCAAGGCAGTAATCTTTCGGACCAAGACGTTTCCACGAGCCATAGCTTTGGCACCCACTGCCTGTGTGATCGTGAGCACGGCTATCAGAGACTCCGGGATTATGGCAACCGCGACGCAAATTCCGTATATCAGCACTTCTTCGTGAACATCAAATTTGTTGACGGCAAATACGATGATTGTGAGCAAGATGGCCAAAGTGAAGAGAAGAAGGGCGAATTTTGAAAGCGACCTAACCAAGGGGGTACTTTGGGCGTCTAAGCCGAGAATGGTCTTCATGTTATTAAAGATGGTAAACCACAGGCGCCTTAGGATGCCCATTTGTGCGAGTTTCTCCTTTTCCTCCTTGCGCGGATCCAGAAGTCCGCTGGTTTTGCCAAATTCTGAACGCGAGCCAGTAGCCACGACAATGGCTTTGCCTCTGCCGCTCGCGATGATAGTGCCGGAGTAGACCATGTTCTTTCGATCGCCTAGTTCTAGACAATTTCCATTGGGCAGATTGCTTAGTACCAGCTCTGCTCTCTTTGATCGTGGAAGTGCTTCCCCAGTAAGCGCAGATTCATCGCTGGCGAGGTTAACAGACTCTACAACTCGGGCATCCGCCGGAATCCGATCACCAACCCCGATCTGTATGAGGTCGCCCACTACGAGACTTTCCGACTTGATTGTCGATGCCACACCATTTCGAATGACTTTGGCGAGCGGTGCCGACATCGCTTTGAGAGCTTGAATCTGTTGCTCTGCTCGTAGATCCTGAACGAAGCCCACTACCACATTGAGAGAAATGACGGCGGCGATGACTGAGCCTTCGACGTAATCTTTGATGCCATACGAAATGGCCATGGTAATCATCAGAACCTAGACGGTGTCAATCAAGGATTGGTCAAGTTCGTCCTCAGGTGGACGTACTACTGTCAAAGAGTTGGAAAACTGCCTCAAGAGTATCTGCCATACCGATAGCCCTTCAGTCTCCGCAATGACGTTAGGGCCATCTTGCGCAAGGCGTCTTGCCGCCTCTTCTGCATCAAGCCCATCGCTGATGCTCGTCTCGACCAGCGTCGCAGCTTGTTCTGCAGTTACTGTATGTGCAATGAGCACAACTTGGTTTCTCTCAACCACTCGCGGGGTAAGTTGAGGCCCTGAATCGTGACTACACTGTTTCTCATGAAGGTGGGTGGAGCCACCTAAAGGAGGCTCGTCAACAGTCGCTCCCTCGACTTCTTGCAAAGATTGACCTGTTTCCATTCAATTAAAATTATCACAAGCGGGGGAAGCAAACAGCGGACGAACCCTATTTATGCCACGAATGAAAGCAGCCAACGCGTTGCACCATGATTGCTCGGCATCGAAATCATCGCGAAGCTATCTTCTGGGCAAAGAATGGCCTGATAGGTTGCCTAGCACGCCAGTTGCAGGAAGCTTCTTGTCGCATCTGCACGCGACCTATGAGCGGCAGAGCGGGATGCATTCCTAACCCAAACCCACGTCTTGGGTCAAGCATGCCGAGCTGTTGGCTGACGAGGGGTTCGTAGAAAACCTGCATGACGAATCCATTTTGATCGTGGCAATGGGAGAGCCAAGATGCAAACACTATACCTACGTCACCATAAAGGTTAATATACATGGACTGCGAGAATCATCTCGCGAAATCGAAGTCTTGGTCGACAAGATGCTCACAATAAGCTGGCGACCATTTGGCGAGTTTGCCAAGGTGGAAAATGTTTCCGTATGACAAAGTACCGGCCTGCTGTTCAACTGTGTCGTTGGGAGACAAACGAGTACATGCGATTGAGGCCACAGCCAAGCCAATGAGACAGGGCTGTGTAGCACGGTGACCAGGCTTGCAGTTCGCGAATGATAAAGTGCAGTGATCTGCATCGAGATTGTTGAGGAGAGGCGACATCGGTCCGAGCACCACAGACTTTTATGCTTTTGCCAGCTGCAGCAGGAGACTTGAGCTTTGAATCCGGCTTCTATTTAAATTTACTGACCGATGTGCATGGCTCCGCGAAATCTTTCAGCCCAAAGGCTTATGTCCCATCCCTCAACGGGGTGCTACAACATGGCCGTAGCCTCGGCTGGCTGTGATCATGGAGCTCCTCACGCTTACTCCGGTTGCGCACCGCCTGACCAATCCGATCGCTACTTAGCCTCCTCACGTGCAGAATACAGCCCTCTCTTGGGTCTGCTGGTGCATGCAACGGATCGAATTGCCGGGCGAATGGTGAGTGTTGCCTCTCAGCGCACGCCAAATTGTGATGTAGGTATATGCCTTGCAGGCGGCATTGCTTTGCCCCGCAAGCCAGGCATATTTGCGGTGTTCGGAGTAAGGTTTGAGTCAACGTCCCTCAAACTTGAGAATTTCTCTGAATTTCTTTTCCAGTCGTGTTTCGCCCTCGTTCTCATCTGTGGATCTGCTCGGTTTTTTGAACAGTCCTTACGATCTGCCGAATGATTCTTGACTGATTACTTTTTGGCCCTTCAAGCATGCTGAACGATTTATACGCCTCGTGACCATGACTCCAAGATCTTCTCTTAAGCCTAGGTTACCGAAAGCCCAACTAATCATTCTTTCAGTATGCCGTATAGCTGAGCCCATCGCTTTGACAGTATGATAACCCATATGCATCCTCTTCTCGTATGACCTGTTGACCAGTATCCAGAGCGTGTATCCGTACTTGCCTGAGATGATAGAAAGCTTCGGTGTACATCCCACCGACGTTGCAAAATGGACGGGCATTCTCAGCGCAATCTTCAGTGTCAGTCAGTGCTTCACGGGCATACCGTGGGGTAGTGCATCAGACAAGTATGGGCGCAAGCCGATCATATTACTTGCGATGACCTGTGCGATGTCGTCAAGCCTTCTTTTTGGATTTTCGACAAGCTTACGATGGGCTATTGTTGCCAGAGCTTTCTCCGGTGCGAGTAACGGCAACGTAGGTATCTTGCGGACAACGGTAGCGGAGATGGTCCCACAAAAGAGTTTACAACCCACGGCCTTTGCTGTTCTCCCACTAGTCTGGACCATCGGATCGATTATAGGACCGGTTCTAGGCGGTGCTCTTGCATCCCCTGCCACAAACTTCCCAGAATTGTTCGGCAACAGCCATTTCTTCAAGAAGTTCCCATTTGCGCTTCCTAATCTCGTAAACGGAGTCATCTTCACTTTCGGTCTCCTTGTCGGCGCTCTCTTTTTAAAAGAGTCTCTGGAATCGAAAAAGTTTCGCCGTGATTATGGACGGATGGTAGGCGATTGGCTCACCAAAAGCTGTAGGGGTCGGCAGAAAGCTCTTCGGCCTGCTGACGACTTTGAATCCATGTTGCCATCAAGCAAGTCGGGGAAGTCGGATGAGCACAAGCCAGTAACGTATTCTGAGCTCTTCCATCGTCAGACAAATATGACTCTGTTGTCGTACATGATTCTGGCTCTTCATGCAATTGCCCATGATCAGTTGCTGCCGGTTATGATGCATCTACCAAACAAGCATGGCAAGGTACAACTCCCGTTCAAGTTCTCCGGTGGCCTCGGTCTCGAATCTGGTCGAATCGGCGTGCTTTTCACCATCTACGGCTTCATTGGAATGATCGGACAATTCGCTATATTTCCCCCTGTGGCACGAAAATACGGGGCGTTGTCCTGCATGAGAGCGTGTACCCTTGCTATGCCATTCATTTACCTGGTCACGCCATACGTTGTCCTGCTGCCCACACCGTTCACGCAACAAGCTGCCATCTTGTGCATCATGCTCTGCAAGTCCTTGACAAATGTGTTTGCGTATCCATGTGTTGTCATATTGATGACCAACTCGGCACGATCACTAAGAATTCTCGGTACGCTGAATGGGGTAGCGACATCTTTAGCGGCTGTGGGTCGTGCAATCGGGCCGTTTGTCGCTGGAGCGGTATTTACTTGGGGCGTTGAGTCGGGTTATCTTGTTGCATCCTTCTGGCTGCTTGCCATTTTTGCGATACCGGGCCACCTTGTGACGTGGTGGCTTAAGGAAGAAAAGAGGCTTCTGGACGAGGAAGAAGAGGATACCAAGAGAACCGATGAAGACAACAATGACATCGGTCTTGAAGGAACAGGATTGGATCCACAACACGGGGTCAACGTTGATGCTGATGTTGCTTCACTTGCGGACAGTGATAAAGATGAAGAATCAGACGTAGAAGATGTACCGCTCTTAAATTCGAGAAAGAAAGATTGGTCGATATAAATGGCGAAGTGGCCCTAAGCAGATATGTTCTAAAAGATCTCAATAGAGCCGGAGTTCATGGTGAGAGCACGAGCGCTTTCAAGGATTTAACAGACAAGCATTCACGGAGATATGAGGATGATTGAAAAGAGACACATACAAAACACCCTTTTAGACTGGTGCATATTCATGGATATCAACTTTTGAAACCAACTTGAGTCGCCCTCAAATCGGTTCAAGAACTTGTTATAGTTCACTGCCACATGTTTTCTCCTGCTGAATGCGTTGGAGTCTTATCTTAGGGAGCTGAAAGTTTGCACAGGTCTGAGAGATGACTCGAGGCTTTCTAGCTTTCATTTTCATTTCGAGAGTATCTCGTGAGATGTTTGCACACACGTGATTTGTATTTCATGAGAACCAGCAGGGCAAAAAAACCAAAAAAAAACAATGCATCCATAATGTCCATGTCGATTCAAAAAACGAATAGAGACAGCCGATCAATACCCAGGCCGGACTAGAGCTGGTATTGCCGTTCTTTGGTTTCCCGGACTTGCGCTTGGATAGAAGCAGCTCCTCCTCCGCTACCATCTGTGGCCTGATTTTCCAGAGCCACCTGCATAGAAGAGCAACCGCCGACATGAGGCAGCGTGTAGTTCGATGGCTTCGGATTCACCACTAACATGTTCTGCCTCAGTATGCGGTACGAAGTATCATGTGGCACGAGCATGACAGGAGTACGTCCAACAGTGCCGCATTGCCTCTTTCGGTAATCCGCGTCGCCAAGGCCGATCGGCATGAGCCTCCAGCACGTCGGCGGTGTTCCGGTGCAACACAAATCTGGGGAACGCAAGTCACAGTGTCCAATCGAGGTTAGCAGTCGTCATTGTGGCCACAAAATTCCACACGCTAACTCCGCACATTCCAGCCTTCCCATGCCCCGTGTTATCCTCCCTCTCTCTTGCCCCGGGCCGTGAACCAGAACCTCTTTTGGGGAAATCCGTTGCATGTCAACCATTGGTGCTGGCGGTGCAGAATGAATCCATAAATCTGGGCCGCATCTCCACCATACACTACCACTCCACGATCTTCGAGCAAGCCAAGAAGAGCAAATCACTATGTCTGCTTTATCTGGTAAAAGATTTTTGGGCCTTCGAGGCACCAAACTCAACATTGCTATTGGCGTCATTGCAGGCTTGGACTTTTTGTTGTTCGGTTATGACCAGGTACGGATATCAGGACATAAAATCGAACAATCGTACTAATATTAACAGGGTGTTATGGGCGGTGTGTGATACAAATCCATCTTCATCCTTGAATACTCATCTTCTGTCAGGCCTGCTCACGCTTCCTTCGTTCTTGTCTGTATTTCCGGAAATCGACGTCGTACATGCACCTCCAGAGAGGGCGAACCATGTATCAACTATCCAAGGCATCAGGTATGTGTACACGGAATTTTTTTTTCTTTAAGCACAATCCTCAATGGGGATTTGGCTCTATGACATGGGCCTTGATGACCACCGCGCACTCCACGATCACGACAAACTTGTCACGTATACTAACGGTTTCCTAGCATCGCAAGCTATAACATTGGCTGTTTTATTGGCTCCATTGTCTGCATCTGGGTTGGCGATATCTTTGGCCGCAGGAAAACTATCTTTATAGGCTCCTCAATTATGATTATCGGTGCCACTCTTCAATGTTCATCATTCTCACTTGCCCAACTCATTGTTGGACGAGTTATAACCGGTGTTGGGAGTAGGCTTCACCAAACTTCAAATTTCTTCGCCCCGTTATTAACAATGTGATTCAGACGGATTGAACACGAGCACGGTTCCGACTTGGCAATCTGAGACTAGCAAGAGCCATCGACGAGGTCAAATGGTTATGATAGAAGGAGCTCTCATCACTGGTGGAATAGCTCTTAGCTATTGGGTAAGTAACTCACACTTTTGATCGTTGGGATTGGGCGCGAAAATGAACACTCACGTGATCATGATATTCTCGCGTAAGCTTGTTTTCGCAGCTTCGATCCGCGAATTTCTTTCCACTATGTCAGACACTTGAGACTAACTTCCTCGCCCAAGGTCGATTTCGGATTCAGTTTCTTAGAACCCTCGACCGTATCCTGGCGCTTTCCGATTGCTTTCCAAATCGTTTTCGCAGTGCTCATTCTTGGCTTTATACTCCAGCTACCTGAATCACCTCGCTGGCTAATCCTGAAGAATAAAGAGGACGAGGCCCTTGAAGTGCTTTCGGCTCTAAATGACCTCCCCGTTGATGATCCATACATTCATAACGAGTTCTCTGCTATTAAGGATGCGGTTCTGGAGATGGCCAAAGGTAGTTTCCGTGATCTATTCACAATGGATGAGAAGTATGTTTCCAAGCCATGCGTTACCAGTACTCCCTCTAAATTCAGTACAGTCGTCACTTTCATAGAACCGTTCTTGCATATGTCAACCAAATGTTCCAGGTGTGTTTGCTGTTCTCCTCGATTTCTAGGTTTGCTGACCTTCCACACAGCAAATATCTGGCATTAATCTCATTACGTACTACGCCGCAACTATATACGAGAATGAAATCGGACTTGATGGCTTGCTTTCCAGGATTCTTGCTGCATGTAACGGCACAGAATACTTTTTAGCCTCCTGGATTGCCGTATTTACCATTGAAAAGATCGGTCGACGAAAGCTTATGGTTTTTGGAGCAGTCGGCATGTCATTATCGATGGTTGTACTTGCAGTGACAACCTGGCATGGTGGCAGCGCCGCCGGTATCGTTGCTGCCGTTTTTCTCTTCATCTTTAACACATTCTTTGCCATCGGTTGGCTGGGAATGACCTGGCTATATCCTGCTGAGATAGTACCACTGAGAATCCGTGCACCTGCCAACGCACTTAGCACTAGTGCTAACTGGATATTCAACTTTATGGTTGTCATGAGTAAGCAACATCTCTCTGTCTCGTACTGCTGTATTTTGACAGTCGAACAGTCACTCCTATAAGCTTCAGCTCGATCGGTTATCAAACTTATATTATTTTCGCCGTGATGTAGGCACTCCTATACTTGAGTTCGAAAATCTGTAGTCAGCTAACTGATATTGCCAGCAACGCTTTCATTGTGCCATGCGTCTATTTGTACGTATTTCCAATATCTGTTAAAGTTCTGGCTAACTATCATCCAGCTTCTATCCTGAAACTGCATACCGCTCACTTGAGGAAATGGACAATATCTTCCGAAAGACACATGAGAGCTCCGATTCAGCTATCAAGCCCTTGTTTAATGTTGTCAAAATCGCCAAGCACGAGCCAAGAATGTACGGCAAGAACGGTAAGTTGGCAAATTCATCCCGCTTCACCGAGTGCTGCTAATTTAAAATCCAATAGGCGAAATTTTGGTCAATTATGACGATACAGAGGCACATATTGCCGCAGTCAATGCAGCAAGGAGACGCAGCAGTGTCATTGGGGCACCTGCTGGTCATGAAAAGTCAGTCACAAGGGGCATTGAGAATGTTGGAATTAACCGGGCTAATGAGGATTCCGGAAGCTCAAGCGAAAAGGTGGACTAGAAAAGCACTAGACTTCAGAAGGTTTCAAACCATTCCGAGAAAAGCGTAGTTGGTGAAGCTTCTTGAGCATCATTTCAACTATCTTGAATTTCTAGGAGTGGAAATGATAACATTCAATGACGGCTATTTTGTTCGCTTGTGGATAATTTCAACCAAAACAGGTATCTTAAATGTGGGACTTGCATAACTTCCGGAGCTTTGCTCATTACAAATCAATATCTATAGGCTGGAAGTGTTTCTTAAGATATGGAAAAAAGCATTATGCTATGTTCTTTCAGATTAGACGCCTTTGATGAAAGGTATATGCCTCCTTTAAGCCTTTCTGTACTTTATTGCTCAAACACGTGAAATGAGACTGCCTTGAGTCGAGGATTGTCAGCGACACCAATAGTGATTGGTACTATTGAGAGTTCTGCTTTATCGGTCTCTGCAAGCCATCCCTTCACACTCAAGTAGAAGGAATGGCGAATCAATTGTGACTTTCAGATTTGGTAACACATGCCGGTACTACGCAGCGCTCGCGATCCTGAGTCGCAATTGTTTGCCAGATAACTTTGAGAACCTCCTTACCAACACGCTCAAGGGAGTCGACTCCCCATATTACGTCCAAGTGTTCATAATCTTCAAGAACATTAACGTGTACGAGTTGAGCATGAGGATCTCTCCCATATTCAAGCCTTCTTAGCAGTCTCTTTCCATCTACAAGATCATCACATGCTGGAATCCACAACGCTAGAGGGGGTACTCTCTCATCAAACCACGGATCAGCCTCCAGGCGAGAGATGGCCTCCTCGTATCTAGCAAGGGCTTCATCCGTAATCTTGCCTCCAGTATTGGTGGCCTGAAGAAAATTTTCGATGGCCTCGTCGTCCGCTGCATCGATCTCGGCCTCTGCTCGGGTATTGAGGATACACCTTTGCGTTGCAAAACCATCTGCACCAATCCACCATCGCATATGCTCTGAACTAATATAGGTTGGCGCAAACAAGAAAGAACGGTCTCTCAAATCTCGGTCCCAATTCCTATCAGACCAGTCAAACAGATAGTGGAACATCGGATAGCCGAAGACACCAAGAGTTCTATTGGGAAGAATCTCCATCGCTGAAATCAGTGGTTGCATAAAACCATACCTTCCGAAGCAAAGCCGCCATATCGTAGGCGACATCATTATCATACCCTTGAAAAACCATCGTGGATTTTCCAACAGAGATCCAGAGTACGCGGCAGGGGCGAGCAGGCATGCTACGCTGATCTTCTCGCCAAGTTCGGGCACGAAGTGTTTACTCAACGCAATAAGTATTTGCGAAGTTCCTTGGCTATGGCCAACTAGGGCAAGTTTCTCAAATCCCGTCCGTTGCAGTACGCCTTCCACGAGGGCCGGGAGATCCATGGTAGCCATTTCTCGAATTTTCCAAGACCACATACGAGGATCAGAACGCTTGAAGCTTCTGTGACGAGGTTTCAACCCACATCTGTTGTTTCCCAGCCATACATCGTATCCTTGCTTCGCAAAGAAGAAAGCGAAGCTGTGATCGTCTGTTGACGCGTAGGCCCCAGCCGACTGGAGAAGACCATGGATCATGAGAACAGGATATCGCGATTCAGTTGAATGATTTACACGTTTAGCTTGAAAAGGAACAGATACGTGCAAAAGATCGAGGATGAATCCGTCCTGGGTTTCGATTTCTACTGTTTCGCATTCAAGTCCACATCGTCGTGCATAATATGCGACATCTCGTTTCATACGGTCAGGGCCACCTTCGGTGGGTTTGAATACAAGTTCATCATCAATTAAACCTTTAAATGTCGACGGCTGCGAACAGCTTTCCGCAGAGTTGTTGACTGCTATCATTTCAGTCTCCGCTTGACTTCCTCTCAACATCGTATTTCGGCTTCAGCCCTTGCAACCTTCCGGCGGGCTTCTTCTTTGGCATGTTTCCGCTGGGGATTTTTGAGACGATGTTTTATCTCCCCCGTGTGTGCACAAGCAGCGAGAAAGCCCATCGTGACGGCCAAGAACGTTGCCGATGTTATCCGACTGAGCCTATGTCGTAGCCTAGAGAAACGATCTGGTGTATCGTATGTTGGCAACGTTGGAAAGAGCCTCTTAACTTTTTCACTGGAAGATGTAGCATCCATTCTGAGCCAAATTTGAATTATTCGAGGCAATGAAAACGAAGCCAAACGCCGAGCTGGTTCATGTGTTCGATTCCAATCCCATGGGCATTTACATGCGCAGACATAGTTCTAGATGCGCTGCTGGTTACTTTGCTGTAAGAATCACTTTAACAGAGAATGGCAGAAAGGAATGCGTTGTACGGAGGAGGCTTTTTGTTAAGGGTGAGCACCAGGTACGCTGGCATTGACGATTACTACTATTTTTGGACATAACACTAAGCCTCGGCCAACAGACGCTTCCCGTCAATCCTGCCTGCCATTGTATCCCTTACCAAACTTTCATCCTAATCAACTGCACATGCTCGAGGGGAGTGCTGGGTGAAGGATGATGAGAGCATTGTTTGACAGTATGAATTCTCGTCGTGCGATGACGAGGTCGATCCAGCAAAGATAAAAGAGGTGGCTCAAGCAGCTCAGCAGCCAAAGGACCAAAGGACCAAAGGTTGAGGGAAGATGCAAGTCTTCTCGCACGTGACTCCCCACCTTCCAGCTGATAGGAGTCGAACCTCTGTCCCTGCACAAAGCACAACGCAAAGCGAGAAAAGCGAATGCAACTCATCAGTATACAGAATTTTTCAAAGGTCCAAAGTCGAGTGACTTACATACTTGACAAGAATACCAGGTGTGCGCAGGGCAACGCCTATCCCCGTCAGGGCAAGACTTTTGACCGTTTCCATCGAAACCCTCCCAGAGGCTCCGAAATTCTTCGGCCGCCAGAAACTGTCGGCACGCAATGGATCCTAAATTTGGCGTGGAGCCCGGAACACAGCAGCATACAATCTCCTGCACTGAGTGTCAACGGCGAAAGCAAAAATGCAGCCGCCAATGGCCGTGCAATCATTGCCAGGCCCGCAAGGTTCCACACGTGTGCCATTTTGCATCCAAAAAGCCCGCATTCGGTAGTGACGTGAAAATAAGCAGTACGAATGGGGGGAAGAAACGAAAGGAGCCTGAACAGGCCATATTTTCCTCGCCTCTTGAAAGACTAGATGGTCAATACTCTGCTGCGGATGCCTTTAAAGCTTTCGGATATCTTCAATCCGACGGAGATCCCCTTGTGTTTGGTATGCTATCTGAGTACAAGGACGAGAAGCTTGATAAAGAAAATGAAATTGCCACCAAGGAAGTGCCTCCACGGATTTATTGCGACGCGATTGTTCAGAACTATATGGACGTCTGCAATTATTGGTATTATCCAATTTATCCTCCACAATTTCTGGAGAGCTACAATAGGTGGTGGGAGAACAGGGCGACAAGAAAGAAGAACAAGCCTGAGTTTACCTGCCTGCTGTTAAGAGTACTGTCAAATTCTACTCAATGTGTTCATCCGGCGCTGCGAGTGAAGCTCGAGACTGAACTTGGCGAGAGTCTTCAAGAACTAACCCAGAAATACCATGATGCTGCGGAGAGACTGAGTAACGTAATCAAGCCTGGAGTTGGAGGGATCGCACAAGTTCAACAGTTGTTTCTTACTGCTGTGTGGTTGAAATCAGAATGTTTGTTCATTGATGCATGGCATGCACTGGGTGATGCCATACGCTATGCCCAAGAAGTCGGTAAGCAAGCTTCCGCCTCCCTGACCCTTGGCTCCATGTTACTGACTGAACTATTCAGGCATTCATAATGAAGCATTATGGGACGGTCTGACAGAATTTGATTGCGAGATTCGTCGAAGACTGTGGACAACTCTTTACATCTGGGACCGCTTCATGGGAATGATGCTCTCACGCCCGTTGCTGATAAACGATAGATATTGTTCTGTTAAGTACCCTAGCGTCAATCTGGAATACGACCCTGCGTACCCCGATTTACCATGCCCTCATAAGCATATGGAACTTCAGCAAAGGTTGTGTCAAGCAGTCATTGGAGATTTTGATGGATCGAAACCCACGATCTCTGTCGATGATGCATTGACGGTGATACGTGCTGTTAACCGATGGCTGGATACCCTACATCCCGTGTATCGACTGGTCGATACAGACACGCGCTACGATGCAACGCACAAATACCTCAAGCTTCAACGTCTTCAGACAGTGTGCATGGGCTACAGTTCCATCGTTTCCGCGCTCAAGACTTTCCTCACCCAAACAAACAAACCCGAGCCCAAGCTTGACAGCAGAATGCTGCAAGAGCTACAGGGAATTGCAATCGAAAAGTGTTTGCAGCTTATGGACATTGCACAACAGCTCGCAGACCTCTACATTCCCGACTTCAATAAATATTTTTTGATCGTGTTCACGCCGTTCGATACCTCTGCTCTGTTATGCTCGGCCATCATACACGACACGAAACGCATTTTACCACGTCGTAATGATATATTAAAGGGAATCGCGCAGGGACTCTCCCTTCTTCGACGGCTTGCACATATCACCAAGACGGGATCTGTGGCGGAGAGTGTGATAACTTCCCTTGTATTCAAGTTCAGTCTCACCCAAGAAGAGAACGCAATCCTGTACAGCACGGCGCCTAGCGAGAGTCCGCCCGCGAAACGAATAGCTTCCACGGCCAACTCGTACACAGCCAGCGAGCCCAACAGCACTCCTCCTTTGCCAAGCTTGAGTCCTGGCGATAAAAATACGACTACATCGTCCGAGTCTACTCCATCAGTGCCAATGACCACTACTCAATCTACGCCAGATGACCCAACCATCATAGCATCTGCTACGGTGCCAAACTCCATAGCCGAAGGAGGCTACGCACATCCTTCTTTCTCCACTGAGATGACGGTGGAACAGATGGCGAATTTCGATTTCGGCCCATTGGGACCCGTTTTCGATTGGTCGCATGTGAACTTGTTTGAGGAGAATCAACATGCCTTCCAGTTTTGATGGCCTTTCCTTTTTTTTTTTCAAAGAAAAAAAAAATCCAAGATTATAGCTCTCAAATCGAGACTGATTTTGTGTCATGCCCATTGTAGTAAAGATGTGTTTGAGTCTTTGCCGCGGGAAATTGCAATCGGTCGTTCGAATTTTTTTTCGACTTTTTTTTTCAGATCTATTGGTCAGTTCTGTCGTATGATAACACAACAGCAAGTGAACTGGTGCGTGGTAATTGAAAGTATACATGCCACATCTGAAGACTTTTCTGGAGCCACCTTCGAGACTTCCCATCCTCCTGAACCATGCGAAACAAACTATGAAAGATGCGAAATGTATTTGGAAAAATACTCCTAGTTTGAACCAAAAGCTTTAGACATTACTGGAAATTTCATCTAATAGCGATCATAAATACTGAGACTTATTCAAGCTGAAGCACCTGCCCCATTGATTGCAGAATCAGCAAAGATCCTTAGTATAGTGTGTCATAGCATGCCTTCTCACACGACTGTTATCTCCGTCATGAGGCTCTCCGTGGCAAACGTCGTCTGATAAACGTTATGGTCAGCGGTCGATCTGCCCGCGAACTTGGTCGTAAACAGTCCGACTCTTTCCCAAATATTCTGGTCCTTGTGGATGCACTTCAGCAGCATTGCGTATTCATCGAAGTTTGTGCATGTGGCCACGCGAAGGATCGCAAAGGTTGCGTCTGCGAATCCTTGGTCATGCTTCTGCAGGTCATAGTCTGCAAAGAATGGATAGCTATTCGGGTTGTCTGTTGTCTCGAACCGAAATTCGTAGTGAACGCTACGAAGGGCCTGCCTTCGCAAAAGACGTCTTTTTTGGTGAAGTGTGCGTGACGACAATGAGCGAGAATCCGAAACCGACACAGTTACCAACGGGCCTTTCAGGCGAAGGTGAGCAGAAAGCACTTCGCCGTAGGGATTGTCTTGGTTTGCGACTCTCGCTTCAGCTTCTAGAATCTCCACATGAATCTTGTGGAGAAAGGGCACGTTCTCGTGATCTATTCGTGTGCCTGAATCCGTGGATTCTTGGATGTGAGGAGCGTCGAAATAACGGACCGAACCCTCTTGGCCAGCCCATGACCACGAAGGTGCGCGCCATTTAGGTGTTGGTGCTGAGCAAAGTGCATCGAGTCGATACCACAAAAGATCTTGAAGCAATGTGTCATTCCACAGGCCTGCAATGTACCTTGCATCCCGTTTTGGACCGTTCGGCGGATTGGCCATTTGCTCTGCAATTCCAGACAGAGCCGGAAGTCTGTCGCGCATTTTGGTAAGCGAGAGCTGGGTATATTCCTCAATTATCGCGTGCCACCTTCTGCGGAGATGAACATCACCCTCTCTTAGGAATGCTTCCTGGTGGGTGATTTTGCTGAAGAACTTCTCTTGGCCCGAGCCATAACGCTCGTTCGAGACAATACCTCCGCATTCGCAATCTACGGTCTCCATGCATTCCCACCACATCTCCTGCCGGCCAAAATGAAGCACTCGGGGTGCGAGGAGTCTCTCCTGAAACACCCATGCTCTTTTGAACAATGGGAATTGTGCATCATCCATGTGGTCGATAACTGGCCGAGCATGCACCTTGTATTCAGACCCAACTTTGGAGATACCATGAAAGGTAGCCTTAGGGTGCCGAAAGAAAAGCCCACCATCATCGCTCGATGAACCCGTGGCAGCCAGCGTGAGGCACGAGTTCGCATAGATGCTAGACATTAGCGCGCTTTGCGCCTGCCAATCTTCCTCCGAATCTTGGATAATGCAACTGATCTCAAGTCAGATCGGAGCTGAGAAGATACTACAATGACATGGGATCTCACAGCGAATCTATCCATAAATATCTCACGCCCATCTTTCGCGTGAATATGACAGCCTCCTGAAAGGTGCGCGGAAGATTGGAAAATACGATCGCACTTTTGAACGACGAAACGTTATCAAGAGTGGTTGTGACAGCACGAGAATCTCCCCAGCAGTGCGACAAGCAAATGTACTTGACCAAATGGCTAGGTTCACAGAGGACGACATTAGGCTGCACTGCGTAGAGATCCAGCAGCCGGGGAGGCGCTTGAACAAGTTTAGAGAATCTGCAATGTTTGTGGTTCTTAAGACAGTCATCAAACCAGGTTCGAACTAGGTCGAAGCTTTCGTGGGATATGGTATTTCCCGAAGTTGGGACCCCGACTCGAACGGTCGACCAAGGACAAGTCGTGTCTAGACAGCGTATTTGAGATTAGCCGCAAGAGTAATAAATCGTCTTGCGTTCAGCCCGTCGCCGATTGAAAGTTGACTTACTCGCCTCGACAAAGAGGTCGAGTATCACTCCTCTATGATCGCCCCATTTGATGGCCAGCTCAATGAACGACCGCATGATGGCCTGGCGAATTACGATTTGAATGTCTGGCGGCCCATCTTCGCTCACGAGCGCTTCTGGAACACACTCGTTCAAAGCATGCAGTATCAGCGCGCAGCTTTCGCAGCCTCTGAAGCTGGATGTGACAGTCTCAAGGTAGGTCGTGGTTGTACCGTCGTCGTTAAGCGGCACAAGGTCGTTGCAGACGCAGCATACGTCTAGAGCAGACATGGGAAGTTGTGCACTTCATTCTCGACAGACAACGGACAGACTATATAAATCTGGGGGCCAGATTGTCTGCCAAAGGTGGTTTGCCCCATCCCTGCCAGTGTTCAAATTTAGGAATACGATAGGGCTGTGCACGTGACCGAGCAAATATCTGCAGCTGGAAACTTATCCACTGCGGTCCGTTTTGCCCGTATAGATTTATCGAGGAGAAACGTCAAAACCGGTGGCTCGGCGCAGTGCTTGGTGGTGCGCACGCGAGCAGACTTCTGGACTCTGAGTCAAAAGAGGCTTTAAAGCAATCACGGTGGCTGGACATCATGAAGGTACGGGCGCAGACTCGAAAGAGCTGGGAACTCAAAAGGAAAGCAGAAGGTTCACACGGCAACGTAGATCAAAGATCCAGGAACGCAGCAGATACCAAACGGGCTCGTGCTGCACCACGTCACGGAGCTTGAAGCGAAATATATTGCACAAAAACGCATGAACACGATCCCGGACAACCTCAAGGCCGCGATCCGAGATGTATGTGTCTGCCCGTGAGCGACGGAAATCACACGGGTCGGAGACCAAAATCCCCTTACCCCCTTCATCCTTCCATTCGCCACTTTCTCTTTTTTCTTTTTCTCTTCGCTTTCCCTTCTCCGTCAAATCCAGAGGTGGGAGGGCGGGGGGAAAGTAGCGGGAGAAGGATAATGAGAAAAAAAAAGGTCCTTCTTTCCTCTCTCGTCCCTACGCGCACGCACCGCAACCCACGGGAGCAGGAGAAGGAAGGGCCACGGATCTTTTTCAAAAAAAAAAAAGGAGAAGATGAAAAGAAAAAGAAAAAAAAATACGCTGTCGCTGACGGTTGCACGCAGGTCAAGACGAATCTGTCGCGGCCGCCGACGGTGCACCCGGCCGACCAAGTCGCGGCGGGGACGATCCCAAAGAAGCGCGTGGTGCGCCTGGTGCAGCGGCTGACGGGCCGCGAGTTCAAGCTGCTGCCGAGCGAGGCGCTCATGGTCGTCAACCACCGGCCCATCCTCCGGGAGGAGCTGTCCGGCCTGCTGGAGGAGCTAGAGGACCGCATGAGCGAGGAGAAGCAGGACCGGCTGCTGGAGCTGGTCAGCAAGGAGCTCGGGCGCGTGCGGGCCGACGACGGAGACGGGGCGAACGGGGCCGACGACGAGGACGACGAGGGCGAGGGCGAGGACGAGGCGGGGTGAGCGGGCCGTCTGCGTCGGGAACGTGGCCGCGGCGCGGGAGCCGGCGCCGGTGCCGGTGCTGGGCAGCACCAGCCAGGAGCTGGTCGCACTCGACGGCGCCGCACAGTCCCGGCGCGCTCTTTGCGGCGAGATCGCGAAGCGAGAGACCGCAGGATCAGACTTGCCCGCGCAGAGCGCGCTCATCCGCAGAGCTGACACCGCGGAGCGACGTCGCCAGGGAGCGGAAAGAAGAGATATCGACCTCCGGGCTGGAGACATACATGTGTTGCTACGGCGGAGCACAGCGTTCTTTCGCGGGTCGCCCGCACGAACTGTCGTCTTGGGCACGGCTAGCGTAGACTAGAGAAGAAAATGACCAGGTAGCGGCTTATATACAAATATATGTATATACATATATATATTTCTTTCTCTCGTTCATGGCAGTACTGCCCATTCTCTACCTCTCTGCCCCAGGGTGGACAAAGTCCCAAAGCGCGTCGCCAGCGTTGGTCGCGTTAGAATCCCAAACGGGGTGCTCATGGATCCAAGACAGTCTTCCATACCACCACCAAAGAGCGGATACGGTACACCTCGCAATCGTCAGCTCCGGGCGCGCTGCACCCCATGTGATCAGAGGCCGACGTGTTGTTCTTCGAGCACGGCAGAATGACAGCCAACCACGCCAAGCTAAGCTGGCATCGCTTCAGGCCTCGCCAGCGGCCTGTCCTCGTCGGGTGCCGGCTTTCCGGGTAATACCGCGCAAGCAATGTGCAGCGGGGGTGAAGAGCGAGCGGTCTTGGGCGCGAGGCAGACACGCACCGTGCAGCGAACGACAAAAAGGACAGCCTGAAGAACGGTCGTCACACTCGCTCAGCGACGCCAGGACACGTGGTTGCCGCGCCATCTGTACGTGGCTGAGCGCTTCGATCGTCGCTGTGATCTGCGTCTTCGCCTGAGCCGGCGAACCGGCATTGCGTTGCAGCCAAGACGCCTGCCCGTTGCTGTCTCCAGAGCTCGAGGCTCAACCTGGCAGCGGCTCTTTCAGACGACGTCACAAGAGGCCAAGACGGAGGGAAAGACGAAAGCGGCGGGCAAGGAGAAGAAGCGTGCACGCGAAGCACGCCGGCGGGAGATCTAGCATGCTTGTTCGACGAACTTCAGTCAGCAAGGCGCAAGAGATGCAACGACGCCTTGGCATCATATCATAGCGGCTGTTGCGCCGCCTCGATTCACGGAGCGAACGGCCTTCTTGCTACGAGAGCACGACAGGCGCGTCTCTATGGCAGGAGTGGCAAGCAAGCCAAACAGAGGAGACCAGAAAGGAGACGTGACAAGGCGGTTTAGAGCGGCGGCAAGCTCCCGCATCCATTCCGTCTTGCCCTATCTACCCACTACCTTTCGGCCTTCCACACGCACCGAACACAGCGTCCAGGGCCCGAAGCACAGCATTGCCGCAAGACAGCTGGGCCTTTACTCGATGCGTGAGTGACATGAAAAGCTTGTGCGATCGCCGGCTTGGCCAGCGTGTCCCCCTTGTCTCGCAACGCTCCCGGCGACACGCCGCTCCAGATTTCAGAGTCGGATGCGCACCACAATGGCCTGAGGATCGAATGCAACAGGCTCGGCTGACGCTGTTTATCAGTGTGTTATTTGTCGTGCGAAAGCGAGACTGATCAGGGAGGAAAGGAAGTGTGTTTACAAGAAAGGCTGGATCGATCAGGATGATCCGAAAAGTCGTAATGCAAAAAACGTAGATCTGCTGGCCTTGGCGGTGCGTAACCTTTCCCAGGGACACAACGACGTTAGATCCAATCGTATTGGGGCATCTGATACCGAGCTCCTTCTGTTTACCAAGACCTAAGAGTCGAGACTGATATGCCTGGCGCAAACATGTGGCCTCTCGTAGTCCGACGCGTCCGCACTGGCAATTCAATCAAGTTAACTTATGTCGTTCCGCAACGTGACAATCACGTGCGTATAAAGACCACAAAAAGCACAACAACTTAGGGAGCACCTTGGCTCCTTCCAGAAAAACTCACGGCCTACCCCGCGATTCGGCCCCGCGATGTATAACGAGGCAAGATGATGAAGAACCAAAAGCAAATCTCCTCATGCCCGCCAGCCCGGCAAAAGAAAGGAAAAGCCCGAAATCCTTCATGCCGCCGTCGTGGAGTAGGTACTGCAGGTGGTACTGCAGGTAGTAAACCCTTGCGCGGGACAACGCCAATGCTTTCCCGGTTAAGAAAGCTGCTCTATCCAGCAGTGCCGCAGTTCGTTCACCACCAGAAAAAAGGAAAAATGGGAAAGAGAAAAAAACAGACAACGCTCGTGCCACATGCCCGTTTCGCCATTCTTACCCCCACTTTTCGGGCGCACCCGGTCCGCCCACGGCGCGCAAGCCAATGAGAGCGCGTTACTTACTAACTCGAATGCCACGCCCAAGCCCGTTTCCATCGCGAAACCTTTCCCTTGAAGTACGTCCAGCAAGTGTGTCTGGCATCGACGCCAAGCGCCGCTGCCGTCTGGTCTACATGCGAAGATGTTGCTTCGATCCGGCTATTCGCCTTTGCGGGGAATGGGGGGGGGGGGGGGGGGGGAGGAGAACTACTAGTGAAGCGATGGAGTAATAGGAGAGCATAACGAAGTGTTTTCTGGCACGTCTCGTTTTCACCGAGCGAGCTGAAGGCAAGGTCAGCGACTGCCTGTGAACGTTCGGGGGTACGGCAGTTCACGTTGTACGGCCAAACAAGCAGTACGAGCTGGTGGTCCTGACCGAAGGTACAGCTCAGATCACAGCTTAGATTATGCGCAAGCGACTGTCACGTTAGGGCCAGCGCAGATTGCCCTTTCTTCCCTGCGCGTCCGCCGTCCATTTCTCCGATGGAGCTGTGGTTGTCGGGATGGACAGCCGAATAGCTGGGGGAAACATGGGAATGACGGCATGTCCCAGATCTTCGCGTGATGTCTCCCTGCGGGCAACTGATCCACGACGACACAACGCAAACAGAACCACAGTACACATGCCATAGCATCTACCTCGTAAAAAGCCGTGCAACGCTGCGGATATCCGATCAGACGTGGCCTGCGGAAGGCCCGACAGGGTTGCTAGCCGGGACAACGTGGGGCGCTCTCGTCAGATGACGATATGACGGCATGGACTCTCTCCCCTCGTCTTCAACGCCTACACAGAATGGAAAATGAAACTGTCGGTGACCAGTACAGCCGCCTTTTGCCGGAGATTCTCCTAGCTCGTTCGGTGGCGGGAGATTGAGAAGGAGTGCCTCCCTTGCCCACGGCGTCGTCACGGCACACCAGGGGCTTCGTCGAGCTCAGGATTCTTTGCTTGTCCTCCGTCGACGAAAGTGCCAGAGGACACAGAAGCTGAGGCTGCGTTGCCGGCGCTCTAGGCATGCTGGCCACCTCCCATCTGTTCCTCGATCTGCTGCGAGGATCTGAGTCTGCGTACTGCGCACGGAGGATACGATGCTGTTTTCCTTGGATCGCATGTGCTTGCGCATGCAAGCGAGAGATGCGCATTCACGCTTTCGCGATCTCTGCTCGTCGCGACTGCAGCAGTGGGGTCATCCGCATGCAGTTCCAGCCGGATCGTATTGAGCCAGGCTGATGAGCGATTTTTGTGAATGGATGGGAGCATGAACAGGTGGGCATGCGGAATCACGCCCACCCAGAATACAGATACAAGACAGGTCTAGCACGTAGTGTCGTGACACATGGGCTGTTCTGGCATCGACTCGCCGTTAAGAACTACGAGGAATGGAGCCCGATGGCTCTCATTACTGCCACTGTGCGCACCGAGGAGCAGGAACGCTGAGCGGGTTGGCGGCTAACACGTCAAAGGGAAAGCACAGCGCAAGTGCTTGCATTAGCGGGGCGACTCCAGCGACGAGGGAGAGCTTTTGCGTGCCTCAAATTTGTAGCGGCAGCTAGCGCGAAGCAGGTTTGCCCTGCGTTGCAGCGGCCAGGGCGGCATGATTGAGAAAGCGCGCTTCGGCAGACGGACGATCATGATGCACGTTTCTTGAGGACGACGGTGGGAGGCGCGAGGCGGCCAGACAATGAAAGGAGTGGATCGCGACAAGGGCGGCGGGCCGAAGGATGGGGGGCCCTTTGATAAAGTATTGCCAAGCGAAGCAAGTCTACGCTGGGTACAGGAGGGGAGAAAGACGAAGAACGGCGAACAATGAGCACGGAGGGAATGCTGCAGCTCCAGGGGAACGTCGAGGCGTGCCCCAGAGCTGTTTGCCATGCCGTTTTCCAAGGGTAAAAAGAGAACGTGAGAGGGGAAGAGAGAGGAAGAGGGCGAGAAAGGAGCGGGACATGGGGCGATATTCGGCGATTTCTCAGAGGCTCCTGGCAATTGAGCGTGGTCAAGCAGGATTTTGCGTACGGGGAGCAGAAGCAGCGGAATTTCGGAGCGGGCACGCGCGAGCAGGCGGGCAGCGAGAGAATTTTGGAGTGTGAAAACGTCCAGTGTGTGTGTATTGAACGGCACCGATTACGTGCTGGCACGGTGGGGAGTTTCGCGGTTGGGAAGGTCGAGGCGGCGTGTGGGCTAAGGACACAGACGGCATGGCGCCAAACAAACAATGCAACGAACTGGGCCAGTGTTCCCTCGACGTGCTTGACGGGATGGCACGAATGGTCGACGCGGACGCGCGCGTGGTGGCTCCGTTGTGCTTTCTCCTGTGGCCAGGACGCTGGAGGAGACGTCGTAGCCGGGCGCAACACACAGCGGCAGCGGAAGCACAGCAGTAACTGGGACAGTATCTGGAGTAGTTGGAGGAGCAGCAGTGGCGACGGGAGGACGAGGAGAAACATGGAATAAAAAAAATTGAGAAAAAAATTTTTAAAAAAAAATGGGAAAAATGAATCGATGCTTGAATGAATTGTGATTGCATTGTACCCAACACGCGCAGAAACACACATGCCCACACACACGCACACTGTACACAGTGCACACAACTAAGGTTGACCACGTTGACTTCGTGCCCCCAACCCGTCGCCAGCCAGCGCTCACCAAGATGCCGGGTCGCAAAGGGTCCGCAAAGATTGCCGTCGCCCGCACCAACAGACCGCCTCTTTTCCTCATCACGCTGCATGCCTGCCCACCCCCCAAGAGAGAATCCTAATTTTACATATCTCTTCCTCTCGCGCTTCTTTCCTTTTTCCTCTCTCCCTCTCTCCTCGATCTCGAAAGAGGACGCCTTGCCCAAGAGCCTCGGCGGCTGCAGCGTCCGGCCATCCTCACTGCCATCTCCCATCCTCGACCCAATCCACGAGATCGCCCCAAAAAGCCACAGCTGAATTTTTTTTTTTTTTTTTTGCCGCCCGCGAATAAGCCGCTGACAGGGCCGTGAAAGCCTGTTTTTATTCCCTACCAACCGGGGCCCAGCGAGCGAGCGAGCGACCACGCCCGGCACATCTGACGCAACGCTCTTACAAAGGCTGGGCCGCAGCACACACACGCGCAGCCAACTCGCGCTCGCTCACCCACAGTGAACGAGCGCCTCGCTCTCGTGTCCCGGAACCGCTGCGCGCCACTGCGATCAGCGATCCCCCAGCAGCTGCAAAACTCGTTTTCCTCCCCAAAGACGCACGCCAGGCGTCGCGTGCAGCCCCCGAGTTCTCCGGTGACCCTGAGATCGTCATCGTCGTTCCTTTCTGTCCGGCCTGCTTGTTTCGAGGCTTTTCCACGGTCGCTGCCCTTGGCGGTGCTGGTCTTGTTTGGCCCTTATTCCCCCACGGTTTTCTTCGTCATCTTCCGTCACTTCGGCATCTCTCCTAACAGCGCGACCCGATTTCCCGACCGCGCATCCAGAAGCGTCCACGAACGTTGTGAAGGACAAACAAACACCCTCCCGCTCCCACTCTCCGCCGCCTCCGCCGCACATCCACATCGACAACCACGCCCGCGCATTCCTACGGATCCTATCGACACACGCGCATTCAAACCCTGACGACTCACCATGGTGACGCGGTTATAGCCTCAACGAGAGGGAAGAGATCCCACGTCACGATCTGCGACAGCTTCGCCTGCGCAGGTACTGCGCAAGCACACTCTCCACTCCATCACAACCGATCCGAGTGACCAGACCGTGCAAGCCTGCATCTTCCACAGCGCGGTTGTGGCCAGCAGAACCGCACAAAGGAAACACGAAAAGCAAGCTCTGCGGGTCGTGCACCGCGCACGTCCTGGCCTCCGCCGTGTATCTGCACGCTGTCTCCCCAATCGCATCGACGTCCCCACTTGCCTCCCTCGCTACCTAGAACCGTCCGCACGCTCTTGCACTCCCGTCGGCTCCTTCCACGCATCTCTGCGCTCGCACCTTCCTCGTCAAACCCTCTGCTCGCACAGCCATTCACACACATTTCCACGTCATGGACCGGATACGTTTCAGCGGCTTGATGCCGAACACGACGATACAGAACCAGCCCACGTCGACGGCGGACTCGCCTAGCGACGAGCCCATGGCAGAGGCGGACGAGCCTCCGGATGAAAGACAGCGCCAGCTGCAGCATGAAGAGACCGTGCCTGCTACCGAATTCAAGAAGGTGCCGTGCACCCTTCTTCGGAAGCAGTCGCTCCTCACGCAGACCTTCCACACGTCCGAGAGCGAGTCTCAGGTCGACGATGAGCCGCTCTTCTCGAACTCGACGCGTGCTCACTCGAGCGCATCGACGTGGAGCCGCGGAAGCGTCGCCTCCACCGCCGAGTTGACCAGCGACGAGCACACAAGCCCCGCGCGGACCGGGTCTCCGAGCCCCCCGCTGCCGCCGGCCACCTTCAAGGGCTTGCCGCCAATTTTCAACCAGAAGCCGTTCGAGGCTACCGCGCCGTCTACCGTCAAGGTTGTGCAGGAGTCCATAGACCCGCTGCGCACCTCGACGCCTGCCTCGACAAACGAGGAGGCTGTTGAGAAGGGCCTCGGTCGGAAGAGATGCATCATGTTTGCGTGCGGAGGCAAGACGACGCCGCCATCCGCACAAACGCTGCCCAAACCGGAGGACGAGCCACCCAAGCAAGATCAGCCCAAGTCCGAAGGCCCGCCAACGCGGAGACCGTGCGCCCTCAAATTCGTGTGTCCTTCCAGGGCCAACGTCACGCCTACGACGGCCGATAAGCCGCACATCCGTCTGGCAAGCCCGCCTCCACCTGTGCGACGCATGCCCGCGTCGCCGAAGCCGTCGTCCCCCAAGATGTCGCGCAGCCACCGCAGCTCGGACTCAACCGTGCGCAACGATTCTCCAAAGTCGGTTCGGAAAGTGCCTTCGGTTCTTCGAACTCGCAAGTCGAGCAGTGTTGCCGAAGTACCCATGTCCGAAGCAACCCGCTTCCACGAGTTTGCCAGCTCGGAGGAGGAACGTGACGACTGGACTCAGGAGGTTTCGTGTCATCGCCATCGACTCACCGTCCAGGACACGTTGAAGGTCGAAAACAAGCTCCGCCACGTTTGTGAAGAGGCCGAGGACGAGGCGATGGAGGAAGAAGAGGACGAAGAGGACGGCCTTGATGCGATTGACGACGAAGAGGACCTTGACGACGAGGACGACGACGATGACAACCAATCACTGGTCGACTCCACTGGCTACGTAACAGACGAGGGATTCCACACGGATGACGAAGAGGGCTTTGCCAATTCGGACGAGGAGAGCGACGCCGGCTCGGACTACGAATGGTGGGCACCTCGCAACAGCGGCCAGCAGCTTGAGCACATCCGACCGGCGACTCGTCGCAGCGAGTCGGGCTCGTCGATTGGCTCCTTCAGCAGCACACGAGTCTTCCCATCCAAGACGCCAAAGGCCCTCAAAAAGAGCAAGACCAATCCGATCGAGTTCCGACCTCGCACGCCAGAACTACCCGACAGCACCGACTTCGTATGTGGCACACTCGACGAGGACAAACCGTTGGAGGAGGCGTGGCTCTCATGTCGCAACCAGCGTCGTGCCGCCAACCACAGACCCTGCCCACAAGACATCGACCCGACCTTCCCGACCTCGGATCCTGAGCTGGACGAGGAGGACGAGGCCGGCTACGAGGACGTCGTGCACCTGGACGAGAGTGACGGTCATAGCCACTTTTTCGTGCACGGCCACCCCGATCTCATGTCCGACATCGACGCGAGGGAACCCCGCAGCAGGGTCCCCAAGAAGCGCTCTCCAGCGGTCTCGCCCAAACGCCTGCGGTCTCCTCCGCCTATCAAGCGAGCCGTGCTCCACTCGCCACCTCCACGTCGTCTCTTTGGCCACTCCCCAAAGCGCATGCGCTCTCCACCTCCAAGACGCGTTCTGCGTTCTCCACCCCCCTCGCGTCGCACTTCATTTACCAATACGGCTCCATACGACATCAATGCTACACCCGTGGCTCTCGCACAGCGGCCTCGCTTTGGCCGAGAAGCCTCATCCCTCCCTCGCAATGGACCATTCCCTCTCCGCCGTGGCGACTACTTCAACTCTCCCATGGCCAGCAATTCAGACGAAGGTGAGGAGACCCAGACGGACGCCCTTCCTACGCGTGGAGCTATCGACATTGTCAAGGGTCTTGAAAAGAAGCGCCAGCGCCGTAAGGAGAAGCTGTATGAGAAGCACTGTCGCATGCGCAACAAGAGCAAAAACGCCGCCAAGGGACCCGTCCTTCTCCCAGGTATGGGTGCAGAGAAGATGAGGCAGATGGGCGAAGGCCTGTGCAAAATGAGAGGTCACGGCATAAAGCGGGCCACGGAAATGGAGATGGTCTTTGGGCGACAGCAAGAGGAGGGAGGAACGCATATCCTCTCGTATTGATCCTGTGCGCCCAACATCTCCCGTTTCCCTCTCAACTTCCAGAGACGAGGAGTCAAGAGTTTACGAATTTTTCTTTTTATGGTTTTCCCCCTTTGCTTTTAGCGGTTTTCTATCTGGTTTGCGATGCCACATGAAGACATGTGAGGGGTTCACCCAAAGCTACGATGCACAAGAGACGGTGTCTGGCTGGTGGGAACTCTTGTTTTTTTTTTTTTTTTTTTTTTTTTGGATCATTCGCCATCATAAACACAAACATATTGGCGGCGGTAGTGGTCCAATTCTACGATACGTTTTTGTGTACCTTTTTTTTTATTGACCCCTTGGGGTTCAGGACGATGCCAAGGCTGTCACTCCCCCACCCCCCCCAAACTACCCTCCCCTTACCTGATATCAGGAATTGTAAGGGCCTTTTGATATACCTCCTTATTCTTTCTTAAAGACGACGACCGAGAAAGCATAGCACAGCGAGCATATTTGCATTATTTTGCCTATTCTCGTTCTTGAAAGAGCACAAACGAGCACGGTTGGTTCGGAGTGACGAACCTAGAGGGCGAGATTTTGATCACTTTCAGTACAGATCTTCGTGTATATACCCCGATGCCATTTCGGTCTTCTTTGTACTGGCGCTTGCATGCTTTTGCACGTCCATGATCGTCCTATTCTTTGCTCTTCTTTCTTCAATTTCCTATCTGATCCGAAGACATGGTGGGGATGGAAAAGAAGAGGGGAGGGGGGGTTTATGCTTGTATCCTACGTGTCTCCATGCAATACACGAAACAAAATTGAGCAGCCTCGCTTTGGTTTTTTTTTTTTTTTTTTTTTTTCTTGTTTTCTCATCTGTATTCATTCACGCTAAAAGCTGAATTAGCTGACAGTGACACCTACGCCTGTTACTTGCTCCTTTTTTGACTCGCGGCCCTGTGTCACCCGCGCCCTTCCGACCCGTCCGCCCGCTTGCACCGTCCAGGTATCCGGAGGCAGCGCGGGAGGGGGCGAGGGGGGGAGACACCTCGACAGAAGGGCACTGTGCTGCCACCCCACCCACCTGCCCCTGCCCCTCCTTCCACTCTCTCCCTCATTCCTGCACTCCGGGAACCCGGGCTTCGATCCTATCGCGGCGGACCACGCAGCTAGCGGGGAGTGGAGCGCAGGAGGGGAGGCGCCTGCAGGTTGTGCAAGCCGGGTGTGCGTCGCCATCTTGGGGCCCACGAGAAGGGCACGGGGTGGGGGGGGGGGGGGGGGGTGCTGTGGCGGCGACGCATGCGTGTCCCGGCGTCGTGCTGCGGTCGTGGCCGGTGCAGCAGCGTGCTTTGTGATCCGTTGGCGACGGGGCAGCTGCGTCAGCGCTGTTGATCGGTGTTGCGTTGACGGCTCGGTTCCTTCGGCCGACGCGTTCTCGCGGCAGGGACCGTCCAATGATACCCTTTCTGCAAAAATGCTCGTCAGCCTCTGTTGGCCTATTCTTGCGCTTATTAAGTAGACATCTGGATCTGGATCGAACAAAGGGCTAACCACATCTTCGACCGGATTCACGGCGTTTCTTGCTTCGGCCGGCCTTTTCATCTCGTCAAGTGAGTAGGGAGACGACCGGACGGTAGAGGCAGTCCTTCCCGAAAGAAGTCAGCATGTATGGTGAAGCTCGGAGTGCCGGCTTATTCGAACGATGTACCGCCTGCTGATGGAGACGTTGAGGAGCGACGTCGTCCGCATTTGAGAGCGCTTGCTCGTGGCTGAAGGAACGGCGTCCAGACTTTTTGGAAGTCAAACACTGAGGGCAGACTTTGGCTAGGTAAGTCGCATCTCCTCGACGTGTTTTTTTGCCTACATCGATTCCACTACAGTCGGAAGGCTCGACGGTGTCCGCTTGGTAGATCCAAGTAGCCTGTAGTACCGTCAAGCCGCCCTTTCCGTCAAGGAAAGGACCGTGTCCACCTAGGGGCGGAGGAATGCTCAGATAGAAGGCGTAACGACAATGTACTTTATAAAGCAACAGCGGATCTACTTCTCGAAATGCTTTCGACATGAGAGACGAAAAAGGTGCGACTTTCCGCGCCTGGCGCACGGGGTCAACCTTCAGCTCTCGATTCTCCAAGCGCCTTTTTCATCGGCCTCGTTGGGGTCATGCGTACGGCCGCCGCACCCGGCACCATCTACCGGATTTCATACGGAGGCGAAATAATGGCGTAGGCAGCCCCAAGGGTCGTCTCTCATCGAGACAAGGAGGCTCGAACGCTGAACTGAGACCTTCTGACGAGAGCTGGAAGTGACACTTCCGCTTCTCGCACGTGATCGACGTTATGCCAATCGCTATAGGCGTGAAGCTCGATTTCGAATGCCATAAGGTGCGAACTCGCTCATGGGAGCTGATGTCTCGTCCAGATCAACTCCAGGTGCCCGCGAGGATCAGTGACAATGACGCTGGTGGGCGAGCTCATCTCGGAGAAGGAGCTGCAGTTTGACCAAAGAGGCTGTGAGGCGGGTGGACAACGTCTAGATATCGCGACGTGTTGGGATGCTGAATGGTCATCGTTTTAATCGCGAGCCAGGAATGCCCAGCCTTTGTTTAAGGAGCTGGACGCAATGTCTCCAACGATCTGCTGAGTAGTATTACGCGAAACATGCGCAGAGTGCTTTTCTTCGCCCTTTCCTTCTCCTCTCCCGTGCTGCTAAGCCCACCATGATGTGGTTATGATATTGCACAGACGCTTGCGACGAAACGCTCAAAGAAAGTCGTGCTCCGTCGCTACCCGTCCTGTCCCCGTGTAGTTGTTCGTGCCGGCGTCACGTCTGCATCCGCATCGTCGAGAACCGCGCGACGTGATCGACGATCGGACTTCCTGAGCGAGACCGGTAACTGTGAAGACGGCCTTTCGCACTTCACATGGACTCGATACAGAAAGGACGTTGGCAAACAGAGAAAAGTCATGCATCCTCCCAGAGCGGCTAGTTTCGCAGCTGAGCCCAAGACCGTACAGGCGACGGCGTTCGTATTGCGGCCAATCTTGGACGGACGTCGACTACATCAACAATGGGAAAAGGGCAAAAAGGACAAGTTTACTGCGACGGATTCCTATGGCCGTTCTTCCGAGCAGATGCCAGCTAGGACTGTGAGCCTTTTTTCTTTTCTTTTCTTTTCTTTTCTTTTCATTCCTCTTGAACAGTGACCGGCATTCTTTGGTAAGGCTCCAATCCTGCGCGTGGGCGTCGCGTCGCCTTCTTCTCCACTTGGCGGACTCGTTTACGTACAGTCACGATTCCGACCTGTCCTCTCTCCAAGTACCGTGTGTCCACATTGCGGATGTTTAATCTCCATGGAGACGGAACGTCCCCTGACGTGGCTGGGGAACACCTCTTATGTACGCGATCCAAGAGCTAGGAGAGCAGGAGAAGCTAGAGCAGACGAACGTCTCCAAGGGGTTCCGGCAAAGAGCAGAATCGGTGGGTTATTTTTTTTTTTTTTCTGTCGGTTGGCAAAGCACTCTGGCCCGCCGCACGCTTCGCAAATGTGTTTCTCCGTCGAAGATAGTCGGGCGTGGGCACGCCGGCTGTGGCTTGACGCTCTCTCGTCAGCGTCGTGGACGGGCGTTTCCCAGGCTGCTGTCGTGCGACATGACGTCCCAGAATGCAACACCGTGGCCGAAGTTCCGGCTTGCCGATGCGCAGTGTTCATGGAGCAGGCCGCCGTACGGGTGCGTCGTCTGGCCAGTTCACTCGCCAGGGCACGATCGAAGACACCTCGCGCCACGCTACAGAACCACCACATCGGCAGCGTCGCCAAGTCCAGAGATCGAGGCCGCCTTAGTCAGCCTGTGTGGGTGGATCGACATGTGCTCGGTCCATCACCGTGCGGCGAAGCTGCTGGACGGCTCACGGCTGGGGCAGCAGCGAGCGTCTGAGCCGCCGTCAGCTTTGCCGCCCTTATTCATTTTTTTCACCGCGACCGACTGCACGATGCCCGAAACGGGCGAGGGGGGCTCTGCGAATTGGCGAAATTACGAGCAGGTCGGCTATCATTGGCCTGGCCGGCTGGACAGTCCAGTTCGCTGCCAAGCAGGTACGTTCGTATCGGCGAGGGAGGGCGACGGCAGGCCGTGATTCGCCGGCACGATTCCGTGCTTTTCAGTCGAGTGAGGCGACGGCCACTGAAGCGCTCACGTCGTAGCCCATCCGCGGCAATTTCCATCTCATGCCCGCCTCGTGGCTCGCCAGCAAAACGAGGGGTTGGCCGTCGCCGTCGCCGCCGTCCCCGTCGCCACCCGGGTGCCCGCAACCACGCGCATCGTCGATCGCGAGCACGGCACAGTCTCCAGCCCGGCACCGGCGACAGCGCGAGGGCCTGCGCCCAGCACGACAAAGGGCCGTTCCAACACGCCGGGCGGCGGCCAATGACGCCAGGCAAGCCTCCAGCGCTCCCCCCAAAATTCGCTCGGCCGCTAATCTGGCGTGGCCTGGCCCGGCATCCAGCCATCCACTCCATGGGCCAGAAAGGTGCCCCGCGATTCTGCAGGTGCAGCTCGAAAGTCGCATTCCCAAGCGAGTCTAGTGTTTGCTTTTGAGCCTCTCAGAGGCGACGTCGAGGGCCAGCCTGCACAGCCCGCGCGCACCCGCGAACAGGCCCAGCAGCTCGCAAGCGTGTGGCATCTCTCCCCCTCCTCGTCCTTTCCATGGTCGTATGAAACAACTTCAGAGCGTCGTTCGGACGGCAGCTCTCTCCCTGCTATCCAGCGTCGACGCACCGCAAGGCATCGCCGCCACCCGGTCCTCTCTCCCTCCCAAATCTCCCCCTCCCCCGTTCTTTCGCCTTGGTCTTGACCTCCAGCGTCGGCCAGGCCCTCAAAAGTTTTCTCCAGACTCAAGCTCTGCACGTCCCTCCAACGGTCCCTGCTTCCGTGACTGGTCTCCCGCACTTGAGAAGCAGGCTTGAGGCTCTTCGCGTGCCCACCTTTCGCACGACTGTGCTACCCCGTTACAGCTCTGCCCTTCTGTTCAACCCATCGCTCTCTCACACAAGCCGGGCGAACCAGCCGAGCAGCATCTCGGTGTGTGCCCGCACCGCACCGTCACGGGCGCTGGCCAAAACTTCTCCTCCCTCCATCCGCGCGCACTGATGCGCAGCATCAATGTCTCCGACCTCTCCGACTGTTGTTGCGTTTGCCAACAAGTGAGCGTGAGATCTACGCATTGAAATTTGAGGCTCTGTAGTACCACCTAGCCTCGCCATTCCGGTCAGTCTCCCCTTTCCGTCTTCCAAGCTTGCACTCCGTTCATCATCCCACTTGGCCTTGACCGTCTCTCCCTTCCCGCAGCCTATCTCCGCTGAGCTTGCAGAGCCTCTCTCAGGGCTGCTCCTGCCTTCTCCACACGGCGGATATCTCGAGCCTACTCTTCCCTCCTAGCCTGCGCCGCTCTTCTTTGTTTCAGCTGTCGAGTGAGGCGGGGCCGTCGCCGTCATAGACTGACGTGCTCACGCCCGTGCCCACACGCCGCGGCTCTGCTCTGAACATGACGGAGGGGGACCGCTTTGCACAATCCTGCCTTCTGTAACGGTCATTGGACTTCAGCACAAGGCTCTCGCCCACATTACAAAAGCCCATCCCCGTCTACCCACGACATCATCCATGCCAACTTGCAAAAGATCAGTGCCGACGACATGGCTGACCTACCTTAGCTCTGCTATTGGTCCTGTCATCCTGGAGCCCCCTGCCATCGGGCATCTGCTCGTCAGTACGGCTGGCGCTGACCATCCGGGACCTAGCCTCTGTTTCTCTGAAAGTGGATATAGCTCTCATTGCCCAATCTTTACTGCTTTTTGCCTGTGAACGTACAAGGTCCGACTTTCGGACGGCATGTCACAGACCTACGACGATTACGACGCATACGGGCTTGGAGAAAGGGAGCAGTTAGTCCCCTTCAAACCCAAAATCACGCCGGAGAGCTCTCCAGAACGCTCTGTGAACATAGTCAGTGCGCCGACATCAAGAAGTACGGAGAAGGCTAAGTCTAGACGTAAGACATTGCCCAGCAAAGGGGACGCATATCTGCTTCGCATATCTCAGCCTAATTATACTGACGTGCATCGTGAAGCAGAACGCCATCTCCCCAGTGCGGATTCGGATGAGGAGTCGGGGGAGGATGTAGCTGACATAGACGAAAGAATAGCACAGGAAATGTTTCAGACAGAGAATGGTGCTCGAAAGATGAACGACAAAAAGCAGAATCAATACGACCAGCGACGCATTGAATCTTTGGTTACTGCCGAAGTCGAAATGGTGGATGTCGCAGACGTCAGAAAGCAAGCGACACCCTTTGAGAAAACGCACAGCGCGGAGCGGACAGAGGCTGCCGAAGATCTGCCTCAGTTAGCAGCAAACGCTCTTCAGAACATGGGCATCCACAGCCCTCCCAATTATCAAACCACCTCCACGGATCCCACGGACTCGGACCGTCGGCAGAGCAGCAGCACCACAACGAGCGCACAGTCGCGCAAGCTCTCCGACGGACTTGGAATTCGAATCAAGTCCGAAGCACCGTCATCCTTTACGCCTATGACTCCAGTTGAACCAAGCTTCCAGAACAGCGACCCGTTCTTCGTTTCATCGTATTTCCCCAAACATCGAAACTCGGTCGGCTCGCCTGGTGAGAAAATTCCTGCGATAAGTCCAGTCTCACCAGAAGCTGCCAATTCACTGCAGAAGCTTCCATCTGCCAAAGAAATCATCGAGATTGCGAACAAGACGAATGAGCACCGTCAACGCCAGGCTTCGTTGTCTTCCATGTCCGCACCCTCGCCTTTACCTAATGGTCACTACCGTGCCTCATTTTCGAACGCGCACCCGTCGCCGAGTATGATTGGCGAGCCGAAGTCCTCGCTCGTGCTCTCTCCACCGTCCGTGACGTTGCGGCGGGAAAGCTATCCCCTCGCTTCGTCCGCAGCAGCAACCACTGGTGACAGCCTTACAAGCCCAGATGCGGCCAGCCCGCATACACTACCTACGCCAAAGAGCAACCACAGACTGAGCATTGACGAAAATACAAGAACGCTACCGCCCCTTCCCGGCCTTGGACCCCCCTCGATAAGTGTCTCGACAATACCCGCGGCTGGATCGGGGGGATATAAATGCGACTTTCCCGGATGCACCGCTCCCCCCTTTCAAACATCATATCTACTCAAGTACGTATACCCTGCGCCATTCAATCTTCGACACGAGACTGACGCAGTCGAACTTGTTTTAGCTCCCACGCAAACGTGCATTCCACGAACCGTCCGCATTACTGCCCTGTGCCGGGTTGCCCACGTGGCGAGGGCGGCAAGGGTTTCAAGAGGAAGAATGAGATGATTCGGCACGGTCTAGTGCACGATTCGCCGGGCTACGTGTGTCCGTTTTGTCCGGATCGAGAGCACAAGTACCCTCGGCCAGACAACCTGCAACGTCATGTTCGCGTACACCACACGGACAAAAGTAAGGAAGATCCTTTGCTTAAAGGCGTCCTTGCTCAACGTCCCGAGCTGGGCGGCGGCAGCAGAGGCAGGCGCAGGCGAATGGCTCCATGATCGTTCGCTTTCAACATTCGACCCTGATTCTTCTTAATTTTTTTTTTTTATTTCATAACCCACATATGCACGTAATATAGTTTCTCAAGCTGAAGGTTTCGAGGGCAGCAACCAAGTGCTGGGATGCCCGGGTTGACGGGCTGGTCGGGACACGCATGTACCGAGCGGACTCTGGCGTTTTTTCCACGGTCGTCGTCGTCTTCGCCACGGACAGCGGGCGTGCTGGGAAGTAAATAATTTGGGAACTCTCGTTTTGATACCCCACCTCATTGTTGGTGCTGGTGCTGGTGCTGGTGCTGGTGCTGGTGCTGCTGGTGTTGCCACTGCTTTCAGGTTTGTTTGTTCAAATGGCAACACTAACCCGGAGCTGGCGTTTCGAATACGTTAATAAGTCAGGCATCACCGAAAGGGGAACAGGAGCATTTTTTGGTTTAGGCTGGGGGGAACGCAGACTTGGCGCAAAGTGGTTGCGAACGACGTCACGGCTCATACACGTCTTTTTCTCCGTACCTTAATATGACGACTTCACACTCGTCTCCGGCGCCCATCTGATCTCTTCCTTTGTTTCCTTCTCATCTTGTTTTCGTCGCCCTAATTGTCCTTTTTTGCTTCTCTTTCTACCTCGGCTGACGGCTGTGCAGCCGCATCATGATGGAAGGTTTCTAACCGGAGATCAGAGCGCGCTGATCATAGAAGGAATTGAGACAGCTCGCCTCAAGGAACTTTCAGCCAATTACATAATGTAAGTTCTACCGCTGCTCTTGCCAGAGTCTTGAAGTAATTCACGCAGGACGCAAGCTCGGGCAAGGTTTGCTTTCTACGCCGCCCCGGTTCATGCGCGCTGTGCAAGGAAAACATACGCCAAAAAGCGAAGCTATTGAATGCAAAGCTTGCAGGTTGCTGGGCCAAAACCAGTGATAGCGTTTGTGTCACATGTATAAGCTCCAATTTTGGCATGTTGATCATTGATCGTATCCACTCAGGCCCGCTTGTTTCCTTCTTTCGACGATCCCACCCAACACATCGTTACCCTTTTCTCGGCTGCCTCTACAAAGCTTGCGCCAGTCAACGAAGAGTCAACCCGGGCCCATCGCTGTCTGCACTGCTATTTACAAGTAAACATGCATGCATCCTAATTTCCTTTGTCAAACACGGCTCGAAAGGTCAGCCTCGTCGTCATTCATTTATGCGGGGAGGCTAGCGCGGAGCTTGGGGTATAAGAGAGAGTGAGACTCTTCCGCATGAGCTCGCAATACGCTCAATTCTCCTGCCGAAGCAGCCAAAAAGCAAACTTGCACCAGACAATCTTCTTGGGTCCGACCTTCGTTTCAGACATCATGCTGTCCAAGCATCTCAAGGTCGCCTTGACCATTCTCAGTCTTTCGCTCGTGGCTACCGCCTCCACTCCCCGCCATTTGGTTCGCCGAGGAGACCCCGAGTCTTACTGCCCTAGCTTTGGCGACATCACAGATGACGAGCGCCTATCTCTCTTCAATGCGTTCACTCAAATGCTCTTCGACGCAGCAAACAATAAGGATGCAGATGAGGTCGGCCTTGCATTCTCGAAATATGTGTCGCCTGAATTGATCGAGCATACCGCGTCTGCCAGCAGTTACGGTGCCGATGTGGGCTTCCTCTCAACATTGCTGCCCGGCACCACCGTTACTCCTATCGGCGGGCTGAGCGGATGCTTTAATTCGACAAATGGAGATCCAATTTGCACCATCCACTACGCCGCCAGACCAGACGGTTCATCCTCGCTCATTCCGAATGTCACTGCTATTTCGGATTTTTACCGCTATGACGGTTCTTGCATTGTAGAGCACTGGGACTCCACCTACATTGCGAGTGCCACGACCACGAACCCCAACTTCCCTGGCTCTCCCTAGATGTGTGGGTTGCTCAGTCATTCTAAAAGGTTCATCTCTTGTCCAAAATCGATTACTTTTTAATGTCAAGTTCAGGTAAATTAGCTAATCCATGCACTTGGCTTCCAAGTTCTCAATCTCTTTCGAATTTCTTTTTTCCCGTTCCATCTCAGCCTCCAGATTGCAGGCGATGTCGATATATTAGGCCGGATGTGAGCAATGATCTTCTCCGGGGGTGAATGGACGCGAATTTCGAGTCGAGATGGAACTCTTGTGACGTATCGCTCACGCACAAGCATTTGATTGGCACGCTCTTTTACGGCAGTTATCTGTTTCATACCTTGCTTACCTCGTTGTATTCGTACTGTGTTCAAACGCCCAGCCCCGCGGCACGGGGGGCCAAGGGTCTGGAGTCCACCATCTTTAAACAGCTTGGCAAAACACCAGCCTTAAATCCAGCGTCAAAACGGTGTTTCAAAATATTGTTCGCTGTTGGCTCCAAGTCATACGTATATCACGGTGAGCCCATTCCAGTCAGCCCGTGATGCTTCGCAGGCTTTTCCGCCGTCTCTGGCGTGCAACGTTTTCTCGCTTGTAAAAACAATGGCAAAATCTCAACTCGTCCCAACCGACCACGGCATTCAGATCGAGGGCTTCGTCTCGCACAATCCAAGCTTCGGAAGCATCGTCGGGGCATCTCCTAGCCTTGAGTTGCTTGTGGAGAGGGACTACCCATTTGCCCATGAAGCTGGCGTCTTCGTCCCGGACACGAACGACCTTTTCGTCACGAGCAACTGCCTCCAAGACAAGAAGGGCGCGTCTTACGTCACAATCACAAAGGTAAGCGTTTGGGGCTCTGCGCACGAAACCACGTGCGAGGTGATACCTTGGACAGGAGGCTACGACGACAACGCCGGCGCATCAAACAGCATTTGCATGGCCAGTGGAGGCGTGAACTGGGGCAACGACAAGATCTTGTTCTGCGCGCAGGGAAACAAGACACTACCGAGTGGACTCTTTACAATGACCGTTACGGAGCCGTACGGTCGCGAGGCGTTGCTCACCGGCTTCCACGGAAGGCCCTTCAACTCCGTGAGCGATGCCATCGTCGCGCGTTCTGACGGGTGCATCTGGTTCACGGACTCGAGCTACGGATACGAACATGGCTTTCGGCCCAGCCCGAGCCTGCCGGACCAGGTGTACAGATTCGATCCGCGTGAGGGAAGCGTGCGCGTCGTGGCGGATGGGTTCGCGCATCCGAACGGGCTGTGCTTTTCGCCGGACGAAAGCATCTTGTATGTCACCGACACGGGGAAAGTCCGGGGAGGAGGCACGGTGGATGCCCGCAAGCCAGCAACGATGTAAGTCAAACGTGATTCACGAACCGAGGACGGGAGGGGGGAGGGAGAGGGAAGGGAGGGTGAAGGGAGGTTGACTGGTTTTAACCGTGCGACGGCCTGACGCATAGACAGATATGCATTTGACGTAGTATACTATTCAAGCCAGCCATTCTTGACAAACCGGCGACTGTTCGCCATGACCGAGAGTGGTGTACCGGACGGCATCAAGTGTGACACGGACGGTAATGTATACAGCGGATGCGGAAACGGCGTAAACGTCTGGTCTCCCGGCGGCGTGCTTCTCGGCGTTATCGCCTTGCGCGGCGGCGTCACCAACTTATGTTTCGGGCGCGCGGGAGAACTGTTCATGCTGAATGAGAACAAGCTGTGGCGGGCGAGGATATCTCCCAGGGTTACGGGAGCGCAACTCAGATTATGAGGGTGAAAGTCAAGGCATCATCCTGGGGCGCCGTGCTCTGTGTTATTCCAGATCATCGCTTGGTGCTTTAGACCGGGGGGGATGCTAGAACAGATGAAGGCTAAGACAACGTGCGACAGGTCGGGCTTTCTTGCAGAAATGAAGATGACTTTCGCAATTTTGGTCGCGCGCGTTGCCTCTACAACCACCTTCAACCTGCGCGAACAAGAGCTATCTTGACAGCGTTAAGCATAACTGTCGCGCCGCACGGCTCTTCTGCCAACTTTGCGGGCAAACACTGTGCAGCAGATGTTTCTCAACACCGCATAACCTTCAAGTCTTGATTAGCAACATGTCTTCCCTTGCCGTCATTCATATTGATCTTCGAGTGTAGCAATGTGCAATTTGCTTATGGAATTTGTATCCGGTGCAAGCAACCCTGCTTCAATCTTAGCCCACGGCGACTGTCTGTATATAATCTTTCACTGGCTAAAACTGCGCACAAAGCCTGTCTCAAGATCAAGTTTCAGTTACGCTTGTGTGCAAAAAAAATTTTTTTTCTTTTTGCCTTCTTTTTTCTCGCGTCTTTCAGCAAGCAGCTAATCGAAGATATCGATCCAACTCGAGTCATGCATATTCTCTCGGCCATTACGAGCTTCTTAGCTTTCGCCATGCTGGCAAATGCTGCTTGCGAGGACACCGACTGCAAAGTATGGGTATGTTTGTACAAGCTCACCAATTTTTTTTTCCTTTATTTCTTTTTTCTTTTAATTTCTTTTTATTTTTTTTTAAAAAATTTTTTTTTAAAGTTTTATTGAAAAAAAAAAAAGTTTTCTGTGCGGCGCTGAAGCTAGAGACAGTGCGTCGGCTATCCGTCTGCATGGTGTGTGGATGATACCGGGGATCTCGAAATCGAGTACGTGAATACGACCTGCTGCCCTACCAGACTACAGCCTTCTTGCTTCGACATCTTTTTGCCATGTGCTATCGCTGATGGTTCTTAGCTGCGAGTGCTGGACCGGACATGACGAATGCGAAGGAGGTTGCTCGTCCTAGAGCGGATCGTAAGCTCTACGCTGTTGGACACGAAAAGGCTGCCGAGCAGAGCACGTGCAGATTGCAACCTATCACTCGGTTCGAAAAGAGTGCCTAGCTTCTCAGAGTCAAGAAATAATGGGGACAATGGGATTGGAGCGGATCGCGATAGTAAGATCAATACTTCAAAAGCATCCGTTCGATAACTTAGACTTGTGTGCTTGGCAAGTACTTCGCTGGTGGAGCCGTGCCTGGTAGGAAACGGCATAGCGCTGAGGAGAGAACATAGGAAAGCTAAGCTCAAAAATGGAAGTATTAAGGTAGCCCTTACATCCATACTGACATGAAAAAAAAACCTATTTGTCCATATCAAAATTGTCCCCGACGTCCAATATTTGTCATATACTGTTCTCAGAACTAGCGGCCTGGAAGCCTTAGCTTCCCCCCCCCCCCAGCTAAGGATGAAACTTGACTCTTGCTTAGGCAAGAACTTGACCTCAGACTTCCTTCCAACATCATTTTGTAAAACTTCGCGAACTCTGTGCGTTCGCTTTCTCGGTTGTCCAAGTCACGTTTTGAACTATATCTGAGAGAAGGAGAAGCATATACGGCAGCCATTCTATTTTTGTTGGGCAATAGCAGCCTGCTCTATCTGTACATAAGCGCGGATTGCAACACTGCCTCGCTCACCAGCGGTTAAGCAACCAGCCTTAAATAGGACCTAAAAGTACGGACACTATACCCCGCAGTACAACAAAGAAAAATAATTCGGAATGGCGCCTTCAGAGGACGCTCGTAAGCGAAAAACCGCTCACGAGAACTCGACAACGTCGCCGAAGAGGCTGCGAAGACGCAGAGAACCGATAGAGAATATCGGAACCTCATCTCATGAGACCGAGGATACGCCGTATGGCCAGTGTAGTGCGGTGTCCAGCTCGTCTTCCACGCCCAGGACGTCTCATCTTATGGTGTCACCTCTTCCGCCTTCGACCATTGCCGAGGAGGCGGAAGAGACCAACGATTATGATGACGGATCAGGTGACAGCGTTTCTTCTGCGCCGTCATCCGCCATATCAGATGTCCCACCTTGGGACCCAAGCTTCGACATAACGAGCATGTTGTCACGGCCGGCAAGCGAATCCTCTTCCTCCAGTTTCGTGCGCAACCTGCGAGCTTTCCAGAGCCGCCCTGGCATGCTCACCAAGATAAGCGATCAGTGGCGCCAGGCTACTCGTGAGCCCGTGGCCGAACCAAGGTCCAGGGCGGGCCCGAGTTCAAGCTGCTTTCGAGCTCAGAATCTCGAGGCTCGGCCCAGTTCCGTACCCTTCCTCGATGTGCCACGTGAGCTTCGCGACCAGATTTACAGGGAGATCTATGTGCACGACGGTGCCATTTCGATTCGCCAGCCTAAGTTCCATTTGCCGGTGCGGGCACATCCGGGCAAGCCGATGGCCTTGATGAGAACGCACCGCCAAATTTATGAGGAGGCAATGGCTATCTACATCGGTCATAATGATTTCATACTTGATCTCAATATCTTGACCGCCATTGATTTCCTAGCGGCGATGCCTCAAAAAATAAGTCAACACTTCACGAACATTACGTTAGGAAAGTCGATCATGAGTGGCTATGTGAGATACGAATTGGGAATGTTTGACTCTTCCAGGCTTCGCACAGATCTGGTCAAGCGACTGGTTTATGACTGGAACTTGAAGACGATATCTATAGAGGTGCCCGACGAGCACAACCCAAACCCCTTCACTATAGGAATCAATAATCAGGGACACCACGGTGCGAATGGAGTAGCACCGGCTGGCGTATTCTTCAACCTCTCCACCTTTCACCCACGCCATGACTACTCGTGGTCGCTCATGCGCGAGCTCGTCGATGTCCTTTTAGAATCAGGATTCGACAACCTGAGACTCATCTACAACACGCCTCTCCCGCCACACCTTAATGTCGACTCTGATCCCAAGAAGTTGCTCAATCTATATGCACTGGCTAGAATACTGTATCTAGACGATGAATACGAGGTTGAGACACAGATCAAGCGCATTGAGGCGGCTAGAGCTGCTGGAAGAAGGAACGAGTTTCCGAACAAAATGGCCGTGGAGAGGTTTGTGAGGGAACGACGGACGATAAGAAAGTTCGCCGTGGGAGTCGGTTTGAAGAAGGACTGGGAAGAAGGTAGCGTAATTGTGATTAGAAGACCTGGGACTACGGAGAAAGATAAAGAGAAAACGTATGACATTGGAGACTTGATGGCAATGCCGGGAGCGAGTGTTTCAACGGATCAGTGAGGGTTCAAACTGTAGGGTCTAGATTAACAAATAAAGGAGAAAATGTGCAAGATATTACCACGTGAGATATGTGGCGTCGTAAATGTACATTGCAAAGACTGTCCTTTGTGCTAGCTCTACAGAGCCTTTAAAATTCAATCCTACAGGGCCTTTGACTTGGTTCATTCAACCTGGTCCAAGCTCAGGCTTTCATGTTTAGTTTCGGCTCTAACACATTTCATTGAGACAACACCTGATTCCCATTTTTACGACTCTCGATTTTGCGCGCCCCCCCCCCCTTTCCCTCTCCAAAAGAAATAATGTCATTTCATACTGCCTTGCGCTGGTTCCTCGTCCCCACAACTACTTTGCTTACAATCGACTTCCTCGGCAAGTCCTTCGCCCGAGTGCAATGGGTCTCTGGCTGCAGCATGGCACCTACGATATCGCCAGACTTCCTGGAGACGGGGGAGCGCGACCTCGTCCTTGTATTCAGGCACAGCCTCGCCGGCTCCGCAATAGCTAACCTCCGAAGAGGCGACATCGTGACCATGATCAAACCGCACGAGCCTCAGAGCGAGCTGGTCAAGAGGGTCGTCGCCCTGCCGGGCGACCTCGTCATGCGCGACGTCCGGCGCGTCGGGAAGCAGGAGGTGGAGGGCGGCAAGCACAGCGAGGAGCTGGGTCTCCGGCCGCTGCCACCCATTGTGCGGGTGCCGACCGGCGCGGTGTGGATGGAGGGCGACGAGTGGAGGAAGAGCCGCGACAGCAACGACTTCGGCCCCATCAGCCAGAGCCTGATCACGGGGCGCGTCTGGGGCGTGCTGTGGCCGCCGCATCGATTCGGGCCCTTCCCAGCCTCGGCGCCGGACTCGAGAACACAAGTCGTCGAGGGCCTTCCGCCGTCGATATCGACGTTGGATTTCGTATGAAAAGAAGGGGAGGGAGACAAAAAGGCCCACGACCGTTTCTGTGGTGGTTCGGCAAATAGATATGTCGGCAGTACGTTGACGCTTAAGCTTAGCGCTAAGGACTTTCGTGCTGAATGAACGGATAGAAGAAGAGTCCCACCGGCCGGTCACGCAGCTTCTGCAAGCTGCCGCCCTCCTCATACGGCTATCAACAAGTCCTGCGTGATTTGTTCAGGGGGCATCATTGAACCGGCCTTAGTAAAGGAGGCCGTATCTGAGCCAAGGTGTGATGTAGCTTTAAGCGGTTTCGTTCATCGGGCACAATTGCACGATGACGCCAGGAGTCTTACGCCGCTTTTATCTTATTCTTGGCAGGCGTCTCAAGTTCGCGAGCTGTCCTGCCATCGGTACGCGAGAATAGCACAGGTTTGGGTTGGGACACAAACTGAGAATATCAAGATACCAACCAGCCACTGAGCACAGGACTATCAAGCCCATAGGGCGGTGTATGATTAATTCTTGAGGTCTATGTACATTAAAAGTCCTACAACCAGTCGCGCATTTCAGCGGATTAGGAAGCTCTGTTGCTTCAGCAATCCAGAACGTACCAGCTCCATCGCCTGTCCGTCCATAACATCGTGGATATATGCATCTCCAACGAGAAAGTGATGACCGTTGATCTTTCGAAGTATATATGGTACTTTGCAGCCAAAAATAATGCAGACAGAGTCTCCCACCTGAGTAGCATTAGGTACTAGGCCCATATACCCCTTTGTAGTCCTGATGAAAGCTCTTCTATAACTCATAGAGTGCGCTTCATGCAGGTAGTTCTTCCAGTCACCATTTGGGGCCTCATCAGCCATCTCAGCATACTGTCTAGAGTCTTGAGCGCACAGCTGGACTAGACGAATAACATGAGCAGAGAAATCAGCCATAAGACGTTCGCGATACTCCTCATCGTAGTTGATGCGATATCCAAGGACAAAGGTGGACGCAAAAGCTTTGGCTAGCTGTTTAGTGGATGGATAAAGAGAAAAAACAAGGTCTCTTTGTTCGCGCCAAAGTTTCAGAAGACTGTGATCAGTTGGGTTTCCCAGGACACTGGAATGCTCATTCTCGTTGAAGAGAACGTCTGGATCGAGTTCATATTCGCTGAGAATAGTGTCAAGAACCACTCCCTGCAACTCGAGAATCGCGTCGTTGCCTTGGATCTCGGCAAATAGAGCTGAGTCACTTGACGCGTTCCAACCTGCCTTCTGCATAGCAATTGGTACCCGAACCCGTTCTTGGTCCCACTGGGGTATCCAAGATGGAAAGTCCTCCAGATTGACTCCGCGATTGTGCTGTGCGCACGACAGAAGGAATGGATCCTTGTCCTCAACAAGACATCTTTTTGCAATTTCCCAGTAAAGGCTTTGTCTTGAACGTTTATAGTCTGGTTGCAGGCTGCTCTCCCACTTTCGGAGCGGACGTGTGCCCAAAAGAGCATAAACCTTGTCCAATGGATCGCTGGCCACAAAGTTTTGGCCTTGCAACAGCATTGACGCCGCTGAAATTGTTGACTGGTGATGACGGCTCCGCATTATGTAGGCGTTATACCAGAAACCTTCGTGGATATTGGATATGTGTTCTCTCACTGCTGGCCATCTTTTAATGTAGGTCGCAGCCAAACCTACGACGTCCCAACTGAGATGGCTCGTTCCGCAAATAACATCTACATTCGGACCACTGTTGACTTCTTGGAAAACCCAGAGTCTTTGAAACCATGCTCGCGAGAAATACCAGGCGACAGACAGCCAAGCTGATTTGTCATCTGTGAAAGCAGCGTTGTCGGTGAGGCTGTAAAGGTCGTCCATGGCTTTCATGTCTCTCAACTCGTTGGGAAGACGCCTACAAAGGCTTATAGCCAAAGTTTGCATGAATTGAGCCGCTTTGGCAGCTTCGCCGTCCTCATCCTTTCCAAGCCAGACGACTACTTTCGTCGCGTTTGCGTAGATCTGGCGCATGATGCTGACCTGTTGTCCTCGTTCTTCCAGGTTATTTTGATCGATACAAATTGCATCAGCCCATAGGAAGCGAGACCTGTCGCTTTGACGAAGATGAATCAACCCGTCTCGAAGATTTGTTGTAATATATAATGGTTGTTCGTCACACAGTGTGGGAACCTTATTTTTGGAGTCTCCCCAAGCATAGGATAGTGCTTCATAGACAGGGCTCTTTGACCAGTCCTCAAGGTGGAGTCTAAAAGCCAGATCTGCGTTCTTCTCACCAGGTAAAAGCTCGAGGACGCGAAATGAAGATTCTGTGGGAAGAGGTGAATACTTATAATTTGGAATCGATGGTTGACCTGTGTTCGGAATGGTGTCGTTGGCGTCTGAAGAGAGCTCTCCAGCTCTCTGTGCACCGTTATTCGCATGCATTGTGGGCTGAGAGCTTTTGCGAATGGCATAAACATCGAATTCGTCACCGATGAAGTTGTTTTCATCCAATGACGGTATTCGTTTCTTGAGAGCCCGAATCTCTGCCAGACGATTTTTAGCACGATACACTTTGAAAAGCTCCTCGGCAATGGCCGTTGTTCGTGGATTGTCTAAGGAAAGAATCTTGCCCTTCGCAATCTGATCTAGGAGCGCATTGCAACTTCGTTCTACCTCGTCTGATTGACCGAGGCGAGCTTGTATGCGTATATAGCCGTATTTTGCGTGGATCCAGTCTGGATGTTCCGCTGGCATTGCGTTAAGCAGAGGCCCAAGAACTTTCTCTGCCGAAACCCATTCTCCACATAGCGCAAGAGCTCGTGCTAGGTTACCTTTCGTCATGCTCATGCCGGCATGATTGTCGCCTAGGGTGCGTGAGACAATAGGGATGATTCTCTTCAGCATCACGGCTGCCTCTGCAGGACGTCCACGTTCACATAGCACCTTCGATAAATCATTTACTGACCATAGAGTATAAGCATGTTCCTCCCCAAGCATCTCTTTGCGCGATTTGAGTACGTTCGAAACTAACCGCTCTGCCACGGCTAGATACTTTTTCTGAGCGCATAGAAGGACGCCGTACTCATTCTTGACCATAAGAGTGTCAAGGTGGTTCATCCCAAAGAACCTCTTACGCATTTTGAGAACATACACAAGCATTTCGCTACTCTTTTGATACTCGCCCAAGTGTAGATACGTCCGAGCGAGGTTGAACATAGCATTCAATGTTTTCGGATCCTCTCGGCCCAAATGCTTTATCAGACCATTGACAGCTCGTTCTCCAACCCGCTTTGATCTCTCCCTTTGACCAACAAGCCATAAGCTCTGGGTTAAATCATCTAATGCTAGACAATATGCCACGTGGTCGGGCTTCCACGGTGTCAGGGTGAGCCAGCAACTAAGAGTCGGCCGTATAAACCATAGGGCGAGGAGCATCCACATCTGAAGTATTATCAGGGGCTTTAGGTCGAACAAATTCCAGTACGTTGATCCCAAGTGTCGTTTTGCACTTAATGTAGCTTCATGGCAGCGTCCCAAGTGCCTACTTCGGAAATTCACGACCAGGACCTGTAAATCGCGTGCTTTTTCCCACATCCCGTTTTCGGCATAAACCCAAGCGAATTTCTCGACGTCAGCAGCTCGTTCAATAGTCTCTGGAAATTGCGGTCGTTGCTGTTTCAAGGTTTTGAGACAAGCGTCCATGTGCGGAATCAGAAGTTGACGAAATCGACGCCCAGAAGCTTCCAATTTGGAGGATATGGACGAAGCAAGCACTGACATGGCACAGTCGAACCATTTGCGCTGATCTTTATCACTAAGTCTCTCTCGAGCCCAGGCATGAATGACCGGGTGGAGCATAAAGGCGCGCGTTTTGAGCTCGTGATCCACGAGGGAGTAGCTAGAAAGCACCTGTATCGCACTTCTGAGGCGCGCTTGGAAATCTTCACTACTATCTGGCCGAAGTATCTCGGGGAATCGGTTGGAATAAGCTTGTGATTCCTCAATCTCGTTCCAAGCTCTCTGGAAGATCTCCTCCGGTATCGACTCAAAATGCATGAATGCAAATATATGCAGTAGATCTACTGCGTTCCTGTACTCGACTGAAGGACGACTTGCAATCCGCTGAAATGGGATTTCCCATGTAGTGATTATATTAGTGTCATCAATACTTCGGGTTTCTCGGTAACTCATGGCCTTTCGGTGGCCAAGATAGTGATGCAGATATCTTTCAAGGGAGTATATTTTGCGTCGAATTGTTGCTCCAGCTTGCGCCAGTGGAAGAGCTAAGTATCCTAGTTCGGAGGCAATGCATTGAGCAAGACTACGGGAGCGTGGATTGGGGCTTTCGGTTTGGTCCATCACTTTGGCAGTCCGTAAAAGTAGACTGATCGCCTCCTCAGGGTCCATTCCTTGGAATTTGACATGACCCACGGTTGCATAGTCAACAACGCTGGGGTTGCGAGTGGTAATAAGAATATGGCCATGACTTCCAGCGGGAATGAATCGCGATAAGTCCATGTCTGGATCATCTGCATTGTCCAGAACAATCAACCAGGGCTTTTTACATTGCAAAAGCCAATGCATTGCAGCCGAACAACTCCCTTCTTTTGAGTGGTTGCTTCCATCACGTACTTGCTGGTCAATTTTTGCAAAACTCGCTTCTGCATTCTCCGTGGTGCTTGCATCTATCCAGAAAATGCCCCAGTATCTAATGCTATACGTAAGAATTAAATGCTAAAAGAGATCTAAATTTAATGAAACGTACCTCAAACGATTATCGTGCACATATTTTAAACAGAACTGGGTTTTCCCGGAGCCACCAAGACCGTATATAGCAAATATTGCATGATTTTTCCTACCTACCTGCCGTTGCGCTTCGGAAAACTTGTGCTTAACATCTCGTGCGCATGCTTCTCTCCCGGTGAAGAATCTGGTAGGTTGTCTTTCGACAAGAAACCACTTGTTGATGTCCCTTGCAAAGGCATGATTGGTAGGTACGTTAGCGAGCGAAGGTTGATTCCTCTCTGTATCATAATCCAATCTTAGGGTTTGATTCATTCTGTCTTCACTGTGCCATCGTAACCTGATGTGTTCAGGAGCGTCTCGTGCATACCTTTTCAGCGCGTCTTGTACCAGCTGATATCCATAGTTTTCAGCATTGCCGAACTTTACAAGTCCAGAATGATTGGCGAAAATTCCACACCGCTCAACATTTTCCCATAACGGAGCAGCAGAGTCCTCTTCAACAATATATTCCGCTGAGTTTTCGGAGGTTGTTTTGATTTCCTCCCAAAAATTGAAGATGCAGAAATCATTCAGTATCGATGCAAAGACGTCGCCAATCTCGTTGATCATCTCAGATCCTTCCCTCAGATTCATCATGAATTCATTCGATCCGCTCATCTCTCTTTTTTTAGTCATTAGTATCGAACGTTTCTTCATTCCTTTATGAGGAGTTCCCATGAAGAGTATAGCGTAGGTGGACAGGTAGATTGAGCGCTGATGTTCCACTCGCGGAGATCTTCTCATGCACGAGAAAGCCAAAGCTCGTTTGACCAGGAGACCACCGATGCCGTGGCAGATGAATATTATCGGGCGTTTTCGAGTATGCGCATCAGAGCGCTGGGAGCATAGTTCAGCTATCAGCGTTGTGGCGCATGATAGCAGCCGATCAGAACTTCCTTCACCCGGGGCAGCCAGTGCACTTGCGTCATAACTGTAGAGTAGTATTCGGGTTTTGGTAGCACGATGAGGATAAATGTCTCGTAACCAAAGCACATTTCCTTGTCGTTCAGTCCACGTCGAGATAGCGTCCTCGTACAAACCATGAATTGCTACAACGCTGGGCAGAAGTTAGAGCGTGTTCACTTGATTTTTAATTCGAGATTGGGTGATTCAACTCACTCGATCGCAGTAGTAGCATCCTCCTCTTGAATTTGTTTTGGCTTGGATAAGTCAATGAAAGGCATTTCAAAGGGTTAGGCCCAGCGGGACAGATTTTGACTTCGCAGCCAGCCAAACGACAAGATTGTGCAGAGCAAGACGGATCCAAGGCGTCCCAGCCAACTGAACACCCTCAAACAAACATAAGGCTTCTCTCGAGGACAAAGTGCAGGCGTTGAACAGCGAACAAGACCGCGAAGTAGACAATACAGTAACTGCCAATGTACCACGAACTTCGAGCAGCGACTTTGCGATGGGGGAGCTGCTGGCTTGGAATTCGACATGAGACTCACTTGACAAGCGTAGTCCTTGCCGATCCACCTGTCCCCCGTTTCCCCTTTGCCAGATGCGAGAATCCTTTGCTTGGTTGCAGAAGAACCGTGCACAGAAAGTTAGGGATGGTGATTTCGAGAGAACGAAGATGCGGCCACAATGGCTTGAACTTGTTGTGATAACAAACCCCCATACCGCCGCAGACACGATCAAACATCCCTTAAAAAATCCTACGCGTGAAAAGGGATAACCAGCTTACGTGTTTCAGAGGTGTGCCAAATCCTCCTGAAGTTTTGCAAGGTAAACGATCCTCTTTGCGGCAATTGGCGCTAAACTTGTGTACACCGTGCAGCGTCGTTCTAACGGGGCGGCTCGCTCCCGCTTTCTGTTGGTCCAATCGTCTTGTTGTCACGCTGCCATCCGCGCCAAAACGCCAATGGATTTGCTCCCGGCCACTGGCAAAGCTTCAAAGAGACTTGTCCCTGCTCTGCTCCTCTCGGTTCAGATGCCCCTCGCTAAAGTTCGCTGTTTGTTGAAAGTTCTCCCTTATAGCTCTCAGAGCAGGCGTAAATCGAGCTCCTGTTCGCCTTCAAAATGACTCTTTTTTATCTCATTTCTGCTCTTTGCGCTTCAACCTTTGCCTTCATCATTAGTCGCGTGATACGTGCGAAGCGTGAACGGAAGGTAAGCGACGCCCAGCTCGACAGGACGAAAACTATATTTCACTTGCTTTGGGATAGGCGCGTCGTCCATGTGGCTTTGACCGTTACTGCCTTGTGGTTGTCTCAAGTAGTTCTGTTCATGAGAGAAGACGAAGACAATTCTTCGAACTGTGCTTGATGGTTGTGGAACTTTCTCATTCAAAACTGAGAAATCGAGCCGCTCCACATATCCAGGAATTCTCTTTTTTCCTTCTGCATGATTACTATGCTCCCTGTTGTCTCTTGAAAGCTTCGAAGTTCGCCGAAATGAGCTGCTGACATTTGCGCAGGCTGCGGAGGCGGCGGCGGCACAATATGGCTGTTTACCACCGCCGCGACTTCAAAATCAACGCCCGTTTGGAATCGATCGTTTGGAACAGATCTTTCGTGCAGACACCGAATGTCGTCTCATGGAACTCTTCCTCTTCCATTTCAGACAGACTGGGAATACGTTAGAGCAGGTCTTCCTCGGAACCAAAGCGTTTGGTACCATCGACCCGGCAAATCTTGAGGCTATATTATCGACGAATTTCAAAGGTAGGCCTTCCGAAAAGAAATGTTGCAACCAGAAATTCATCTGTCTTGGCAGACATCGGCATGGGACCTCGTCGTGATATAACATTTCCCATGTTCGGCGACGGCATATTTACGCAAGAAGGCGCTGCGTGGAAGCACTCCAGAGATATGATTCGCCCACAGCTTATGTATAAGCAATACAGTGACCTCGAGCTTTTCCGAGAGCCCGTCGACGATCTTATACAGAACGTCGAAGAGAGCGGTGGAATTGTAGACTTGCAGGAGCTTTTTTTCCGCATGACTCTTGATGTGACCACTGCATTCTTGTTTGGGGAGTCGGTTCGAAGCCTTAAAGCGCCTGATTCCACAGGGGAGCAAACTTTCGCAGATGCGTTCAACACTGCTCAATCTTACGTCGTTCAGAGATTTCGCCTTCTGGATTTGTATTGGCTGATAGGCGGAAGCAAGTTTCGAAAAGCTTGCAGTGATGTCCATCGTTTTGCAGATCAGATCATAGAGCGCAATCTTTCAAGAGACCGCACCAAGGATAACCAAGGACAGTATGTGTTCCTCGACGCCATTGCTGAACATGCGCCGGATCGAACTGCTCTGAGGGGCCAAATAATAAACATTTTAGCCGCAGGCAGAGATACGACCGCCTGTCTTCTTTCTTGGACATTGTGAGTATAGATTTGGGCCAAGTAGAGACACTCACAACTGATTGCGAGACAAGTTTCCTGCTAGTCAGGCATCCGCAAGTGATGCAAAAGCTACGAGCTGAGATAACACAGTATAACAAAGAAAATCTCGACAGAAACGACTTGCGTAACATGCCGTACTTGCAAAATGTTTTGAAAGAAAGCTAGTCAACCCAAGTCCGCCAGTTGAGCTGAATTAACATCTTGCAGCATTGCGCCTGTACCCTTCTCTCCCAGTAAACACTCGAACAGCAATAAAAGACACGATACTTCCAACAGGAGGCGGCCCGGATCGCAAGTCTCCGGTATTCGTTCCCAAAGGTTCAGCGATTGCCTACAGTGTGTACTCCATGCATAGAAGGCCGGACCTCTACGGCATGGACGCAGAATTATTCCGCCCTGAACGATGGGACGAGGACATGCCACTGAACAAAGATCCCACCAACGCAAAGTGGGGTTACCTGCCATTCAACGGGGGACCAAGAATATGTATTGGAAGTAAGCGTCACACAAGCCCTGTATGCGCTTCATCACACTGACCTGGGCCTGCGCTCAATAGTGGACTTTGCGCTTACAGAAGCAGCCATCACGGTTGTTCGACTCATACGGCGATTTCCAAACATGAAGTTGCCGGAGGGGGAAACGGTGGAACTGGTCGGAGTGGAAAAGCAGACGACAACGCTGGTGGTGTCGATCACGAATGGATGCATGGTCGACGTCGGCAGCGATTTGCAGAGATGATAAGAACTCTCGTATCGTGGTAAACGGATGATTTTTTTTTCCCGCTAGATTAATCTCCACATAAAGATTTGAATCTGAGTAGAAACTTGGCTAGCCCTGCTTTAAAGTGGTCTCGGTCTTGTCAACGTATTCGTGTGACAAGGAAGTCCACGTGGAGTCAACATGTACAATTCATACGGGTCCTGCTACCATACAAGCCTATTTAGGATATCTTCTACCGAAATCGAAAATTCCACATCAAATCGTCCTTCATTAAATCCAAGTCTTTAGATACCCAACTCATCTCTTTCCTCTGCCGTCAGGAAAGTACGGACGAACGTGAATGCTGAGCCCTATCAATTCACCTTTTACTTTCGCTGATACCCTCTCCTAGTCCTTCCTAAGCTCCAGCCGAGGGTTTTTCAGTTTTGCAGTGGAGAGCCATATGGGGGCAAACCGACAATTTGACTGGGTAATGTCTGGACGTTCAGCGCATGCACATCCTCTCATCGACCTGCCGGGCCTCACAAGCCAAGGCTAATTTTTCTAAAGCCGGTTCAGCACGAAGAATGAAAGATCCGATCCTGGCGTATCGCCTAATCTGTGTATAGGGAGGGCCCTTGATCGCGAAGGGCTCGTGAAATTCAACCAAATGAGGAGGCCGCTTCAGACGAGCCTAGAAGCTGGACAGGTTGCACGAGTAGTGTGAAGATCCGCTTGAATAATCCCCACGAAATCGGTTCCTCAAGTATTTGACAGGTTGGATGCGAGCCACGCGCTGCTAGTGTTCAGGAAGCGGACGATACGACACGGTTTAGAAGAAGGGGAACTGCTTCCCTTTCAGTGCTTCACGCTGGCAATATCACCACATGCGCAGGCATCCAATCTGCACACCTTCCCGTCAAGAATTCATAACACAATCGCTACTGGCGTCTCTCTCTATATCTCTCTCTCCATACTCCGTCGCGCGAGCGGGTAACCCTCCGCGCTTGGTTCGACGCATTAAAAAAAAAGGGGGGGGGGGAGGGGACACGCGCAAAAGATGGTGGAATGATTAAAATGAGACCTCACGCATGCTCGACGGCGTGAGATACGACGGCCGCGGAGTTTCAAATATTATTATTTCCCGTCCTCCTCACCCCTTTCGAAGTAGGACAATCCCCTTCCTTAACCAGTTGCTCACGGGATCGCGTGGGATGCTTTCGGAGGCGCGTCCAAAGACCCGATGACATCACATGATCAGCTGACGGTTGGCGTACGTTTTTAAGTTTTGCGTCGCCTCGACCGACGAAGCGGTTATTTCTTCATCGTTTCTATTTATTACCCTGGACTTTGCTCGTCCAAACTTTGCTCGCGCTTGATGCGGCGAATACGTCTGTCAGGCCGGAGGACGAAGAAAGGCGTGGAGAAGAGGATAAGATAAAAAAAAAAAAAAAAATAAGAGGAAAGATCGATGTTGGGATGGCGCTCAAGATGGTTGGCAAAGCGTCAGGTTCCTCCAGACTGTTCCGACTGAACTTTACCGGCGACGTGATGCTCGGCCGGCTCATCGACGGACTGTTCGCCACCAATGTCGCGAACGCGGAAGACAGGTCGCACTGCGACACGATCCGGGAGCGCCACCCTCGTCTGCGTGACTACAACGCGCAGTCTCCCTGGGGAAGCACGCTGCCGCTGTTCCGGACGGCAGATCTGAACCTGATCAATCTCGAGACGGCCGTCACGACGTCGGACGACATCTGGCCGAACAAGGTGTTCAACTATCGCGCACACCCACAGAGGGTGCAGTGCTTGCAAGAAGCGAAGATTAGCTATGCGGGGCTGGCCAACAATCACACGCTTGACTTTGGTGTCGCGGGGCTGGAGGAGACAGTAAGGTGCCTCGGAGACGCACACATTGCTTCCGCAGGGGCAGGCCTAGACGCCCATGAAGCAACGCGGCCAGCGACACTACGGATACGTGGTGACATGGACAATGTTGAGTATCAGATCCACGTCTTCGCAGCGAGTGACCACCCGCACGACTGGGGCCGAATACCCGGCTTCCATCTCATCGACTATACTTCTGCGACGCGTCAAAGGCTGAAGAAGCTTTTGATGAGCTACAAGGAAAGCGAGAAGCCAGATCTGAAGGTGTTTAGCGTGCACTGGGGTCCGAATTACAGCTGGCATCCATCGGACGACATACGAAGCTTGGCGCACTTTCTTATTGACGAATGTGAAGTTGACATCATCCACGGACATTCGTCCCATCATATCCAAGGGGTTGAACTGTACAAAGGGAAGCTGATCATCTACGGATGCGGAGATTTTGTGGACGACTACGCACTTAATGCCACATATCGCAACGATCGAAGTGCTGTCTGGACGGTGCTAGTTGAGCCGTCGGAACAATCAGGACTAAGACTCACAAGGCTAGAGATATGGCCCACGATGATCGAAAAGTTCCAGGCCATGGTAGCGTACAGTGGAAGTGAGGAGCACAGGTGGGTTTGTAATAAGATCATAACTTTGAGTCGAGATCTGGGAACCAGCCTAGGTAACGAGAGGGGGGATCAGGGACAGCTTCTGATCAACGTCAATTGAGGATTCTCGTGCTCATGAACGCTATTGATGCCTGAGTTGGGCTTTACTAGCACAGCACTAGATCGCCGAAGGACCAGATGATCATGCCCAAGACGCGACGGAGGGACCGCGACAGGCAGCTTTGCATTACAGTCGCCATTCTAGGACAAGAGTCTCGATCACTCTGCAGAGCCTGCGGATTCGAGCTGCGCAGGACATACAACGACAGGAATCGATCCGGGCATGGATTCCAAGCGACTTCAAAGATAAGGATTGGCAAAGGCGGCCTGTGGCGGCGAGGAGATGAGGGCGGGATCCTCTAGCGCTCATGGCGGGGTTTGGTCTAGATCGCGCATCAGAGCCCAGTCAGAGATTGAACGACTGTTTAAGGCCTCCATCGAACCTGCCGACCGTCTCAACCGAGTCTGGGCATCGCAAGACGATGTGGACGGTGTACAACAGGTGTGGGAGCCGCGCAGTTTCAGACAGAGAGACCGGTGGAGTGGTTGATATGGGGAAGCAACGGTGGTGAGACGCGCGAGCAGAAGCATGCACATCAGCCTGACTACGCGTTCATTGTGCGTGCTCTTTGCCCAACTGTGGTGTGCTCGGCGCCGAGTCCTTGCAAGGCGTCGGAGCTTAGCTTAGCAAGCATGTGAGAATACCGCGCAAGGCGAAAGATAGCCGCTGTTCTAGTGCGAGAAGAATGACAGCGCCGGAACGAGAACTACGAGTGCATTTCATCCAGTAGCGTCCCGTGTAAGGATGGTAGAATTGCGGCGAGAGGGGGAGCCGTATCATGCAGCGATGTGTTCCAGACTGGGCCAAGGCGGGACAGGCATGATCGAGGGCTGTGGCATGGAGGTTCCTTTGCGGAGCCGGCGCGATCCCATCAATCTCTCCAGGAGGGGAACATTACGAGAGCCACCCGTCGTATATCGTGAGCAACAGTCGCTCTAGGGCTTGGTGCCGGGAATAACAGAAGCCTAGTCACACCGTCGTTCCACCACTCTGCTTCTGGCAATCGTCTAGAAGGCCGAAGAATCAGGCGACCGCCTTGGCGAACGCCTCCCAGGCTTGCTCGGCGGAGGCTCGGACTCTCAGGTCCAGGGGCCTGATTGCAGACACAGGGTGGGATAATCAACATCGAGCAACGGTCGTTAAGATGAACTACCAGGGGACTGTACTGTGTGCTTTCTTTGAACAGAAATCAATAGCTCGCTACTGGACCTGCGCTGGCGGGGACGCGACTCAGCGCACGTCGAGACGCGCTTGGCTGGCAGAGGCGGAGGAGCAAGTGCGCAAAGAGATTCGATGAAGGCCTAGAATCGCATCGAAACCCGTTCGACGGGGACGGCCCGTAAACGGCGAACAGGTTTGTTCATGGTCACGCGTGCTTGCAGCAGGCGGTGAAAAGACAAGTGAGATTCTACCGGGCGACGCGTGAAATGGTGACAAGACGCAGGAGTCGAGACTGAGGATCACAAGGCAACAGCACGAGCACTTGTTTGAAGGTACGGGCAGGGAATGATGGCAGTGCAAGTGATACGATGTGATCCATGTCGCGTGAGCCCGAAGGCTGCAAATGCGGATACAATCACTGAAAGAATAGTCAACAAAGATACACAGAGACGGAAGGATAAAAATTTTATCTTCCCTGTCAAGCCCGAACCAAATGATTGAATTGAAGAGAATTTTTTTTTTTTTTTTCATTTTCATTTTCTCTTCGGACTCAGATTCGCGGTTCAGAGTGGAGCTTACTAAGAGGGCTAGAACATGATACGGCTGGGCTCGAAGGTTCGAGTAGTTTGCTTTGGATGGGTCCACCAATCTACCCGGAACAGGCGCACATGGACATGAAAAAAAAAACACAGCAGTGACTGCAAGCGTGTAACGTGCACAGAGTAGGGAGAAAGAGAGGCGAGAGAGAGAACGAGAGAGAGTGGGGCCAGAGAGATGGGACCAGGAGCCCGGAAGGCCGAAACTCAGGCTGATACACGGGAGTCTTGGAGGCTTCGTAAGCGCCGACAGCAACGGAGAAGGCAGCAAAGCGTGACCGGCCTCGTGTTCGTATGCACGCAGCACATTACTCTCGCGCCCGTTCGGTACGCACAAAGCGACGCGCTCACAAGGGGCAGGCAGACTTCGGAAGCAGGAGTGACTCTTTGATTGGGGTGCCGACGCGAGGTGCCAGAGCAGTGCCAGAGCAGAGCCAGAGCAGCAGCCCCTCGCCAGCCACGAATTGCAGGGCGTCCAGGCAGTGGTGCAGGCCGGCGGCGAAAAGTTATCTATCAATTGATTCCAACGAGGTTGGCCAATCATCAAACGCTCTGGAGGTTGGCGAGGGCCGGCCGGAGAAGAGAGGGAGGGGAGCGGAGAGAAAAAGGAACAAAGGGCGCGAGGCGACAAGACGGGAACGCACGACGACCAAAGCCACGGGCTGGGCAGCACGGCACCGCACAGTCGCAGGACAGGACAACGACGAGCTACAGCGGGTGCAACGGGAGGGCCGGTAGGTGGGCGTGCGTGTCCAGACGAGGCTTGCGCCAGGTGGAGATGAGCGCCGACGAGCGTTCTCGAAGCCGATCGTGGCCCGCCGTGGAGATCTGGCGCACGAATGAGCTAAGCGACGATGAGGAACCTGTGTTATTCCCAGCAGCAGCAAAGTTCGCCGTCCGTCGAGTGGTGAGAGCACGCTCGCTCGGTGGTCCGCGTGCGTGTGGACAGCATGACTGCGTGACTGTGCAGGCCTGGTCCTGTGAAACGAGCTGCTGCCCAACCAAGGCCAGGACGTGGCTGGCCAGCGCGCAGTGTCTTGTGGTCGTCCTTGTGCGCGTCCGCCTGCGCTGGGGTTCTTTGGGGCTTCCGTATGGACGGGCGGCAAGAGTACGACCGAGAAAGAAACCTTGATCCGCTCGCTCGCGGTGGTTGTGCTGTGTGCGTGGAGCGTCGGACAGCGTGCGTGAGTGGGCGGGCGCGTGTACCTCGTGTCTGTTCGCTGGTGCAAGCTTCAGGTGTCCGGAGCAGCGCGTCAAATTACCTTTTTGCTGTCGCCCTTGCTTTTTCGCTGGTGTTCCTGCTGCCGCCGCCGCCGCCGCCGCAATTGTTGTGATGCTCGCTGGTTTGGGCCTTTTCTGGCCTGTTTGCTGACGAGGCGTTGCTGAGCCCCCGCTGCGCGTCGTGTGGTGCTGATGTGTCCGCCTGTCCACGTCGTCCCGTCTTGTCCACTGCTGCTCTTCTGACTCACCGGGTCAAGCGTCCCCTTGTTGCGCGTCCTTTCTTTGGTATCATGGGTGCCGCTTGCGTCCGCTCCAGCTGTCTGCTCCGTTCCCCGTGTGCCCAGCCCGTGCAAACAAACAGCACAGACTTCGCCGACCGCTCCGGCTGGGTGGTGTCATGGTCCGGCTCCCAGACTCTCGGGTTCGCGCTCGACGCTTTGCACGCTTGCTACCGCCCAACCCCCTTCCCTTCCCTTCCCTGAGATTCCGTTCCCTCCCAGTGACAAAGAGAGAGAAAAAAAATTGGGACCACTTGGTCATCGGTCGGGCGATGGGAAACAGTATCTGTGCCTCGCCCAGCAGTAGTGGTGCCGCCCGTGCCTTGTGCACTGCCTGTCCCCCTTCCCATTACCCTTTCATATAACAGCCTGCTGATCGTCCCGCTCGAGAGCACCAACCACAATACTCAATTCCACTTGATTTTACTGCTGGTGCTGGACCCGTCTGGTTGCTGCCCGAGCACAACATATGAACAGCAGGCTTTCTCCCCCCCTCACCCTCCTACATCCGTCCCAATCACGCCCGCATAGACGAGCACTCGTCCGGCTGCCGCTGCTGCTCCTGTTTAAAGTGAGCGCTTCGCTTCTGCTTGGTCTTGGCCCAAACACAGGCACCCTCTACTCTCCTGTGTCATGGACGCTGTCTTCGACGACTCCACGCCCGCGGAACGTCATCACCATCCTCACATCTCGTCCTTCCTGACACCATCGTCCGAGAGGGAACCTCTGTGCTACTTCACCTACATTCCGTCCGCACCGTCGGACCACTGGTCAATCGAGACGCCGCTGCCCTCGCCCGGCTTGACGGAGCACATTATCACCCCAGACCCGCACAACCCGCTTCTCGCAGCCCGGCCGCCCATCCTCTCGCTGCCGCCCCAGACGATGGACGCCTCCAAGCTACTGCAGCTGCAGACCGCCGCCGCCCACCCGCAGCGGCCCAAGCCTCGCCCGCACCAGGACGTGCTCGAGCTGAGCGACGACAGCGCCTCCAGCTCCGCCTCGTCCGAGAGCGGCGCCAGCTCCGCCTCCTTGTCGTCCTCGTCCTCCTCGCGGCCGAGGATCTGCTCCCGCTGCCAGACCACCTTCGGCGAGTTCGTCGCCTTCTCGATCAACGCGTACTACTGCACGCGCTGCGCCAAGATCACCGGCCTGATCGGAGGCTGAACGGCCCGCCAGCATCCACCACCACCACCACCATCATCATCATCATCACCACCGTCATCACGTGTTCCACTGGCCGTACCGTTGCCGTCATGTACACGCCGCCCTGCTCAGGCGCAAGACAACGCAGAGAGGGGTGCAAGGCGCAGACGCATCGCGCGGCGTTTGCTACCCTCCCCTTTCCATCCCTCTCTCCCTCTCTCTCTCTCTCTCTCCGCCCTTCCTACCATTTTAGAACTGGGGAGGGCACCGCAGAAAGACAGGTGCGACGGTGACCCGAACGAGACGAAACGGGGGAAAAAAAAAGGCGCGAGCCAAACAAAGGTTTCTCTGTGCGCTCCCACGCTTCGTTGTGGGGGAACACGAAGTGCAAAATCTGGCGGCACGCTCCGAGAGCTGCTCCTCACCTTCGTCTTCCTCGTTATTCTTCCTTTCCCGTACTGGCTACGACCGGCTGCATGGCGGAGAACCAGCGCGTGTCTCTTTTTTGCACGTACATTCGTCTCCCGCGCCGATTGGAAGGAAATTGGATCCGCCTTGTCTGACGGAGAGCGGACGTTCATTTGGGTGAATCGGCCTCGTGCCCGAGCTTACTGGTTTTTATTCATGGCACGTGAAGATGGAAAAGGCAGGACTGCTGGAGCTGCATTTGATGTTTTGTAACGAAAGATACCCATAGACGTTTTGTTATAATTTGAGCGATCTTTGTTTTTTTTTTTTTTTTTCAATTTTTCTTACTTTACCAACTGTCCACGACAACTTGCCAGAGGTTCTGCTGCGCTTCCTCATTATCGTGTCCCTCGCCCTCCCCCCAATGTAGCAGCAATGCTTGGCCAGTGTCACAGCAGCAGGTCGTCTCGAACGTGCAGCTCTGATCCATACTTTTTGCGCAATCTCGCAGACAACAAAGGGTCGCCAATCGCCTCTCCTTTGCCATGCTCGCAGGGGGAAAAAAAAAGCAGGCAGCTAGCCATCAGAAATGCGAGAACAATGCCATGCCCGCGCCGATTCTCCCATGGTCAACGTCCAAAGTTACCCACTACTGCAGCAGATCGACAATCGGTAGGTAAAAGAAACAGCGGGTCTGCTCGTTCTTAGCCGATCACTGACGGTAGGATCGTCGATCGAGTACAAGCAGGGCTGGGGATGCTGCATGCGTCAAACGATGGTTGAGCGCTCACTGGCAGAGACGAACCGATCACAGGCACCGTGCGGAGCAGTAGGGCGAACGAACTTTCTAGCTTTGCACGCTCATCACTCAGTCTCTCGATTCCCCTACTAGGACGCGATGCGATGAGTTTCGGATGGCATTGTCACACTTTCGCATGGCGCAAATCATCTTTCTACTTGTAGCTCACATCCGGCCGCTCGACTAGCGAGGGGGACATGTCCAAAGTCCGGTTTTCGTCTGGCCTACCAAAGCTCCGTTCTCATTTCCATTGAAGCGTTCTTTGGTAGAAGATGAGGGGAAAAAACAACCTTCTGATTCGCGAGAACGCGGTGGAGTTTAGAGTTTCTAGGCAGCCCCAAAATTGAAATAATCGAGTCGCCAAAAAGAAAGAAAGAAAAATGAAAAGGAAACGTAAACGCCTCCGGTGCACTGATGGACGCACACCATCATGTGTCAAAGTGCGCACCGCTGTTCATTGCTCGCGGGCAGAACCCGACCGTGGAGATTTTCGAGTGGCGATCGAGAAACACGCGTCGCAAAATTGAGCGCAAAGGAGAAACAAACAGCAGGACAAGGAGCACAAGGGATGGATTCAAGGAATCTACAAATCGAGATCGAGGTTTCTCAATGGGGGCGTTTTCCTTCTTGCTTTTCGCGGCGTTCGCGTCGTGCGCATCGTCGATCTCGTTCGCATTGGTCAGTCTGTCCAAATCTTCAGTGCTTTTGGCTGGCCTCGACGCGAGAGAGAGAGAGAGGCGGAGAGAGAGAGAGAGAGTGAGAGGGGTGGGGGCGTGGAAGAACAAGGAGAGGACGAGACGAGGAAAGTGAAAGCGGCGATCTGGCGGGCGCATCGAGATTGCCACGAGGCGGAGCAAGCTCCTGCCGTACAAGTACTCTCCCTCGCGGTTACCCTTGACGGTACTAGGCAAGCGCGATCGAGACTGCGGGACCTGTGGCTTCGGCCTGCATGGTGGGGCCCACTCTTGGCAGGAGCAGCGTGAGAGGGGGTACGTCTAGTTAACTTCAGAACGAACTAGCCGGTTGTGCAGTCCTTGGTCGCAGTACTTTGTGGACTATATGGGGCGGAGGAATAAGCGTGCCGTTCTTTCGCATGAGCTGCTCAGTCTTTTTGCACCCACACGCGGTAGCATCTCGCCCCCGCGCTTTCACGAGCTTGTTTTGGCGACGGGCGCTGGGCGAGCGACGCCGGCTACGCTCTTTGTTTCTCCCGTCGGTGACGGACGCGAGGCGGAAGGCATGCAATCGGAGCGACGTCGTGGTCACACTTGCAAAACACTCTCTGCATTGATCTAGCTGCAGCTCTACGGGTTGCAATCTTCGCACACTGTCCCGTCGGCGCGCAGCACCACCCCCGCTTCCACCCTGCTGTTCTTCTCAAGGCCTGCAGCTTTCTCCTCGGTAGCCACGGTCCCTGCCGCTTGTTTCGACGACTTTGCTGGAGTGTCCGAATGCCCCAGGCTTCGCTTCGGGTCGAGATGGTCGCGTACGCGCTGCTTCAGAATTTTCGTTTCTCGTGACCTCGTCAGCATGCAACGTTGGGGCCGTGAAAAAGAAAAAAGCCGCCGCCGCCGCCGCCGCAGCAGCAGCAGCAGCAGCAGCACCAGCGGTCGTACCTGGGAATCCGCCCTCTTCCTTCCGATCCCAGAGCAGCACCGTCGTAGCTTGTGCTTCGTCCTTGGGCCCCTCGGCCGAGCCCTCACGCTTGTACGTCAGGCTCACGGTGAAGATTCCCCCGGTGGCCGGAATCAGGGCGATCTCGCCGATGGTTGTGCCGAAGGTGGAGAGAAGCTCCTGTGCGAAGTACGCAGCGCGCAACATCCACTTGCACTGCGTGCAGTACGTGATGGCAACGCGAGGCAGTGTTGGCTCCATGGTCTAAAAAAATAGGGTGAATCAAGAGCTCGAGAAGGCTGAAAAGAAGGCTGAGTGTTTGTTGAATCGTGACTGTCTCCAATGACGTAAGATGGGGAGTACGGGAAAGAATGAGAAAGATTTTGCGCAGACCCGTTGAGTCAGCTGCAGGCTTCGATAAGTTAACTACTAAGTTAAGCTAATTGGAGAGTTTGTCGACTATGTTATAGACGTCGCCCACGCTTTCTCCCGTGTGTTTATGCACGGCATCCTATGCTTTCAAGTAATTTTGTTGTTCATACGAGGAAAAAGAGAACGAAGATAAGCTCCGTTGGCACTTCGTTTTGTCCTCGGCCACGAAACGTCTAAGCAGTCGGTGCACGTGTCTGATTCTTTCATGTCTGATACACCGTCATCTGAAGATGTAGCACTTTAATCCCATTCCATCGCATTCTAGGTTTATATAGCCTTCTGAAAAGCTGGCCTTTGCCTGTCCGTTTCGGTAAAGAGCTTACGCACCGTCATGGCGTGGATGACAATTGTCCCAGCTCGTCGAAAAGCTCCAGTCTGTCGAGCATCATCAACTTACGGATAATTCTGGTCTACCTAGGTCGTCCAGGTTCGAACCTCGAATTCGGTGATTTCCCGTCTTCAATAGGCTATCCGTTCTCATTCAAAGGCGGAACTGCACGGTGTTTCCTAAAGCACGGGAACGATAACGATCGCACTGATGAGAAAGCCTGACTACTGCGAGATAGCGGTCGCAGAGCTCGGCTGTGCAAAGCAAGCCGTAGGCAACCAGCTTTTCCTTGTTCTTCGTGCTGTTTGAAACTGCATTGCTCAAAGGTCTCATAAGATTTTTTTTTTGGATATCCAGGGATGCCTGAGCCCATCTTCGCAATCATCAAATATCTTTGTGCGTTTCTATTTGCCTCGATTGAGTTGCGATGGCAGGTCCAGCCGGCAGATGACGATGTGGAGGGAAATGGTTAGACAATAAGCAAACGATATGCATGCCTGCTCCTTATCGATAGTTTCCCCTGATATCTGGCTTGGAGCAAGCATAAATGCCCCAGCTCATCTGATTAAGTTGGGACTTTTGGCTATACGAACAGATCCGAGTTAATCTCGGCTTTGCTATTCCTCAATTGCGGAAATGGGACATGAAGCCCTTGCCCTACGTCCAGGACGCAACCTAATACGGATTGATAAAGGCGTGCTCCCCAATCTGTGGAGTAGACGAAGGGCAAATCTCCTATTAGTGTTGCTCTTCACCTAGCTAGACTAGATAACCATATCAGATTGACGTTCTTGAACGACATGGCATGCACTTTACACGCCCAAGAAGCCTCGAAAATTTTCCACAAATTTCAAGTCGGAATCGAACGATGTGGAAAGCGGCATGTCTAGAGAAGTGCCTTAGTCTGAGAGAGAAGCAAGATACACAAGCAATCATTGTTGGCGCAAATGCATCCAAACACCTGCAAGTTGAAGCCACGCCAAGAGTTCATCATCTGTATCATGTCTCTATCACGTTCTAATCTTTCGTCCGTCAAACCCCCTAGATGTTGCATCATGGCCATTCCAATGAATCCATTCAGCGTGACAGGGCTCTATAACTGACCACCGCCATCTATCAACCTCTCTGTCAGCTCTCTTTACGAGCCGAATTCACTTCGCGACTTACCAATCACAATGAGTGTGCCGTTCGCATAATCTGCTCTCACGGCGTATAGATATGCTTCGGCGATGTGCTCAGGGGTAGCCACGAATCCAACACTCAGCTTGCTACCCCCTTCCTCGAAGAGCTGCTGTTGCTCCTCCTTCGTCTTGCCCAGCTTATCCCACAGCTCCGTTTTGACGAGACCTGGGACCACAGTATTGACTCTTATCCTTTTGTCTGAGAGGTCCGAGGCAAGACCTTTTGTCAACGACAGCACTCCGCCGTTGAGAGCTCCGCCAATCGCGGCTCCTTTACCGGGCCTTAGTCCCGCAGTTCCAGAGGTCAACGTCAACGAGCCCCCAGGCCTTACAATTTCGTGCTTCACGAGTGCTTTGCCGATCACGACGCTTCCCCAAAACTTGACGCCGAAAAGATGCTTCGCTTCATCAAGGTTCGCGTCCGCCAAAGGACCCCGGATAATGACATCGACGCCGGAGAACACAATGTGGTCCAGTGGTGCGAGCGATATGAGAACTTGCGTGAATCCTTCCTCGTCTCTCACATCTCCCACCTTGCCATCGACAGCACCGGTGCCGCTTAAGCGCCGAACGGCATCCTTCACCCGGTCTTCATTGGAAGAAATTATGGTGACGTGGGCACCTGCTTCGAGAAGGAGGCTTGCGGCTCCGAAGCCTATGCTTACCGGATGTAAGAGCCGCTTCGACCGTGATGCGCTTACAAATGTGGGGAGAACCTACCCGGACGAGCCGCCAACGACGGCGATCTTCTGGCCAGCGAGCTTGAAAAGCGATTTGCTCATTTTTACAGCGTCGGCCGTCGGGATAACTGCGGCTCAGCGAAGGACGGGAGGAGATTCTTTCGAGAGGTTGCGAAAGAACGTGGGCATGTTGGCGGAGAAAGTGCACGGGTTTCGCGTAAGATGACGCCTTCGCCTGGTCGAGCGTCCAATGTGCACTTTGATTCATGAAGCCGAACCGATCTCGGCATGATACCGAAGGGACGAAGTCAGCAAATCGTAACTCGTTCGATCAAAGTCATTTTTCATTGCTAATTCATGTAGCCTGTTCGCCTTGCGGCGAACTTGGGAAACTATTCTAACAGTCGTCTACATCACTTTTCCTCTTCTACTGAGAGAGGTCTGCCTCGACGAGGACATCTCACGCGTGTACGCTATTCACACGCTCAACAAATGCCGATACACCCATTCACTGGTTTCGTCAGTATCGATAGGTGAACGATCGCAGCCTAAACTCACCTTGCATGTCGATGCTCGTTGTGTAGCTTGCCGCGTCGCTCAGCAGATAGACATATGCCGTACCGATCTCCTGTACTTCTGCCAATCTGGGGATACCGCCGTAGTATTTCAGCTGCTGCTCCCAATCTGGTTGTTGTGGCACCCAGTAGGTCATGGCGGTCTTCACTAGGCCAGGCGAAACACTATTAACTCGAATGCCGTACTGGGCCCATTCCATCGCCAGTGTCTTGGTCATATTTCGCACGCCTGCCTTTGTAGCACCATACGGAGCACTTGGGACACGCTTGTTCGGCCTGTGTGAAGCCATAGATGCTGTGAAGACAATAGATCCTTTCACCCCTAGCTTGATAAAGGCCCGGGCAGCTGCCCTGGCCGTGTAAAAGGCTCCAAACAGATTGATGGCGAACAACTGCTCAATCTCCTCAGTTGTAAAGTCCAGAGCAGCCTTGTGTTTCGTCCGGCCAGCGTTGCAAACCATCCCATGGATCGCGCCTGCTTCCGAAACGACCTGATCAACAGCCTTGGTGATGCTCTCCTCCTTCGTGGCGTCTGCTTGAATTGCAAAAAAACGGCCGGGATACCGCTTCGAAACGGCTTCGAACTCCTCGCCCGGTTCCAGCAAGTCAATCGAGTACACCTTGGCTGCATCATTGTCGAGACAGCATTCTGCAATTCCCAAACCGATGCCACGATTTGCGCCCGTGACTGTGTCTTGACTTAGTTTAGCGTGCCTCCAAGCAGTCGGTTTTGCTTACTCGCTATCACCTTGCCCGACAGGTTGATCTTCGTTTGCACCTGAGGAGCACTTGAAGTGGATCCATCGGAGGAGCTGGCCCCGTTTGACGTTTCCGTTGACGCCATGTTCACTATAAGAGGAACCTCAAAGGATGATTTGATGGACAATTCTTCAATTTCGTGCAACCGTGTTGTTCAACAGCAAACGTTCCAAGAGCACGGTTCATACATTTCTCCGGGCGGATCCAATGCATTATATGGTGAGCCTGCAGACCGGCTCGAGGCATGCTGATACTAAGCGCACATCGCTGTGGAGACTCCAGCTCGTCTCTAGGTCTCCATGTTCAAATGGTACGTGTGTATACCCTTGCGGGGTTCCCGTAGTGGGTCCGCGTCCTCGTCTCGAGGGAAGCTCCACGGAGGCGCCTTATATGTTCCAGCAACATATGTCTTGATACGTAAACGAATTTCGAGCAGAGATCGGGTGCTCTTCGAAAACATCCAAGACGCTATAAGAAGCAATCGTCCAGCGTTGCAGAGCCTTCGGATATGAGTATTGAAGAATTCACATTATCGTTGTTGCGTTACGCATGTAAGCTCAAATTCCTAAGCTGTGTTGGTATCGAGATTCCAATGTTGGTTATGATGAAGTTAAAAGTGCTAACAGAAAAGAAACATCGAAGGATACCGGGAAACGTATCTATGAGTGCACCTATCATCAAAGCAGGCGATCTTGAAGTATTCGGGTCAGTCAAGATGAGTCTTGCAAGAGATACAGTACCCTTTCGCGAATGAAAAACTGCACACACGGAGAAAGGAAGCTCAATTTCACGCTCTGCTCTCTACCCTAACGTGTTCAATCAGTGGAACATGAATGATGGCTCATATCCAGGCTCTGCACCTCTCCGTCTGAGTAAAGACATGAGAAGGCTAACCAAGACCTACATAACCCGAACTTGAGCCTTGAGATATGTATTGTTGGCACCGCTATGGAGTTTACCTTTTCGCGCCCCAACGACATATGGAACGAGAGAAGGGAAATGAAAAGGAGGAAACCCTTCTTTCCACGCTCCAACACCGAATATCAGTTTGCAGCGATTAGCGCGAATTCAACCTTGCGCGGTGGAGATGAACAGACTTTAAACTCCAATCCTCCTGTCTGAAATCCGTGCGTGAAGGCCGAGCCGTCGCAACGAGCCGTGTTCCTCTACGCTTCGAATTTAACAGAACTCTTCAGATGCTATACAAGCAGGACTTAACCGCTATTCAACAGCTTGACGAAACAAAAACAAAACGAGGGCTGGAATAATTGAAGAATATTTTATAATAGTCCTTCTGAACCATGGCTAGAGAGGTCTCAAGAGATCCTCTCGACGGACATGGCGCATTTCGCGGCTCGTCCATGCTCCGGATTCAGGTTAGCCCTACGGTCTACCAATTTTCCAACCCCTTTAAAAGGCTGGCGAATAATTTCAAATGCCCTTTACGTTGGCAGTTTGTCCATCATGGGTGATCGACGGAATCTGAGCGCCAAAATGGAAACTACTCATGGTTGATTTGAATACGGTGGCTTTTTCTGCCTGGAGCTCCGGATAAGGATTTTCCACTCGATGATTCCCTGATGAGCCGACGCAATGGTTCTGGAGTAGCTGATCTGCCCGCAGTTGCAATCACACTACTGGATACTAAATCAGCTCTTCTGGTAGCATCGGTTACATCGTGTGATCGGCAAGACAATCGCTGTTTCCACGTGAGGAATAACCGCTTCGCCGGGAGTGAGGCTGCTGATATCCTGGAGTTCGTATCTTGGAGCTAGTCAAGCGCATGCATGCATGCGTTTGTACCTTCTAGAGATCATACGGCCTCGATTCGTTATATTTTATCACATGCGTCGTGGAGATCTTGCGTTACGCTGGCAGACACCTTCCCCTCGAACGAGAGCAGTTGACAAGCGAATTTATACGAGGAAAGGAGGCTTTACACAAAGCGGACTTGGCTTACACTTCTTACGGAAGATGAACATATATCATCATGCTACGAATCAAGGAGATATTCCTGGGCGTTTTCGACTCTTCAGGCTCGGTTCGAACGATGTTTGCGCGAAAACAACGTCGCATCGGCGCAAGAAAATGTCCCGTTTATTAATGGATTGTATAGCAATTAAAAGTCTCATGTTTTCATACCCTGACCTACTGTGAGCTTGTACCTCCGCAATGATCTTTCTGTGTTGATGCACGATGGACTCTCGTCTGGATAAGATCTTCCCATGTTGTCGGTGCTCAGCGGAAAATGACCAGGATACCACTCTGCAGATTTCGTGCGGGATAAACATTTCCGAGCACCACCAAGCTCACATCAAGATATGATTTGTCCGCTACAACTGCCAAGAGACTGTCTCCAAAGCTAAATGCAGAGTTTCGCGAAGCACTAGCACCGCAAACTGGAGATATTGCCCTATGCATCTGCCAGTTCTTCGCGGAGACTCGGGAGTCTGCCGTTAGGATGCGTCTTTTGCCCCCCTAAAAGCAAACCCCAGAGCGCTAGCCAAAGACGAAGCCTGGGGTATATCCGGGGTAGATCATTCAGCACGTTTAACATGGCTGCCAAGTCCGACCACAGGAAATATTTATTCTCAGTGATCGTCCCATTTCCATTTGCGCTGATCAGCCTCTGGTTTTGATCATCAAAGTTGAGTCGTAAATCGTATCTGAAGCAAGGATGGCTACGCACGAGAGCAAAGGCGTTGATGTCGATGCTATCGAGAACGCAAGCAACAACAGCGCTCCTGTCAGCGGAGACGTAGACGACAAGATCATCTATGATCTGCAGCATCATGGCGAGGAGATCGGTCTTACCTTTCGGACTATTATGGCAGCGGCGGTAAGTGAAGTCACAACTCATCTGTTGGCTTACGTCTAATTAAAACTGAAGTCTATGGGGATGTGCTACAATGCATACTTGTTCACGTTGCTGATCCCGCCTGCGATCTTGTCTTTCGTCAATGCTGAACTAGGGCCTGATCCGCGATATACTTGGATCACTGGAGCATGGAATCTTGGGGGCGCCATTTTCGTTACGGTTGGCGGCAGAATGAGTGATATCTTCGGCCGCCGATACTTCTTCCTTGCTGGTTCTGCACTGCTAATAGTCGGTGCGATCATCTCTGCAACAGGTAAGAGCATTGAGCAAATGATTGCTGGTGGTGCCATCTTCGGTTGCGGAAGCGGTTTCTTGGAGATGTCCTTTGGCGCCGTTCAGGTACGTCCAATGTCCAGTGCATGTGTTTTGTTCTTCGTTAGGGATCCTAACTTCTTGGTGCAGGAAATTGTTCCAAACAAGCACCGTGGAGTGACCATCGGGCTGTTTGACGCATCCTCCATTATTGCTCAGATGATGCCACTCACGGCATGGGGCATTATCGCGACAACTGGCTCCTGGAGAGCTTCCTACTATCTCATGATCGGATTCCAGACGATCAACTTCATCTTCTTGTTTATCTTTTACAATCCCCCCAACTTCCACACAAAGCACAGGCACGACGGAAAGACGAAGAGACAGCTGCTCGCCGAGTTCGATTGGGTCGGACTCTTTTTGTTCATTGCGGGATGCACGCTCTTCATCGTTGGTGTTTCCTGGGGAGGCACGCTTCATCCCTGGAAATCAGCGGCCACAATTGCGCCAATCGTGGTTGGATTTTGCACAATCGTTGGATTTGGATTTTACGAGGTGTACGGTCCTTGTGCGGAACCACTGCTACCACCTCGGCTGTTCAAACAAGTGCGCCACTTCCTGATGCCGATGATTGCAATGGGTATTGCCGGTATGCAATACTACTCCAACGCGACTCTCTGGCCTCGTCTGTCACAGCTCCTGTACGCCACAGATGCCATTTCCAAAGGCTTGTATGCGGAAGTTTTGCCGCTCGGAACAATCTTTGGAGGTATTGTCATGTGCTTCAGCAAGAAGATTGGCTATCAGCGCTGGCAAGTCTTTGGTGCAATTGCCCTCCAGACTGCCTGCGTCGGTGCCATGTCGACTGCTTCGATCGACAATCCTGTCAAGTCGATCATCCTGACCGTAATCGTGTCCTTTTGCACGTCAATGGTTATTCTCAATTGCCTGGTCACTATAGGCTTCGGTATCCTGGATCAAAACGACATTGGCTCTGCAGCTGGTATTGCTGGCACTTCCCGCCTTATGTTTGGAGCGGTTGCCATCGCCATCTTCTCGAACGTGACGAACAACAAGTACGCCAAGTCACTAGCTCCGGCGGTGCTTCGCAACATCGAAGGCTTAGGCTTCGACAAAGCAAACCTTGCTAAGCTTGTCGCCGCTGCTAAGGCGGGCACCGCAGCGGCTTACTCAGCCGTCCCAGGCATCACACCAACCATCCGAGCAGCGGCCGTTCATGCCAATAAGGAGGCCTATCTTGAGGGTGCTCATCTCTCATACGAGGTCGCTCTTGCTTTTGGCCTTTGTGGTTGCATCGCCGCATTGTTTATTCCAAGCATTGATTCTAGGAAGTACACGAAGAGAACAGTCGCTCTCCAAGAGGCTGATCGCAAGGCTCTTGAGGAGAAGAAGATGATGGGCACCGCGTGACAGACCTGACAGGATGACATGCATACCAAAGAAGTGATAAGGGTTTCCATGTAATCTATTTGGAATAGCTAGGCAATGCAAATGACGTTAGCCGCCACTGTTTCAAAATCTCCTTGACTTTGTAACACGATATCAGGGACTGTGCGTAAAATAGCCTTCACTCGGCATTGATCGTCGCCGTATAGTAAAGATTCCGACTGGTCAATAACCGTTTCTGCTACAGCGAACAATCGCATTCGAAATTTGTATTCTCCCTTTTAGATGATTGCCTTGCAATTTGGCTCAGCTAGAGAAGACCAAGTGAGGTTGAGGAAAAGTGACGAAATGAATTGAACTCAACGGCGAGAGCACGGATTCGGATCTGACTGTACAAACAATTCGAACGAAAGATGCTTCTTCTTTTCTGAGACCAATGTCGAGCATGCCATCGCAGTAGTCAATTTTAGATTTTCGATGCCCTCAGCTTGGTACTATCCATCCTTCTCCCTTCGTCATCTTGCTCAGCGACCGTGAGATCAGGCAGCTTCGCGGGCATGATCCTCCGCGGCGTCGCTCCAGGAATCAGGTTGTACTTGCTAAAGTCCGTCACGCCCTTCTTACGCAGGAAGTCTTCGTCCAGCTCCAGGCAGCCGTTGACTTCTTCCGGGGGGGACTGTAGCATGGCGAGGATCGCGTCGCTATAAATCGTTGCCTTGCGCAGCTCCCGGCGATCGGTCTGCGGGTTCTGCGTCGCCGCGCTTTCGATCGCTGCGGCTGGCCAGATGCTTGTGATTGCCATGTCTTTCTTACCTTCGCGAACCCAGTCCATGGCCAAGCCCTTCGTGAGCACACTCATGCCGACTTTACCCATCGCGTACGCCGTCTTGCCGCGGAAAAAGCGAGAGTATATGGGTGGGCTCACAACGATGACTCGCCCTTTCCACCCACCGGCCTTGAAGTGCGGAAGACTGGCTTGAATTGTCGCGTACAGACCCTCGACGTTGACCCGTTGCATCAACTGAAAGCGCTTGAACGGTGTGTTTTCCACGCTCGCCCACCATATAGCGCCGCTGTTGTAAATCAACACATCAAGTCTTCCGTATATCTCAACGGTCCTGTCTACCATACGAGTCACGCTTTCGGGATCGCGAGTGTCCACAGGGATAGCAGTAGCTGTCCCGCCCGCTTCACGTATTTCGCGCTCGACCGTGCTTATGGTTGATTGTGGAGAATTCGGGTCAGGAGGAAAAGGGTGGCATTTTGAGGCGTCAGAGGTACTTTTCGCGGCAATAGCTAAGAGGTATCCCGCTCTGCGTAATGTTTTAGAGCGCAGTTCAATTTTTGAGTTACCGAAACGGACTTGCCTTGCTAGGTCAACGGCCACCTGCCTGCCAATTCCCCGTGAGGCGCCAACAATCAAAGCTACTTGCTTGCCTGGCATCCTGATGTTTGTTATGAATTACTCCCTTAGTCTCTAGTTTTGATTGGGAAGAATGCTTTCAGTTCCTTTGATACTGCGTCTACGCTTTCAAAGCTCTTTATATGTTGCATGCTATAGCTCGGAGCACAAAGCCACAGCCGAGATGTATTCTAGATGAGATAATCACAATCCATCGCAGTGTTCTCGTGCGATGCTGGAGCCATTGCACGGGTTGAATTTCAGAAGAATATTGTGCAGGTTCTACCAAGGTTCGTATTTCGCGTGTTTAGTGATCAGGACCTTCCCTGGTCTGCCGCGAACCTCGGCCCTTGTCACCTGCTCCAACATCCAGGACGAAGGCGGATGCAATCGTCAGGACAGCTATATTTGTGGTTTGCAGGTTCAAACTGAGCAGCTGAGTGCCTGTGTGATTATCATCAAACAATTATATCGGATATCTATCTGTGACATTCATCATGGGTGGGAAGATTGATGCATATCTTGACTGCGTTCGTTTTACTCGCTCGAGAGCGAATGTCTCGAAGCCCATACTGACGGAAGACATCACAGGTGTCACCCTACTCATACTACGCGCTATTGCATCTGACAAAGAACCGGGAGCTGTTGCGGCAATATGGTGTAGAAGTTGAGTATGCTTTCTCTTACCAATGACTTTGGACGTAAGGCTAAAGATCAATTCACAGATTCCACCCGGTGTTCTTGTATTCAGCACTGCACTCTGCTGATCATTAATCACAACTGGTGCTAATGTCTGAATAGGGGAGGAATCATGCAAGGCTCAGGCAACACGCCGCCATGGAAGAACGAAAATAAAGCAAAGTACAGCGCATTCGACAGCAAGCGGGCGCAAAAGTATTTTGGAGTGAGCTTTTCGACGCCGGATTTCTTTCCAATCATGTCTTTGCTTGTATGTGTAGATTTGAGACCCCGACGTTTGTCCTCGTAATCTAATCTGTCTATCTAGCCCCAGCGATGCATAACGTATGTAAAAGACAATTACCCGCAGAGCAAATATGAGAGCGTCTTCAAGGACCTGTTTGTACGCATGTGGGAGCAGCATTGGAACCTCGAAAAGCCAGAGAAGATGGCGGAGTTGCTAGCATTGCACTTCTCCAAGGAGGACGTACGAGCTATTCTGGAGAACGCGAGCACGCCAGCAATCAAGCAAAAGTTGAATGCCACCACGAAAGCAGCGCTGGATTCTGGTGCATTTGGATGTCCATGGTACTTGGTGACGAACAGTGAGGGAAAGACAGAACCTTTTTTCGGCAGCGACAGGTAAGCGATACGCTCTATCCCGTTCCACAACCACGGTGCTCACGCAAGCGTCCAGATTTCACTACATGTGGTCCTTTTTAGGCGTCCCTTACCACGACATTACAATAAAGGAGAAATCCAGTCTTTAGCTTTGCCGGTTACGAAGGGTAATCAATAAGTCATCTATTGCTGCATCATGAGACAAAGTCCGCCCGTTAACAATTCGCCTTTTTTCTTGGCGATGGGGTCCAGAAGTGGGTTTTTCCATGCATTCCTTGTTGTAGAAAGCTGTTCTGGCATCTTAATCAAGAGAAATGATGGGTCAGAAAAAACAAGTTGCGGCACATACCGTCGGCCCGTTCTTTCGACTGATCCAGAGCTCGGAGTAGCAAGGCTCCGGATCCCCTTCCAGTCCGCAAGCATTTAGTCTCCCTCGTAGGCATTTCTTTGCCGTGTCCCTACGAGATTGTGTGCAGACATGGCAAGACGGAGATGGGCAAATGCGTGCATCTTACGCTTAATTGCTGCAGTGCTTGTAACTTAGTTACCGCAGGCTGCAGATGATCCCGAGTTATACGCAGCAACGAATAGCAAGCCTGATGACCGTACCGAGCACATCTGTTCTGCTCTTTCGTTTCTTCATCCAGATGCGGGGCTCTGACTTGTGTGGTATGAGGCCACAGCGAGCGTTGCCAAATTTGGTGGACAACACAACCTGGAGCTCTGGCTCAGGCGAATAGAAAGCTTTGTACTGTTCTGTGAACGAGGCTACATAAGGCTTATGCAAGCTTATATAATTCTTTTGCCCATTCGTAGCTTCCAGCTTCTCCTCCCCGCCGTTTGAAGAAAGAATTCGGGGCTCCAACCAATTAGGGGCGCTCTCACAGCTTTGCATGTCGGTGACTATGTTCAGTGTCTCGTGGGGTAGCAGACTGTCTGACCTGGGAGAATAAGATTCGAAGATAGGATCATCTTCAATGGCTCGACATGATTGGCATGCTCGTAACTAACATTCAAAGATATGGCTTCGCATAAGAATAAATATGTGTTGCCAGAAAATGTGCGGGCCTGTTCCAGGCGTTCAGAGAGCGGAAGGACCCTGGCCAGGAACCCAACCGATCATGAGATGACTGCAGCCAGGAGCAGGCCTCAGAAGGCGAGGCCGATGCTTGTCAACTAAGGCGTACGCGGTATCGAAGCTGCCATAACTGGTTGCCTGCATACAGATGTGGATCCCAATCGAGAAGAGGAGGGTTGCTCATCCTAGAAAGTGTGGTTCCGTGTCAAGTCTTTGTGAGGCAAACTCCAGAGGTCAGGAATCATCAAACCATGTATCACACAATTTCTGATTTCTGCGATATTTGACCCATTGGATGATTTAGGGTCACCCTGCAGCTTCCCTGCAGCGTCCCCATCGTCCGTTTAGACACTGCTCCCACTAACATCGAGACGCGCTGTGCTCTGTGGGACACGTACGTCGTGATGATTATGATGATGCAGAAACGCCTCTGTGATGTTTCGGCAGCCCACGGGAGTTGCCTTTTGTCCCTTCCCTTTGCTCTTTGCACATCCCTGCAGGCCAGGATCGAGAATCTCGCTCGGGATGGATGTTTCGTAGCTTCCGCAGTCTGAATCCTGGGTACGGAACATGGACATGGCCACGCAGAGGCGGATGGGTAAAATCAGATCACGGGTCTACTTGAGTAGCCTACTCGACCTGCAACTTCGCTTGCCCTGGTAAGGAGGCTGAAGCTTGTTTCGAGTCGCTCGAGAACTTGGTCTCAATTTGGGCTGCAGCACAGCTTTTAGCGGCTGCGACGCATGGGAAATGGACCATAATTGACCCAAAAGGCAAAGCAGCGCTAAAAAGGAAAACCGAACTTGTCGCACTGGACGTACGGTAGGCGAAAAAGAAGCATGGGAAACTGTTTGATCCGGAACTTGCCAGAGGCGCAAAAGGCCCAGATCTGATTTCACTTCAGGCTTGCTTTTTGGTCAGATACTACTCCGACCCAATGAACGAGGCTTGGTCGTCGGGCCATTTTAAGATAATCCGCACCATCTTTTTCATTTAAACGAGGCCGATGGTTATTGAGCCGTGTCGGTTGCTGTCAATTTTGCGGATTGACCCAGCCAGAAAATAAAGCCCCCACTTGCCGGAGTAGTCGTATCTTTTGCGTGGAAAAGCTTTATCACCATTCGAGTTAAGAGCTTTGGTTGAGCTACGAGTGGGGAACAGATAGCAGAGACACGGAGTAGTTCCCGTTCGGACCAAATCAGCAACGTGCAACGGGGCATTAGGAGATGACCGAGGGGCTTGAACGTTTGTGGACGACCGGCATCCACATATTCGTAGGTTGCTAAGGCGAGGAGAATCAACCCGACTGTGTCGTCCGCACGCTTCGTAAGCCCTTTCGAGCACTAAGCGAGAGTATCCGTTGGTACCAATTGTTGCCTCAGGCAAGTGACGCGCTGTGATTGGCTGTATCGTAAACTTGAAGTGTGGCTTGCATGTACTAATCGTGGAGGGCCCGTGCCTCGACGTTGTTAGTTGAGCCTCCGCGGGGTTTGTCACACACAAACCGTCAATAATGGACTGCACGTACTGAACGGAGTGGGCGGAGGAGCCATTTTGTAGCTCCTCCGAATTGCTTCTTCGTGCACTCGCCAACTCCGAAGTCTTCGAATTCGATGTGCTGATTCCGGTAGCGGTCGCTCCCACGGACCGCAAACGGCGTACAGACGCAGTTCATAAGCCACCTTCTGTATGTGGTTTCGGAGCCAAATCTATTACATCTGAGCATTGCCCATCGCTCCCCCCACCGCAAAGACTATCGTTGCAGCGTAAGGCGCCGCGGAGCGCATTCAGATGGCGTCTGGTCTGTGGCAAGAGCGACAGCTTGAGAAGGGAGGCGTGGCGAGAGGGAGATGAAAAAGTGATCTATTTTTTACCGACGTCTGTTTCGAAATATCGAATTGAGGCTCGGTGAACATGGTCCTAGTCATGCTCAAATGGATGGCATGACTGCGCCTCGCGGAATCAGCAGAGTCTCTTCTCGCACAAGCGGTTCGTCAGGCGCTTTCAGCACACAATGCCTACCAGCTCGACATGTTTGGTAGAAAATGCTGCGTTGACGTGGTGTCTGTTTTTCTTGATGATGATAGAGGAGGGCTTAGATAGACGCGGGCCAAGTAGCGTACGAAACACCATCTGGCCGAACTCAGCCTAACAAAGGAGGCATAGCACTGCTATAGTTAGCAGACTATGCTGCACCCACGGAGCTGGTGGACATTTCTGCACATTCAGCGCTCCATGGTGATGACCGGTTTGCTCGCAGTCAACAGCACCTCAAAGCTGAAGAAGAGCCATGTCGTTTGCGACCGCTACTTTGTAATCTAGAGCATTGCGCAAAGGATAGTATTTTTGGCTCCATGACGGGAATGCAACGCAATGCAGTGTGGTAGCAGCGGAAGTTGTTGTCCTGTATGCAGACTTGTCCACCTTCTACCATGGTCCAGGGCAGACTGGTGAGTTGGATCTCTTGAGTCGCGAGCATAGGTAGCCCAGAGTTATTGCTCTCTACTCCTTAGACCCTGCTGTTCGATCTTTGAGCAATAGAATTCCCAAATCCCTCCCAAACCAGCAAATGGCTGCAGCAAGCATCGAAAGGAGAGCTCAGCGGTTCCACTCGACATGGAGAGACAGCACGTTTAGAGGCTCACACCTGCATGGGCGCCGCATGAGAGAACTCGAGATTTCGACTAGGCAAAGGGGAAATGGCATTCGTAGTGTGGGTTGATACTAAGCAGGGTCTCCAAACTCGTGCATTTACGAGCGAGTCCATTCAGACGCACACGTTTGGAGAGCCCACAGGAGAACCGAGATGTGCACAACCCCCTGACAACCACACCGAGCCGCATGTTCCACGATCGCGTCACGAAATTTCCACATCCGTGGACTCGCTTCCTGTCACATGTCATGCATGACTCTGAGCCTGTCTTGTCTGGCGAGGTGTACAGTTAATTGCGCGTTGGAAAAGAAAAAGGAGAGCAGGGAGGGAACGAGTCGTCCAGGTTCTTGGACAAGTTAGGGGTTTGGGAAGGAGACCTCAAATGACTTCACATGCGCACTGCCCGGCTTGAATTGCGGTAGCGACGAGCTTTTCCAGCAGAGCAAGCTACGCAAGTCGTAGTCACTGTGTATGTAGTACTATCAAAGACAGTAGCGTATCTTTCCGCCGTCTACAATTGCACCCTCCACATTTCCTTTGCACGTACGAGAAAAAAAATTTGGTTTCCTCACCCTGCGCACTAAGGGTCAGCCTTACGACCCGGATGGGTGGAGTCTGCCTGCGCAAGCAGGGCTGTTTTGAGATGGATGCTCCAAAAGGTTAAGCCTGCGCCTGGTCGCCGATACGAAGCGCTACGGCCATCGTGACCAACTGGTTTTATCAACTAGAGCCAGGAATGGATGAGCGGCGCAAACCCCTCAATCATTCACACGTGAGTTGTGTCTCCAACTCCAAACACATCAAGACTAGGGTAGACCGGAGACTCCGAACAAGGCGACGGTTACGGTTCCCCCAAGTGAAGAAACTGATGCTGGATTGACGCTTTATTTCGAAATGCCCTGATGGGAGGTGGACCTACTGGGTGGTACATTTTATGCTTTTACGGCTTTGTCTTTTGTAACGGTTGAGGAAATGACGATTGACTTCCACGGCATTTTACACAAAGAAGTGACAGCAGTCATAATCTTGGCCTTTGAGCATCCCAGGACTTCGGTAAAGCGGGCGTAAAAAAATAAAGCACAGGTTAGGAGCAGCCGCGTAGGGCTTTGGCTTTCCATTGGCTAAAGCTCGAGATTGCACTTTTCTTGTTCCGCTCTGTGTGCGTGGATTCGCTGGGACGCTCTCTAGATCGTGTACAGGGTTCAAGAGACAATACTCAATCCCCCTGGAGGAATTTTGACGCCCAAATTAAAAGTCGATGGCTTTTGCTGGCAAAGGTGTGATCTGGCACGCTGTCCGATGATGTCGTCCGCTTGACAGCCATCGTCATTGCGGTATGCACAGGACGGCCTGGAGCTGGCTAGAGGGTGTTGAGCCACGAACAGAAGGCCGATGTCGTCAGAGACGATGAACCCCAAGCCGGACGTAGCGTGGTGTGCGATCGATTGAGGTCCTGGTGCACGACTTGTGGTGATGCTCGGCGAGTGCGAAGGAAGAGCATCAACTGAGCCACAGAGAGTGCGGCTGTGCGTATTTTTGGAACGACACCAGCAGACTCGCAGCGAAACCAGAACCTCCAGCACCACCAGAACCAGCAGCAACACCACCCCCATTGTTATTGGCGTACCCGCTCGCCCTCACGCCGAGCATGCCTGCCGATCCACCTCCCTTGTCTTTCCAGGGTAGCCAATCACACGGATCCCGTGCCCAGACTCTCCACAATGTCCAGCGTCACGCATACCAGGCAAAATGGTCCGTATTCAGCTACGCTGTCTCTGCCACGGCCAAAATGGGACACGCCCCCTGGCTTGCATCCCAGTCGACGAGCACGAGTGTGGACTAGAGGCCTGCAAGCACACCAGACAAAGTGGTGCATGTACTTGCATGCGTGGCTTGAGATTTCACCGCTCCAGCAAAGCCAGCCCTACGCGACAGGTGGTCGGCTAAGAGCGAAAGAGTCGGGTCTCTGAGTCCAAGCGCTCTGCTGCCAATGTCGTGCCTCTCCCTGTCCACAGCCTGCGGGACAAGGGTGCATGTCAACGCCGCTAGCTGTACCGCGCCGACAAGCCAGCGCATCCACCAGACAATCAAAGAACGATCATGCCAAAAGAGGGTTTACCAATGCTTAAACTCGCTAACTGTACGGAATGGAGGTTCGATGGGGGTTTGTGTGGTCATGGCGTCTGCTCCATCCCGTCGTCCTCGTTCTTATACATAGGCAATCTTTCGCCCCCGATCCAGTTCCTCCCAAGATACGAATCAAGCAATTGATCACCAACTGTCCATCTTCTCGGCCGAGTGATATACGACATATCCATCGTACTGCTTTGAGCCTTCCACCTGGTTGCCAATTCACACAATCCACTTTCTTACGAGATCAAACCAACAACACGGTCTGCCCATCACCACCCGATTCGGGCTCGGGAAAAGGTGATTGACGATCTGTTGCCCGAATCGATCATCTGCCCGTCCCCAACACAGATCGATCTGCGCTTCCAAGGTGCTGTCTGCCGGCCGCTCTAATTTTCGCAGCCCGGTTTCCGTTGGCGACCAGTTCAATCTCTGCTTGCGCTCAATTGTGGAAAAGATTTAAATTCCGCGCCCTCGCATTGTGCTTCGCGCGAGAGAAGCACCGTTGACTCGTGTCATCCTCCGCCCAGGTAAGTTTCGTTTTGAGACGCTCGTGGTTTTTCGTCGTTTACCCTCCACACACCAATGCAGCAGGCCCAAGCGTGGACGGACTCGCCGGTCGCACCCCTGCGTCGCCCAACTCCAAAAATCCCCCCAGCATCTGCTGCATTTGCACCGCCCATGGCCTGACGACATTCTGGACATGCTAATCATGAATTATTCGACAGACACCCGTCCCGCTCCCTTCGCGGTCCCTGAAATCTAGGAGTACGCCAACCGAGCCCGCGAAAGGCTTTGTTTTTAATTACGAACAAGCCCGCCTGCCTTTGTCTTTCGTCATGGCAAGCCAATCTGCTTACGAACCTTTCTCCACCACGGAATCGTTCACACAGTTCCCAACTACTTCACATTCATTCGCCTATATCGACGCTCCATATGGTGTGTCGCTAACTTCAGTTGATTCATACCCCCCTATGAGCGCAGCGTTTGACTACTCATTGGATCCCACAGCAGGCGTCAAGTACCCAACCAGCCCTCCTGCAACAGAAGCAGAGCAGTTTGTGCCCAGACTAACAGCCTCTTCGGAATCGGGGCAGAGCACGTCCTCTTCAGCCATGGGTTCGCCGCAGCTCGCTGCTCAGTATGTCCAACAGGAGCCATGGAATCCGCTGTTTTCAAATCACGTCCTGGGCATGTCGCATGATATGTCCTCAGAGATCTTCGCGCGTGAGCCGTTTTTCACCTCCGGCATGGAACAGGAGTCTGTACTGGCCGCAAAGATGCCGGGCTTTGTCGGTGAGTCTCAGTCATCTTCATTTTCTTCTCTTCAGTATAGTCAAGCTGCTTCTATACCCGCTGGATCCTCGTTTGCTGGACAATTGCATCGGAACCAGTATCAAACTTCTCTTGCGACGGCTGTTCTGGATCCGTCTCGTCAGCTCCCTGCACCGGTTACCCTCAGGCAGCAGAGCATACCGATTCTCCCTTCGCAGCGTTCTTACACTCGATATGGGAGTGAGTTCAAATCGCCTGGCCTCCCAAGCTCTGCGAGACAGCAACCAATGGCTCATCGCTCGATAACCCGCTATGAACACAACAGAAACCAGCCGGGACGACGTAATTCCCTCCTTTCCAACCAAGTATATCCACCTACAACTGAACCTGATGAACATCTTTCTGCGATGGTCTACGCTTCTCCGCTTTCGTATTCTTCTGAATTTCGTAATCCGACTTCTCAGTCGCCCAGCTTATCTGCTGGTTCAATCCCTTGTCGGTTTCCTTTTTGCAATTCCGTCTTTGATCCACATGGTAAAGCTGACAAGTCGGTGTCCTCAGATCCTTCGAACCTAGCGCAGTGGGGATCGCCAATGTCTTTCCCTACTTATCCTGATCCAACGTCGACAATGTCACCCAGCCTTATTCAACAGCCTCCGTCGCCCGCTTTATCGCACAGCTCCTCGAGGAGTCAAGTCGGTAAGGCTCCACGCCAGTCTCCGCATCACTCGCCGTACCTTAGCACGCAGCCATACAGTCTTCTGCAGCCGGGCCGCCGCATGTCCACTACGTCTCTGACATCCCATCGATCACAGAACAGCCATCGAAGTGGCAGCTATGAAATTAACGAGGAAGATAAGGAGAAGGGCGTTTGCCCTATCCCCGACTGTGGCCGCTCTTTCAAGGACTTGAAGGCTCACATGCTTACACACCAGACTGAGCGTCCGGAAAAGTGCCCGATCCAGACGTGCGAATACCACGTCAAAGGATTCGCCCGCAAATATGACAAGAACAGGCACACTTTGACTCATTACAAGGGCACCATGGTATGTGGCTTCTGCCCGGGCTCTGGAACAGCCGCCGAGAAGAGCTTCAACCGCGCAGACGTGTTCAAGCGCCATCTAACTTCTGTTCACAATGTCGAGCAAACGGCACCCAACAGCCGCCGCAAGAGTCCCAGTTCCGCTGGCAAGAGAAACAACTCCACACCTTCCGTCACGGGTACTTGTTCAACTTGCAGCGTCACCTTCGCGAGCCCACAAGACTTCTACGAACACTTGGATGACTGCGTGCTGCGCGTCGTCCAGCAGATCGACCCTGCAGAAGACATTAACCAGAAGAACCTGTCATCAATCGCCGAGGATGAGCAAGTCATTGAGACGCTTGAAAATCACGGACTTCCATCAACAGATTATTCAGCGCCATCGAATTACGATGACGACGAGGAGATGGACGACGACGATGCTGAGGCTGATGACGACCGGGATGCCTCCTATGGCTCGCGCGCAGCTCGCTCTGGAAAGGGCACCATGAAGGCAAATCGGCGAGGCAATCAAAGTTGACAATTAACACATCCCCGGGGTGTCGGCGCCTCGTCGCAGCACGTCGGGGGTGGCAACTCCACTACCACTACGATCAACTCTGGCAATCGTGTCTCAAAAGCCTCGCGGCACGCTCGTCCAGGTCTGACATACTCAAAGTCCGGCGTTGCCCTACACGGAACATCCACCGCCTCAGGCCGCAAAAAGCGCAAGAACTATCCCACGAGCTGGGGCTGCCATCCTGAGAAGATGAAGATGAAGAAGCGCGTGCTATGCGTGTACGATGGCCAACGCCGCTTGTGGAAGGATGACATGATGCTCGATTCGGAATTCGAGGTACGCATGCGTCTTCCTGGCGGCGATGGTAAGCAGTACATCACTGACCTGGATGTGCAAACGATCAAGAGAGCCGAGGCCATCCTTGGCGCAACAGAGGAGGAGAGGGGTCCTTGGGTGCAGAACAATGTGTACGAGGCACCGGGCATGCCTGCTCTTGACTCGCTATATCAAGTATGAAAGTTCGTCAACCCAAACCTCTGGGTGGTTTTGCTAGTGGTTTTTTTTAAACGGAGTTCAGGTGGGAGATATATCATAAAGGCGCGCGGGTTATCCATGTGACAGATTACCATTATACCGCTACTGACGGCCGGCTCCATGTTTCGCGTTGCGCGACTGCTATTTTTTTTATGTTTGTTATATGGCTTGCTCTCTGACTCTAGCTTTTGTCTTGTTACAGTGACGGACTGATTCTCTCTACACGAACTCGAATTGGGATACCCCACTGGTTTAGCAGCATTGAGTTGCAAATGCTATGAAATGACGGATGGAAACATGACCTTGCATACAACAAGAGAGTTGCCAAAATTCTGGAATCTTTAATCAGATATTTTTAGTGCTGAGCACTCTATTCTTACACACATTTCACCTGTCTTTATCACGGATACCTGTGCTCGACTCTTATCTCCCTTTCTGTGCATTCAAATGTTCCACTGCCAGTGCTCGCTGAATGCCAGTCGGCGAAAGGGAGCAAAGGCACAGCGACTTAAGGTTACCTCGGTCGCCTGGCAGTATAGGAACGCAGCGAAATGACGACCACCAAACTTGGCAGCAATCGAATAGGCGACACACACGAAATAGTTAGTCAATAATTATTTCAAGAAAAAACAAACAGTCCGCTCGTTCACTGCCCCTCACTACTACCCCACCATCCGAGGAGGATCAGAGAAAAAAAATTCCGTACGTCATGTCCCGCGTGCCTGAGCCGCACTGCCACCTTGTGCGCACTGCCACCAGCTCTAGCGGGGCCGCTACTGCAACGGACAAGTCCGACGCCAAAACCAGCACCGCCTCAGGTTCGGAGTCGTCAATGAAACCTCCACCGACGAGACTGTCGCGGGCCATCGTCACGCCGGCGCTTCTGCATTCGCTGAGGACGCATCCTCACCTGCCGAAGCATGCCTGGTACGTCGTCACTGGTGTGACGCTGTCGGCGCTCAATCGGCCGGATGAGATTCCTGCCGTGTTCCACGAGGCGGTCGGCCGTTCTGCGGTGGCAGAGGCGGATGAGGAGGAGCAATTGAGGATCGTGCGACGCATGAGGGAGGGACTCGTGAAGAGCGCCGCGGTGGTGGGCTTGCCCAAGGTGTGTATGCGCATAGGCTTCAATCCCTCTTCATCGCGCGTGCTCGCTGCCTTGCGGGCGCCGCGGTGGTGGGATCACGTCAACATGAATGCCCTTCCGCTCGTCTCGCTGACCGAAGGAATCGCCGGAACATGTAGACCATCAACGCGCTCATGGCCCTCAAGTCCTCGACGCCCGAGCACCTTCTCGACACGACCTCGTCACCGTCGCCCTCCCTTCGGACGACAGACCTGCACGAGGCCACGGCGAGCGAGATCCTGCTGAGAGGCGAGTCTTTCTTCGACAGAGTGTACGGCAGAGTCTCGAGACGCGTCATGGGGCAGATGGACCGGGCTGGAACACAAGATCTAGGATTGATAATCAGGCTTCTCTATGGGTTTTTGTTGAGTAACACGCGGATCCTCAGTGCGGCCGAGACCAGCTTTGTGCTGATCGCGGGATTGGTGCCGCAGGATGTGAACCCGCAACTGAAAGGTCACCTCAAGGGCGCCCTGAACAATAGTGCGACGGTGCCGGAAGTCAGGGCGGTAAGGGACGTCGCGCTAAGATTGTGTGAGGAAACTGGCATGAGGATGCTGGGGTCAGATGAACCTGGAGGATGGGGATGGAGAGAGGACGTAGCGAGCCTGTAAAGCACAGCGTTCTTCGACTGCATTTATTGTTGCTGCAATTAGCGACATTAGGCTAGCGACATTAGGCCTGTACCCCTTCCTCTTCCCGCCTGAAGAAATACGTGAGTAGAAAGAACACCAGCCGGTATTTCTTTCTTAGTCTCGCAAATGTTTTTCCAACTCTTGACGAGTATGGCTCGCCCTATCGGTCCTTTACATCTCGTAAGGCTCTATTCATCTTCATAAGCAGCACAACCGCTCATCATCGCAACCTTTCACATAACCATGCGGACGGCTTTAATCCCCCTTTCAAACTTGTCAGCGAAATTTTGCGCTTTGCTCGTTACGCACTGACAACAGTAAAAGGCTTCCCCACAAGGTGTCTAAATAAACCATTGAGCTCGATTCCTCATCTCAATTGTCTAGAGCTGCTCCCAGGTTAAATCATATGCTGATCCTTAGTCGCGCACTCTAAACTTGTTGTCAAAGCATCCAGTGAACGTGTTGATTCCTACCGTCTGGGGCCATTTCGACTGGTGTATTCGCCCATCAAATGCGAGATAGGACTCTGCTTGACAGCACATAGAGATCTCCATAGTGATTCAGACAAGGTCTTCTTCGGAGATCATATGTTTTGCCGGGTCCATACCTTTCACCAAGTCCGGATAGTCTGTCCAGAAACGGTCGAGAAGCACCCAGTTATCGATGTCACAAACCTTTGCCAGAAAAGCCGGATCGATGTACGCCTCGTTGTTCACGTCTCTCAGGATGTAATCCGCATTGGGAGTGTTCCGTAGCCGGCACGTCACGAAAAGCAGTCCGAACACTTCAGGTCGACAATATCGCATTCCGGAATCAATAAAGTTATCACGCATGGTCGGCCAGGCTATATAATCGAAGATCGGGGCGTGAGGCACGCATAGCTGTCGATTGGTTGGGTGAAGCATGGGAGGTATCCTTGAGAAGTTTATTGGAGTAGGGTCAATCATCCACTAAGCCCCCGATGGATCAGTCATACGAAAGCTCAAGAGGTCGGTCAGAAATCACGTACACGTGCAAGAAGATAACTGTACCACTGATAAGCCAGCTTCTCTGTCCTACGCGATGGATTTGGGTAAGTGATGACCGCAACCGCATTCGCGAGTTCGTTCCGCGACTCTCCATACATGAGGTCGAACGGATGCGGAAACGGATCGCAGGCTTCAAAACAAGCGTTTGAGATGCGCATCTTCTCAATGATGAGGCTAAAAGGATCGAATCCAGGCTGCGGATGTGCGCTATTCAGCCGTAGATTCACAGGTAGCCGTTGATGTCGAGGTGTATCCAACAAGAAGCTTAGTCTCTTCTCGCATACTTCTAGCTTGCTCGAGTTCTCGTCGAAGGCGGGACTTGCAATCGACCCCGACCAGTCGCTGGATAGGGAACCACGCCTTCTTCCGGTGAAGTATCCCGTTACTTGGTATGGCACAGGTGAGCGTACTGTCAAAAACTTGAGCTGAAGCGACCAAAATGCTATGATCAACATGACGTACCACTATGTCGCGGAGTGGAAACAGCCGGTGACAGGGCCTGCGACATCTGCACCGGCGGCTGCATTCTCGCCTCTTTTGCATTCATCGATGGCGTAGCAGAAGTTGGAGCGACCGAATCACTTGCAAGCGTGTTCCAAGATCTGACAAAGTTGTCCACCATTGTCAATTTCTCTTTCAGCTTCTTGTTGCCCATCTGCAAAACCTCCACCTGCTCGTTCAGCCGTTGGATGTCTGGGGCCGTCCCGGTGCTCAAAGCCTTCACCTGCTGTTCCAGCAGCTCATTCTTTAGCTGTAGCTCCTCGAAGGCATCGCGTTCCCGTTTGCGACGCTGCCTTTGGTTCTGTTTGTCACGTTCTCGCTTCCGCGCCCGAGCTTCAGAACTGACTTCTCGTGTCATGGTGCCTCATCACTCCTACGATGTCTTTGGATATATGCTTGTTTCGAAACGTTATTGTGGATCACAGTAGACTCTTGGTCTCCTGGTAGTTGAAAGTGGCGGAGATCATCTCAACGGGAGCCTCGGGTGGATATCCACTGTTGGGATTGATCAACACAAGGGTGAGGTTCTGCCCTGATCTTGCACATGGATCAAACTTGCGTGCATGTGTGTCGCTCCCTAATCTACAAATTACTTCTTTTTCTGCGGTTTGCGTAGATCGGCGCCCAGTACTTAGAACAGTTTTACGTCTCAAAGACTATTGGGTCGTCCTCCACTTCCAGATGCTCCATTCGCAGAGCAGTTCGTCGTCCCAAGTGCCCTCGTCCTCGCTGGCTTGTTCTTTACCTTCCCTCACCGTTTCGAGTCCCCCCTCCTCAAGTCTCTGCCATAGTTCACGAATCTGGTCCAGATAAGCAACGCGCATCGGATACATGATGACAACGCGGGAGGCATTTCCAGGCGCAAGCCATGTCAGAATCGCCTTCGACAACAACTCTGGATGCTCCTCCGAGTAGACTGTGTCCGCAGCAAGGATTACGTTGGCCTTCCGAAGAGGACTCAGATGTTCCTCAAATGTACCATCCTTGTACAACGTCAACCTTGTTGGCTGCTTCCAGTCAAGCGATCCGCACAACACTGCGGGCCGGACGCCATGACCGGCAGAGCCCGCAAGCGCGTGTTCGTTCAAGGCGATGTTGTAAGCGAGCCCCGGTGCGATTGGTGCAAGGTCCGTCAGAATCACATTCACTTTCCACACACGATTAGCGGTGAGACCGACCAGGCCAGTGCCCGCTCCAAGCTCGAGGACTGGTATCGTAGAACCATTTGGAGCTGGCTCTGGGTTGATGTCGGGAATAGAAGGAAGCAATCTCGCGAGCAGATATGAAGACGTCCACGTTTGTAAACTTAGACCATCGGCGCGAAGTGTCGGTTCAGCGATTTCGAACGTCACAGCTTCGTTGACGCTGAGCGGAATGACGAACTTTCGAGTGTAAGGCTGCTTTTGCGACATTTTTTCTTGTCGAAAAGGCAGAACTTTTGTCACCTATTGATAGGTAATGACTTTAACTTCAAGAGTGAACTCCAATGCTTTTACTATTTACTGTGAAATTCAAGGAGAATGATTATATAAGCATGTAGTATCCACGTGATACGTTGTTTCCATCTCTGCTATGACACAATTGTTTCAATTTGTTTGAAAAATCTGATCCTTTTCACAGCCTCTCTATCCCAATGGAATTACGGATAGCACCATTGTGTTGTTGATATTAATGCTTACAAATTGTCCGACTGTATCCACTTCAGATGTCTATAACCTTAGGTCTTGCATAATCTCGCCGAAATCGTCATAGTCTGCGAAATTCTGTTACATGCATGCTGTGAAAGTTCGGGGCATGAAAAGTCTGCAGGGCTTCTGGATTAGTGGCAATTCGTTTGATTCCTACAAATTCAATGGAAAATCTTTCGCCTTTTCCGAGGTTCATGCTTCCCATCGTTCTGTCGATCCTCTTCGAACTGTACTTACTATTTCTTGCCAATAATGCTTCATATCTTCTCAGGCGGCTATTTGACCTAGAGAGGAATGACTGGAAGGTAGAAGAGCAAGAGGATTGGACGCGAAGGTCATTGTCGAGCCTGGAGATGGTATTGTTCGTGCAAGTGGAAAGGTGCTTGTGACTATTGGTCTCAGCGGAGCAAATGTCAAAACGACCGTGGATAGACGATCAGAGGGCAAGAGGTTCTCCCCATCAACGGTCGAGACGACGGCGAATGTGCTGATAAGACTTGGTCCTGGCATTGTCACAGTGCGAGAGATGATTTTGGTCACAGTCACAGCCTCGTCTTCGCCATCGCCTAACGTGACACTAACGACTTGACTTCGCCGACTTGAAGAGAAGACACTCGCAGTGTCAAGTCCACCTATCGTGGCCATTTCTGAGCCGGATTCTTGGCTGCATCCAGTGATTGTGCTGCTTGCGAAGTTTGATACAGAGGCGAGTAAATCCACAGTCGACGACGAAGTAGCTCCTTCGACAGGAACGGAGGCTTTGGAGCCAATTTGCGTTTGAGCGAGCATTACTCCAGCATACGTCGCGAGCAGAGCAACAAGCAAAGCAATGATGGTGTAGAGAGCTAGCATATGGCAGCGTGAGACTCGCGTTTTTGAACGCATCCAGAAGAGAGCATTATTCGAGTTTCGTTTGCATCGAGGCAAGTCGTATAGCTGTAGCTTATGATTTGGATCATGTGGTGCGTTTGCCTCCCAGTCGTGATAGCCGCCATTGTGAGGTACGGATTTGTTAGTCTCACGAGAATCAAGATTGGGTCCGGACAACCGTTCCAGCCCGAGTTCACACTCTCTGTAGGCCGGTGGCTGCGGCCCCACGGAGCTATTGCGGTCAAGCGAAAAAGGAGTCATTCCTAAGAGCAGAAACGGCGTTGGTTGTGCTCGAAAAAATATTGCGGGACGTGGCATGTGAGAAGGTAAAGCAATCTATGTGCATTTTTGACTGCACCGCATCCAGTCACTGCAGAGTGCTTTGTTGGAACTTGTCAGGAAGATGACTCCTTCTCTCTCCACCATACCAGATTTCGTCGCTTAAGTGATTCGCGAATACAAGTTAGAGATCTTGACATTAGATCGCGAACCACCCCGGGCTTGACACCTGCTTGCTACTCAGATTTCAAAACTGAAATCAAAGATGTTTCATGAAGAAGCTTAATCTTACAAGCCGCTGTGAAGAAGAGCATTGGGAGCTGCCCTCGGCTCCTTTTCTGCATTTCTTGATCAGCAATGAAGCCTTATTCTAAGTCATGTTCTCGTTACTATAACATCGCGTCATCAATATATTAACAAGAAACCATATTCATTGTGGCTCCTCTCCAAGATTCCTGGCCACACAAGTTCCATTCTTTTCTTAAATTCGGTCCATGCCGAAAAGGCCACAATTGGCCCTAGACGCGGAACCAAAAGAGCATGTCCGCATTGCTTGGAGGAGTCGGGTATTGTTCATCGGCTACCGAATTTTGCTGTGCTCTGCCAAAAGGATCCCTCAGCAAAACTGTGACTTGTTGAATGATACCTGGCAACTCGTCGTCAATTGTATTCCATCTTCCCAAGGAGGTTGGCGAGCGAGCACCATCATCGGATGCAAGTAGATCATTAATGCTAATTTTGTGCTCAGATTTTCTCCTCTTCAGTTCGACGTGTGGTGATTCCCTCAGTCGTTTCAATGCTTCGTAGATCGGTGCCATCATGCTTAGATAGCGTGATGCAACGGGCTCGTCCTGCGCACACGACTCTAACGAACTAAGACAGGTGCGGGCGTGTGAGATCAGCCTGTCATAGTCATTCGTTGATCGGTTCCTCAAGGCTTGGGCAGCCCCCAGCAGGAGGACATTGCAAGCGTTGAATACCCAGTATCTATGAAAATCGCGATAACGTCAGCTATGGTGATCTGAGACGATGAACGGCAGTGGTACTACAATACTTACATGTGGAAGAAACTCCATGGGGACCAAGACTGAGACGAACTTATTGTTTTTATCAGACCGGAGATCTGTTCTCCTGCAACCAAACATATCGCGCGGTGGTTAACCATCTCTGGGTTATCCGTCTTTCCATCTGGTTCGTGTGCCGATGATAAAGATTGCCCGTAAAGCAGCATCATGGCGCCTAAATAGATAATGTGCACGACGAGCATAGCTTGCTCGTTGAGACGCCCAATGCTTCCGCTGTTGGAAGACAGAATACTGGCAAGCTGCATAATGTGAGGTAGTTCTCTCTGCCAAAGCTCCAGTTGGCCGGACAGATACCGTATGGCTTCCTGTGGAACATCGTTTTGCTGCCGTATGATCGTTGAGATTTCATTGCCGATGATCGCGATTCTTACTGCCTGCCATTGGATGGCGTTCTCGATCGAGCTATCGGGAATGTTAGGCTCAACGGCGTTCCGAATGTGGATGTCAAGGTTGCGAGGATTGTAGCCAAGTGTCTGAGATAGCCAGCATTCTGTGAACACAAGTGTCCGATAAATCTTTCTCCAGTCATCGCGTGAACAATCTTGATCCATGTGAAAATGTTTTAATCTTGCAAGAGCTAAGCCAGCCGCTGCTGTATGGTTAGTACCGCGGATGGACATAAGGGACGACGAAATACTGACTGATGAAGGTTCTGGCACTCAGATGCTTCTCAGTTATTGCGTATATAGTCAAGCAAAGTAATACCCGCATTAATCTTGCATAGCTCGCTTCGCTGATACTTAGCCCTTCCATCAGTACGCACACGGTTGCGAACAACCTGTGCTGCTGATCCCTGGATATTGATCCACGAGCGAAATGAATGCCTAGAGCTGCAAGCATACACAGTTCTATTAATGATAGGGCGTCTGCAGCCCCCGGAATGCGGTACATTCGATGGAGCAGCGCCTCTACGTCCGCAACGCTAATGAGGTAAACAGTACTTGCGCCTTCGCCCATTAGTGCTTTGATGGCATGCGAACAGTGTTTCTGAAGGTAAGTCATTTCCAGAAAATGGTTGTTCCTTGACGTACTCGCGCCGAAAGACGGACAATTCCATGAAAGCAGCAGTCAGAGTACTTCTACACTCATCCCGAAGAGCGGTTTCTGCTGACAGCATGGTGGGCGAGTCAATCGATGCTGATGGACTTCTATCAGGACCCGACGATTCCGAACGGCGAGGACTTGTTATCGACGAAGCGGAATCCGATTTGATCTTCTGTCTCGCCAATTTACCCGGAGCTTTCTTGAACGTCTCGAGGTATACTTGGTAGTCTTGGTATTGCTTCGTCTTTCGGTACTCGTCCATTTGTTCCTCATACTCCTGCATGGCCTGTCGCGCACCGGTCAGTGTCTTCATCCTTCGTGAAGAGTTCCAGCACGTACCTGGGCAGCTCGATTCTCCCATTCTTGCTTGGTTTCGGGATCCAGCATCTGCCATTGGCGACCAACTTCGCGGGCAATGTCAACAAAGGAGAGCGAGGCTATGGCCTTGTCTGAGCGCAGGTGGTCTGCAAAGTTAACATAGGCCGTCTTCGGCTTCTTCGGTGCGTTCGGATCCGCGCGAGGGTGCCATCGATAGCGGCGTTTCGTGCGCTTCTCGTAGCTCTCCTGCGTCGTGACGAGCGCGCCGATACTCGGTGTCGAAGATGTCGGTCGCGCGGTCTCGATCGGTGGCGACGCGTTCAGACCTCTCGCAATGGCGATCTCCTTTTGCAAGATCCGACGATGTCCACGTTTGAAGCCTAGCGAGTCCAGATCATCCTCTGTGATGTCGAGCACCGTGTTCCAATCCTCGAATCCGTTTTCATACAGAATTGTCGAATACTGCCCCAGTCCGAGGCTGTCCAGTTTTTCTTGCAACTCCATTGTGTCGGCCTACAGGACGACGTCTATGAGGCCACGGCAACAACGGGAAGCGAGCAGATCTCTCCCAGATTTGGGGGTGGGATGCTTTTGTCGGCCAGTATGGTGATGACGGCAGTTCCATTCATCTGCACCCATGACGACAGGCGAATTGAGAACAATTCCATGCGCAGCCTCATCGTTCTAGACTCGAGAACCTCGTGGTTGGGGCATGCACCATGCTACGATTGTTTCAAGGAGTGACAGGAGACGCTTGAATGGGTGTGGGTCGAGGCGCAGGGCCTGGACCGTTAGCGCACAGCGAGCACTGCTCAGACCACCGCTCAACGTTGCGGACGACACAGACAATTCGCCGTGGAGAAATCAATACCTCGACGTTCTCCGCACCTGTCTTCGACCCGCGAGCTTCTGGGCCTGGGCCGTGATCTCACAACTAGAGGGCCATCGCAAAGTTCAGCTTTTCGGTCCTCGATGCCACGCCGAGCGTGCGATCTGGGTTGTGCTGGCTTGCAAGGATGATTGGGCCATCGTCCTCGGACCCGACTCGGCCGGTCTGAAGACGTGGATGGTCGACGTTCGACCCAGACGGCGACTTGAATTACTTCGCATGTTCGGATGCGGCGCTGATGAGGGCTCCGCACATGAGGCTGAGCGCTCACAAACAATTCCACACGGCGTGGCCTCAGCGTTTTCATCTTCCCCCGAACTTTCACCCTCAGCGCCGCCTTTATGGCCAAAGAAAGTCCAGACCGCAGTCGTGCGTGTGCCCTAAGGCAAGGCCCGCAAGGATGTAAGCAAAAATGGCAGCGCGCCAGTGGACGGCCGTCTCTACTCCAGAGGCCTTGCACAATGGAAACGTTCTGACCTTGTGGGAAATCCGCCCCGTTCGGCACCTTAGCCATCCGTCGGTTGCCAGATGGGAGTCGGATTTGAGCGTTCATCGACTTCCGCGCTCGGAGAGACCGTGTCTAGATGCTCTCCCGTGGCAGCCCACGTTACCCATAACCAGCTGCTGTGTCGCGGGAATGGTCTTTGAGCCAGGCAAATATTCCCCTTTGGTTGACATTGACGAATTTTCACGCGTCGTATGATCAACTTGTTTACCAAATATGAATGGTCCTCTGACTCTTTAGCGGCACTTGCCGCCACTTCATGTCGCCGAACGGTCGCTCGTCTGCGCTGACTTTATATCTCGTGTGCACACGTCCGCACAGTGTCCACGGCTGCGCCGACATAAATGGCCGATTTGCATAGCCCCTTTTGACTGCGACGGCTTGGAACTTCTTGCCTACACGTCATGCTTGGATTAGATTTGTTCCATCATGATGAGCGCGTGGAGGCCATGGCCAGACCGAATAATGTGTCAAGCGTCAATGCTCGCTGTACGTATAGGTAGACGTAAGCAAGATGATCATGTGGCGTCTTCCGTCATCACGATCTTGTTTAGATCTTGCATGCGTTACGTACCACGACAAGGGAATGGCAGAGATCGATCCTCAAAAGTCATCCTTGCACCGCACAGAGTCAGAGAAGAGTGGCGCGGGATTTTGATTACATGCTAAATACTGAATCATCTCCGAACTGATCTCGGACGACTGATGATGTCTCCGCTGCTATGGGTCGCGCCTGTCCTACTACCACCGAAATGTGCATGATCACGTGCTGTTGTGCTTAATTTAAACAATGTATCTTCGCCTACCGAATACGACATCCAGCGCACCCTATGGCCTCGTGTATCTACGTCTCTCTCGAATAGAAGCCTCATCGCGCTTCTTCTGCTGAGACTCCAGCCTCGCAGCTGCCCGCGCTTCGGCCATAAACTTAGAACCTGGGCTCTTGCGTGAAGAAGTGCAGGTTGGCTTCGCATGCGACACATTCGTGGACAGATCATTCTGTGCCATCGTTGACGGCTGAACAGGAATGTTGAGTGACGAACTTCGTGTTTTGCGCTTCTGACTGTGCATGTTGGCTGCTTCGAGAGAATCCTGATCGTTCATTTGGTATGTTTTGACCCTAAAAGCCTCTCCGTGGGCTGCTTTGAGGTGTTGTCCAGCCGGGTCAGACATATCAAATACGTCTGTCTTAAGTCCAAACACTCTGGTTGATGTCTTTGGTTGCTCGTTGTCAGGTTCATCCTCGCCTGCGGAAGAGTCGAACAAGGAGTTAAGGTTGTCATCTGAAGTCAAAGCAGAGGATTCCGGTGAGGGGCTGAGAAGTTGCTGCTGGGTCCGCTCTTGTACTGGCTTCTCATGATCATTGCTCGATGATCAGGAGGCATAATTGTCAGCTTGAATCTTGGATTATACGGTTCGCAAAACTTTGACTCACGACTCCCGTCCTGCGCGAGACCTCTTGAAGACCGGAGGAGGCGAGGACGAATACTCGCGTTGCCTCTTGATCGACGGCGGCGCACTCATTCCACTTTGTGATATCTAACTTAATTATTGCAACAAGAATATCAGACACGGAGGAAGCAAGTGCTGTAAACGATGCTTTGCATATCCAGAGTGGACATCGCAACCTATGAATAGTTGGCATGGCAACAGCAGTCACATCAGCAACAGCGTGCCAAACTGGCACGAACATAAACCATTGTCCCATGCGCGTGTTCGTGACTCCTTGAGTGCATCTTAGGAAGCGCTGCTAGTTCAGATTTTGAATCTCAAGGAACCAGACAAAGAAACCGGCAACGGCTAAAATCGTCGCTCGTGCTCTTTCTTACATGGCATTGCAGCCGCCCGGCGTTCGACCGCCTGCATCCGTCGTCGTTAGAGCTGCCGTCCGAGATATATCCTCAAGAACTTCTTGACACAGCTCTCCGGTTACGGCAGAACACTCAGCGTAGCGATCAGCTCGCATTTCCTGAGCGACACGAAGGCCCTCTTGCGGCATGATGCTCTGGCCCAGGACACCTGAACTCCGCTCTTGCTCCGTCCATTCTCGTCTTAGATCCCTCTTCAAGCCGACGACAATGACGGGAACCTTCTCGCTCTTGTTGAAGTGACCGTCGACTGTACCTTTCCACGTCGTCTTCAACGAATACAACGTCTTGCGATTTGAGATATCAAAGCAGAGCACCAGGACGTCTGGCTGTATCAATGTGTAGTTTTGAGGACTGGCCGTATCGTAGAACTCGAAGCGATATGGTCGGTTGTACATCTTAACATTGAAGACGAAGGGCTGGTCGAAGTCGCGAAGCGCGGGCAATTTGCCATCTGGCGGTGCACGGCGACCTAAGCTGAGACGTCTATCTGGGAATCAGATCCTTTGCGCTACGTAGACTTGAGAGGAAACGACTGACGATAGAAACGTGGATTTGCCAACGTCGCTGTCTCCCAAGAGGAGGATAGTGACGGTCTTGTCGTCAAGATCGTCCATCAGGGGATATTACTGGTTCCTTTGTCTACCTCATCAGGAACAATATTCAATTCATGACTGGTGACAAAAAAAAAAAAGGCATGGCAAGACAACGGAAGACAAACAGAAGTGACTTCATCCAAGTGAACCATCGTTATCTTAGAACGCGGAAGACAACCGGGGGTTTGCCCCACCACCAATCTCCACACTTTGCCTTTGTACAAATTCGCCAACTTCCATGTCGTGATCAAATAGTAAACTGAACATTGGCATGACTACTTGATATTCGTGAGGGACTTCATGGTTCTAGTTAGGATTAAACAATATTCTCCGCAGTCACAGATTCTTCTTCCCCTCTCGTTCTACTCCTAGACTTAGCCGCGCCGTCAGATATTGTGACGGCCGGGCGATATATGACGATAGCAAGCGCTTTCAGGATCTCTCCCGCAAGCTGTTTGCTCTTTCGATCCTATGAGCCTTGACGTTCTAGCTCATCATGCAATACACAAGGAGATTTGTTTTAAAAATCTTTGCCTCGTCGCTGGAATGGTGACTCTCTCACGCGTCGCTTGCTTCCTGAATCCCTCACGTTGCTCAAGCTTCTACTTCATCCCATATTTAACGAGTCTTCTAGCTCCTTCGTGTGGCTTTCACTGGACAATACGTGAATAGGACTATCCACTGGTCATTCAGCCCCACCACCAGATCGGGGTGCATTTCTTTCCAAGAGCTACTCTCTGCTCGATGTCAATCAGGCCGAGGAAGTCGTAGTCGAAGCCCAGATTGAACTTCACATCCGCTGTTAGCCGTCGATCAGAGAACTACAGACATGTCGGTCGACTCACAAATGGGTCATGTTTACAGCAGAATGCCGGGCCCTTGATGATCTCTCTCATCGGAACTTCGCTGAGCTTTTTGAGCTCAGAAGCGCTCATTTTCCCGTACGATCGGGCGTCTTCGTTTGCCCAGCAGACGAAGTCACCGAGACCTTTCCCTTGGCAGTCATGGAAAGCATCGCCTGCAGTGTATGGTGTGCTCACCACCTCCTGGGCCGCGACAGGCTGCGGGATCCGAGCTGGACTTGCAGATACGGACGTCGCCCAAAACAGAGCGAGAGCCAACGCTGCGAATTGCATGGTGGTCACAGTGGATGCGAAGTGGTGAGGACTATCGGTGACTATGACACGTGAACGCGGGCGGGATTTGCCTTGTGGAGCAGTGCAACGGGCCAATGTGGAGGTCTGAGATTCGCAAAAGATCTTGATTCTCTGGGGCATGCACCATCATGAAGACTTTATAAGACCGTGCCTCTATAGCAAGAACAGTAGCCAGGGTCTCTATATGAAACACGCATCCGGTAGAGATCTGTCGCCGCGGTGGGCTCTACGCCCACAAGCGAAGTTGAGTGATCTTCAACTGTCACGGTTCGTCATACTTCCTTGACTCAATCGCAGTGTCTGTGTGGTGCCGAACAAATTACCACATGAGATAGTGCTGGGAATCCTCCTGATGTACGCTAGGATCTGAGATTCAATCCATGACTCGTGTCTCTGGCAGGTGATGCGTCAAGCATCGTCCAGCATCCCGTCCTCGTTGTGCGCGCCGCACACTGTCTAAATCACGATCCAGATACTCAAATGCGCAGCTCAGCTGTTGGCGGACCATGCTGTCAACTTTTGGTCTGTCTCTTGTATCCAGTGGGTTGAGAAAACGAAAGTTTGTCGACTGTGCTCCGCTTCGTGACGACCTCATTTCGGCGCGATCCCTGCTCACAACCTCGGCACCCCAGACTGCACAACGTCCCACCGCCAAGGATGTGTCAAAACAATAGACGTAGACGGTAGGGCCATGGAAGACTTCTCGAAGTTCATACTGAAGCACGGTGCACCTCGTAAAGCTTGTCGTTTTCAGGTTCGCGGTCCAAACATTCGTTTGACGAAGAGCGCAACAAAGAGGTGACATGTGATAGGAGATGCCTTTGTAAGGCTGGGGTAATCCCACTCATGTCGAAAGTCAGTGCATTCTATTCACGGCAGAATGATGCCGACGGATTTGGACAACCGAATAGACGGCGTTGAGCAAACCCTCAGCCTTGCCAGATTTCGTCGGCACGGACGGAGAGCGAGGGAGAGAGCGTGATCTGGAGACGAGCCGCACGAACCAATTTTGGCCCCATGTGTTGCTTCTCGGTACAAACCTTTCTTTATGATCGGGCAAGGCACTGATCGGTTCTGTGATGCACTTTGCTCCTGGCCGTTCGCCCAACTTTGTCAATTCTAGTCGTTCATATTGGTCAACCGAGCTTCAAGGACTAGACTTAAGAACAATAGCGGATGAGCGTTTGTTACGATAAGCGACACCTTGGTACTGCGTGGCATGGACACCGTCGCAATGACGCTGAAAAAGAGCGGGGGAATTCGCCGTGACGAAATTTTCCAACAAAAGGCAGTTCTGTCCCTTTTGGATAGGTCGCGCGTTCCATTCATCTGAGGGTGAATCCGCGACGTGGAGCATCGCTTATCGCTTGATTACACACCCAGTCCCGGAACCTGAACGTTGATCTTCTGCTGATACTCATCTCCAGCAGTGATGATAGCCAGATGCGCCTGTAAAGTGGATCGTGAGATCTGCTAAGGAAGATTTACTCAAAGATTGCATGAGCGTTTGGCTTGAAACGTGCTGTGCGATCACTTCACAATGCTCTAACGAAACAATGGGTCATCGTCTTCGGCAGGTTTGCCGCAAGGTTTTCACGCACGACTTGACTTAATATAGCACGTTGGAGGTGGGAGTTCGGCTGACTGCGCTACGGATCAGTGAAACAAATGTTCGCACACTACTAAGCCTGGGGCCATACCATGTCTTGTGGCAGTGCTATCGCGGTAAGATGGATGAAAGTCCTGAATCCTTTTTGCTTTCGCCATCAAGACGCTAGTATAAGGATATAGCAAAGCAAGTCAGGGAGGCATGATAAATTAGCACCATTGCTCGCAACTCACGCCCTGCGGTGGGAAACAGTTGCGTAGACATCCCCGCTCACATTGGGGAGAAAACAGATCCGACGAACTTGCTACTGTAGTCTATAGCCACACCTGAGACTATAGAATCCGAAGACTGGGCTCATCGAAAATCCTCTTCCCATGCACTTTACCAAAGAAGATCACATAGACACTGATATCATCTCTAGCATGCCTGCTCAAGGGATAGACCTCCGCCATCGCACCACAAAACAGGCCCCTTCTTCTGCCTCCAAACGCATTCTGAACCAGGTGCGTCGCCGCATTGTGTTCTTCGTAAACAAAGTCTTCCGGTGTTACGGCCCAATCGGGCCACAGATCGCTACCCTTCTTCAGCGGCCACTCAATAGGTGAATTCTTGCCAAACGCCCCCAACAGCCGTCGATCGCTTCCGTCCATGATGCCCGGAGCGGGGGCCTGATAGTGCTTTGCGTTATACGCTTGATGCTTGACCCACTCGGCCACACAGGTGACCGCGTCTTCGGCCCTGACATGGTCCCAGAAGCCGTCGGTTGCCATGATAAGGAAATCGGCGTTCGGCTCGTCGTCGCCCATCTTGAGCGCGACTTCTTCGATCTCAGGTTCAGCCGTCAGATACGGTGGCGTCTTCACGCTTCCAGGTGGTCCGAGGCCGCGCAATCGAGGCCCGTTAAACTTTTCGTTTGCGAGAAGGCTGTCTTCCTCGGACCACTTCCAGCGACTGTCGCCGAAAGCGCGCGAGATGGCCAGCCCGAGAATGCGTCCCGATCGTGGACTGATTACGTTCTCCTCGCCCGGATGGTCTCGTTCAATCCGTAGCTTCTCGGCAGGGTTCTTCCCGTTCTGGTCGACGCTCATGGGAATGGCCGTGTAGATTCCTTGGGATTCAGAGTATCGGCCAAGCACGGCACGACTGTCTCCCGTGACTGCGACGCGAAGTTTCGACTGGGAAGGGTCGAGCATGGCGATTAAAGCACAGGAGCCAGCATAGGCTTGCGACAGGATGTCTTTGCTTGCTTTGGAGTCCGCCTTGCCCGATCGAAGAACATCCAAGGCCCGCTGCATGATCTGGTCGTCGATTCTCTTGAATGTACTTTTGATACTGTCATTGATACATACGTCTGAAGCTATCTTTGTTAGATCTCTGGCAACTTCCGTGATCAACGTGCTTTTGAGCAGCTTCGATGTAGCACCTCCGGCATGACCGTCAAACACTGCCCAGTATGCCCACTTCTGCGGCCCTCTACTCTCTGCAATGCCGTGCACGATTTCGTCCTCGCAAGGAGAATTGCTTGCATGTTGAACGCCATGGAACCGGATGACATGCCCGGACGCGGTGTAGACTTTGCCCCGCAGCTCACTCGCTCGAAGGTCATTCATATGCTTCGCATATGAATCTTGGATTATCCGCTGCTCATCCCTGCGTTGCACGATCTCTTCTGTGGAGGAAGGGAGAGCATCGAGCCGCGAATTCTGTTGTGTGACCGCGAAGACGAGCGCCCCAGCAAGTAACGATGAGACCAATAGAAGGCCAGGAGCAAGTTTGGTATCGGAACCTGGTGAGATGCTTCGCCGAGAAATTTGTCGACAGACTGGTGGCTTGAAGACACTCCACACAAGACTAGTTGGACGGAGCGTGATCCTCGCAAACATGTCGCTAATTGAGCACGGAGAACGACAAATAGTTTGCCCGTTTTACTACCCCAAACGGTCTCGAGCTCAAAATGCCGTGAGAGAGTGTAGATGGGCAATCAAATCTACTCAAGCAACCTTGAGGGCGCTCTCCTCAGCTCTCCGTTCGCAAAATCCAAGATTTTTGACGCTTGGAGGCGCTGAGGATGAGCGGTCAAAGGCATGTCTCGGTTGCGCTCAGCCTTGAGAGTCTCCGCAGGGCGCTAAGCCTGATTGGGAGATGTCTGGCTGGCGATGGAGAATCCACACTTTTGTGAAGCGCAACAAGTCGAGAACTTATCACTTGCCTGCAAGAACATGGAGCTCACTGTGATAAGATTATGAGGAGTTATCTGCGGGGTCTCTTTTTTGTCCTCTCATTTTCCACGTCAAGTGGTATGCTTGACGAGATCTATGCATTTGGTTGCTCGCCCACCAAGTTTGAGCAGAGTGCGCCTCCACTAAGAATCGATACTTCGAAATAAAAAGCCATACATACTCCGACCTCTGCTCCTCCGCGCCTCGGGAATCGCCATTGGCTTAAATCGCCAAGGTTGAAGTCGCGCTATCAACCCAAGTCAAGACCATGCCATCGTCATCACTTAACGAACGCCTCGTCAACTCCACCCGTAGACTCGCCGTTGCACAATCACACTGGCAGTGACACCAAGCTTGCTTGCTATCACGCAGAACGCGTTCCGTCACCTTCCAAGCGCCTAGCCAGATGCGCGTCGTGCTTGCGCAGCATCCCGATGCTCATGTCAGGAGGAGTTGCTGGGCACCCACCTGGACGAGACAGCGTGAGAAACGTTCACAGTCACTATGTGGATCAACGCAGTGCGGAGACGGCGTGAGATCAGATGGTGTCGGCGCTTAAATACATGCCTGGTACTACAATGCTGCAGGGAATGTTCTGAGCATCGTCATGGGCGATTTGAGAGTCACACGTTACGAACCGGATCCTGAGACGGAAGGCAAAGCGCATTGGAGCGAAACTCTGTGGTTTCTTGTGCCGGAATGCCTCGCACATTTCAAGTTGGTCGGCTGAGCGATTCCTTTCGACGCCTTTTTCCAAGCTGCTGAAGGTGGGATGTAGCGAGTTCAATTCGTCTTGGACTCCACTCGGGCCGGGCGCAGTCAGGGGATCGACCTGTGATAGACGCAGCCATTGGCCTGCCACAGAAGCCACCATGCACGTAGCGTTCAGGCCTTCCTCCACTCACGCTGCTCCATGGCCTCGCCTTCACTCTCACACCTGCACCTGGGTTGGTTGGATGTGTGCAACGGATACCGCTTCGTCGGGTCCTGTCCCTGTGGAGGGAAAACGTTCAAATGCCCGCCATGCGGCCAGCGGGAAGGATTCGCTTCTGACGTCTGACACCTTCTCTCTTGCTTCCACTGTCTGGACTTCGTTTGCAAATAATGTGACCTTCGATCTGCACATTCGCGGGACGAGGGCAGACCAAGCTAGGCTTTTGACGTACTGCGATCGCGACTCGGCGCCTTCTGGCTGAACACGCGCACGACGTTCTGGATTTCCAGCCATTGGTTTTGCTACTTTTCGAACGGATACATTCACGAGAGAATCATGTTAGACGAGAAGCCTCACAAGAGAGTCGGCTTCAATGCCAAGCGTTGGTCGCGGAAAGTGTATTGGGCCCTCCTGGGACTGCTCGTGCTGGAGTTCTCCTTAATCGTACCATTCCTCACATTGGTCGGCATATCCGATCCAAACACCTACAGGACAAAGCTGTGGGAAGATGGCTACTTGAACGGCTTCAACAGCAGCCCGGATACTCCGCTCTATGCGGCTGCAAATCATGTCCAAGCAACCATTCCTCTTATCTGGAGTCAAAAGTATGTCCTCGTCTGAAATCAATAAATGATGGAGCACGACTAACACGATCACCACAAGGTTGACCACATTCGATCTCGTCATCTCTATCCTGGCAACCTTCGTATTGATCACAAAGTTTATTTTGTTGCCTCTGCACATCATGTACCCCGTCATTAGCTTGGTGGTCTACGGCCTCGAGACTGGCCTGTTTTCGTACAGCATCTACGGCCAAACGTCGCATGATACAATCGACCCGAATCATGAAAACAATGGCCTGCCGTGGTACATCGCTAAGAGCTGCAGTGTTGCGGCCAAACCAAGTAACGTTCATTATTGTCAGCAAGCGAAGGCGACCTTCTATATCACTGTTTTCTTGCTGTATGTTACACCAGATGGGGCAGCCGCTCTCGATGTACATGAAAAGGACGTTGAAAATGCTAATGCGAGCCACAGAGCGTTATACGCCTCGATTTTTCTCCTTTCCATCCACGCAATCTTTTTTCCCCCGGCTCCGGGTAACACTGACGATGACACCGGGTTCATGGCGAAGCACTTCCCCAGTCTTGGAGAGGCAGAAACCACGTACGAGATACCGCAAACACCAATGCCGTACACCCCGCGCACCCCCTGGGGTCATGAGATGGATCGGATACCTCCGACACCAGGTACGGCAGGCGGTCTTTACGCACCGCATGCTGGATATGCGACTCCCGAGGCAGCAAAAGAGCGCGAGAGGGGCATCAGCCAGTACGGCATGGCTCCCGTCGGACAGGCCGTCACGACGAATCTGCCACCCGTGACACCGAGGACGAAGGCTTTTCAAGCTCTGGAAGGTGGCTCGAACGCGCCGTCCATGCCATCCAGTATCAAGGCGGAGTGGGGAAAGAGGGAACCGGGCAATCTGCCCTGGTCTGGGAGGAACAGCGGTGGTAGAAACAGTGGAGGGCGACCCAGCAGTTACAACAAGAACTGAACGGCTGCAAGCTCACCCTCACCGAAAAGGATTTTTTCGCTTTATTTTTGCCCCGAAAAGGTCGATGACTTTTCCTGTCTAAGGTTCTTCCTACTGATTGACTTGGGGGTCGTGTATGTGCATATCCTTCTTTTGTAATATTTTTTTTTCAGGCATGCAATTCTCTGCCTCGATACCCTCACGCTATATCCATTCCCCCCTCGGTCAAGAGACTACGAAAAGGGCAGGAGACTGTACTTTCATGGTACACAAATATGAATGAAGAACATACTGAAAAGCAATCAAAGCAAATACTCCTCGGTTCGTGTTTGACTTTTGCTTTTATTCCTATTATATATATACATATATATACTTTCCCCTTGCACACGTTGCTCTCACCACCATTTTTCGCAAAATATGCGTTCGTCACTCAGTCCGTCCTGCTTTCCAAACCAGGCGACAATCTCATCCGTCATCTTTGGCGGTCCGCACACGTACACGACAGTGCCGCTTCTCTCCGACACATTCTCTCCGAGCGCGTGCCTCAGGTCCGTCTCCTCGATTCTCCGGTCGTGGAACCAACCCAAGGTCTGCGGATCCTTAATCTTCTTGTACTCGCGGCACGTCAGGAAGAGCGTGAGGTCCAGTCGGTCCGGATGTTGGCCTGCCATTTCGGTGAGGCGGGATAGGAAGAGGATCTTGCCTGGATCTATGTTCTGCTTCTCCGTGAGGGGCGGCTTGGTGGAGTAGAGAAAGTGGATCTCAGGAAGCGCGGACGAAGTGTCGTGCATATGCGCGAGCATCGAGATCAGGGGACTGTACAGTTTACAAATTTTTCAATTAGTATGGCTGCTCTCTGTTCCCTTTTTTTTCTACTGCGATTCGTGAGCACGAGGGTGGTAAGACGCACTTTATTCCAACGCCTCCAGCGACAAAAATCACTTTCTTGATGCCCTCGATCCGGTCTCTCGACCAGCCGAAGGGCGGCCAAGTGAAGCTTCCACCAACCCTGACCTTGAGCTCGGAGCCAAGTATGGACGATGTCTTCTGCCACAGCCAGGCTGCAGGCGGGTTCTCAGGGCTCTTTTGGACGGCGAGCTCTAGAAATGGAGTCGGCGGGAGAGCCTGCCTCGGCGTCGACGTCAAGGTGAACCCGCCGGCCTTGGAGAGACCTGGCACAAAGACATCGAGCCACTGACCTGCAGAGAACTACTGATCGTGTCGGTTAGCGAATCGCATCTTCTGCGAGGAGGGCGAGATTTATCGGCTGGTCGTCGCAAAACAGGAGCAAAGTACCTCGACACCGTTGCGCGAGTCCTTGATCTTGAGCTTGAACAGCTTGATGGAGTCGTTGACATCCTCCACCTGATCAAGAATCACGTCATGTATCGCGTCCGCTCTTGGCTCCGCCGCAGTCCGCTCCTCATGTGGCAGCCGGGCTCTTTCAGTCGCCATTGGTGTTCTGCTGAAGGTGGTGCAGTTACGCGCCCAGCAGAGCCCGAGCGACGTCGATCGCAATGCCGCATGCAGAGCGTCAACGGAACAGCGCGACGAGGCTTTTCGGGCCGCACAGCGCAGCATCAAAGATTGCAGGCAGACGGCGCGAAGCTGCGCGCTGGTGCAGGTATGTGTTCTCGTCCTGTACGGGACGGCTCACGTCCGCTGCGACATATCGAAGGGACTTCTTTAGTGGCTTTTCCGTGAGCGGAGCCCTGCATGGTTAACGGACAGAGAACCCGAACCCGCACGGCAGCTGATTATTGGCGTCGCTGGTGGCTTCACATGCCAGCTGGTTTTCATCGTGCAGACGGCGCAAGGGCCCAGATCGGAGCTCGAGAGCTCGGCCTGGGGATCTTCAGCTGGGGCGCGTCGCGCAGAATGGCACTTCGCTGAAAGGGAGAGTTCGCCGCTGATGGTTCACATATGAATGTGACGTGTTCACTCAACTCGTCCTGCGGCGCAACATTGCAAGTTCGTTCAAAAGCGTCTCGTTCCAGAAGCGTCGGTTCGTTCAGGTCCCAGTGAGCTTTGATTGCAGTTGACGACACCATGGAAGACACGAGCAAGGCGGACGGTATTGCGACGGAGGAAGGCTGGCACACTACGAGCGACGGGCACAAACTGTACACCAAGAAATGGCTGGTACGTTCCTCTCTCTGCTTCTCCCCGCTGCTGTCTCGTTCTGAACGTGTGCTAATGTTGTTGTGCGACGACAGACGCCGGAAGCGCCAAAGGCAATCCTCGTCTTCATCCACGGCTTCTCTGACCACTGCAACGCATACGGTATCCTGTTTCCTCGCTTCGCCGCAAGAGGCATCGAGGTGCACTCCTTCGATCAGCGCGGCTGGGGCCGCTCCGTGCACAAGGCTAGCGAGAAAGGACTTACAGGACCAACCTCGCAAGTATTGGACGATATCACGTCCTTCATCAAGCCCTTGTTGCCCCCTAAGCCTGACGTTCCTCTCTTCGTCATGGGCCACAGCATGGGTGGTGCGGAGGTCCTCACGTACATGGCTCAGGGTCCTGAGAGCGTCAAGAAGTACGTGAGGGGCTGGCTGCTAGAGAGCCCTTTTGTGGCCTTCAATCCAGCGAGCAAGCCCAGTCCTATCGTCGTCGTGTTGGGTAGGCTGGCAGGCAAGCTGTTCCCGCACATGCAGATGGTTCAGAAGCTCGACCCGGCCCTTCTTTGCAGGGACGTGCAGGTGCAAAAGGACTTTGTAGCTGATAAGCTATGTCACGATACTGGCACTTTAGAGGGCCTGGCGGCCATGCTTGACAGGGCTGCAGGGCTAGACGGAGGCCATATCAAGATTCCGAAGGACGCAGGGGAAGACGGGACGACGAGGGTATGGTTGAGCCATGGGACGAAAGACGGAGTGTGCGACTTCCACGGCAGTGAAAGGCTGTATAAGAGGTGGGACTATATCATGGACAAGGAGTTGGTCGAGCTTGACGGATGGCTTCATAAGTGTACGTTGGCGATTCTCTGCTTCTTACGTGCCATTTCTGGCTTTGCAATAAAGACACTAACATCACTGCACTCACAGTACACGCCGAGCCCAGTCCGGATAAGGAAGAGTATGCAAAGCGAGCTGCTGACTGGATCTTGAACCGTGCAGGATCGCTAGACAGCCTGGTGAGAGCCAAACTATGACCTCGTACTGTTTTGATGTTGTTCTGAAACTTCTTCCGCTGCAGAAATCTCGTGGCTATTGATCCGTCCTTGAGTTGCGTTGAGTTTGCTTCACGAACAGCCCCCCCACGCTCTTCTTCCACATCTAAACCACAGCGTTTGGCTCCTATTGCATGCCGGCTGAAAATCTAGGGTACCAGCCTTATGAATGAATGAATGGATAAACGATGTCAACAGGAAAACAGTGAAGCGTAATTCTTGAGGAAATATAGGAACGCGATAAATTTCCACATTGTGTAAAGTGAACACATTTGCCAAGTTTCTTTTCTCCGGCTATGGGGGCTATCGTAGTACAAGTTGAAGCCATTCAATTACATCCTCGGGTTGACGGCTTCGTCCCGCGCTTGTCCCACAATGCACACGTCTAATCCCAAACAGCGAAGAGGAAATATGCACGCGCGCACGCTATAGCACTACACAATTTCGATAGGGTCATGCTGCCAACAAGAGTGTCCCTGCTAGAAGCTGCTGTATCGTGCGGCTTGGGAATGCATTGACATGAGAGATGTTCGAAGTCATTCCGTCGGATAATTTTATCCACACAATCTTTGTCATTGGAGTCAGTCTACATGGCCTGGCCAGTCTGAGCCGGCTTCCTGACCCAGTCCTCGAAAAATTTTACACATCTCACCACCTCCCCATCCAAGGTCAACGCTACGGCACGGGTGTCAGGTGGCACCTCAAATGCCCGTCCATTGATCCTGATCTGTCTTGAGGCCAGCGCTTCGTTCGTCAAGGCCCACAGCTCGCTGTTGGTCAACAGATCGATGGTGACAGCGTTGGGGAACAGTGAAATTCTTTGCGTCATGCCTTCTAGTTCAAATGCGTGTGAGAGTTCGTCGGTCACGATTGAGATTAGCACGATGCTTTTGTCGTCGTTGTATAACACGCGCCTTTGGCTTCCGTTCGCTGGAATCACAAACTGCGTGCCTTCAAGGTTGAATACACTGCCCTTCTTACAGCCCCTGCCATAAAGCCCCCTCAGCTTCAGCGTGCTCGGGGGTATCATCCCTTCGTATTCGCAAAAGACGACGGACAGTTTTGGATCTGTGTGGTCATGTAGGATCTGGGCACTCGTCAGGGGAGCTCTGCACATGGGACATGATTGCTGACTCTTGAGCCAGTGCCCGAGGCACATGGCGCCGAACGTGTGGCCACAGGGTGTGGTGACTGGATGCTCCTTTCTTCTGAGTCTTGGTTGTCGCTCCTCGTTTACCACGTGGTACTCGTCGAACGAGAGAAGACAAATGTCGCACGCTCTGGACTGATCTTGCTGGACAGGCATGTTTACCTCGCACGTGCGGTGGGCGCCCGGCGAGGGTGAGTTATCCGCTCCTTGTTTTGAGTCGCTTTGCTCCATTTACACGTGCGTGATAAAGCGAGACGGACAGTCACAACTGTCGAGAACTTTAGCGAACGTGAATTGACCCCTAATGCCTCAGAAAGCCTTTGCCTTGCTAGTGACTGCGCTCAGTTCACGGGTGGATGTGAGCCCTAAATCATGCGCTCCAACAGATGCAAAAGAAGAGGTTTGGGAAAACTGCTCACTACAAGATCTCTTTCGCGTAGACAATAAGAGAATTTCCTAACGTCAAGTCATCAAGTCAAGGTCAATCACAGGCCATACCAGTGACCTAGAACTCACTATAAAATTTCCGCGCCTCGCCTTTGAGGCATTAGACCTTTTCAATGAATACTTCAATCTATAAGTTCACACTTGCCAGCACAGGTACCTAATGAGAAATACGTTCAGCAGAAAGCATACAGTTAGTCAAGTGGTTTATGATTCGGATTGCAAGGATTTCTTCAGAAACCAGATGAAAACAATCCGCTGAGTGTTTGCAGCGTGCCTGTTGCATTGCGGCAATCGGAGATATAAGTCTAATGACGTCTTCATTCTGACCACAGTCTCAAGAAAAACTTCCATGGATGCTTATAAATCACAACAGCGCGGCAATTCTTGTGCCATTCACGGGCTTGTTGTAACGTAGGACTGCGAGCTCATGCTATTGAGAAAAATGTCCCATCATTTGGTTGAGATCTTGGTGTAGCTTGACACATCTATTCTGCGATTTAGTTGTACAATGCATTCGATCAGCCGCTTGCTTAGACGCATCGTCCTCCGTCCACCTAGGTGAGTAGAACTTAAATTAGCAATTTTCTCATCCACGAAAAGGTGAATCTTCTCCTAACCATACCTCGATGTTGACACCGGTAATGAACTGAGCTTCATCGCTCGCCAAGTAGCAGCACGAGTTTGCGACGTCGGCCGGTGTGGATGGACGACCTAGTGGGATTGTGCTCACAAACGCTGCTCGGTTTTCTTCCGTGTCAGGCTTCCCGATGAACAGATGTGTCCTTGGCGATGCATGTCAGCAAGTCATCGTTCCTGTACTCCTCACGTCCGTTCATAAATGGATACGGCTCACATTCCAGTACTCCCGACGACGGGAGAAACGCAATTAAAGCGGATTTGGTGTGGCCCGTACTCGACCGCCATCGTCTTCGTTGCGTTGATAACAGCTGCTTTGGAGGCATTGTACCACGTTAGCCGTGGTCGCGGTCGAATTCCTGCAGTGGAAGCAACCTGGATAAAGCACCCAGGTCGCTTGTTCTCGAGAAAGTACGGCAACAGGACATTTGTGGAGAGATAGATCGATTTGACGTTGACGTTCATAACAAGGTCGAAATCTTTCTCGGTCACATCCTCGGTGGGTTTATTGGCGTATGTCGCGCCGGCGTTGTTGACGACAATGTCAAGCTTTCCGAATTGGCCACAGGCATCCTTCAGCAATCGATCCCAATCGTCTTTCTTGGTCACATCCGCGACTGAAAATGCACATCCAAGCTCTTTGGCCACCGCTTGTCCTGCTTCAGCGGACAGATCGGCCACCAAGACTTTGGCGCCCTCCTCAATGAACTTAATCGCGATACCTTTACCGAAGCCACTGGCTGCACCAGTGACAATGGCAACTTTCCCTTCTAGACGAGGTGCCATGTTCTACTTCCGTCGTGGATAACAATAGCTTTGATGTGCGTAACCTTGTGATTTGATTCGGGTACATACGCAGATGTTGCGATTTAGTGTGTAAATGCCAAAATTTGGGTCCAATTTCCATTTACTACTACTTCTTGACATATGCGCTTGGTCTGATAGTCCATTGCCGTGTCTTGCTCCAAACTCTGGGGAGAACAGGGGCAGGACATCACCCCGCCAATACTTGTGGGGCATCTAATGCAGGTTTGTGGCACGCTCCGAAGAGGCACCACGACCCATTCTGCCATGCCAAGTCTCCTCTATTCCCGGATTCTCGGCAGTTCCACAAGTTCGCTTATGGTCGATGTCTTTTGCTGGCTTGGGTGGCCACAATTGCTATCCGATCTTCGGCCTCAAACTTGTCCTACGGTACTAGAGATCGGATGTTGTTGAAGCCCACGATACTGAGCCAGCTTGTAGAGGACGGATCGTTCCAAGGCTCAGACATTTTGTTTCCCAGTAGTCTTATCATCTTTCTCGTATCGCGAAAGTCATGGCACAGAGCTACAAGATTCTTGTCCTTCCTGGTGATCACGTCGGCCCTGAGGTAGTGACTGAAGCATTGAAAGTGCTAGATGTCGTCGAAGAGTGTCGTCCAGGTCTAAAATTCGAGAGAACGTTCGATCTCGCCGGCGGTTGCAGCATTGACAAGCACGGCGTACCCATTACACAAGCTGTCTTAGACAAAGCAAAATCCAGCGACGCAGTTCTCTTTGGCAGTGTCGGTGGACCTGAGTGGGCAACGGCATCGCCCAATCCCGAGTCGGGCCTCCTCCAATTGAGACACCATCTCGATGCTTTTGCAAACATCAGGCCGTGTGAGGTCTACATTCCGTCGCTCGTAAACGCTTCTCCCATCAAGCCGGAGTTGGTTTTGGGAACGAAGTTCATCGTGGTGCGGGAAAATTGCGGTGGCGCGTACTTTGGCGAGAAGGTAGAGAAGCCTGAGATAGCTTCCGACCTCTGGGTATACACGAAGCCTGAGATAGAGCGCTGTGCACGAGTGAGTGCTGCCATTGCCCGACTTCTGGGACGCAGTGGTGATGGAAAGGGCGGCGGAGGACCTGCTGTAGTGTGGAGCTCTGACAAAGCAAATGTATTGGCCAGCGGTCGACTGTGGCGAGCAGTCACGCAAAACATTTTTGAAAGAGAGTTTCCTGACATCGAGCTGCGTCATCAACTGGCTGACAGCATGGCTATGCTCATGGTCAAGGACCCGAAGCGATTTAACGGTGTCATACACACGGACAACACCTTTGGAGACATACTGTCCGATATATCTGGCGGTCTCACAGGCACACTGGGGATTTTACCGAGTGCCAGTGTCAGCGGTATTCCTGGCGAGGGCAGGTGTAATGGTATTTATGAGCCCGTTCATGGCAGTGCGCCAGACATTGCTGGCAAAGGCATTGTCAATCCGGTTGCGCAGATTCTCAGCCTGGCCATGATGCTCAGATATTCCTTTCTCCTGGTTGACGAAGCGGCTGCAATAGAAGAAGCCGTCACGCATGTCCTGGACGCTAAAGAAGTTGGCGGGCTTGAGATCAGGACTGGGGATCTAGGCGGAAAAGCAAGCACGGCGGAGGTTGGAGATGCCATTTGCGACGCCTTACGGAAGATTCTCAGAAGAGGCAAGATTGCCTAGAACAATTATCGCTTCCCTTCTCGATTCTAAAGCCGCTCACCTGCTGTTTTAGTGACTTAGCTTGAATTGATCTTGTTCTTCGGAATCATGTAGTAGTAGAAACCTAGAAAGCATGAACACGACTGCTTTCCTTTGTGACCTGCTGTGTGCTATAGCAAGGGTGACATTGGATACATATTTTGGCGATTCGAGAGTTTTCAACTCTGAAAGACTGGAATTTCCATCACGAAAAGCGATTTTTTCTATGAAGTCGATAAGGTCAATCTTATGGGATTTCAATCCATGTCCTCCCTGGGAGATCTCCATTAAAGAACATAACGAAGACCTAGTTCTAAGGAGCACGACTTGATGTAGCCCTGGCAGACGTGAGCAAAGGCTGAAAAAATTGAGAGACAAGGCAATAGACAAGCAATGCTGGCATCGGCATTCCCCAGACTCTGGGCTGTTAGTATAGTAGGCTAATGAAGTCCGCCAGCGTTTCGCTTAAAACCAAACTAGTTAGTCTTCTTTGCCTTGGTGGTTGGACTAATGGTGGCGCAAAGTACTGGACATTCCCGTGATCGTCTGGTTCTGAAGTGTGACCCTAAATCATCTCAATTCCTAACAAATGAGTCCCCATGGATCTTTCCACATACTTTTTTAACAACAGGACAGGAGGTCATGGCTGGTTCTGAGGGTTGTGGTGCCAGACGGGATCCGGAGCCATCGACACATGTGCACCACAAGGCCGAACCGTTGACATGCGCCGATTGCTGTCGAACATTTTCAAGACCAAGTCACCTTGCTCGGCATCGTCAAACGCATATCCCTCGCTTCCGTCGTGCAACTATTCCATGCCCTCAATGCAGTCGATCCTTCTCGAGAAGCGATGTGCTCCTTCGCCATTTGCGTGTGACCCATCGCACGTTGAGTGTTAACCTGCAGAGCGGCCGCAAGTCATGCCTTCGCTGCGTTCAGAAGAAGCTGAAATGCGATCGTAAACGACCGTGTAATTCGTGCGCTCTTTCCAACGCAGAATGTGCATACCACAGCTCGCACCCAGCATCTCGTCAGGACCTTGACGAGGAGCTAAATAGTACGCTGGATGAGGAGTCTTCTGTTAGCCCAGAGCTATCTTACACCGCGCCTTTCATCTCTACTGCCGCTCATGAATCGGCGGGTATTCCAACGCCCAATTCCAGGACGATAGGAGAAGGCAGCGCCATACTTAGCTCTAGCGGAGCCGACCAGACATCGAACCGAAACTTGACAGACTACGGCTCCCTGTCAACGTTGCCTCTATCACCAGGCAATCAAAATATCGCACCGTTGCTGTTTGAAATGAACAGCTACAATTCGCTTGTGTCCGATGGTGACGGCGCCTTCGGCACAGATACCACCAGTTTCACCTCGTCAATGTTATCACCGGTGAATCAGTTTGATTTTCGAGCGAGCGCATTTGACTGGCTTGACTTCAATGTGCCCGACATGGCTGTGCCGGAAGCTAGCCTGCTCACCCCCATAGAGGACGACGAAAGCCATGAGCCTGCCACAGCCTTACCTGTACTGGAACCTCGCCAGACAGTACAACCCTGGCCATTCGACCAGACGCAAGAATCCGTACCCAGCCAGTATCAGTTACCCCCGCTGCGTTTAGTGCTTCAGGGGGCCTTGCAGTCCCAAAGTTGCGACCGGAGAGCTCTCCCCCATGGGCTTGTGTCTCTCCTGTCTGAGCCTTGGCTGCCTCCTCAGGAGATACTGGATCATACTAGCTTGTTACCAGCAGTCCATCTACTGAGAAGACTTTTGGACGCCTATTTTACCCGTTTCCATCCAATCCAGCCAGTCACACACGTGCCGACCTGGAATATGTCATCATGTCCAACGGTACTCCTCGCGGCTATGGCGTGCATCGGCGCCAGAGTGTCCGACGACCCGCATGCTGTCGAGCTGTCAGAGTCCCTCAGCAGTCTGTGTGGCCCCATTATTACGTGGTTGGTGAGTGACCCAATGTTGGGATGATAATACTCTGCTCTAGTCTACTTGAGATTTTCCACTGATCATGAGTGCACAGGGTGCGTCCGACAGCACGTGTTATCGAAATATATCATATTTGGACTCTTTGTGCTTACACCAGATCTACTCGCTGGGATCTGGCAGTCGCGTACTTTATCAAAATGCCGACAGATCCCGTGGTGTTCTTATTGGGAGCCTCCGAGGCCTGGGCCTTTTAAATTCTAATCTTCATATTGAAGACGATATGCAAGATTTCAGCCTAGCATCTGCAAATAGTTCAACCATCCACAGTGAGTGGATCGCCTGGATAGGCATCGAACGGGAAAGAAGAACTGCTTGGGCGTCTTTTGAGTACGATTGCAGTCTCTGTACTTTAACGAGCCGGCGAGGCGCAGTAGACTTGAGCGAATTGCCGCGAAGGCTCCCGTGTCCTGAATCCTTGTGGGAAGCTCCGTCAGCCACGGCTTGGGTGGCCCTTCGATCTCGTCTCGGCTCGAACGCAACAGGAACTCCTTACTCAAATGTTTTATCAGCTGTGTTGGCTAACAAGCCCGTTCCCGAGCACACGTCGTGCTGGGGCAAGAGGTTGTGTGCACAGATCATCGGACGCATGCTCTGGGATCTAAAGCAGTTGGAAATACTCTCAGCACGAGATTACTTCGGGCTCGCCTCTCTATCCGCAGTGCAACAACAGCCAAAGGCATCTTTACTCCGTGCCCTCGATAACCTAGTCAATTCTATGGACCACCCCACTTCTACTTCCGGTCTCATTAGTTACAAGTAGGTCAACTCATCTAGCGGACATTTGAAACTGCAGCTAACATCAGCACTATCAGTATCGCCAGCCTCCTTTGTCACTATTCGCATCTATATACCACCCCTGATGTTATGGACATTACCCTATTTATATTTCGCAGCGTCGCGTCACGAGACTCGAAGTTTGACAAAGCTGTTGGTGTGGCGGAACGACGGCTTCAATCTGCCTTTGCAAAGGACGCTCGAGAAGCTCGGAGACTAGTGTCACACGCTGCACAAATTGTCGCCGTTGCCAACGAGTATCTCGTGTCTGCGCCTTGTGAAATTCTTCGCCTGTTTATGGGCTATGTTTTCATTATCGCATTTGCCAAGTACTTCCCTCGAGGCTCGCAACCTATCCGGGGCCAATCGCTACCGCGCATCCGCTTAGACGTTTCTCTACACCAGCCTTCCCAGAAACAAGCAATTGCTGACTGGGTCGTCCATGGCGGCCCAGCAAGCATCGGATCTGTGAAAGACATATGCTCTGGCGGATCAGTACTCGCCATCAGTCAGGAGGCCCAGTCTATGCTCCAGCGTTTGCGTGCCTGGGGCTTGGCAGAAAAGTTCATCAAAATCCTACAAAGCTTTGAAAGTCATGGAGCTTGATTGATTTTTCCTTCGTCGGAGGTCACGATATTATTCTTGACACATGTGGTACAACCATCTATAACGACAAGACTCCATTCTCAGAAGATCGCAAGACAGTTTGGGGGCGTACTTACTCCACCCGGCATATTAAGCGGCGCGCTGGCCACAAAGAAATCCCAACGGTTCTCTTCCTGACATCTGCGGCTCAGCTCTTCAAGATCGAATAGTTCTCCAATCGGCATGCCCCAGCCTGCTAGTAAATATTCATGCATGAACAGGCCTTCCACCTCAGCCTGGCCTTCGCCTCTTGGATATGACCTCTTTTGAGGGTACACTTCAAATGAGACGGCATCCCCCGCTACAGCAGCGAATCCCTCGTTCCAAATCCACCTCAGCATCTCCTCTGTACCCTCCAGGCCGGCGTGCTGCGGCTTAGGATTCTGGGCGTATGCAACTTTCTCCGCCGCTGTCATCTCATTGTCCCATTCCTTTGTGAAACCAATGCGCACGAAAAGGATGTCTCCCCGGCGAAAAGTTAGATTTTGCTCCTTGGCGATGTCCAGAAGCACACTCAGCGGAATTGAATGATCGGAGAGCGTCTTATATTTGATCGAATGCCGTTTTGCATATTCGACGTAGTCCAGGAGCACCCCTCGACCACAAATTCCTTCTTTTGCCCAGTACTGCAAGCCGATCCGCGTGTTGGATCTGTCTGAAATCTCTGCCGACGTTGCGCCGCCGTAGAAAAGCCGCCGCGATGGGTTTTCAGGCGTGGGAAATGGCGCGGAGAAGTGCCGCAGCCCATCCCACTGCGAGGACTGTTGCGGATTGAATATGTACACGTCGTCATAGGCCACTCCGCCAAGCAGCGACACCACGAGGTGTTGAGTAGGCGCCCGGTTGAAGTTTGCGATCTCAAGTTTTGTCAAATCCCAATTCAGAGACACGCGATGGCCGGTCTTGATGCATGATTTGGCAGCTTCGGCAACGACTTCAGGGGTGAGGAGTACCAATCTTCCTAGGCCCTCCTCCTTTGATCCCGGTGCTCCGTGCCAGACTCTCCTTTTATCTGGGAGCGAGTCGAACGGGACGGTGTGAATGGACTCGACCGCGTCACCCATGACCTAGAAATGGTATCTCACCGATCAGGAGCGATCCAGGAATCTATAGATTACACGTCCTGAGGGGTGGCTTTTAGTCTCAATCGTCTAGATGAAGGCTGGTTGCCTTTCGCTTCTACGCTCAAGAAGCGTGCTGGGGATTTTTTTTTCGGTGGTCACAGGGACACTAGGAAGTGCGCTCGCATTTTTGTATGATTGTTCTCCATTCGGACTAAGACTTATTGCCGAAGCTGTTGTCTGGGTTAGCATGATTGATCTTGTGGGGCGGTTTCGCGGAGACCCCGCCAGACATTAGTCCATTATCCAGTGTCCCCACCGATTAACGGTGGTGCGAGGGTCTTTTGATTTCGTCTTGCGGGGCGAGAAGTATAGTCCAGAAAAATCAATAGTTAAAGTAGTAGTCCTTATGTTGCTTGTATTCGCTGTTTGTCGAACGACTGGCCGTGTTTCAAAGATGAGACTATCTGAGAGAAACGTCCTTTCTCGATATATAAGCATTAAACAAGACGAGTTTCGATAGTTTTAAGCTGTACATGTGCGGGAAAGTGAACGGGAAACGCCTTTGTTCCACCGCGAAACAGTCTCTGCGAGAAGAAGAACAGATACACCACTTCTGATCACTGGAAAACTTCCTCAAGCTGGTGCTGTTGTCACCACTTGCTCGCCCTTCTCACCCGATTTCTCCATGTGCACTACGTCCGTCGCCTTCAAAAATTCGTCAAGTTCCCGTCGCTGGTCCGCGGAGACGTCATTGACGTGCACGGCGACGTCGTCTCCAAATTTGGCCGAAATTTCCTCCAGAGACAATCTTGCCGTTTCCGGGAAGAACAGGTAGACGATGGGAATGAAGAAGATGCACCAAACGATGATGACGAGGTAATACTTCCACCCAACGTGTACGATGCCGATGGGTGCCGTTTGCAGTAAGATGATGGTGCTTGCGAACTGACCGAAAAGAGAGAAGCCCATTCCAATGGGGCGAATCTCTGTGGGGAAGATTTCGGACACATAGAGATACATAGTCGTGTCACAACATGTTCTAAGAGGGGAAAAAAAGAGTTAGCTAACTCGAATGTAGAAGCGTGGAAGTCTCGTCGTACCCTTGAAAAGTGAGGTATAGAAAGACGAAGAAGACTCCGGCCGCGTTGCCGGCCTTGTTGTCGGTGCCAGCGTACCGCGCAATACAGCCGGCGAAGCCGCTGGTGGTGACAAGACAGCCCATCAGGCCCACCATGAACATCCACCGCCGAGAGTTGACCTTGTCGTGAAGCCAAGCGCCGAGAGGATTGTAGATCACACCTATTGTGCCAAAGTTTTAGTACGAGCATATTACAGAATCGGCCGCAGCCATCCAAGCTCAGCATTACCTGCGGTTGTCAGCCACAACGCTGAAAGAAGCAGGGGCATGGACCCGGTTTGACCCAAATTCGTGTAGAGAATGACGGAGTAGTTGTTCTGTCTCGAATTAATCGATCAAGTCGTGATTCGCCTCGCATGTGCGGCTCTTACAATGACAAGCGGTCCAGCGAACTCAGCCCCCCACTGCGTGAGAAATCCAATGATCATCCGCTTCCTGTAGCTCTTCTTCTTAATGACTGCAGTCCAAGGGCCGCAGCCGAGAGCCTTGAGCTTCGCCGCATCCAAAGCAATCTGCATCTTTACCTGATACAGCTCCTCCTTGGCGACCAAGTAATCCGGGTCGTCAGAAGAGCTTCGGAGCTGCTTGAGCACGTTCCAAGCTTCTTCCACCTTGTTTTTCTGCAGCAGCCAGCGCGGGGATCTGGGGATCCAAATCGACGTGACGAGAAGGACGAGAGGAGCGAAGCATTGCACGCACAGCGGGAACCTCCATGCGAACGATGAATTGACATTCGTCGCGAAGTAGCACGCGTACCCAAGCCAGCTGGACAGCATGTAACCAAAGACTAGGAATATGGCATGGTGTCCGACCAGCCAGCCACGCTTGTCAGGGGGAGAGAGCTCGGAAAGGTACATTGGACAAACGGTGACGAGGATGCCGATTCCAAGTCCAGATATGACACGACCGGCCTGGAACATTCTGCGAAGCGTGTCAACTAAAATTGCCTCTTTATCTCTAGAAGATATCCAACGTCTAAAAAGGACGAACTCACCCTAGATTTGCAGCTCCGCCTTGCAGTGCACCGCCGAGAAGGGCAAGAGCGGCACCGATCTGAATACTTATCTTGCGTCCAAGAGCAGTGGCTGCCCACATGATGAAAAGGCTACCGACAGCGCCTCCAGCGCTGTAGAGCCCATTGGCAGTAGATATTGCATTCGTCGTGGTGGTCGCGTAGCCAGGCTCGCCAGCCATTGGCAGGTGGAAGAATTTATACCATCCAGGCTGGCCGATTGTGCTCCCTATGATGGAGGAACAGTATCCATACGTCTACAGAGATTAGATGTTAGCATCGCAGAAAAACATGGTGCTACTGCGTCGTATCATTACCAGAGATCCGAAGGCGACAGCGACAGTGACCAGCCTATTGTACGGATTTGTTCTCTTGGACCGGGTAGAATGATCTGTGGGTGACATCGTAGGCTTCAAACAGGCCTTCACGTCGAGTGAGTTCCCGAGTAGCAGTTGCAATCTCTAGTCAGAATCTTTACCAAGGGCAAAAGGGGACAATCCTTTAGCTGTTCCAGGCGAAAGACGGTATACATTGCGATTATTTACGTGCCCCCTTAACCGAACTGGACTTGCGGGGCCCCGCAATCGAATTTTTTTTTTGCCTTTTTGCACCTCTGCATGACTCTAGTCGAAATTAACGTCTCCTATGAGGATTGGAATAGCTCAGAAATGGTGATGTCGATCGGGATTGGTGTGTTCGACGTTCAGTCCCCGCTGAAAGCTCCGAGACTGTGTCCTGATGTTTGGCGTCCCCAAAGTTCACCCCGGTTTGTGGCTCCGGAGCGTGCCACTTGCTTACGTCAAAGCTATTCTCCACGCGGTCCCGCACGAGACCAACAAGAACGTGATGCCTATGAGTGTTGAATCAGCATGAATTAGGGTGACTATCGAGTTTGGGAGTTGCTAAGGAGGGGAGAGCTACTCGTATGGTCGGACTCATTATGGATTGCGAGCAATCCATTAACACCATAACATTTCATTTCTGAGTGAGGTATTCAGTGTTTCACTGAAAATCTTATTCTTTCTGACCCTCAGTTAAATTTTGATAACAATCGGTTTTTGGTTTAGTCTTGTGGGTTCCAATTCATCAAGTTGTACAGGAGGCATGGACGTAGACAGCCAATTGCAGCTGCCATTCGAACTTTCTGACAATGACCTTCTCAGAGGCGCTTGCTACGTAAATGGCAAATGGGTGCAAGCCGATAGCAACAAGAAGTTCGAAGTAATTGATCCAGGGTCTGGAAAGGTATGGGCCTCGTGTCCAGACTGTACCGTGGATGATGTCGAGCCTGCCGTGCAGTCGGCTCAAGCGGCATTCGAGATATACTCCAAATTCACGCCGAGAAAGCGTGCGCAGTTGATCTCAGCCTGGCATCAGCTCATCGTTTCTGCACGAGAGGACCTCGCTAGAATCCTTGTTCACGAGACCGGAAAGCCGCTTGCTGAGGCGTATGGGGAGCTGGACTACGCGACGACATTCACATGGTGGTTTATTGGCGAGGCTGAACGAATTCACGGATCTGCCTTTCACTCTGCGCTACCGGGGCGACGTTCGGTAGTGACGAAACAGCCGCTGGGCGTGGCGACCGCTCTTGTTCCCTGGAACTTCCCCATTGCTCTGGTCCTACGCAAGGCGAGCGCTGCATTGGCTGCAGGGTGTACCATTGTGGTTAAGACGTCACCCGAGACACCGCTGAGCGCGTTGTGTCTCGCAAATCTGGCAACGCGAGCTGGGTTCCCGCCAGGGGCGCTCAATGTGCTGACGACCAGCCTCGCGAATACGCCAGCCGTGGCCGAAGCGCTATGCCTGCATCCGCTGGTACAGAAGGTAACGTTCACTGGCAGCACCCGGGTGGGTAAGATCATTGCCAGCTACTGCGCAAAGACGCTGACGAAGCATACCCTCGAGCTCGGAGGCAACTGCCCGTTCATCGTGTTCGAGGACGCCAACTTGGACCTGGCCATCACGCAGCTGATGGCGCTGAAGTGGCGGCACGCAGGCCAGGCGTGCGTCACGGCAAACAGGGTGTACGTGCAGCGCAATGTACATGATGCTTTCGTTGCGAGGCTGGTCGAAGAGACAAAGAAGCTGAAGGTCGGCCATGGCATGCAGGAGGGCGTCACAATGGGCGCGCTCACCACGCCTCGAAGTCTAGACAAGGCGGAAGCTTTGTTCAAGGACGCTATAGACAAGGGCGCCCATATCGTCCTAGGTAGCGGAAGGAGAGCGGAGGGGCTCGGCGGCGGGTATTTCATGGAGCCCACAATCTTGTCGCAGATGAACGACGACATGCAGATGAGCCAGGAAGAAATCTTTGCGCCAATCCTGGGCGTGTACACCTTCGACACGGAGCAAGAGGTGGTAAAGCGGGCCAATGACACGCCTCTGGGTCTTGCCAGCTATGTATTCAGCACAAACGTCAATCGTTTGTGGAGGATGTTTGAAAACCTGAAAGCAGGCATGATCGGTTTGGTGAGTTCCACACACTCTCTTTTGCAGGCTTTGCTCAATCTTGGCTGACCTAATTCTCAGAATACGGGAAACAGCTCCGCGGCGGAGGCTCCTTTTGGCGGAATCAAAGAAAGCGGACACGGCAAGGAGAGCGGGAAGGACGTCGCCGTCAACGAGTTCATGATCACGAAGACGGGAACGCTGACGATCGAGGATCACTTCTGATATATGGCCCACTACACGGTCGCCCTTGCTGGTGTTGTTGTCGCCGTTGCGGAGAATCGACTTGAACCGTGTTCACTTGCTGATGGACGTCAGTCTCTTTGGCTGATTCTGAATTGACCTCACAATTATGTTCTTTCATTGTGCTTCGTTTGTACGTGTGTAGGTGTCTCCCAAATGTGCTTGTAAAGGTCTGGACAGCGGACGCTGTTCGGTTGAATGTTCCGGTGGCGGAGACCGCGGGATGCCGCGACAGCCCCCACCAACGCGGACCAACCCAGGCTGTGGTCTCCCATGCTCCTATTGGCGGCCCGAGAGGGCGAAGACTCGCTGATCGACTGATGTCTTGCATCCGAGCGGAGCCCAGCGGGCGCAACGGGCAAATTTTCTGCACTCGTGCACATCGGGGCTCGTGACTGAACCGTGACCGAAGCGGGACGGCGAGCACGCGTCGGCCGAGCCCAGGTAGCGATCTCTTCGACGAGACGACTTGCACACGGACGCCAGAACGCAACAAAGGCGAGGGCACACGCGGGGACGAAAGCAGCTGTCTGCCAGAGTTTCGTGCACATTTCATCTTGTTTCCTCAGATGAGGAGAGCAGCGGTAAGCTAAAAGTAAAGGAAGAGGAGATGGGGTCAATGTCCATGCACAGGCTGGGCCGTCGGGCCACTGTTCTTAGGGGGTCCCAGGCGACGCGAGGGGGGGACACTGGCGCGAGCACCCGGAACGTAGTGGGGGCCCAGGCACTAGAGCCCCTAACACACAGGGCCTGGCCCCCGCCGCCCGTCTGGTGCCCGCGGTCCCTCGTCTGTCCCATTCACCACCACCAACCCCGGCGACTAACAAAAGGCCCAACCCACATCCCTCCAAGCCTTTTTTTCCCTCCACATCAAGTAAAAAAAAATAAACAACAAACACCCGTCCATCCGCAACCTTCGCCATCATCAACGGCTTTCTTCCTCCTTTCATCCCGTCTCTTCCATTCACAAGGAATACTCCGCTCCGTTCGACACTCCCACTTTTCCTTCTCTCCTGCTCTCCTCGCTTCCACGCCAATCCTTGACGTAGCTGAACTTCGTCCTCGCCCTCGCCCTCGGCATCGAAGGATCAATAGATTTGCATATTTCCTAAGTGCATTCACGCGACGAGACAGTCGGCAGCTCACTGTCTTCGACGACTCGCTAGAATTTGAACCAGCTGATACGCTGTCCGTTCTGTCCTGCGGTAACATCTTTTACCCCTTCTCGTCCCCAGTCTGAACACAACATTGCTTTTGCCTTCACCGCGTCCACAACCTCCACGGCCATCTACATCAGATTCAAGTAGAGCGATAACTGACAGCCTTCCGCGCAGATTGATTCAGCTGGACCTTTGGTTCCATCATCGTGCACTTCCTGGTTGCGCATCAACTCCATCTCCGCACGTTTGACAGCAGATTGCTACCTCTTCCTTAGCCCACTCACACTCTCATCCTTAACATCAGCTTCATCGGAGTGTACGCGAACTACGATTAACATGGCAGCAGAGGTGGGAAGTGCTCCGGTCAACGGCTACCACGGCGCCTCCTACGGCGCTGCCGATGGCCACAGCAATCAGGCCAATGTCTCCTCAGCGTCTCCCGCAGCTCCCGCGTCCACCGCAACCTCATCTGCGACGCAGCAACAGCAGCAGTCCAGTCTGTCCAAGGAAGAGGTCGCATGGTACTTTGTCGAATCGTACTACAACACTATGAGCCGTAGTCCTGAGAAGCTGCATGTGAGTCGACGCCTCCGTACTTGATGGCGAACAAAAATTTGAATTCTAGCTAATCTCCGCCAAACAGCTCTTCTTCAACAAGCGCTCACAGCTGGTTTCCGGCGTGGAGGAAGTCAAGAGCTCTATCGCTGTTGGTCAGAAGGTACGTAAATCCAGGCACAGTCCCAAGTCCGCTCCCGCCATCAAAACACCAGCGTGATTGCTGATTGTGTTCAATTTGGGTAGGCTATTAAGGAGCGCATCGCCGAACTTGACTTCCAAGACTGCAAAGTCCGCGTCACAAATGTCGACACGCAAGGCTCTGACACAAACATTGTCATCCAAGTTATTGGCGAAATGTCCAACAAGTCGCAGCCGCGCCGCAAATTCGTCCAAACTTTCGTTCTCGCAGCCCAGACAAACGGCTATTTTGTGCTCAACGACATCTTTCGCTATATTGCCGAAGACGAGAGCGACGACGAAGCCGAGGCTGAGGCCGTCCAACAAAGCGTTGAGGAGACGGAGGGTACTCAGGAGCCGGTCCCAACCGCGGCTGATTCAGGCTACAGTGCAGAGAAGGAGACGATGAGAGGTGAAGCCGAGGTCAAGGAGGTGGATAAGAAACTAGAAGAGGTCAAGCATGAGGAAGAGTCCGAGTCTGCCGCATCGGCTAGCGCAGTCAACGGCACGCCTGCGACTGCGGAAGCTGACGTTGCTGAGACTGAGGAGGCACCTGCTGCTGCGACTGCCACGCCCGAATCCAAACCCAGCGTTGTGGAGAATACGGTCGCAAAGGATGACATCGAGCAACCAGAAAAGCCACAAGACCCGTCACCCACACCGGCAACCGAGACCGCGGCGCCCGCCGCCGCCACACCCTCTGCACCCCCCAAGGCCGCGGTCCCACTTAGCTGGGCGCAGCGTGCGGCCGGACCTCAAGCTGCAAAAGCTGCTGTTCCGGCAGCTCGTCAGGCCCCGGCCGCCTCTACTAGCACACAGGCCAAGCCAAGTGCCTCAGCACCAGCGGCGCAGCCTGCACCTGCTGCTTCGTCGACGCCGGCGCGTGAAGCATCCCCAGACAGTAATAAGGATGGCTCAACGGGAGGCTGGCAGACTGCCGGTGCGGATCACAGCCGGAAGCAGTCTCGTGCACACAACGCCAACTCGCCCGCTACCGGTCAGGATGGACGTGTCCGCGCGTTTGTTAAGAATGTGACCGAAGACGTTGATGCCGATGCTCTGAAGCAGGTGCTTAGTCGCTACGGCGAAATTGTTTACTTCGATGTGGCTCGGCAGAAGAAGGCTGCTTTCGTCGAGTACAAGACTCTCGCAGGCTTCCAGGCTGCTGTTAGCGCGAACCCTCACCGGATTGGCTCTGAGGATATCTGGGTTGAAGAGCGTCGTGTCTCGAACACTTCTTACAATGCTCGAGGCGGTGCCCGTGGAGGATCTCGCGGTGGCTCGTTTGATGGCCGAGCTGGTAGCCAGGGCCGTGGCGACTACAAAGGTACGGGCTCGAGCCGGGGCAACTTCAGTGCACGCGGTGGCCGAGGCGGCAGCGGCAACGTCACCCCGAAGGGACGAGGGGGACAAGGTGCATAAAAGGGTTGTGCTCGTTTGTAGCACAACCCGTTCTCTCCTACTCACCCTGCCCTCCTCACCCGACTTCCCACTTTCCGCCCCGATATCATAGTCCGACTCACGGGGCTGCATGCAAATCTTGAATCGGTATGACATGCATTTTCTTTTCCCAAACTCGTACTGTCATCACCATCGAACCGTCGACGATAGTTTCACCTGCACGCCATGTCTAACAAGTTCTGGGAGAATCACAACCTTCACCAATGCTCATCGTATGAACCGGACAGAAAAAAAAGGGAATGGCACTCTTTTCTTTCAGGAACACGTGTGTTTCTTTCCAGTCAGCCACGAGCGGATCTATTCATTCACGGCTTTGCATAGCGTTTGTGTTAACTTTACATTTGGTTTCGTTTCTTTCCTCACGGCCGAGCTTGGAGTCGTGGGATCCTCTCTGCGCCTGGCAGACCTCGAACCTGCCGCAGATGGGTGTCTGCGACTACTCACGGGTACTCTCGTGAGCTAATTGCTTTTTATCATTGTACAACTTTTTCAGATTTCGGGGTTCCCCCCGGCTTTGCTTGTCCTTCGTGCGTGGCTCGTGGACGGAACTTGAGGAGAGGATCGGGTACTTGCTAAACGATGAAGAGGGAGAAAGTCGTGGTGGGAGAGAAACGCGAGCGGAGTTTGTAGGCAAAGGGACTGAAGAAAGAGGTGGGACACGTGCTTTATTTCCCTCGATGAGACATGCGCGTAATCTGTAAAACATAAAAAGAGGCCCCGGAGGTCTTGCACGGTATTCAAAAGAAGGGAAAAAAAAAGGAAAAAAGAAGCTCGTCTTTTCTTGCTTTTCGTCCATTTTGTGACTGTGTATGTATTCATGCGCGTTGGTGTGTATGTATCGGTTAGAGCGAGCGCGTGAGGAAGAACTGTAGCTTACCATGTCACGACTGGCGATGGATGGTGAAAGGAGAGAATGTAACACTAATCGCAATGGTTCGGCGAATGGATGCATCTGGAGCTCTATGCAAGTGGTGCTGGGACGCGTAAGTTCGATTTGGCCCGATGGGATGTAGTGTTTGTGAATTCAGTCGTGGTTTCATAACTCGGCACCGCTACCATCAGCATTCATCTCGCAGCGTGTTTGTGTGCCTGCCCACAGACCTACGTGTCTATCAACGTGAATTGATCTCGCACTGAAGACGTGGATGGTTCAATCCAGGCTGACATGAGAGCGCACATGTTGCAGCATGCTGGTCCATGGCGAGCGGACTGAAATGCTCGTGACGCTGCGAGCCCTCCATCCCTTGTGGCTACGTCGACTAGGCGGCCAAACATTGAACCCGAATGGCGTTTTTCTACCGTGCTCTTTCGTCGAAGATTCACGCGTTCTTGACATGTGCACCTGTATCTATCGTGTTACGAAGAACTGGAGCTGCAGCTCCCCGCCTGCGGCCTGCAACTTGGCAGCCCCTCTCGCGGCGGATGCCCCTCTTCTTCAGGCGAGGGGCCCCCCTACGCCAGTGGGTACCCCGCCGTTGCCCAGGCGGTCGACCCCCTAGCCGCGGCTTCTGCATCGCTCCCTCGCTCTGTCTGCGGTCCCCTGCACCACAACCTTCCACCAACAACCCACCTTGGACCAGGGCAACACCTCATCTACTCACCAACGACGTCTGACCCTGCATATACAGTTCACTCCATAACCAAACTCACACTTGACAACCGCATACTCAACTGTCTGGATCTTCATACGTGTTCGCTCTCCCCGCGAGGCGTAAGTGGCCAATTGTGGTGCCATCGCGCTTATCTGGGGACGTGGACCATCACCCTATCAGCCGAGCTGTTCTCGTCCCAGGCTTCCGACGTACGCACATGCCCGCGTGAGCTCGTCACCGACTACTCCTCTCCGGCGTCGACGCTCCTCCTCCTTCCTCGATAGCCGCCGCATCCTCGAATCCAGAAAGCAGTTTGTGTACTGCCTCAGTCTTGCATCCGACACGCCTGCACTTGGGGTGATCTTGATGTGCTGGCGGGGTACTCTAGCAAGAGGCACCCGGATCTACAGTGGAGAGTTCGGTCGTATATCCCCGACGTAGCCAACGCACGCTGCGTACGTCGTCCAGCTAGCTGATTTTTTTCCCCCGCTACATACGATCCATTCGCCTTTTTAAACTTCATGGTCCTAACTGTGGAGCTCATAGTGTTCCTTGCGATCCAACCCTCGACCAACATCTTATCTCCGTCCATGACGAATACACTCCGCACCACTCACGCACAACGAACCTTTCGACCTCGTTCACAGCGGAGACGCTAAATGAAACATAGCAGTCTCTTAAGTAGTTTGCAGATCTTAACGGAAACATGAGACCTACTCCAGCGGCCAACGAGGCCGCTTTCCCACCTAGATCTCGAAAGTCCAGCTTGGTTTCCGACAGACGCCCAAGCTTGAGTTCCGTTCAGCCAACCTCTTTCTTCCTCGCCCGTGAAGAGGACATTTTTGGTCCCCCTCGCAAGCCCTCGTCCAGGCGGAGCAGCGCCTCGAACAAGTCCGACGGCGGGACTTCGCTCGAAGCCAGCGGGCCGAGATTAGGCTCCGATGGAAAGACCGGGCCGCCAGATAGCATGTACGGTGTGCAGAGCTTGGAGGAGGCATTAGGGCAGGCTTTTGGGCAGGATGACATCGAGGATGAGGAAGAGAAGGAAACAGTAGGAGCCGCCGGGTTGCTTAGGAGAAAGAGAGGGAATGAAGCAGCAGACAGGATGTCCGTGACCGAGGACGGCAAACAGCATACCTCACCACAGCACCATCTGCCTGCCGCTACAACTGCCGCTGCCACGCGCTCCTCCCGGGCGAACACCATATCCCAGCCGCTCACCCCTCTTCAGCTCGAGAGTCCGATCCCAGAGTCTGCGATGCCGAGTACACCGAAATCCGGCAGCTTTAGGAGCTTGGCGCTAAGCGAAGAGGATGATGAGGCTGCGAGTCAGGCCATTACCAGTGCAGGCGAGGAGGAAGACGGAGATGACGGCGAGGATGAGGCAGGCGGAGGCGCGGAAGAAATGCAGCATTCACAAGCCAGCGCACCCCAGCTCGTTATGCCTAGCCTGTCCATGCCTAGCAGACGGCCGTTTACCGAGCGAGGAAAACAAATGGGCAGGCTGAAGATTGCTGTTGCCGGTGCCAGCGGTAAGTCTCATTCACATGCCCATAGTAAGCGACCTATGGCTAAACTCACTCACCAGGAGTCGGAAAAACGAGCCTCATCCGAGCAATTGTCCGCCAGTGCGAAGACATCGTCCACCTTGACCCCATAGCCACGCCGACTCCGAACGTACAGACGCCGAGAGCAGGTGAAAAACGAAGCAGGAAACATCGCTCGTCAGCCACTACGCAAATAACCGAGATCCAAGCGTCCACAAAAGCCTACCCGTTATGGTGGTCTGACATTGAGGACAGTAGGGTATTGCTCCGGCGGCGCAAGAGTATGACCGAGACGGTGCTAGAGAGAAATGTGTGTTTCATCGACACGCCGGGAATTGAGACCAGCAGCAAAATGCCGGTCGAGAAGCATGCGCTAGTCGAGTATCTGGAGACTTTGTTTCAGAAGAATGTGGCCATGACAGAGATGAGCAGTGCGGATCTGTTGGGTGTGCTAAGCGGCGCAGGGGGCGTACAAGTTGATGTTGTTCTCTACATCTGTGAACCGGCTGGTCAGAGCTCTCCCCATTTCACCTTCAATGTCCTCGTTTCATACTGACGGGTACGAACAGAATCGATATCACAACGTGACTTTGAGTACATGGGCAGACTGGCCCAGTTCACTAGCGTCATTCCGATCATATCGAAGGCAGATGCTTCGCCTGAAACGGAGCTGTCGAGACGCAAGAATGCAGTTGCACAGGAGCTGTTGAGATGCAATATCAACGCGGGCGTGCTGAACAAGCCACGACCTGAAAAGACCGTCGACAGTACCGAACAGACCGATGTGCTTCCCGAAGAAGCGCCGCTTCTTTCAACGGAGGTCAGCAGCTCCGTGCCGTCCGCACCATTCCTGGTATCTTGCTTGCCGGGCTCTGACGACGGCGAAATGGACGCCAGCTTGCTCATGTCCCCATCGTACTCGCCGCCCTTGGTTCCTTCAGAGCTGCAGGCACTAGTTGCTATGTTATTTGATCCGGAGACGATGGCCAAGCTGCGACACATCTCAGCCAGGAAATTCTTGCAATGGAGGGAGAGACTTGGTCTGGATGGCGATGCGCGCTCTTCAGCAGACTCGTCGATTCTCGGTCCTGCGGTTGGCGCAACTGGTCTAGGCATCAGAGATCACCTCGCGCTCGCGCGAAACGGGCACCAGAGGCGAACGGGCAGCCCGGGTGGTGCGCTCATCACGCGATCCCACACTTCTCCGTTCAACCTGTCCTCTACGTCCATTGGCTCGGGTCTCCCAGATTACACGCGAGCGCGCATCCGAGATCACATCCTTAGAGAGGAAAGGCTCGCTCAGATACAGCTCGCAAAATGGGCTAGCGATCTACAGAAGAACGCTCGGCGTGAAAGAGAAGAGTATGCTCGTCTCGTGGAAGGTGAGAGGGCACGGTGGCTACTTGAACGCGTGGGTGAAGAAATAGCCATGGGTAGAATCAGCAGTGTCAACGAGGGCGACTACAGCGGGGAAACGCGTTCGTTGACGATGAGGAGAAGGGAGAGGAAGCGACTCCGAGACGGCGGCATGGAATTGCCGTCTTGGGCCCGCTCTTCAGATGTTGGAGGGATGATGGACCCAAGCGATCCGCTTGGACTATGTCTCATTGGCGACGGAGTAAGGACGACAGGAAATGTGGTGCTGAAGGTCCTGGGAGGTGGTGTTCTTGTTGGAGCTGTCTGGCTGGCTATCTGCCGAGCCTGGGGGATCGATCCAGAAAAGTGGTGGCATCCGAGCTCGTGGTGGTGAACGAAGCGGCAACCGGTGGCCGCGATACGTTGGGCACTCTCAACTTTGCGACGCGCAACGAGGGCATTGTATGATTCATGATGTGGTCTTGGGTAGCTGTTGATCGTAGACATTGAACTCTGCTTTGACTTGAAGGCTCTTCTGAGCAATTTTTGCGTTCTCGAAAATAAATTGAAAAAAGCAAAAATTTTTGAGAGCATATATGATTCGAAGTGCTGCGAGGAATACGGATGGCACTAAGAACAATTGGCAAATCGAAAGCTGGTTCTTGAGATTGTGTTTTGCAAGCTCAATTTCCCCTTTAAAGGCGGCTTGATACCAGTGTCGCCTCGTACCGCTTTAAGTCATGTTGGTACATCAACCGAAGACGATAATACAGTGCAGCAGAAGATTGAACTCCCACACAGTAGTTTGCGAACCGTGAGCATCGCCCAACCCTTGATCGACGTCATCGTTAGCGATCAATTATGATGCAAACACGTAAACAAAGCCGCCTGCAGAACGAGGAAACGGATTCGCCTGATTCGTTCATGTCAGCCACAATCCACGGACGTCTTTGTCCTTTGACCACGGTTTCAGGCAGCTTCGGTCAAGCTCGTCCCAACGATGGGTTTCTGGGCTGTTTGGTGCAACAGAAGAGGCAGCCCAAGGCTGGCGTTGCCGTCCGGCGCAGCGCTGGAGGAAGACACGTAGGCGGAGGCTTTGGAGCGAGAGCGGGCGACGACGCCAGCTCAGATCATGCACACGGGCAGATCCCAGACGGCGGCCGTGAATGATCGACGGGGTCCAAGTGCAGCCGGCAGACGGGCGGGCTTCGACAGCTCGACTGGCAGCGCTCAAAGCAGGAAGAGGCTGCATGGGCGGAGAGCGAGCGGTGGAGAAACGAATGCGCGGGTGCGCCCACGATCGACGCCCGATCTGGTCGCTGAGCCAATGAGCGCCCCTTCAGAACGTCACCACCCACCGCGCTCGGGTGCAGGTTCAGCTCGCCTTTTGCTCGTCGTCGCCGTCCCTTTTCCCACCTGCACGCAGCGCCTCTGCAAACGCATCCGGAAAAGGTCCAGATGATGGCTTCAGATCGGATCGGCGGGACGGCCCTGGAGAAAACTCTCGTAGCGTTTTTGGCCTCTTGTCGTTCTGGGGCTTTAAATCCTTCCCGCCGCACCACGTTGGAGCTACGCTCTCAATAACGCGGTGCGTCCTCTCTGCCTGAATCCCCCGCTTCAACCGTCGGCCGTTTTTGCTTTCCAACGTCTCCGAGACTGAGAGGAGCGGGTTCCCTTTCTTCTTTAATTTTTTTTTTTTTTTGGAAAACTCAATCGCAAAACATGGCTATCCTTAAGGCCGTCGAGAAGCTGCTCGTCGGGCTCTTCGTCTTCACCTGGGACACCTCTCTCTTCTTCCTCAACCTTGTCCTTCCCAAGTACAAGCCTGACCTTGTCGTTCCCAAGGGTTGTCCTGGCCACCAGGGAAACTGGCCACCGTATGTGCCGCCCAAGGAAGGGGACTCGCGGTCAGCGTGCCCGATGTTGAACGCGATGGCGAACCATGGCATATTGCCCCACGACGGTAAGAACATCACGTTCCGCGAGATGAAGACCAAGATCCGGCAGACGTTCAACTTCGCGCCGTCGTTCTGCTTCTTCGTGCCCAAGTTCTCGGCCGACTTCCTGCACAAGTCGTACTTCAAGGACTCGTTCGACCTGGCCGACCTTAGCCTGCACAACGACGAGGCCATCGAGCACGACGCAAGCCTGACGAGGCAAGACACGGCGCTTCAGCCCGATCAGGGTGCGCCGGACCTGAAGCTCGTCGAGGAGCTGCTGAAGGAGGCCACGGGAAAGTATCCGGACGGCTCGCCGAGACTCACAATCCCAGACCTGTCCCGGGCGCTGTCGAAGCGTCGAGTGGAAGCGCGGAGGACGAACAAGGACTACACGGAAAGCTTCTTCCACAACACGTTCGGGGCCGCAAAGTACGTTTTTCCCTCTCCTCTTCATCTGTTTGAACCTTGTACCTCGTGCAAAAAAAAAAACCCGCGGCGGGAGGGCCAGCAAACTGACTCTCAGACAGCTCGAGCACCATGTTGACCATCTTCGGCGGCAACGTGCACGATCTGACGGCCATGCTCACCGAGGAGCGCTTCTCGGAGAACTGGCAGCCGAGGATCCTGGATCGGTTCGGCCTGACGATGATGAAGTTCAACTTCACGGTCATCCCGGTCGAGAGGGGCGTCGACGTTAAGAAGTATCAAAAGACTGACCTGTGATGCGACGTTGGCGGACGATCGAGTCAAACTCTGTTCCTCTATTCCCCTCCCCCAATGAGAAAAACGATGACAAAGAGCGTGAAGGCCCCGTCGAGCTTGATACATGGCCGAGCTATATAAGTAGCAGCTTTATTCAGCTTGTACATCTCTCCACGCTTTTCGCCCGTCTTTTCGAGGCTCCAGATGTGCCTGCGCCGCGGCGGTGACGAAAGCGAACTCGATCTCCACGTTTCTGGACACCTTGTCGTTTAGTCTTAATTAGTTTACCCAAACCTCCAGCCGCTATGGCGATGCGCCTTTTTTTATTTATTTATTTATTTTTATTTACTTCAGCCTTCTTACGGAAACGATGTTGCACTGGTCACTCTGCACCCAAGCCTTTTACACACTGAGACCTCTTGAATCACGCCCCTGAGTATGTCCAGCCTAGCACCTTGCTTCCATCGGGGTTTGACGAGAGCAAAGTGGTTAGAGGGAAAATTTTACATGACTTGACACCGTTTCCCTCCAATTTCAGCTCCTTTTTTTTTATTCTTAAGCCTATTCAGTTTTCCCTCATCGTCTCCTTTGAAAAGGACTGAAACGACACAAGGCTGCCTTCAAGTCATGCATTCGCTTAACTCCCGTCTTTCTCAAAGCGCTGAAAATAGATCTGCTACGTGGCATTCGATTTTCGACTTGGCTACACGACTAAACCAGTACCATGTCGCGCACTTCGTTTCTTATATCTACGCACACGCATCCGTGCTGAACGTGCCAATTACGTATCGAGACTTCATTTAGCTCCTTTTACATACAGGTAGGATGCTAGACAAGTTCGAAAACTTATAATGAATAAGGAGCGTCATGTCTTGCTGCTGATTTACTGATCGGGGAACCAAGGAGGTAGGAATGCAGCTTCACAGCTCCGCCTCTGTAAATGTGGACGATCATAATCGTGTTTCAGGCATGGAAGAAGAGTGCAAGACCACCAATATGAACGCTTGTTATAAAGGAAACGATACGACTCTCTTAGGAATGCGGGAGAATGGCATTTATTCACTGCCAATACGGTAGACGATTTTAGAGCCCGACACTCGACCCTCTTGTAGGTCCTTGAGACCATCAAAGATCCTTTCAAGGCCTCCAGACCGCAGGTCCTTCCTCGGTGGTTTGATTTTACCTTCAGCAACCAACTTCTCTGCAAAGACGACCCACTTCTTGCCGAACTCAAAATCTTCGGCCGATGCTGCAAATTCTCTGCCCGCGCGGAAGCGAAAGTATTCACCGACTACGGTGTAGCCCAAAGAGTATGTCATTCGAACATCGTTCCGCGGAAAGTCAGTTACTACTAGGATCGAACCATATGTTGGATTGCCAGTGCTAGACAGCGCCTCGGCACAGATCTGGACAGATATGCCAGCAGAGATGGTGTCCCAGGCGTACATCAGCTTGTCGTTTGTAAGCTTCTTGATGTCCGCCGCGCAGCTCGGTGAATTGTAATCAAACACGTAGTCGGCTCCAAGAGACTTCAGAAGCTCAAAGTTCCGTGGCGAGCTGGTGGTGATGACCTCGAAACCGGATCTGACCGTGGCATTAGTCAAGGAGCCCAGCCCACAATCTTGATGAGGATGCAGTTACAGTTTGGCAAACTGGATCCCATGCATACCCGTTGCAGAACTGCCACCATAGATGAGGATCTGCTGCCGCCCATCGCGGCTGCTCTCCGCGGTGCCGGGCCATGGCAAGCCCATCTGCTGATACAGCCCCTGTCCACAAGTAATGATCCCCACTCCCATTGTGCTCGCATCTTCAAAGGTCATGTGATCCGGAATACGCATGAGGAGATCACCCTTTGCGGTCAGGTATTCGCCAAACGCTCCATCCTCGCCATGCACGACGTTTCCGCCATGAACAAAACCGAAGACGCGGTCCCCTTTCTTCCAAGGCCTGCTGACTGCCGAGCCTACCTCCTCCACGATCCCGGCGAAGTCGCAACCAATAGTGCACACGTCGTCGACAAAGCCAATGTGCTTCCAGTCGGTAGGGTTCAACGCTGGGCGAAGGGGAAAAAAATGGTCAGCAACGTTGAACATCTGGAGCGACCTGCGGGCGTTTGCGAATCTTACCGACGGCCATCGTCTTGACCGTGACGTAGTCTGGGCGAAGCGCGGGGATGGGCAACCCATCTTGCACCTCGGCCTTCTTGTTGCCCAGAGCTTTCAGCGCTTTCATAGTTGATGCTGAGTTTTCCTTTTCCTTCCCAGCCTATTCTGTTCCCTTTGCAATCAACAATCTCTAGCAAGCGGTCCGGGATTGTACCAGTCCTGATCGAAGTATCGGCGTTGCGACGAGCAGCAAACGAGGAGGCATTACATCACACGCCAGCCTGGCAGATGGGGGGGAAACGAAATTTGTGGAAAAAGACGACTTGATGGGGCAAACTTTTAAACTCGCGCCGTCAACTCGTTTCGCACCTCAACGCCGATTTGTCACAGCAACGTTTTGTCTCCAGGGCAGTCGACCGACGCAGGGGGGGAATCTTCTATTGGGGCCAAAGGCGACGTGCTAGCTTGGATCTTCGGTGGTGCACACGTCTCATTGCGTAGCTGATTAGAAAGCAGAAACGAGACAGTTCGGAGTTAAGTGCTCAAAAGAGCAAGAACTCACCACGAACCACAAATATGCGCGGTTGCTCCTGATTGACTCGTTTGGTTAAAGCTCCGCAAGGTGTGGTTTGGAGCGTACATTAGGGTCGTAAACCCTGTCTCGGTGCTTGAGTATAGTTCTATGGTAGCTCCCCTCTTACCGCGGGCGAAAGAGATGCACATCGTCCATGCAAAGGGTGCCGTATAGTGCACCGCCTTCGCATGTACGCGAGACTGCGTTCTCATCAGAATTAAATTTTTGCGGGACGTTTGGACAACTGCTACATGTCTTATGTCATACACGTAACAAAACCAAAGTTTCAAGTCTTGATGTCTAGAATATCACATCTGTCCCCGCACACTCGTCAACATTATTCGTCATACAGGAATGTACGCCATATCATCTATCCTTTTTGTCACAAAAGATACGGTGGCAAGAATTTAGACTTGAAGCTGTTTGCTGTGCGTCAGCTCAGGTCTAAAGAGAAATCAAACAAGCAGAATAGAGGTGAGAAGGACAGGGCCGATTCGGGAAAAGTGATTGCGGCCTGGGTGGACCTTCTTTTTAGGCCCTTTTCGGTACATCCAGCGGTCGAGGGGCGTCCAATGTCCAATCGTCAAACGTGTAGAAGGAGCTAGAAGCATTCGAATGAAATAAAGGTACTTCAAGCATCGTACTATCACGTCCATCGTGAGGTACTTCATCAGTTTCCGTTGTTCTAGATCCAGAATCCGTTGGGTTTTTACTGCCAACACTAAGCCAAGAGAGGTCCGATAAACAGACTGTTCTGTGCGGGTGGACTTCTTGTCCTAAGCATTTTTCGTCGAAGCCTCGCACTCGGCGTAGTGGTGGTGGCGAATAGGCGACGGCAATCTCGCAGTCGGTTTCCAACGATCTCATCAAAGCTGGCAACGGCTTGTCCAGCTGCAAATTGGATGTGGCCTTTGCATTTCTGGCCTGTCGAGTATATCCTTCTGCTCCCATCTTCTGTAGTTTCTTTCCTTCTGCAAGATTATGACCGTCGAAACAAGATTGCCAGCGTTCGAAGGGGTCAACTGATGCCCTCAAGCACATGCAATTGAATAGGTTCTTAATGATGGGACAGAACAGCTGATACGCGCGGTAGATGAAAGGTATACAGGCGCATATAATGACTGTATGCAACTCCCACATCGCCGCTAGAGTGGCTCCGGACGTGGTCCCTAGAAACTCAGATATTAGTTTTGACCCATAATAAGGCGCAATTGTAGTGAGCTTACAAGTCCAATCATTCTTGCTATCGCCGTCATAAAGCTCCTGCAAGAGTATCGTTCGAATGATTCCAGCAGCTAGGACGCTTTTGCATGATGTTAACTCAAAACTCGTTTCCAATCGCAATTGTGTCTTACATTAAACCCAGGCCGAGAAGAAAGAAGAGCCTGGCTCTAGCACGAAGCGGTCTATTAAATATGAAGGTAAGAACAAGTGGTATTATTCCCGCCGTTAGATCGGTAACGCTGTTGATCACACTGGCGACAAGCGACAGGACACCTCGATCCATGCATGCGTATGGGGTTTTGAAGTTCGGATCTATTCTCTTCCAGCTTGCATCGAGAGGAATGCAAGAGCTCAAAGGAAGGAGGATGTAAACCACCAGAAATGCCCCGAGCGCAGCGAGGATCGCACGGAGCAGCCTGGTGAAGTTTTTGTTTCCTACTTGGGAGGCGAGGCTATGATAGAATGCAAGAATCGAGATTTTTACACTCGACAGTCCAAACAGAAAAAATATCTCCATGATGAAGCTATACTGTAGACACATCAGTCACAAGGTGGGACCTTGCAATCCATGCTATAACTTACAAAAGAAGCATTAACTTGTTCCTTTATGCTTGAACCTTGACCGATGCGCTCTACGTCGACATGATATAATGAAACTGAACTCGTGATTAGTCCCGGGGCAGACCATCCGCAAAGGATTCTAACGCTGACCATGTACCGCGAGTGCAGTGTGCGTAGTTGCTGAGAGCTGCCAATGCATTAGCTCTCAGGGAGCCCTTTTAAGGCAGAGGGGCATGCCATACCCAGCCCAGAACTAAAAACCCGTCTCCTACGTCGAAGCTTCCGCCGTTTCTCGAACAGCGTATGTATAGTCGAAGGGGTACGAGAATAGAACATATAGCAAGGAAGGCGATTCCACACCCAAAAACGGCAGCTGGTATAACTGATTCATCTCTCATTCTATCAACGCGCTCGTCTTATGAACAAACAAAGGAAAAGAAAAAAAAGGGGGAAGACTTAAAGGATATCACGAGCGGCTTTTGTGGGGGGTTATATTACGATACTTGCGGAGCCTAGGACATAAAGATAAGCAAAGTCGACGTGATGTATACGCGCAAACGAAGAAAAGAGAAACGGCACAGGTAGTGTCTGCATCGCAGTAGAGGGAGTCCAGCTGGCGCCTGCATGTAGGATATTGTCGCCGCAACAGGTTTCGACGCAGTCGACGCAAGAGCGCCCAATGGTCTAGTTTCACGAGCGGCGACTCGTCGTACGTTCTCAATCAAGCATGGACATAACTCTACACGACTTTCTTTCCATCCTGATAGGATGAGCGCCAACGAAGTCAGGTCCGCTGTGGGACGGTTCCAGACACGGTTGCAGGCAATGACCTGGGGAACATGTAGGCTCCTGACTCGCTACCGCTGGCAGCCGTTGACGCCGTCAACCAAGCACGCCAAAGGAAAAAGAGCTTCGAACGCGGGTTTTGCTTCAAGTTGGCCTAGACTGTTGACTACGCCGGTAAGATTGCCTTTGACCAGGCTTCCCAAGTTGGTTCCTGCAGCATTGCAGTGAAGACTGTCCAGGAAGAATGCTCATCTGAAGGCCGATCAATGCAGGTCACTTTTGCCAGTGGCGTCATCAATCAATTTGATCCGCTGCTTCGTGGCGTTCGGACATATACTGGCCGGGAAGACGGGCCAGGCCCCTACTTCGTCGTTGAACATTGCCCATGGCGTCTCTGCATCAACAGTGGTCTTGCCTTCCTGCAGTTTCATGCTAACAATCACGCGTTACCACATTTGTGTCGAGCAGATCTGGCCTTCCCCATGTAACCGAGATATCGAGTTCGCGTGGCTCTACACCTGCCAAGTCGTACACACCGTTCGTCGCGAGACACCAGCATCGTCGAAGACAAGATGGGCAGAAGCCAGTTGCCGTCCATGAACGGAAAAGGACTGCGAGCCTGTCGCGGGACCTTCGACCTGAGACCAAGAGGCGATCTACACCGGCACGAATTTTGATTGACACATCAAACATGAATCCGCGGCGGAAGTGACTCGCAGTTCTGAGCTTTGTTGTGTGTGCCGAACGGCTTGGCTTCGATGGCTTCTGCAGATGGCGCGGATGGGTGGGGAAGCGCGGGTGCAGGCTACAATCTGTGCAGCGGCTGGGTCTTCCCTGGCAGCACGTTCAATATGACTGCAATAGTATCGTGAAGTCACAACAGCATCTGGACGAATCGCATGCAGCGCCGAGGGCCTGTCTTCAGTTGGCTGCGCGAGATGATTGTCCCCTTGGTCCTGATCGAGTAGACGGATAGGATGAAAGTTGGTCGAGTGGACGCCCATCCCGTGCGCTCAAGGACTGGACCTGAAATAGAGAACAGCCCGGAGGCGTGCATGCATACGAGCGTCAACCTTCCACAATCTGGAAAGCCCTGTCGTGGAAGACGAGCATCTTGGAACGTTGAGGCTGTGGGAAGGTTTTGGCCGTCTGCAGCGTAAGCCGTTGGTCTGTTTCGGTCCATGCCTCGCGTGGTGTCGGCGGTGGGTGAAATTTCCGCGAAACGTTCTATTCCTTAAACTTATTTGCCGATCGAAAGGCTAGGCTGAGCTAATCGAAACCTCCGTGACGCCATGATTCAGTAGTAAAAGATTTGCTCTCCAGCAGCAGCAGCAGCAGCAGGCGGCGGAGTTTGTCCATGCTAGGAGGACAGCGTTCTAGACGCGGCCTCGATTGCCTGAAGTCCAAAATGGTCCCGTGCAGACTTCCGGATCTTCATCTTTATCAATCAACTGGGCGGGGACTTGTAGCACCACTGTCAACAACACCGATGATTTTGACCCGATGATGCAATACAAACCCTTCTGTTGCTCGTGCATGTGTCGGCATCCTGGCGTCTGCTTGATAGGATACGTGTACAGCTCTCTGGGCATAGTGCGAGCATTCTGCTCATTATTAAGATGTACGCCTTGAAATGCCAATCCCACATGTCTTATGTGGAACCATTCTTCAACATCTCCGGTCGGCAGCAGAGACACACTTGTACGCGCTCTTGTCAACACCCTACTTTGGTGTTGGCTGATGACTGTCCAACTTTGTCGATCAAATTTGACAAGAGAAATGGAGACTGAAAAGCGAGCAGTCCATGAACAAGAGCTTCCAGTCTGCCCGTCAAAGCACGTTGAAAACGACAATCCTGCATAGTCTCAACCTAGGCATGAATTCGCCGCCTTTCGCTCCAATAGCTGACCGTCGTCTCGACAAACAGCACTGGGCTCTATGTCGGCCACGTGTAGGCTCAAAGACCACAACACACTACGAAGGGCCGAGTCGAGGCGTCATTTCTGTGTCAGGTCATCATCTTCCTTGGCCGCCACGTTTGTGACATTCCCGAAAACAGAGTTTTCATTCTAGGCTCTTGCACGAACGTCGCGAAAAATGGCGTATCACTCTGCCAAAGCCTCGGCAATAAAGTAACTTTTTGTGCTTCTCGGGGCGCCCCAGCATCACGCTAGGCTTGACCACAAGCTATCGGGGCAGGAGGGCGGCAATGCTTTGAGAGGGCCGTGGCAGGCGTGAGGGTCCGATGTTTGAAATCCAAGATCGATTCCCCGTGCGAAATCCTTAATGAGTTTACTCCTTTCACTTGATCGACGGGAGCTATGGCACATTACTTGTGCTTGCACTTGTAGTCTCTTGTTCGGTCCGTTCCCCTTCCCAAGTCCAGCCACCAATGGGCTTTCTTGCGTGGCCACGAGAGTTGGCTAAAGTGCTTTAAGCTGTCACGATTTCGCTGCATTACAAGATGCTGTTGCGATTCACTTGAGGCTTCCAAATGGAGATGAGAAGAGCAAAGTACGATGAGAGGCCATCGACCACTCGTGCCAGCAAGCATAACGATGTTTCTAATCCATCAAGACTGAGCATGCATTCAGGCTGTACTAGTATGTAGATTTTCCACACCTTTGCTTTCAACGTGATTCTACCCTGATGTTTACCTCGAAGTAACATTCATCCGAGTCTCGGACGTACCTGGAAGCTCTGGGCGCGTGAGAGTTGGCAATCGCGACGACAAAGTAGAGACAGAGCAACCCTCTTTTCCTTTATTCTCCACCAACGTTCACAGCTTTTTGGTCGAACTAAGGTTGGGCTGTGTGGCAATCAGTCGTGCAGGAGGGCGAGGGCGAGTACATATGGAGCCAAAAACATGGTGAATAGCGGACGTGATGCTTTGGAGTCATTGGTGTCGACTATACTGAATTGTGTATCTGTTTGTATAGAGGACGTACAACACCTGTGATCCCTCAACACCACCACCTTCAAAAGTGACAGCGCCCTTTTTTGACACTGATATCAGGCAAACGCCGTAGTTTCTTTCGATATCTCTCTGTTTCCCAATGCCATGAGGAAAGAAATGATGATCCAAATGCAAATGCACACTAGCCCATCCACCATAAAATTCGTACACAGACGCTTAACCCTCAAGAATTTCGCGAAGACGGCGGATGGTCGATCGTGTGGCGGCCGCAGCTGGTGTCCTGCAGTACCGCGGATGTTAGCATGCCTCATTCACCGGCGTTGTTCAGATATCGTGCTTCGCGGGAATCAGAACGTACGAGACGGTCCAAGCACCACCAGCGATCTGCTTCTTGCAGCTCCGGCACTTCCAGATGCCAACACATTCCCTCTTTACTGTGTCCTTGCCGCAGAACGAGCAAGTGTACTACGATACTGCTGTCAGTCCTGGATTCTCCAATGACCGCGAACGTCTTCGGCGTACCCGCGCATGTTGTGAGATTTCAATCTTCTTGACCTGTTTGCGGAGGGAGGCACCATAGCTGTTGGACAGTGGTCAGCAGTCTGTTTCATTCGAGTCGAGTCCGTCTATGGCTGATCGACGTCTGTCAAGTAGTGGGCGAAAAATTGGGAGGAGTGGAGGGAAGTAAGATCGTACCGAGTGCCGTATTTACCGGTCACACCTGGTCATTATTAGCAATTGTCTTGAAACAAACACAGAGACGGAGCAACGCACCGACTTTCTTCGTACGCTTGGTCATTTTAGCGACTGTGGGAGTGTTCCGATGGGATGTGTGGTGAGTGTCGAAATTGAGAGATTTGGTTGCTTCGCGCCCAAATCAAAAATCGACAGTGTGGGTGATGAAGCCAAGACACGCTAGGCCTTGTCGGGGCTTTGATGCCTTAGGCCACAATTGATCATCGAAGCAATTCTTCTTGGCATTTGGCTATCTCCATCTGCAACAAACACGAAAGGAGACAATCATATTCGTGATGTGCGTAGACAATCCTTCTAGTTATTCTCGTTTACGGCCGACTCATGTTTCGAGATTTGTCTATGGATCTTGTCATCTGCATTCACCAGCACGACGCCTCCTTCTCAACACATCGCGCCACGGAGTGCACATGGATTGAATTCTACGTCAGCCCTTGCCTCAGTATGGTGTCGTCCAATATGTTTATCTTTCCGTGATCAAACAGGCATAATTGCGCGAGTTTGATATCGGGGAACTGGTCCCTTTGCTTAGCCCCATCTTCATAGTTTGCCCCGCGATGCTCTCCACAAGTCAAAATACGTCTCATGCTCAACTGTGCGCTATCGTCATTTAGATGGGCGTTCTTTTGAGTTTCGAGGCAGACGTCTCTTCAATATTCATAGAAATATCGAATACTTGACCTTCTACTGCCTTATGCTGCCATTCGAGGTCTACGCCTGCAGAATTAGACGAGAGACTCGACTTTACCCATTCTTCTTGTTCTGATGGCCATAGACGGCGCAAGAATTTGGCGATAGCGTTGGTTGTGAGACTGCTTTCTCTGGATCTTCAAGTCCACGAAGGCATTATGAACTGAATGGACGACATTGTTGGAGTGTCGAATCACTTCCTACTGCTCTAAGATCTCTTTCAAGTTGAAGTTGTTTAAATTCTGGCAGTAAATTAGCAAGCATATTAGAAATCTCTGCCTTGATGAGTACCAAGATCTGCTTAAGATTGTTCTCGACCTATATATCGCGTCGATCCTCTTCGAGAGCTACATATTATATCAGAGTTTCTACACCCTCTGCCGGTTCAAGATTCAGTCTTGAAATTTTAGAACGCAGGCCACCAATCAGCGCATCTCAAGCCGAGTGTGTTCATGATGTTTCAGGCGCCCGAAGTCATAGCTAGGGTTTGCAGCGGCACATAACCCAACCGGCTGCATTTTCATCCTTCTTCGTAGCTTGATTAATTCATCGCCCTGCAGATCCACGCAGTACTTTGCGTTTCCATTCGAGCCTGTGCAGCCGAAGACTATTTTCAACAGCAAAATGGTGGCTTTGCTCGGAGGGTGAAGCGTGCGACGACTCAGCCGCACGGGACAGTGTGCTTCAGTGGGACACGCCGCCAATCACAGACCGTCCAAATGTGTCAGACGGGACGCCCATTCCGGAGTCGAGATTGGCCGTGATGTGACGTGAGGGTTGCTGGTGGTGGAGCCTTTGTGCGTCGTTCTCAGCTGGCTTTCTCCAAAAATGCTGCGACTGCGGTCACTTGCTACGCTGCTGCAAGGTGGGCAAGCACACGGCCATGCTCGACGTTTTACCCTACGGAACGTTAAATAGCTTCGAACTCTTGACGCATTAGTTTCGTTTTGGCTTCCTAAGCTCAAGTGGGCTGCTTACACTGAGAAGGCGAGGATAATCCCGTATGGAGAAGAGGGCAACATGTCAAAGAGAACTGTGTTCACCACCATTACGCCGCTACCTTCATTTCTAACGAAAGGTATGTGTCTTAGGTTCTGCCACTGCCACACAAGATCCCAAGATCCCTACCATCCAATACGGCTCCAAGGTCAAGACAGAACGTGGTTAACAAAGCGCGAGACAGAGGTTGCAATCTCCTTTCTCCATGATCATTGGCAGATGATCGACCTCAACCCTCTCGTCATAGACAGGAAGAAACTCGACTCTCCACCCCCAAACGCTTCGCCCGAAGAATGCCATGCTTCATGGTACCAGATAACCGACAAGATAACGTACATGCCGGGCGTGCAGTCCTCCGTCAGCTACAACGCTTGTCTACATGACCTTGCGGACGGCCTACAGACACACACTTTTGCTCCTGCAGGCGTCGAGATTCGCGCCCGCTGGCTGATAGGAGGTGGAAAGGGTGCACCTTCGGAACTGGGGCTCAATGTGCCCAGCCAGGGACTCTATTTACAAGAGGAGACGGATCTGAAGTGCAATTTCCTGATGACTGGTTTTATTAAGAAGAATCTGAAGAAGGCGCACGCACAGGTCGTGGAAAAGATCGTGGCAAAAGGTAGGGAGCTTGAACCGCGACCGCCCGTGCCTCCGAAGGATGAAGGGTATCGAGTTCGCGATCCCTCGCAAGCGTTGCGGATACAGAACCCGCAGCCCGGGCTCGATGGTGCTCCACGAAGTCCAACCTACTCCCAGTTCGCAAGTAATAGTAACCCGGATCTGTCGAGCGCGCCAAACAGATATCCGCCGGGCTATCTGCATTATCGGCAGGACACAGAGCCAGCGTTTAGCTACCCAAGGCCGAACCCTAGGCCAGAGCCTCCTATGACCCATCAACGGATCAATTCAGTGCCGGAGCAAAATATGCTACCGTCGTCGAGAGTGGCGGAATTACCGAGTGAGACACCGCAACCGCGTCCGCGACCTATCAGCGAGCTACCTGGGTAGGGGATTTTTTTTCACGCTGGCGTCTTGAGAGAAATAGGACCTTAGCATCCATTTGCTGATGATTTTTATGATGTACGAGCATGTTAAGCTTTTTTTTCTTCACTTCTATCTTTCTGTGATTTTTTTTAGTGGACAACGATCAAATCCTCACGATCGCGGGGTCGCATATTGATCAGGCGAAATGGATCTACTGCTCTCGAAGCTTCATTTGGAAGCTCTTCAGAGAATGAGAGCGCCAGTGTGAGCATCCTCAGTCCTCTAAACGCTTGAATGTCAGGTATTTTGATATCTGGAGAGATCGAACAATTAGGATAGTGACCAGTCTTTCTGCTTAGCAGTTCAGTTCTGGTGTTTCAACGATTGAGATTCACACTTAAAGCCCTTGTACTCCATAATGCAAGGTGTGCCCAAATGAATGGGCCAGCGGAAGATGAATCCGAATAGGCACCTGGCATCGGCTCTGACCAGTTTATTTTGTTTCTTAAGATTCTAAAGCACGATCGCAACCTTCTAGAAGCCCTCTCTGCTGAACATAACTGCTGAATGTCATAACAAGTACATACGGAAGAAAATGGCCGTGAGACTACAACACAGTACAAACATCTGTTTGGTTGAAAAATTGAGTTGAGAGAAGATCACAGGCCTGGTTCCAGCACTTCAGTTCTTTTACGCACATAGAGAAATAGTTCTGCTCTAGGTCATGGTCTCGGGTGTACAAGAGGACACAACCCCGGAATTTCTCGATCTGAAACTAAGAGGTCAACAGCGAACAAGCATCGGGCTCTACGTGAGAAATTTTCTCGTCCTCGAATAACGTATTTCTGATCCTTCTCGATCAATGACTGCTCAAGCTGAAATCTCGAGAACCCTATGATTACATCAGCGGGAGTTAATATAAACTTTGCCGCTTTGTTGATCAGGCAGTATAGCGCCACATATCAACCTAACAGGAGACAGCAAGCTCTACGAGAACTGCGGCGACACAAACGATACTAGGCACCGGGTACAAAATACATCTTTGACGCATTACAAATACCGACAAAGGACGGATATAATGTGAACTTTGTGTTGGATCACAGAAAAGCGTGGGTCACCGTTTTGTCGTCGCGTCGCCTTTTGAGATCAACAGGATGTTGACGCTTTTTACGGAGATCTAAACGAGAAGTGATGAAAGCGGAAGATACGATCTGTATTTAGAAGAACCAAGTGCTTCTAAGCTCTAATCGATCTCGACATCGCCCTGGGGTCTACAAGCGTTGAACGTGTCAATTCAACCTTCGGCACGGGCTACATGCTTATAGCAAACTGAAGTCGGCAACAGTATTTTTTCACTCGTCCGGACAGAATAGCGAACGGGTACTACTGATCTAGACACTTGAGGATTCTGCGTCGCTAGTTGTTCTTATTGAGAAGACGCTCAGATAATGAGGGCGCTTGTTTCTGTCTCCAGTGACAAGATCCGTTGCGAAGTAGACACGCGGCAACAACTTGTACGATGCGTTGCAAACGATTCAGCAACGCAAAAGCTTGGACATATTTGCCTCGCGTGCAGTTAACGTGTAAAGCGAGCCATCGTATCTTGCCTAATAGGGTCAGACTGAGAGCATTGTAACCTGGCTTTTCTTCAATAGTGTTTACCATCTCGTATGCTCTACGTCTCTCGCGATAGACATCCTGTTGGTATCACCTCACTCGCATGATCAGAGTACTTCCGACTCGCTAAGTTTTATTTTAAACGACGATTACCACATATCTCGACTGAGATTGAGAAAATGATATATTTACGTTAGTGGATACCAAAGTCTTGAGAATATACACTTAATCTTGTAAGCAAATGATTGAGTGGCTCTACAGCAATATCAAAAGCCACTTAAGATAAAAGCAAAGATCGAGATGATTGAGAGTTTCCATTGATAATGGGAGACGAAAATACTGACCGATAGACCGTTGGATAGGCGTATCAAAGTCAACACAGAAAAAGGGGAAAAATTTGGTGGCTTTTGATAAGAGAATGTTTGACGAACAATGTATGCGCTACATATATACCTTAAAGCCAATGGCGATAAAATAAAAGCCATTGAATATACGCCCAGGTGACACGATACCCATGGTTCTGGAGTTACGTGCCTACCCGGCGATCGTTGGCGCGCAACGGGCGATGTCATCGAGCAGAAAAAGTCGTTAGGCTGTGAAAGTTCCTGTGTGCGGTAGGGATCGGCACTGGATTAAACTTGACTCGACAGCAGTACAAAAAGAAGCTGAGGACCAAATTCGCTCACTCGTAGGGAAGCTATCCTTTTTGTCTCGTGCGTATGAAGCCACACCATTTTGTCAATTACAGTATGGGAGACCGAAGAACAAACGCGACCCCGTAAGCATCATGATGGCCACAACCTTGCAAATCATCCGGGATCAACGCCAATAGTGCACAGTGTTTAAAAGGGGGCAGAGGTAATATGCAAACGGGGCGAAGAGATACTGATGCGGGATAAAAGAGGCTGGTAATCAAGAAATATAGCATCCAAGGATGAAGCCGTTTTCTTACTGCCGATAATCGACTAGTTTAGCATGCATGCATGTTCTGGAACATATCGATTTTGCGCATGGACACCCAACGACATGGTGCTTTCGAACACCGGACATTATCTTAGGCCCATGGCTAAGGGATTCGCACAGGCAGACGCTTTCCCGCCCTTGGATTCCGGAGTCGTCCCCGAACAACCATTGTTGGAAGCAGATTTCAAAAGTCCATCGATGTACTGATACAAGAAGAGCAGGGGAGAGGCTGTCCAGCCCTCTGAGCTGGGGCTTGTGGTAGCCATGTAAACGAGACCGAGAAGCAGAAGATACGAATTGGCCGAAGACAATGCATCCCGGACGCATCCCTAGCAGGCGGGCCTACAGCTGCGGGCCCATTTCTTAACGAGTTGACGAATCCTTCAGGCGTCGTGCATGAAATGTACGTGTCGCTCGTCGTTTGAGAATCTTTTCTGTTGGGCTTTGTCTTGTTCCCGTCAGGCAATTGTTCGTGCTGCGGGGGCCCATGAAGCTGGCCACGAAAGGCCCCCCGAACAACACAACGCATGTGACAAGATTATACAAGGGACGGTATCTGGCTCATGAACGACTTTCTCGTTCGATGTTCGTTTGCTCTTCTCTCTAACTTCATGAAGGCTAGCTGTGCTGAGACGGACAGCTCCACAAGACAGCCCAGACCGTTTTTCGAACCATCTAGACCTCTTCATCCCGGTCTCTCACCAACGCCCAAGCTTTGCCTCTCGAGCGCTCTCCACCGCACCAGCTTCCGCTAAGTGCCCCAATAAGACGATCCGATCCATCTCACATTGAATCTGTGCAGAGAGCCACACTCGTTTGGCCAATTCCTGTCTGCCTTTGTATCGCCACGTCTGCTCGTTGCAGGCTCCCGCTTTTGTCTGTAGACATCTGTCCAGTGACCTTCACTACCAGAGCAGCAGAAGTACGTCGATCATTAACGATTCAACCCCCCGGCCTACACCATTGGCCAGTCAAACCATCGCATAACCTAATTTGCGGTCGACTTCTTTGCGTGATGCCGCTGGCCTGAGATGCTGGTCTCAACTCTACGGTAAAACTTGTGGCCACGATTCCGTCGGCTTCCGCTTCACATCAGACAATGCTACCGCTTCTCTCGCCTGCAGAGCTGAGCAGTGGCGCTTGCTCCAACATCGTCTCTGCCCCCGTGATGGGTGCTGCTGCTCACCCTAGCCAAGATGTGAACAGGCCGGAGGGCGAACTGTACTTCAGACCAGCTTCTTTCACTTCGCTCGAGGATGCGATGACAATCAGCGCAATCCCACCGCCTCCTCCAGCGCCGTCAGACCTGGCGGAGCCGACACCGTACCAGGAGAACCCACCTGACCTGTCAACTGTTGCTTTTGAGCACATGTTGGGTCTTTCTGGCGTGCCTACGGAGGCCACACAAACCGTCCCCAAACCGACGCGGAATTTGCGTCTTCCTTCGTTTGACGCGTTAGGTATCTCGTCACTCTCAACTGTCAAACAATCCATCCTTGCAGGTCAAGGTGTCAATTCGTCCAGTCTTGCACTTCCTATGCAACAGGACATACTCCCATACATTTCAAGATCTTCTTCCTCATATTCCCCAACATCCCCACAACCAGCAGTCTTTAGCTCTTTAACGCCGAATAACACACTTGAAGAATTAAAATCAGCCTTTAAAACCGTTCCCAATTTTGTCCTTACCCAGACACCGCCAGATGAAGTGCGAGGTCTGGAGTGGGATCTACCCAAGTCGAAAACCACAGCTAGCGCTGAAGAAAATCAGACTCTACCAGCGCAGACATCATCGTTAATGTCTTTCGGGGTAGATTCTGCGCTAAACACAGAGTCGGGTGCGATCATGAATCAAGTCGCGTTCTCGTTGAGATCGGGTCGTGCGCCTTGGTTGAGTGACGCGTTACGCATCATCTGTAATCGTTTCCTACGACTTTTTGGCAATCCTCAGCGCTAATGTCCTACAGTGGATCTCGTGCATCAACACCGTGGATCTGATGCGATCAAGATACTATCACACGCCTTGCCTTCTCCCTCAGCCAACGGTCATGCATTTCCCTTAGTCATTGACACGATTCAACAGTGCACGAGCTCGAGCTCAATCATGTGGTTAAATGTTTGGCACGCAGTTTCCGGCCGGTTTAACTTCGAGGATCTGCCGAAGTCACCTCCAACCACACCCGCGCCTCCTTTTGAAGGCGACGACTATTTCACACAAAGGGTGTTCGACTACGCCGTTGAAGTACCAGACTATCAACAGAGAATCACCGCACAACCGATGAGGCTCAGACAACAAAGACCTGCGATAGCCCCATCATCTATCGATATCTCGATTGTTGAGCGCTATATTCCTCCTACAAGTTCTGCCGAGTTTGAAGAGCTATTCACAACCACGGGGCGATCATTTTTGTGCGATCGAATTGTTGAGCTGTCTCCTTCTAATGGAACTTTGCTTTTCATTTACCCAACCAAATCTGGGGGGGAGACATTCAAAAAGCGTTACCTGGAACCTATTCTGGATCCGACTTTGAGAAGCATGATGATCTCGCATGGGCTTCCTGTCACGTTGGTCGAGGATGTCGGGCGAATGACGGCGATTCAGCATCTACTCAGCTTTGAAGACATGAAATCGCAACTGCAGACCTTTCTGAACACTTTGAACAATGGCGGCACGCCATCCCGTCGATTTCATAGGCCAAACGATTTCTATTCGCTGATGTACGCCCAGCCGCAGAAGGTACATCTCGAACGGGACGTCTGGGCACGGGATTGGTGGAACAAGCAGGAAAAGCTCCGAATTCAAAGAGCATTTGAATCTCACGACGTCCAAAGCGCCAACGTAAATCGACAAGTGGGTGTGTTCCAAGCGTCTGCTCACCTAGCAACAGCAAGACGAGAAACTGAACAAGCTGCACAATCGGCACAATCCAAGTTGATCCAGCGAGCACAAACTCAATCTCTGCTCCGAGATGCAGAACGCACGCAAGGTGAAAGACAGCCTGGCCATAACGAGGAGATGATCCTACGGCTCTTGCAGCAAGTCGCCACGAAAGAGTATAGGGATGGCCCGCCGACTGTAGGTTTAGAAGTGGGTGTTTTTGTGATTCGGAAGACCGCGCGAACATCTGTGCTCGCGTGATTGGCATTTTGTGGAGCGCAAGAAACCCGGAGGATTGAACGAGCTCTACGATTCTAGGCGTTTATTCAAGAGGTTCGGCACGTTTGGCGCTTTGCATCTTCTTTGCAAGCCGATTCACTCTTATATACCCCATAAAATGAGGCATAGCAACGGTTCGTCTGATGTTACATTTTTGTTGACTTACGCAGAGCTTTGGGTGGATATCTGCTGAGTTGAGTAATCATGGAGCAGGTTGAAAAGTAATGGTGTTACCAGAGATGGGCTGGTCTTGCAACCTTGCATACATATTTATTCTATTAATTTTCTTTCAGACGTAGTTTGGGATGACAAATGTTCTTTTCTACAAATTTATATTGTTATGGTCCCCAGCTTGGGACCTTCTGAGGCATCCGAAGGTGAGCTCTACACATTCTTGCCCTCTTGCTCCAGACACGTAACCTTGAGAATGAGGCATATATGAAATTGCTGTGTTCATGAGCTTCTCGTCTCCACGCCTTGTTGGAAATTAAACTGCCCCATTTCGTTTCTATAAAAATTGTTTGCTTCACCGGGTTCGTTATTTGTTGTTCTCTACAGAGAGAACATAAGCTCTTTGTATATTGGACTCGCTAAGAATGACCTCAGGTCGGCAACTTTTCGGAGTTTGATTCTTTTCATTTAGTCATGCAACTATTCGACGGTGGCAAGTGATCGCTGAAGAGACTCTGTTTAGTAGTGAATACAGACGTGATCACGCCCTTTCGCTATTTCCAAGACAATTGCGTGATGGTATTGGGACAAGCTTGAATCTCCTTGATTGGACAGTGAACACTTGGATGACAAACCAAGACATGACGTTTGCGGGGCCGCCACAGTGTATTTGAGGACATCACCATTCTCACATACATTTTAATCTAAACGCTATATCTTAGCTCTTGTACTAGCTGTTTAACGTCCGTATCTCATCACTAGCCTTAAAGATATCCTATATTTCAATTAACTTCTAAGGCGACCTAATATATCGAACTTTGTAACTTTGGCTACGTATCAGCCTCGGCAAAAGAGTAAAAGCAACACGATATGTCCACAACTACAGCAAGTCAACCCGTTGCTGCACATCAGCTGCGTGACTCTGCAAAAACCTCTGTATTCGAATCACCCAAAAATTTTGAAAAGTCTCCCAGGCTCTCCGGTGCAGTCGACGCAAAGTTGTCGTTCTTTGATCCACCAGCGAATGGAGAAAAGGTGAGCTTTCTCACGTACTGGTCCTGACCTCACGAGTTGATTGAGCGAACTAATGCATCCCGATTTCAGCCATACAACTGGGCTGGAGCAAATGCCGACAACCCACCAAATGGAATCCCACGTAATTTTGGCGTGGACGAGCAGACTGTGACGATTAACGACATCCGTGGTCGGGAAACCGAATTCTCGCTGGATAATAACGCATTTCAAGCGCTGCCCAACGTTCCGTCTGAGATGAAATACGAGGATTTCAACAGCGACGAAACCATTCGACGAGTGTATTACCCGGAGGTTGAAAGGCTGTTGCTTGACCACGTGCCAGGCTCGAAACGGATCTTTCTCTTTGACCACACCATCAGGCGGCCCAATTCCTCACGGTCGGCCGTGCAGCGCGTGCATATAGATCAGACGCCGAAGAGCGCAGAAGCACGAGTCAGACATCATTTGCCTGAAGAGGCAGATACGCTTCTCCAGGGCAGATACCGCATTATCAACGTGTGGCGACCGCTGAACGGACCCGTGCAATCCAACCCCCTGGCAGTCGCAGACTCAGCTACGGTCAATGACGAGGACTTGGTACCTGTTGAGCACAGGTACCCCGATCGAACCGGCGAGACCGCGGCCGTCAAGTTCAACAAGGCCCAGAAATGGCATTACTGGAGCGTCATGAACAACGAAGACCGGCTGCTTCTGAAGTGTTACGATAGCGATGAAACCTACGGTCGCTGGGGCAGAGTGCCCCATACGGCATTTGAGGACCCAAGAACACCAGCTGACGCGCCGGGAAGAGAGAGCATTGAAGTGAGGGCGCTTGTGTTCGGCTGACACACCGTGTAACTTTGTTGAATTACTGTGACAATATTCACATACTGTTCTGTATGCTATACATTGCGAGAAATGGAGATCTTTTTAAACCCATAAGAAGTTCAAAAGCGTCGTCGATACCATCTGCTGAAACAGTGTCGTATTTGCAATCTCGTTTCTTAGTAGAATCGTCTTACTCCTGATCAAGTTGAATGCTCGTACGAGGTAAATTGCGATTCCTGAGTACCTCCTGCGCTGTCACAAAAGGAGAAGAATGAGCCGACGAGTGACTTAGGAAAAAGACGAAATGCACGGAATCTGAGGAAATTTAAGACCCGGATGTCTGTTCTTTGAAGTCGGAAAACGCAAACACGACGGTGAGAATTCTGGCTGACGTAGTGCTCTAGGTGCTAAGAACATGGTGCATACTCACCCTTCTGCGAATGCGTTTACGAATGATCCACGAATCGGCCAATTCAGCGAGGAATTGTACTCAAAGGGCATTGCATGATGACCTTCGTCCACTTCTATAAGCCGCGAGGTTAAGATTGCTGCGAGGTTAGTAACGCTTCGCGGGCCTAGACTTATCAACCTAACCAAGTATAAAATGCCATCGAGCATCATCTCTCTATCCGAACTCGCCTGGCCAATTCGGGATGCTCAGTCTCCCACACACATCTCTCACACATACAATCACCTCCCAAAGCCCCCTTCGCCCATTCACGCCTCTCCCGTGCAGTCAACTCTACGTCGCAATAATGTCCTAGAACCTCTTCGTCCTTGCGCAGTCCCTCTTTCACCTCTTCATCGCCAACTCTCCACTTCACTCGTTCCCTCTTTGTCCTCGTCCAAAAACCCATCTCACCGTTCCACTCCCACCGCACGTTTGGATCGCAGCTGTGGTTGGCGAGGCACCATAGCGGATGAACAGCTCCAATCTCCGGTTTGCCGTCCGGTCCCTGTTTCGCATCTGCCGTGCCGCGAAACTTGGCGTACAAGGTGTTGAAGGTCCACGTGTTGAAGCGCGAGGATGCCGTGAAGATGTTGATCTCCATCTTCTCGAGCATGGTTAGTGGAAGGATCACATTGTAGTACAGATTGAAAGGGAGACTTGGCTTTGTGGACACAAAGTCGCCCCAGAGATACTTGGTCTGTACTAAATCAAGCGGGTGCAAGTCCAGGTGCTCGGCGAGAGCGAACGTACGAAGGAGAAGCAGCGCGTACAGGGAGTTCGCTGCGTCCTTCGCAGGTGCATCTTTGGCGAGAGATGTGACATCCTTCCCACACAGGACTGGATGATACGAGTTCCGAGAGAGCTGTAGACAATCGTTGCTGCAGAACACAGTTTCGTAGCATTCTGGACATGAGACAGGGCCGCTTCCATCATCTCGCCCTCTGAGCTTCGCGGCGCACGCATCGCAATATTCGTCATTCAACCTCGCCGTCGCGGTCAGAATCGACTTTTCGCGCAGGATTTGCTGTCCGGCGGGAAGATCCTGTTTGGCAAAAAGCCCGATCTGTTTGATTGTCCCTGTGCCAGGGACGGACCTCGTCAGGTCTGGTAGCTCTGTGATTCTTGCTTCCAGACTTGGTGCTGCGGCGGCCAGAAGCTCATTAAGACTGGTCAGAGAATCCTGCGATGACCGGTCTGGCTCATGCTCGTTCCACGGATAGATTTCTCTTCGGACGAGGCCCCATTCTGGGTACTCCTCTGGAGCGTGGCTCGTATTTTCGTCGCCAAAATGTGCTTTGACTGCGCGTGATAGGCTCTCATGAAGTTGTGACGCCGTCGGAGCAAACGCAGGGCTTATCTTTTTAATGTAATCGCTCGCCTGCTTGAGGTTGTTGCATTCAATCAAGCTTTCAGCAAGACTTGCGTATCTATTTCCATGGTATTAGCCCGCATGGCCTTTATGAATCAAGATAACGTAGAAAGCCTACACGCTATCTTTGATCGGCCCGCTTACCCAAGCAATTACGCTCTTGTTGCGTTCGTCGTCCTCGGAACTGTCATCACCTTTGGCGTCCTGATCTAAACATTGTGCTTCCTGTCCGCATTCGGCCTGGAAGTACTGCACGGCAGCTTCATAGGCTTCATCTTCAAACTCACCCGTCTCGCCTAACGCTTCATCTATCAGCAAAAGTGCGATATATGACTCTCCCGCCGCTAGATCGGGATACCCTGTGTGTTGATATGCTCTGGCCAATTTGATCCGCAACTCGATGCTGTATGGACAGTTGGTTATTTTTTTACAGAGCTCTGCAATATCTGGAACGCTGTCAATATTCTTCATTTTGCTTCAACTATTCAACGAGCGAGTCCTGAGGTTAATTTGCTCGTGGGATTAAGAATTTTCGACATGCATGGCGCTTTAAATGGCTTAGCGTGGTGGAGATAGTGTAGTTAATCTACGAATGCTGGAGTTGGAGTAGGTTGATGGCCGACAAAAACGGGTTGCGACACGGATAACTTAGTAGAAAGCTTTTTGACTGTGCAAACGGCATTCTCAAGGTTACACGTTCTTGAAATAGATCAAATATTTAGCGTATGAACATGCTGTCTATACTAGCATATCAAGGTTCTGATCACTAAGTCATGGGGCCAAACGTTCCCATGAGGAAATATAAGGTATATACGTCGATGGTATCTCATCATCATTAAATCCTTCATCATGCCAGCTCGTCATTCCAATCCCAACTTCTGGAGGTGGGTGAAAACTGTTGGCACGCAAATCACGCTGCGACAATACCCTCCTTCAATCTCTCACCCCACCCTTCACAAACCATTTCAAAGCCTCTCAGTATGCCATTGCACTCCGTCTCCGCTTCCCTTTCCCTCAATCTCTGATCCCAGCAGCCTTGTTCAATCCACCGCACGCTTTCATCCCGGCTATTCATCTCCTCTCTCGCTTCCCTCAGTAGATCCTTGACAACCCGCAGTTTGCGCGCACCAACCGTTGTCGTCTGCTGATTAACTTGGAGCGTATCCTTTAGATAATTCAAATCCTGGATCAGATCTGCCGTTTCAGAAAGAAGAGTGTGAATTGCAAGCGGTGGCCGCGAGGAAGGGTGCAATGTTGATATCGATGCCAGGGTTGCGTCGAGAACCGGCTCCATTTCGGAAAGCAGGTCCGGATGAACATAGATTGGCGTCAGTGGCGACATCAAGTGCGAGGTCAGTTGGGAGAGGATGCGTGTTTGGTTTGTAAGATGCGTGGAGAGTGCGGTATATGCTGTTGACAGCCTACGTATTGTGTCGTTAGTCCCGTATTTCTCTTCTTCCACGGCAATGGCAGGCCTACCTTGTGGTGCCCATTTCCATTTCGCTCTGGCTCCCTAGGTCGCGCAGTCTCTCTGTTAGCCTGCTGACGACTTTATCGCCTTCACTCCCGTTCTCCTCCAGTCCCCTCCGCGCCATTGCCTCCACGGCTGACATCCTCGCCTCGAGACCAGCACTTATGAGCTCGGACTCCTCCAGATCGGACTCCGATCCATACTCGCTGCCATCATATGCTGATTCCTTCCTTCGATGGCCTGTTTGCTTAAGCGCACTCTGCGGGCTGAGATGTTTTCCCCCACCGCCTTCGGGAGGGCTGCTGGCTACATCTATGCCGCTGTCTCGTTCCTGCTCGGCTGGTGTTTGAGCCTCATCTTCTTCCTCGAGCGCCTCTTCGCCATCGCTGAACCCATCAAGCTCATCTGCAAGCGACTCGCCAAACTCCTCACCTGCTAACTCGAAAGCTAGGCTGTCACCAACGCCGGCAGAGCCGTGGCTAGCTCCAAAGGCGGCGCTGCTTCGCCGACTGAAACTCATCGTCTGGCTTAGCCGCTTGGATGAGGATGTACTGAAGTTGCTGGATTGACGCCTGTGCAGCGGCGAAGCAGGCGGCGAGTTCATGGTTAGTCTCGAAGTGCGAAGATCAGGGCTTGTAAAAATATATTCTAGTTTGTGTTGATTGCTGCTGTCGCAGAGTGTGCGAGGACTGAGTTGAGGAACGACCAGTCAGAGTTGCCGTGTAACGCAACCGCTGTGCAGCGCTGGATGTGGACGCAGTTTGGAGTGCGACTTCCTCTGGAGGAAAGGCCTTGGGTGCGAACGATGACGCTCCTGCCTGGGCTGCGTGATCGCGTCTGTTGCGTGGGTTGTACCTGCGTTCTTCCTTACTCTGGCAACAAGCGGAAGGAACGACGGTCGGCAGGCGCCACAAATTCACCTGCAAACTTTCCTGCGATCGCTGGACGTGCTGCGCGTCCACAGGCGTTGGTTGGGTCTCTTTTTCGCGTGCAACTTTGTGTTGTCAAAGGTTTGGTTCGCACACGAAGTTTCGTGCAGGGACCCGTGCCGTGCCAGCGGAGGATGGTCGGACACGCTTTTGCTGAGAGTCAGACTTATGCGTGGTTCCCCAAGTTACGGCGAGCCGCAACGCTGGCCGGACCTGGCCCAAGTGGTTTTGGCAGGGGCAGGTCAGAAGGCCACGCAAGAGAAGGCACGCAGGGGCATGGACGCGATGGTGCTTTCCACGATTGGCCACTGTGTTCACGTGTACAACGTCCAGCGATCAAAGCCAAAGGTCCGCTTCGTCAGTTCATGAGCAGCTCAGTGCCTCTTTGATCTCCAACATCCATCTGTCAGTGCTGTGACATCAGTATCCATCGCCCACTTCCGGACCTGCGTCCTCGACCTGCTCCGCCGTCCTGCGCTCATTCGTTGTCACCCGAGCACAGGATGCTATGCGCTCTTTGCTGCCAGCCGGCCGGCCTGGCTGGTCTATCTGGACGACTATCGAGCCAGTCTATTTGTGGTTGTCTAAGCATGATATATTTGCGTATCTGCCGCAACATAGTGGCTTTCTATATCATTTTCTAGTATTCCTTTGATGATCTCCAATCCTCTGGCGTAGTATTAGACAGAAAAAGAGCTTGGGGTATACGGACGTAATTAATGATTGGGTCATTTCTTAGCTAACGTTTTATGCCACTCTCCATGTCTTCGTACCCATCTGTAAGCTCAAGTATTATCATCGCAAAGTTTACACGGCTTGTAAAGCCTACATCACTTACCGTCTCAGTTTAATGCGAGTCTCGACAAACACATGCTTAAGTAGCAAGCAACCTGCGATTTCAGACGATGAGTTGCTTCCAACACATCATGTATTTACTCTCATGTTTCCTCCTGCTCTTCGAATTCCTTCATGGCATCGGTTTATTTGTTACCCTCTTTGTAAGTAGTTTGCATCGGGTTGCTCACACGGAAACGACAAAAAGGAATTTAGGCACTCGTGAGTCACAACACTAAGGATGCTTTCCGTCTGCTGCGAACAACTGACAACGAATTTAGCAAAGCGGAAGTCGGTGTTGCATCTGCATCCGATGTACAAGGATTTGACCAGGAGGCCGCTATCGAAGGAGATGGTTACATAGGCCAAATTGGGCTGCACGTAGTGCCTGAGATATCAACCATTGTTGAGGAAAAGCATGTGAGAAAATCCAGCTCGAGAAAAACCTATATCAACCTTTGCAATCCCCAAACTGCACTGCGTCGTTCTTCGCAAACCCAGAATTGGGCGCCTCTTGTCTGTCAACAGTATTCTCAACTTGTTCGCACTGTGCGTGCTTACAATTGTACGCAATCGTCAAGTTGACAATCAGCGCTCTCGGCACCGTGCACACTCATAGTTGTCGCATCCAATAATGTAAAAATGCACAGGTTTGATCGCGTTGAGGAGCGACTGCTTTAGCGGGAGGTGATGCTACCTGACGATACGTACATCTAGCAGCAAGGACTTTGGAACGACTATCTGTTCATATAAAATTCCTCGAAAAAACTTTCGCTTTCGAATAACCCCCCAGAATTCTCCTGCTCAGGCAAACGGCCATAATTACTGGTTTTTTTTTTCTCTCACTGCCAGGTTGCTGTTCTTGCTGGAATGCCAGACTCGCTGCAGACGCTGTAAATTGACTACGTGCCAATCAACTTACACGACACCTGTAGCTAAGAAGACTCACCATCATAGAGTACGGATTACGATTCCGGAGCTTGCAAAACAAGGCAGGACATCTCTGTGGGAATATTGAAGCATTCATAGAAAAGTCCAGCTTGACATCCAAGTCTCATCCTGATGGACAGTGCAAATTTGGATGTGCTGTTGTTCGTCAAGCTAGGAGGGAGTACAGAGAAATTCCGTGGTGGGACGTATGGCTCTTAAGATGCAACCGTGCGAAGCACAAGGATGAAGACTGCATCATCGACCAAAGACTTGCGGTATGACGTGCGTAAGAAAAAGTCTGCTATTTATGAATGCGTAGGATTTTTAACCCCTTCAAAAGAGAACCCCTGTGTGCAAATGCTGTACCGTCACGAGTTTGAGATTCACCCTTTATAACGACCACCACGTCTTTGGCACGACGCGCGGGGGGGATCCAGAACTTAAGAATTTCAGTTGGTTTTCTTTTGTCAAAGATGTGTAAAATATTAACGTAAGTGAGTGGGAGATGGCAAAGCTTCGATCCGTGTCTCTTCTTGGGTTGTTCGTTTTCAGCTTGGCGACTCGTTCTTATGTGGCGGCTCGACGGACTAAATTTGCTTTTCCCTCTTGGATGTGCACTTGGCCATCCACGCTCTTTGGCGATACGCTTGGCCACTATCTTCATTTGCCATCCGCTTAGCCATCCACATCCCTTGATTCTATGGATTCTACAACCGACTTCTTCTTGCTCGGATGCTGCAATTGGTCCTGCTCTTATGCTTTGTAAACTTAGAAGATTTGGTTGCTCTATGCCTCATCCACGATTTTCTACGTTTCCGCTTTACAATTGTGTTAATGCCCGCACAATTCATCTAAGCCGAGTTCGTAATAAACATGGCATTACCTTTTCTTCTAGAAAAAGGGAACGCGAAGGAATATTCCTGCAAAGAGATTTTTCGTCCTTGTGGCCACTTCGGAGTTAACTCTTCTGCTTATCTTGCGCGCCAACTTACAACCTAAACAGAACGCGAATCCAAGTTATCTACGGTAATAATGCACTTATCAGCTCCACGTTACTACTAGCTTCAACCAAATTACATGAAATATGATGCGGCTCTTGTTGTCGACTTGGTTCGGGCTAGTTTCATCAAGTTGTTGAATTCAGATGAAATTCAACTCTAAAACCATCCTCGGAAAGCTGCCATACCACTTTATCTTCATCCAGAAGTCCGGTTACAGCCTCGCATATCTCACGATGGGCACATTAGTTCCCAAAAATAAGTCAGCCCCCATTTTACCCTTTTTTCTTCCTTTTGAGCTGCATATACCAAGCTACCCGCTCTTGTCCGCCCAGGCCTCTACCTCTGCCGAGACCTCCGCCTAGACATCCGCCCAGAAGTCCGCCCCCCAATACCGCAACATCCTGTCTCTTGTTAGTCTTAGCACGCTCTTACCAAGTGCTCGCAAGTCATTCTTCTCAGCATTGGCAGTCTTGCGCTGCCCAGAGTTCTTGTCTTGTCAGATTTGACTCCACGCCTTCGAAAACCACGTGTGCGAAATCTCAATTCCGTATGGTGTTATAGGTTATCTAGGACATGTAGAAGTTTTCCCAGCCTTTGGATGCCATTGTGTCTTAAATATCTCCTGTTCTGCACGAAATAATGTCTTCAAACAACCATCGAACTTTCTCGCAGCTCAGCATCCGGCTGAGAAAATCGAGTCAAAATGGTGATGACCGAGTACACATACGTTTTTGCCTTCGGCACCATGTTTGCCTTGCTAGAGGCATACAACAACGGCGCTAGTATGTCTGAACGCATTATGACCGTATTGCTTTCTATTCGTGCTAATCACCGTCCGCAGACGATGTCGCAAATGCCTGGGCTACCAGTGTTTCATCTCGGTCCGTAACTTATCGGCAGGCAATGCTTCTTTGTCTAGTCTTTGAGATGACCGGTGCTCTTGCCGTGGGCGCTCGTACGGCTTCAACGATCAAAAACGGTATTATTCCTATATCTTCGTTTCAAGGCAACGCTGGTGTTCAGCTTCTTGCCTTCGCCTGCAGTTCTGCCGGCGCCGCGATGTGGGTCATGTGGTGCACACGCAACTCGGCTCATGTCTCTTCGACATATTCCTTGGTGTCTTCTATAGCAGGCGTCGGCGTTGCAGCTGTTGGCGCTAGTAAGGTCGAATGGGGCTGGAGTGGTGGTTCTGTACGTTCATTATTTGAAATCATCCTTTGTATCAAAGAACATTGAACTAAGATACGTGGAACAGGGTTTGGGCGCAATTTTCGCAGGTTTAGCCATGGCTCCCTTCATATCCGGATGCTTCGCAGCGACTATTTTCATGCTGGTCAAGACGGTTGTTCACATGAGAAAGAATCCCGTACCTTGGGCTGTGTGGACGTCGCCATTTTTCTTCCTAATTGCTGGAACTATTTGCACACTCTCAATCGTCTACAAAGGTTCACCTAATCTTGGATTAAATAAAAAGCCGGCTTGGTACATCGCATCAGTGACTCTTGGCGTTGGTTTCGGGATCTTTTTCCTGTCCGCCCTCTTCTTCGTGCCCTATGTTCATGCTAAGGTCATCAAGAAAGACTACACCCTAAAGATCTGGCACATCTTCAAGGGACCACTTCTCTTTAAGCGACCTGCACCCGAAGATGCTTCAGAGGCCAAGGTACCTGACTACACTGTTATCCAGCACGGTGGCGAGGAGAATGAGAATTCGGGCGACGTGAGTGCTCCTAAGGGTCAGGCTGATGGTAAACTCGCGGACATTGTCGACGTAGAGTCAAACAACTCTCAGCAAGGAGAAAAGTCTCTTAATCGGCTTGAGGACGAGACTGTACAGCATGACCCAAATGCTGCATACAAACTGCTTCTAGTGAAAGCCCGCCAACGTCACCATGCTGAGCTGAGAAAGTCACGGGGACCTCTCGGGTGGGCAATGCGAGTATTGCATAACAACCCCCTTGGCGCTGGCTCGATATACGAACTGCACAACCTCAAGGCCTTCTGCATCCGTATACCGGCAATGATTGTCGTCGCGATGACCTATGGTCTCCATTACGATATTCATAAGGCTCAAGTCGGAATACTTGGAACTCCTGAGGGTCGTCGTATGGATCGTGTGTATGCTCAGGCGGCCAAATATCCCAATGAGGTCGAGTACCTGTACTCTTTTGTGCAAGTTCTTACAGCATGCACAGCTTCATTCGCCCATGGTGCAAACGACGTGGGTAATGCTGTTGGCGTCTGGGCCGGTATGTATGGTGCCTGGAGAACAGGGAAGACGGTGGCATCGAAGGAGGAAGTGCCTCTCTGGCAGATTGCTGTTGTCGCTTTAACCATATGCCTTGGTTTCATCACCTATGGGTACAACATCATGAAAGGTAAATTCCATCGTTCATCGCTTCGTATACAATGCTGAACAGCTTACAGTCATGGGCAATAAACTTACCTACCACTCACCTTCGCGTGGATCCTCGATGGAGATGGGAGCTGCCATCACCATCCTGATCTTCTCTCAATACTCCCTCCCGGTGTCAACCTCGATGTGCATTACGGGCGCCACTGTAGGGGTAGGGTTGTGCAATGGCACTCTTAAGGCAGTGAACTGGCAACGTGTGGGTCTACTCTTCTTCTCATGGGTTATGACCATTCCGATTGCAGGCTTGATCGGTGGCGGCTTGATGGGTCTTGCCCTAAATACTCCGGGCTGGTAGACAAGATCGGTGATTCTGTTGGAAAGCAGGCTATTGCTGTATGGTGATCAGGCCGAGGAGAAAGGATGGATATAGCAATCCAATCTTTGGCGTTATTCAGTTCGGACACACTCCAAAACTACTGGCTTGGATTCATGCCAAGATCAATTCCAGTTTCATTCGCACGAACTCGTAGAGATGCATGCGTTATATCGAATCCTTGTCGCTTTCGTCTTCCACAATGTTCACAGCAACGCCAAACTCTTGGCATGGCTGGGGTTCACACAAGGCAGCAAAAGATCGACTGCATGTGGACGCGTGGATAAAGTCACGACAGTTACTCGCTCGTCCACACATTAGTGGTTTCCGCGCGTGAAAGCGAGCACGATCGATGTTCGTGCATCTCTAGACCAGGGTGTGCAGCAGTGAGTGAGCATAACGCGGAATAATGTGGATCTTCACGACGCGCCGGTGCTCATACATGCGTCTGACCACGACTCTTTTTTGTCGTGACAGCTTCTCCCGGAAAAGAAAGACTGGAAAAGAACATGAAGAGGCAAAAAGCAAGCGCGAAAACAAGGCACGATTTGATTTTGGAGAGCTGCAAGATCGAGCCGTAGCCCTCAAAGATACTTCCATCCCACATCACTCTCCAGCAACGGGGGCGGAGTTCATCGCAAGCGGAGTCAGTCAAGTCATTGACGTTCGCACAATGGTATTATGAGCTGATACAAAATAGCGTAAGGTTAGCTTTTGTTTGACCCACTGGGATGGAACCTCCGCATCGTACAACAGTCGGCAGTTGTTCGATGACCGATCGGACTTAGCAAAGGTCCGGCACATGTCCTCAAGTAAGATCCAGGCTTAGTCCCAAACGTGTCACCTTGAACGCGCAAGCCTTTACCAGAGCTGGTTATAGACACGGTCAGAGAGGACGGACAAGGCGCTACGGCTACGCGCAGGATTCGTAAGCGTCCTGGTCACTTCAGATTCGCTGTTGCAAACACCGTCACGGCTTCTTATACCCGCGCGTCCGGGCTCTCAAAACTTCATGTCGACAGCTTCATTCCAAATTGCCTAGCATTGATTTGCTACCGATTTCACGACCCGGTCCGCAAAGATTGACGGCCAAGGTCGCCTGGTGCTACAGATGATGGACGAGAACGCTTCTCCGCAGGCAGCTAGTGCCTTGGCTGCTTCTTCTCCCATGTCGCCCAAGAGTTTTGAGGCCCAGCAACCACTGCTACTCGAGCTGGACGTCGAGGATGGCATCGAGCGGCGCCGGAGCCGCCGATCGAGGCCAAGATGGGGTCGTCATAATCAGCAGCCCACGTCGGCTCAGGTGCACCAGTTCTGCAACCGGATGTTTCTCAGATCGCTTGTGTGGTTTATGAAGATTTCGGCCGGATTTATATCAGGATTTATTTTTGCATTGTACGTCGGCAACTCTGGAGCAGCTGTCCACTTTTGTCACTAAACGCAATTTGCGTAGGTTTGTCATTCCATTTTGGCCCACCCCCAGCGAGGACCACTTCGACGATGCGTTCCGAAACTTCCAGACCTCGCTGGGCATATCACCCTTTGATCCAGACTACCCCACAGAATACATGAAGAGTGTGCTGCCGATACCGTGTCATTCGCACAATGACTATTTGCGTCGGCGACCCTTATGGTCGGCATTGGGATCGGGATGTATTGCCGTCGAAGCAGACGTTTGGCATATTGGAGCGGACCTATATGTGGGACATACTCAGGATGAAGTAGTACGATCCAAGACGCTCACCAACCTCTACATTGAGCCGTTGACAGAGCTCTTGGACCACAGAAATATGAACCGGATGGAATGGTCCGAAATGAAAGGCGTGTTCTACCAAGACCCATCGCAGACGCTGGTGCTCCTGGTCGACCTCAAGACGCCCGATTGCTGGGATCTTCTTTACGAACAGATTGAGCCACTGCGCCAGAAGGGATACCTGACATACTGGGACGGCAGTACTCGCATCATACGTCCTGTTACCGTTGTGGCCAGTGGCTCCGCGCCATTCGATATCTTGATTAGCAACCAGACTTACAGAGATATTTTCTACGATGCTCCGCTCGACGCTCTCGACGACTGCATCGACGGTGAATGTGAATCGAGCCAGGTGTCTGAAGGAGCCATACCGTACAAATACAATCCATCGAACTCGTATTATGCATCTTCTAGTCTGGCTCGAGCCATTGGAGCGATTCCGGGATTCAGACTCACCAACTCACAACTGGAGCTTATTCGCAGACAAATCGACGAGGCTCGGAAGCGAGGACTGATTCCTCGATATTGGGGTACCCCTAGATGGCCACGCGGATTGCGTGATGAACTGTGGGGCGTGTTGCTCCATGAGGGCGTTGGCGTGTTGAATGTTGATGACCTACGGGCTGCTCGCAAAGGCAACTGGGGCATCTGGTCGCAACCTTCGTTTTGACATGCTATCTGAGCCATGAATCTCCCGTGTATCTAAAACAGGCACGGCATCCAATGTTCACGACCTGCTATGTAACAAAGCTGTAATAACAAAATTGAGGTTCGATGTTCAAACAGCTCTCGGTTTCCGGTTTCCAATCTATCCCATACATTTATCGGCGAAGGAAGCAATCGCTACCATAAGACTAAGTGTCCACAGTGGTTTCTGAGCCAACTTTGACATGCAGACCATGAAAACCAAACCCGACAACACCACCTACTTCTGCTCTACCAAGTTCTTGCATCGTCCTTGCGTCCAAGCAAAGAAGGTAGCTTGACTCTTTCAGGCCATCGAGAACCACACTCAACAAGACCCCGTCGTCCTCAGCACTGCCCTCTGGATCCGCCACGAAAATAGGCTCGCCGGGAGTGTGTGCGAATGTACCCCAGTATTTTGGCGTGTGCGTCTTCGAGTCCCACTTGACTAAGCCGTCCGCGAGGGATGAGAGTCTCCGGTCAACAATGCCATACGTGTACCTGTGCGGTCGGGTGACGAATCGGGGGTTCAATGTGGGAAGCTCGGGCGAAGCATCCTTCGGCGCAGTATATTCAACAACGACTACTCCTGGTTTTTCCGACGCTGAAGCAATATCTCGTAGGCGATATCTCCGAAGGAAGCCTCGCGCTGCGTCACCTTTTGGACCCTGGAAATTCTTATTCCCTGGTGCGGTGGACAGCAGATTATCGTAATAAAATTTGTGAAGGACATCGAGGCTGGAATACTCGGACAGCTCGCAAACAATGTCAACCTTTGACCGGTCTAAAGGTGAAACTTCTGTCCAGGCGTTGACCGTGTGGAAGCAGAAAAACGCAGGCGATTCATACTTTGCGATGAGGCCCTTACTGTGGCGACGATCGATAACGTACCAGATTGTTCGCTGCTTGCTATCGAAAGGGGATATGCTGTCAAGGATATTCTGATTATACAGGATGCTGGCACCGCCAGATTTGATGTGACTGTTCCAGACGCAGAGGATCACATGGTCCTGAGTCAAAAGAATAGAGTGCAAGTACGCTGGCTTTCCTGGGAAAGATGCAAGAATTTCCGTCTTTCCTGTCGAAGCTGACACGTGAAATATGCGATATGTGGGCTGGCGTCCAAGATCGAGATTGAAATTATAGACATCACCAGTCTCCGGATCGGACTTTGCGTGTGCTGCTGATAGAGGTCCCTTCAGGCTTGGATGCAACGACGCTTGCGAGGCGATGCCAATAGGCTCCAGGGTCTCGGGATCAAGCTGCTTGAAGTTACTGGCGTCAGTCTTGGCCCACAGGGTTTGGATGCCGGAAGCATGCCGCACATCTTGTCTGCCAACGTGCGGTGGCGACGTTCCCGGCATATTGAAGGACAAAGTAACACCAATATTTGCGGCTGCAGGATCAATGGCCCGTTTCTGCGCAGTCGACACTTCAAATACAGTCATCACCTTAGAAAAGAAGCTTTGACATGGATCTCTTTTCTGGGCAAAGGTGAACCCTTTCAGTGTGCCCGTTTCTTTGATACTCTCAATGAGTTTATCGACAGTACTTCGCGAGTTGTATGTGACTTTTGAAGAGCCACTGCCGTCAGGCGTGATCTCGAAGCGATGCACTTTCGACAAGCCGTCGAACCAGTGTGACATCGAAAATGTGCTGCCCTTTGAAGTATCAATCTTGTAGGCACTTGGTCCTGTTCTGTAAAGAACACCAGCAGCATACGCTGGTATCTTTCCAGTGACCTTCAAGTCGACCGGCGTGCGCTGTTCGAAGAAAGTGTTGAACTATTAACTGTCATTCTATTAGTTCCACTACAGAAAGATGATAATACTTACTCCAACATCGTTAGGCCATTTGGACCAATCACCATCGACATCTTCATGGATGGAGTCGCTTCGATTATAATTCTGTGTTTCCATGTTGCATGCAAGTAGAACAAAGCCGTCGCTGCAGGTATAAACTTGAGATCGACAACACTACGGATGCAATCCAAGTATTCAAATATGCGCGAAATTTGAAACGGACATTGCCATCAATCTACGATCTTTATAGAGAACTTGCAGCAGAAGGTTTCAAGAACTCACGTCCCGATTTGGACCATTCTGCGCTCGGCGAACATAGATCCTCCGGAATGTCAGGGAGAAGAGCACAAGCATCGTGAATTTTGGGACAATGGAGCGCAACTATGAGCTACTCTCTACGTTTAAGAAGAGAAAAAAAAGCTCCGCCAACACTGTTGCAAGCCATGATGCACCTTCGCCTGGTTATAAATCTATCCGCTTGGACTTATGAGCATCATTAACGGCCGAAAGCTTCTATTGGACGAGAATTCGCTTGGCATGCGAAGTTCCTCGCTTCGCTGTGTCACGACCAACAAGCCATGCGAGATCGAACAAGGGTAAGCGAGCATTCACAGAGCTTGGCTTTGCTCAGACCAACAGGAGTTACTCAGCCTGCCAGGACGCTTTCGCCAGACAAGATCGGGCCGGGTATCGGATGAGTCCATTGTGTAAAGTCCTTCCGTTCGCATTGGCTGAGCGGTCGTCAACGTCATTCAATACAGCACTCAATCCACATATGCGTTGAGAATTTCACGTGCAACAGTAGTTTCATCCTCAGGAGAAAGAGAGTCACCGGAGTACGTTAAGAACACTTTTGGGAAGTTCCCGTGACCGTGGGACCTGAAGAATTCGAACTGATCTCAGCGGTGAGGGTCGAAACAGGAGTGAATTAAATGTGTTTCTCGGTTGTCATTTCCAGTAACCACACAATTAACGGAGAAGGTGAGACGGAGATAGGTAGAATGAACAGAAACCTCGCGAGCGCATTTATTTTTTTCATCATTGTGGTGACCCATAACACAGGCGAAGCGTTATAGATCGTAAAAAGCAGAGGGAGATAGCCAGCTAACCTAGTATGCATCCCCGCGATACCCGTCGCTCGTCGAGGCCTTTGTCTGACCCGTTCGATCAAATACCTGAGATTGAAGAGCCGCCATCACCTGATTCAGGTCGCAGCAGTCAGCAGCGAGGAAGTAATTTACAGAGCAACAGTGCAAGTGCTCAGGCACATAACCGCCAAAATGAAGGCTTAGGTCCTGCATTTGGTTCGGCTCGTGCAGAAGCAGGCACGAGGCAACGTGGCAGCTTTATGTTTCCAGCAAACGGACCTCGAATAAGTCCAAGGAGATCAGCCTCAGCTCGAGAGCATTTCGAACGCCATTCTCAATTCACAGAGGGAGCCAGAAGCAGCAGTTACAACAGCTCTGATATTGGCTTGTCCAGCTCTTTCGGCGCTCGACGTTTTCATCGCCACTTTGCGGGTTCTCGCTACGACGAGGATGGCTTTGAAAGATGGTTGCACGACGCTGGAACTCTGAGGACGAAGTTCAAAGGACGATGGGGGACATCCTTCAACCGATGCTACCCATTCCGTGACCATGGCTGCAGAGATGATCCTCATTTCGAAACACACCGCACTGCCGCTCTACGAAGCTGCATTCATGGTACAGCGGGCCCTGTCTCTGCACGGGAAATCGATGAAGCTGTTGCATATCTTAATCGCACGATGCCGCAAGAGGAGTTGAACAGGATCCGGTTGGTTCTGGATGCACAAGGAGTCCCCTTTGCATTCTACGTCTACAAGAGGATTACTGGAGGTACCGCATACTTTTAGTCCAACAAATCTTCTCCGTAAACGGGTGATCTTCGGCCTACTGCATCTATTGAAGACTAAATTGTAGTGGAACGTACAGAATGCCCTTAGATCAGAGGCATATTTCTTTCGCCATCGGTTCATTCGATAGCTGGCACTGGCTGTTCGCAATAGTTCAAGATAAATTCAGGAACTCGGTGCCTGATTACAGGGTTCACAAAAGATCACCAAGATGAGGAAAAATCGTTTTTCCTTTTTAGGTGTGCCACGAGATCGAAATGTTAAAGAGCTGAGTTTTGAACCAATAGCAGTTGACAAAATAGCCGTTATTTTGATGAAAACAAGGACCGCGTTCCGTGTCCGATTTACCAGCATTCCATCCCGCATTGTTGGGAGCACATGGAAGCAGAAACTTGAATCGCGAAGAAGCGAAATTTCTATTTGATAACATAGTTTCTACTGCCCTGGGATTAACAATGACAGCAGGCAAGATTAGTGGGCCACACCTTGGAAAGAATCGAAAATACTATAGCTCTAGCTGGTGTTGTAGCTATGTACTGAATGCGCTTGAATTTTAATCTTTTCCTCAAATATACATCCCGAAAACAGGTGCTCTGCAAGGTATTGATTTTAAAGATTGCTTACCATAACGTATCAAAATTTGTGAACAGTCTCCGATCACTTAAAAGAGTCTACGACGAGTTTAGTCTTCATTCTTTCTAACACCAGATAGCACGCAAAATGTTTCTGAACACGTACATCTGACTTGAATGGCTAGTTCCTTCAACGAACGAACGTATAATTTGGTAAATATATCTGCAATGAAGGTATCGGCTGTAACTGAGCTCGAGTGTGCTTTGCGCTGTCTGCAACTTGGTACCCGAATCTGTCATTGCTCATGCTCTGCGGACTACCGACGTGGTTTAAAACGTCGAAACTTATCAAAACGCAGGATCCATATCCTTTACTCAATGTATGGGGGATAATAAATCTCCCGCACTTGACACTCGCTCCGTCTCGGTTAGAGCAATTGACCACGTGACATCTTTTTCAATCAGTATCACATCCGACAGCCTGATGCAGCTGTGATGCATACACTAAGCTCTGAGGAACCGTTAACCAACATGCTATAGCGATGCAACATGATTTGATGGTCATTTCAAGTTCAGGCCTGATAAGCAGGGACTGTTGATACCCAATAGCTACCTACCATGCGCCTTCTCGACAGCACAACCTTGCGACCAGAGGTATTTCTCGGAAGCAACATTCCCAAGTATGCAATTCTGTCTCATACGTGGGAGAATGAAGAGGTGTCCTATCAGGACTTGAGCACACTTACTTTTCAAACAAAGAAAGGATGGCAGAAGATTCGAAAGACGTGCGAGCTTGCCCGTCAGGTCAACATCGATTGGGTTTGGGTAGACACATGCTGCATCGACCAGTCCAGCAGCGCTGAATTGACTGAAGCAATTAACTCTATGTTTCGGTGGTATGGAAGGGCCGCGAAGTGCATCGCATACCTTTCCGACTTGCCAGTCGAATCCGACATCGATTCCGCCCTGCCACGGTGTCGCTGGTTTACGCGAGGTTGGACGCTGCAAGAACTGATCTCGCCATCAATTGTGCAGTTCTTCGACGAAGAGTGGCACTATCGAGGCAGCAAGCATGATCTCAGCAAGCAGATAATGACCATTACGCACATCCCGGAGGACGTGTTGTTGGGCAAGACTCCATTGAGCACGTTGCCAGTTGCGCAAAGGATGTCTTGGGCAGCGGCACGCAAGACATCCCGATTGGAGGATGCGGCGTACTGCCTCTTTGGAATATTCGACGTCAACATGCCATTACTGTACGGGGAAGAGGAGAAGGCGTTCCGACGCCTACAGTTAGAGATCATTCGCTCGACTCCTGATTTAAGTATATTCGGATGGACCATTTCTATGAACGCTCAACTGTGCCCAGGATGGACTCCGGGATCCACAGCATATGCCAGCGTGTTGGCTCCTTCACCGGAGGCGTTCACGAATTGTGCGGACTACGCGAAGCTCTCGAGTCGGCCCACTGGAGAGCTTGCTATTTCGAATCTGGGTGTCAAAGCCACAGTCCAGCTGATCTACACGGAGATGACTGAAACAAAGGGATTCAAGTATGTTCTTCCCTTGTATTGCCGCAACAGACGGTACGAGAACTTGGGCGTGGACTTGAGAAAGTGTGGACCGGACCAATTTGTCCGTGCAAATCCGGCCTGTCTCGTGACAATCAAGCCGACGAGCAACGCAGAAGCTCCCCGAGAAAGACACCTGATCACGTCCATGTTGTTTTTGGATCATGCTGCGCCGTCGACGTACTTTTCCAATGCGTCGCTCATTTCCAGATGTCGCTCGGGTGTACTGCAAATTCGACTTGGCCTGGCCTTGGTCATGCACGACGTCTGGCCGTGGGCTCGCTTCGACGACCAAGATCAACTGTTCTTTGTTGCCAACGAGGGATATGGGAACTGGGACTCGGCCACGTTACGGATGGGAGTCGCAAATCACAAGGGTCGTGAGTGCATGTTCTATGCGACTGGGTGGAGTGCGCATAGCAAACAGTCTCTCCAGTGTTCCATCGTCGATTACGAGCGCTTCAAGCCAGCTATCAAAGATATCCAAGATTCGTTGGTCAGATGGAATTACGACAGGATTCGCGTGCGAAGTTCACTGCATGCGGCAAGAATACCAAGACAACCAGCGGTCTTCTTCGAGGGCTCAAACGACAGAGGCTACATGGGTATATCATTTGAGCTAACACTAGTCAAAGAATCCAGCGTCTGTTGCCGCCCGTTCTGGCGAGTGGAATTCTCCTGCAAGCATTACACCAACAAAAATTTTCCAACTATGGCGCGGGAAAGCTGGAGCAGTACGTGACGAGCTCTGACCATTTTTGTTCATACGCATGAAGAGTCACGCTTTGGGAACAAACCGGCTTGAGGATGAAAATATTGGGCTTTGCTGTTGCTTCGGAGTCCTGTCTCCGTTGACCACAAGAGCACATTCGCAACCAGTCGGAAGGACAAAGAATGAAGGATGTTGCCGAGAGCGTTCTTAGAGTGACAGAAGCAATCCAGGTACAATAGTCGAATCCCGGAGCTTCGGTCGACGAGAGCAAAGTTGAGCCCGACGGACCGGCAAGTTACAGTAACAGCAAGGGGACGCCGTCATCGTCACCGTCGTTGTCCGCCTAACCAAGTCTTCAATCAGCTGCATTCTATGCTGTTTGAACAACCCCACCTCGGTTCTACACAATTTGTTTGCTTCGAAATTTTTATGTCCTTTGCAGGCGCCATACTACATCTTGAACAAAGGACGGCGTACTTTGGTGCGCTGCGGGCCGGGGATCCGCACCTCGTATTCTGCTCCGTGACTTAACTTAGCTCTCGCTTAAAAAAGCGTCCGCGTGGGGGCGGCCTCTGAGTCGTCTGGATGCATTCTTCCAAGCACTGGACGACTAGGCACAGCGGCCGGAATGCGCCTATCGGCTGTCGCTTGCCATCATGCATTCTATCAGGAGATTCAAGTCTCTTGGCTTCGTGTCTGACCAGTCCAGGCGACACTCTTTCCCTCAGTCCACCATCGTGGTGCAGTATTGCTTCCCAGCACACACCCGCCTTCATGTCCGTCGGCAACATAGAAGCCATACGCACAGCCTAATGGTCCAAGGTATATAGCAAGCCCACACATGAGCGGCAAGAAGACTTGTTTGCAGACAGTGGAAACACAACCATGGCGCCAAACTTCAAGCAGTGCGCAGCCGACTACCTTGCTCAGCCGCCCAACCCTATGTATATGTGGAAGGGACCCGTGAAGGTTATCCCTCCAAATCCGGCCACTCAAATCTCGTATCAAGGCTGCCTTGCCTTGTGTGGGCATGGCATTGACTGGTACGGGTGGGACCAGGCATCTCAGACAATAACAACGTGGATTCTGCCAATTGTGGGCATATTGCTGCAGGCGCCCTTCGAGAGCAATGCGTTCTGGCAAACCGTCTTGGCCATTGCTCGATGGGTGGGCAGCCCAATGAGCTCGCTGAGCTACACACTGTGGAACATCTCTGTGTCCGGCAAATGTGCTCTGATGGGTACGTGGCTCGTTCGTGTGTCGCATTTCTTTCCCATCACCCTCTCTTAGCATCTAGGAACGCTGAATCAAGAGCACGTCGAAGCTGACGAGATCCTGCGCAGTTGACATGGCCGTCGGTTATCGCCCCCTCTTCGCGTCGACGCAAGAGACCGAGGACTTCAACAACATCCGCGACTCCTTCTACATACTCATGGTAATGAATCAATTCGAGGCCAAGCCCCTCCCGCACATGAAAAGAGAAGCCGAAGGCCTGCTAAGAATTGTCCTTTTCAGTAAAGACCTTCGTCTCATTGAGTATGAGGGCAGGACGCAAATCAAGCAAAAGAATCTCGCTGCCAAGAGACAGGATCTCGCTGAGGCATTGCGGAGGCGAAGGCGGCGCGGTGTTGTCCCTGTCTTTGTCTCGACATTGTGGTTTTTGTTTTCTTTGGCTCTCTCCATTCAATCCGCCTTTGGCCTGGTTGGAGAGAACGCGACGGCTCATGACCTCGCGTTGGGCCTACTGCTTAGCTGGCTGCCTATCCTAGTTCTGTGCAGTATTGTGGATCGTAACCCACTGTCCGCGGACGATGTTCAGTCCAAGCTCAACGCTCTAATCAGCCTTGTGTGCAGATCTCTACAAGATAAGGCCATTGTCGACGAATACATTCAGTCTTACTGCACAGGTCAAGATGCGGATGAGATGCGCCAACGTGTTCGAGATATCGTTGGCTGCATCCACCATCTGGACAATGGCAACTTCTTCGTCAGGTTCGCCGGACAGGGAAGGGTCCGGTGGCACTATGGAGTGGCACATCCTATCCTTTCGGACCTGGAGAATGTCTGGATCGCTAATCATGGGCGTGACTGGATGCGCAACGAGTTTGAGGCTCGTAATAAGCTCGTACTCGGCTCTACGGACCGAGGTCTATTCTGGTTTGACTGGAGACAGCTGTGGCACATCACCAGCGCGGTTATCATTGTAGCCGGCTCATCTCTTGGTGCCTATATTCTCTCGTACTACACGCCAACAGTAGGCCTAGGCTGCCGCAGTCTTGGATACCTCGTGTTTTCTGTCATCTCGCTTGGTCTACTCATTTTAGAATTCATCATCTGGCGATGGACGTCCGAGGAGCGCGAGGAATACAATGCGCAACGACCGCCGCGAGAACGACGAGTAACATTCGACGTCCTTGGCGGCGAACGCGTGCGCAGGGCTTCAATGTTCACTGTAAAGCAGACGGGACGATGGCTTGAAGGACCCGTCGACACCATCGAACAGCTTTTGAAGGTGTGGATCCCGAGAATATTCTCGTCCACGTACATCGGTGACCGGCGTCATCGGAGAGAATATCTTCAGAGGTCCGTTGACCATACCTTTCAGCAAATGCGTCATTGGTCTGCGAGGCAGTGGTGGAATGTTCTATTTTTCATCCCTGCCGAGCTCATCAACACAGGCTGGCTCTGCAAGATAGTTTTATCGCAGACCTTTGGAGCATATCAAAACTGCTGGTGCCAGACAAGCCAGTACTCTCCTGGGGGTGGCTATATGGATCTATCTATGGTGCTTAACGCGCAGCTCAAATACGTTATGTGGAGCTGGGTGACCGGAACGGTTATAAGCGGCACGATTCTAAGCGCCGGTCTTGCATATGTGGTGACCGAGTGGTGTTTGCAATCACACCTCTCGACGCTAGATCGCGACGCCGCTCGCGAAGGCTTGCAACGCACACGAGCATTTAGGAGATATACATACTACGCACGCCAGCCACTCCAGTGGCTGGTTCTGCAAATAAATGGGCTCTGGTATATATTCAATCCGCCCGAGAGGAAACAAAAGACGCTCGTGTGGACGAAGGACATCACATGTCGTCATCACCTGCATTGCTGCAAAGAACGCACGCCTTGGATTGCCTACGAAATGCAGCGCGATTCTCAAATTCTGCCAGCAGCAGAGGGTTTCTTCTCGCGGCCTCGCTCGAGTACTGATGCAGATACGCGCGGCTTGCTTGCTAGCCCGCCGCTCCCACATATCGTAGAGCCGCCAGATGACTGCGGCCGCGATGATTGTGATGCTCCCACTCCAGCCCGGCACCGCAGCTATTCAAATGCGAGCTCTGATAGGATATCAATGGACATTGCGCGCAAGCCAGTGCCCTTGTCGTACCTTGGCCGCGAAGAGGGTTTGGAGGTGCATCCATCCGTGCAGGCGATGCCAGCTGCGGAAAGTCTGAGGCCAAGGCCATCGCATATACGGCAATTGAGCGACGAAGATATCCCTCGCGATAACAATAGATCTGAAACGTGACTACAGCACGTATCAAGCATAGTTGTAACGAAGAAAAAGTTGTGCAACCAATCACGAGTCTGCGTCAGAGTCCGAGCCTTTTGACGTGTTCTGGCCAGGCCAATGTTTTCCATGGGAAACGGGCTTTTTGCTATGCAGCTTCTGCTTACCGATGCGGCACGACATGTTTGCATTTCGCCTCTTTTCTGCTATCCGACGCAGGTGATCAAATCTCCAGGTTCGACAAATAGTCCGCCTGCGCTAACCACGTTCGAGCAAGAATGCTTCAGGTCCCGCGCGAAGGCGTCTTCAGCATTTGCCGATTGGTCTGCACATGATCTGTGCGTTGCGAGGCAGAGCCATGATTGGCGCTTTGCTGAGCCAACAGCCTCGCAAAGCAGATCTGCTTCTGGGGTTTTTATAGATCTGCTTCATGGTACATGATGAATTTAAGATTTCGTGTTGCTGAAAATACGGATGATCCTCCTGAAGCGAATGCGATGCCGAGCCGCCTATAAGACGGGTTCCCCAGACCTCTCTGCTCAAGGGGTTGAACTGCCGAAGGTCAGATCGAACTTGTTTCTTCGAAACACCACACTGGGAATTCCGTTCGTTGCTTCATCTTCCCTGACGGCAAAATGTCTCTCTGCTATGTACGCATATTCCGAAGTCCACTGAAACCTCACTGTTCTTTTTCAGTATCGCTGACATTCGTAGTCGTCATGCTTCAGCCTCTACACGAGCCCGGCCTCCTCGGCCTGCCCGAATCTGCTCGACTTGAGCTGTGTCTGCAAGAACATGGAGATCTTCAATAGCTTTAGTTGCTGCATTCAACAGAAGTGCGGCACAGGAGTAATGGGCGAAAGTAAGGGCACTGCTGTCGGAAGATCGGTCGGATGCTGATTCTGGTACTGCGATGCAGCTGCATGGAGCTGGGTTGAAGACATGTGTGGATCGTACGCCAAACCTTTTAGACGTCAATCAACCAGAAAGGGAACATCACGCTGACCGTGCCAAACAGATACGGCGGTGCGCCAGCATCGCAACTCTCGTGCAGCAGCGGAAGTGGCGTAGTCAACACTCCGATCCCCACCATGGCCACAAAGACGACTGCGAACGTTGTCTACACAAACGCCGCAGGCAGCTACGGCTCAGGAGGATCTAATTGGCCCTATGCATACTCTGTTCCAGTGGTTCATGCGTCGGCATCCGCGAGCGCAAATCCCTACTCGTCGTCGAAGTTGACTTCTGGTGCGTCGTCGGACCGAAGTGTGAAGGCGTTTGGGGTGGCTGGTTTGTTGTCCTTGGGTGTGGGTGCGCTGTTACTTACGGCGATTTGAGTCGAGCACATGCAAGTGCCGTAATTGTAATCTGCCTTGAGATGGAAAGAACTTTCATGTATAATGTAGGCTATAGCAGCGGAATGGGTACAGGTCTAAAGGAAATTTTTACAAGAATGCCAGACGTGTACGACCCGATGCTAGCTCTAGTTCATGGCCTCGGGCGTTGCGTGGCGAGTTGATATACAATACATATAAGATCATCCGATTCTCAGGTCGGACTTCGTTTCTTCAACTTAGCACCTATACACTCTTTCGTTCTCTATCAGGTCAATACCGTGATCACGCCGAAACGGGTTGCCTTTGAGGTGTCTAGCTTGGAGTAAATGTTCTTGAACAAGGGCAGCGTCCCGTCCAGAATTCGGCGAACTCGGACTAGATCTCAAGTTGATTGCTTGCAGGATGCGGGTGATGGCTGAGAAAATATAGAAAAGCTCTGCTGAGCTGGCTTTGTCCTTCTTGGTTCCCCACATGGGTTCATTCCGAGCATTTGTTTGTGCGATTGTTTCTTACGATTGACAGGTTCAGTCTGTCCACGCTCATGTCTTTTGCCATGGAAATTCCGAAATCTGTTACCGATGCTGATATGCAACGTGCAAACAGATGTGAACAAATGTCGTTGAGTCTATCCAAATGTCCTTTTTTCAAGATCATGGGTTCCACATCTACGCAGACTATCGCCTCTGCACCTTCCTGGACCAGTTCTAGAAAGGCTTAATTGTGTTTTTGCATCTGTGATTCGACCAAATTGTGCCGATAAAAAAATCCATGTGTCCAATGGTGAAACTTGCTCGTGATTCTGCTGGACCTATGAGTCGCTGACAGCCGAGGCCCGGACCCTATACTGGCCACTTCATATATTCAAGGATGTGATGGTGACAGCGGACAGAAACATTGAAGCGCGGGTATCATGGCCGAATGAGCAACGACCCAAATTCAACTTGGGCTGACACGCGTATTCTTGGCAAGCATAACCGAGAGAACAATGGTACTTGTAGAATAAATGGCGAACTCTCCAGCCCTAACCACGTTTTGCGGGGGCGAGACTTGACCAGACTTCACAAGCTTCCGAGCAATGGCCTCAGAAGCTCGGTTCTGATTCACGATTAGCGAAGACACGCGAAGGGATTCGCTAGAAGGCCTGAGCCAGCACGGGCAAGGATCAGATTGATGATCGTGAGGGTTGCTGGGGCCAGCTTCATGCTTCAATGCCGCCCAGAGCAGCCAACGTGGAGAGTGCAAGCTTGGGAACACGCCTCACAATTGAGCTTTTGAGATCTGTTGCGATGTCAACAATGATATGGGAGGATAATCGTCTGCGGAAGTACGGGACGTAGTGCTTGCGCCAACATTGGCTGATGTACGTGCAAAGTGTACCTTGCAGACAGACTAGCGAAGCCATCCCAGACACTGGTCGTGTCACATGCGAAAGACAATGTCGCTTCCCGGCTTCCGTGATTGACAACAACACGGGCCACATTTTATATACCCTTCGCTCAGATCATGATGTGCAAGCTCTACATGAAAGGTACCCGGGCCTGGATCTTATGCCAATGACGAGCAGAGTCCGTTTTCTTAACTCTTCGCAATTGGTCTAGCCAGCGTTTTGCTTATAGTGAGGTTCCTTCAGGATAGGCGAGAATTCATTTGCATCTTGTTTGCACGCATGACTCTGGCCTTTCCGAGGACTCAACCGAAAGCTCGTGTAGGCAGCTTGCTGGTCGATGATGATGCTGATACAGGTTCATTGGGGTCTGGGCAACTGGGGAAGGAGAGAGCATAAAGGGAACATGCCTGGCAGCTAGAACCCAGAAGTCGAATAGCAAGCAGAGTTTCCTTTGCGATTCGACAGTACGAAGTCCAATAGAACACCTCAGACATTATGCGCGTGCAATTTCTCTTCAGTCTTTTAGGCGCAACTTTGGTCGCTGCTACGCCAATGCCGACTGGTAAGGGCCGTCTTGTCTCTCTCCAAACCTCACCGTCCCTGTCTGTGTTCAATTCTCGCGAATGTTGGACATGTCATGCGTTTATGGCTGACGGAGACCTTAGCTGCTCCAAATCCATTCCCAGATCCTAATGCAGACCCACTATATATTGACTTCCCGATCCCCTTGACGGTCACGGTACCGATCTTTGGTCCAGTCACTCTTGGACCAAATCCGCCAACCGTGACGAATAAAGCAAGGCCATCTCACAGGAGGACATTGAAGTGATTGCAGAACAGGCAAGTGCTATCAGGCTTGGAAGGAAAGATTATCGCTAACTCGAGAGGCTAACAGCGTCCCTGAGACTCGTGTGCATATACAAGCAAGTCGAGAGGCTCTTTTGATCTTCCGAATACCAAGATGTCATGATGTTGACTCTGATCGTAATATTCCATTGGAATGACCGCACTAAGTGGTTTCTATGAACCCTCGCAATAGGAAAGTGAAGCCTAAGATAGTTAACACAGTAAAGTATGATGTAAACTTGGGACACTCACCCACGATTGAGAATATATAGTCAATACAGGATGAAATGATTCTGTAAAAAGGTGTTTTTGAGATATGCTGCTGTACTTGGCCGTCAAACTTGTCTAACACAGTAGACAAGGTCAGAGGCATCTGGTTTTCTGACCTTGTGCCAGCCGCTCGCAGTGAACAAACACCTCCTTGACCAGTTTATTCATAGCTGTTCGGAAGAAGGGGAGAGTAGACTCACAAATATACTCTTCGCGATCTTGCCGTGCGAACAAAGCCCTTAGATCTGCTCGTGGGAGAGCGGTGTATGTATACTCCACGTCACCTAGGACTTGCCCCCACTATGGTTTCGGCACGTCAAATCCTGGTTGCCTGACGCTCATGGACGAAAGTAACCATTAAAGGATGTAGCGGTAATACAATCACAGGTTTGACATCATACCACGGGATAGCAGAGGTGCCACAGATGAGACGTGCGTTGACCAGAACGAATGCTCTAAGCATTAAGAGCCGCGATTAGTTGGCGCGATTCAAAACCGGAGAGAGATTCCTGATGATGGACTCGCTACCAGCGATCAGTTCAGCCCTCTTGGCTCGCTGTGCATGGAAGTCGTAGTTGTGATTGAAGTTTCTATATTTGCATACAGCCAGCTTAAAGGTCTCTCTGATGCTAGCGCCGAAGCCGTCCGAGTAGGCGACGATCTCTTGTGGCACGCATGAATATCTTCGACATGCAGTCGACTTGGTCGTTTTTCTCCGGAATTGAATGTCAATCGATGAATAGCAGGTCTATCCAATTGCAGCAGTGTTCACTTGCGGCTTGCGTGCTGAGGCTTTGCAAGATGTCGATGCCAGGTCTAGTTGCCATGTGAAAGAAGTTATATACAGGCTCTCGTGGATTTCAAAACGCCAGTCATTGATTTAGATCGATCAGCTCGTACGCAAATCAGCCCAGACGCAGGAGAGAGCTTTGTGCGGTGGACATGACTCGTCCTGCATGAAGGTGTCCATCTCGAATCGGACACTTCTGCGTTCCCCTTTACAAATTACGGAAACCGCTGTCACGTGCAGCGGAGGCGGGGGTCAGCAGAGTAGGCGATAATTTTCCAACGTGGGTCAAAGTAGTCTCTGCGACGTACTTAAAAGTTTTGTGCTATGTCTGGTGGGCTAAATTGTTGATAGAGATTTTAAGTCATAACTAGTTAATTGTTAGATGATCCTACCTCACGTGCAGTTCGTTCATCCCTCTTATGTTTTTCTTGAATATCCTCTCTTCGTCGTATCTCTATTCGTTTGCCACATGATAACGTGCACATAAGCCTGATGATACAGGACCACTAGTTTAACGTTACTCAAGCTGTACATCCAAATGTGTAATCAAGAAATTGTCCGTCCACTCTGGAAGAACCCGAGCGCACCCATGACTTAGTTGCCGTGGCGCATCTGCAGCGTCTGGGGTAAGCTTCTAGGCAAGACCCGCAGTAATATTCGCATAGGAGTACACTGGAGCAGTAACTCAGTATGCAGACGCTCTCCTTCAAGCGACAAAGCTGCTCTGCGTGCATCAGCCTACATGGTTTTCGCCCCCAAGGAGGCTATCCATGAAGAACCACTGCTCACGCGCACCTTCGTGTCCTTTGCATTCCTAGCGCATGTTCGCTCCTTTCTCTGCTCTTCCTTCATTCATTTTTAAACTGTGATCGAGAAATTTCCCTAAGGTGCGTTTGTTCACCTTCGCGATTCTAGATTCTGCGCGTAGTGCAACGTCCCACGCCAGCGACTGATTCCATCGTTGGTATCTGTTTCTCGATCCTTGGATACTCTGCACAATGCGCCCAACCCCGATTCGCCTGCGACGATTGACGGAGTAGAGACGAGAAGACTCGAGTTGGCCACTCAGAGCCATGTCCAGCTTAGCCAGCAGCAATCAGTTCGACCATCGTCACACAGAACTTCTCAAAGCGTCAAGCGCAGGTAAAGAGGAAGTTGTCTTCAGTCTCATCGATGGAGAATTATGGTCCACGCAGACGGATCGCGATGCGCTGCGACAGTCGTTGCAGCGCGTTGCTGGCCGTGGGAATGCGCGACTGGCCCAATATCTGCTGGGCAAGGGAGCTGAGGTCAATGTTAGGAGGGATAGCGAAACAAGCGCTTTGTATCAAGCTGCCCGGGCCGGCCACAACAAAGTGGTAGAGATGCTACTTCGGCATGGCGCAGTAACGGAGTGGAGGGACAAGGACGGTCGAACCGCGCTGTGGACGCCTGTCATGAGAGGCTTTACTGATACTGTTCAGCTGCTCCTTAAGGGTCGGGCGAACATAAATGCGCGCGACAAAGAGGGGAGGACGATCCTGATCCACCTTGCCGCTGAGAAGCCCGGCCGATGGATGCAGGACAAGAAGTTAGAGATGGTGCATCTGCTGTTAAAGAATGGGGCAGACATTGAAGCGAAGGATTACACACGGAGGACAGCACTGAGCTGGGCGGCGGCGACAGGCAAGGCAGAGCTGTGTGAACTGTTGCTTGAGGGTAAAAGCGGGAAGAAGGCAGATATCAGAGCTCACAACAGCAAGCAGCAGACAGCGTTGCACTGGGCATGCGAAAATAACCACGAGGAAACGGTAAAGGTACTTCTGGAGCACAATGCAGATCCTGCTGCTCGAAGCGACGGGAACTGGACGCCGTTACACATGGCTGCGCAAAGGGGACATACCAAAGTGGTCAAGCTGTTGCTGGAACAGGGTGACAGGACGCCGGTCAACTCGCAGCTCACAAATGGGATGACAGCGCTCCACTGGGCGGCATTTAGGGGACACAAGGAGGTGGTAGAATTATTGCTCCAAAGACCGGACACAAAACTATGGTTGAAAGACACATATGACCGAACTGCTATTCTTTGCGCCGCAGAGAACAAGCACCGAGACATCGTCACACGGTTATCTCCAGGGATGACAGGTGACCGTTTGTCACAGATTGAGATGGAGGCCAGCAAAAGATTCCAAGCGACCGTCGTCGATTTCGGTGAGTTCCGCGATGGCAAGAAGCAGCTCGTCTTCAAAGACCACAGCGTGTACGAATTGCTCCATGGCTGGGATGCTGAGAAAAACAAGCCCCTTGTTGCTACGCACGTCAAGAGCGTGAGGCACCAACCAGCTTTCCGGTGGATCCATCTTCCAGCCAACAATATAGCATGGGTTGAGACTCTGTTGGCGAAGGCGTTTGTGGAGGGAGGGTGCAAAGACATTGAGGACTACAAGGCGCTGGAGAAATGCTTTAACCAAGAGCACAGGGGTCCTGAGGCTCATGCACATTTCATGAGACCATGGAGCCAGCGATATGCCATCTCTCCCTTCAGGGCAGAGAAGCCTATTGATCCTCCGCCGGAGATAATAGTCGGGTCGGAAAGAGGAGACGGACAATTGGAGCAATCGGCCGCCACACTGGTGATCACACCAGCTGAAGGAGATGCAGAGCTGTCTCCCATCTCCACACCGAAAAGACCACCACCGTCGCCGCCAGGTACGGAGACTGCCGGGTCAGGACGCAAGAAACCAAAAAAAGTGAGGGAAACGATTGAAGATCGTCACGGCAAGACTCAAAAGAGGCGTAATGGGCCGCAGAATGACGGCCAATCGAAGAGGCAGAAGGCCGCGGAGGCGAACAAGGCGCCGAGTGGAGCGCCAAAAAATGCGCCCTCCACGCCAGGCGCGAACGGCAAGATCGTGCTCTTCATGCCTTTTTTACATTATGAGTCAGACGGGAAGCGCCGACGTATGGCAGAAGCGGTTCAGCTCGCCCGCCGGCATGATGCTGATCTCGAATCGATACCGGCGAAAGCGTGCGCCGACGATCTGCTCATTAAGGCGTACCTGAATCACGAACCTCCACTCCACGTACGGCGGACACTTGACCAATTCTTCTATCACAGCATCGATACTTCCGAGCGCGATGTGGATCAGGTCGTATATCGGCACTTCAAGCGCAATCTGAAAGATAAAGAGCCCATGGTCTTTATGGTTGATCAGCTGTGGATGTGGATCCTTGGAAAGGAACTCATTGTGACATCCTTCCCGCAACGGTGGGACCAACCCGCCAACGAGGATCCGCTCAATGTCCTCCTCGGCATTATCGAGGATATGAACGCGAAAACCAGACCTCCGGTCGGTAGCGTGTATGATCTCGCGATGCTGATCACGGGCCGATGCTGCGGCGTCTTCGACAGGCATCGACAGGGTAGCGAGGTCTACCAATTTCTGGACATGTTCGAAATCGCAATCGGACAGATTACAAACCGTGAGGCCCGCCTGTTTGAGCGGTTCAAACTTGCGTCAGCTGCAACGTCAATGTATCTTATGGACGTGAACTCCGTTCGCGAGTCACGCCGTTTTCCTGAGGTTCGTCTTTCTGACCGATCAGCTTCGGCCGCGGAAGACTCTAAATTCCTCGTAGATATCTCCATCGAGACGCAGCTGCTGGCTGAAATCAAGGATATCCAAGACGAGCTCGCGATACTGAACATGGTGCTACAGTATCAAAGCAACGTGCTCCCAGAAGTAGCAGACAACATCATAAGAGAGCTAGGAGGGAAGAAGAGTCACGCAGCCACGGAGGTAGAACGTAAAATGAAAGAGCAGCTGAAGTTGATCCAAATACATATGAAGGACATGGAGCGCATGAGGAAGCAGACGCAGGGAATATACACATCTCTCACCAATCTGCTGGACCTTAAGCAGAAACACGCGAATGCCTTCGAGGCTCGATTCGCATCAAACCAGGCGGCTCTAACAGCCAGGCAGGGGCAAACGGTGCTGTTGTTCACCATCGTGACAATCATCTTTCTTCCCATGAGCTTTATTGCATCCTTTTTCGCAATTAACATCAAGGACTGGGAGAACGCTGATCGTGGACAAGGTCTGACGCTAGGCTACGTCAGCAAATACATCTTCAGCATCAGCCTGGGAATCTCCGTTCCGCTCATCGCGGTGGCTTTCCTCTTCGATGACATCGCCATCTTCTTGCGCAAGAAGACAAGATGGCTGCGTCGCCGGAGGCGATCTCAACCGAACAACGAAGCCAAGGAAGGAAGGCAGATGAGCGACCTGGAGCACAAAGTTCAAGCCATGCTCGATGTCCCCCGTGCGTCCTTGGCTACGGGGATAGCGAGGGAAGAAAAAATCAGAAAAAGCTTCGATGCGGCAGTGGCGTCTCCGAGAGACAAAGACAAAATCGAGTGGGAACTCATGGAGGGAAAGGAGGGACTGCGAGCGAGGATGAGAAGAGAGAGCAGGGCCAGCCGTGGGAGTAATTGGAGTAGGCCTCGCGTGAGCTTTGAAAGGAGGAGAAGAAGACCTAGCGATGATCTTGAAGGAGGTGTCGTACAAAGCAATGGCAGTGCTAGGTTAGGGGATTGAATGAAATGTCTACGCCGACAGACTCAATCTATATATATACCCCCGCTTTTCGATCGAACCTATGAGATAATTTTTAGTCTTCGTACTTGCTAATGTAAGAAAATTGGTATCACTTCTCGAATATAAGTCACAGCTGATAGAGAACGGGATTCTGACCCAGGCTCCTGTTGAAGCGTTGCTGTTGTCGGCGGAAACAAAGACAGCGTTTAAGAACCGTGTCACGACCTCTTAGTCAAGCTGTCTGCGAGAACTTCTGCCAGATGCCCGAGGGTACAAACACTCTTGTACGTGATGCCTTTCCACGAATATATGCCAACGTGCAACACGTGGAAGTTCGCTGGCAGTCTGGCAGTAGGAGGAGAAAATAATATTGATGAGTAGGGAGGAGGAGGAGGAGGAGGAGGAGGAGGAGGAGGACAAAGTTTGGAAACGAGCAAGAATATATGCCATTATTGACCGGAAAAAAGTCACGAGTTTATATGTACATAGCTTTTTTTTCCCGTCATCATCATCATCATCAGCAGCAGCAGCAGAGCAGTACGGCGTGACAACCACAATACGTCTGATACGTCACTAGTGGAACTGTTCTTCCGTGACGCCCTTGCCCATGGCACTTGTGGAGCTGATGCCGCCCGTCACCATTTTCAGCAGGTTGTCTGCATAGTTTGCGCCGCTCCATTTCTGGTGAGTTACGACCTCGACGCCGCGCTCCATCTCCGGCTCCTGCACAAGCTCGCAGTACGCGCGCATGCCCTGCTTGGCGAATGCCTTTGTGAAGGTGTCGGTGATCAGCGCCGTCTGATGAAGACCGGCGAGAGTGATGAATTGCCAAACGTAGCCGAGCTCGCCAAGCCGTTTTATGTAGGTTTCTTGCTCCTCGCGCGGCATGGCTTTCTTCCAGTTGAAGGACGGCGAAAGGTTGTACGCGAGTCTGTTATTAGCTTATTAGTATTTGTTGCAGTATAGAAGCATTGGAGAGCTTGAAGAAAACTCACTTCTGTTCGGGCCAGACTGCATGCACACCCTCGGCGAATTGCTTGGCCTGGGCATAGTCTGGAAGTTTCGACTCCATCCAGATCATGTCTGCAAATGGAGCATAGGCGACGGCGCGGTTTATGGCACACTCACAGCCTCCTTGGTACCGATAGTAGCCCTCGCGAGTTCGAGCAGCGTCCCAGTCAAAGTAGACATCCACGCCGGTTAGGCCTTTAGCAATCGCTCGAGCCTCGGAGTTGCTCTTGCCCTTGGACTTGCTCAAAAACTCAGAGATGAGAGCGTCCTTATTTACATACACTCCAGCTTTGATGGTGTCAATCACAGCCTCGTGGAAAAGTTTGAGATTCGCCTGTTTTATCCAGGCTGCCTCAATAGCTTCGAGTTCTGCTCCGGTCTTGCCAGCATTCTCGGCTGCGATCATGAGGTCGTTCAACGGCTGCAGGTTTGGGTTTGTTGAACCCATGATGTAATAGTGGTCGCGAGGGTCAATGGTTGACGTGATGAGTGTGGCGGCTTCTGAGTCGGTTCGAGCGATCGCAAGCAGGTCTGTTCCCATGATGTCGGCCTGCGCTCGTATGGCAACCAGCCTGTTGATATGTTCCGAGATGGGTACGAGCACTTTGCCTGCCATGTGTCCGCACTTCTTCGTGCCCGGTGCTTGATCTTCAATGTGGATGCCTGCTGCGCCAGCTTCGACAAAGAGCTTGGTCAGCTTCATGACGGCAGTCAAGCCGCCATGGCCGGTGTCCGCATCGGCGATGATCGGACGAAGGAAATCCGTGTTCGCAACCTTGCTACGTTGCGACTTTGGTGTGCTCAGGCGCTCCTCACGCTGTTTGCGGTCGTGGAAGAGCTGTGCAAACCAGAGATGCTTGACTTTGTTGGGCACGGTGGTCATTGGATAGTCTGCGAGATCCGGACCCGGCTCGTCGCTAGACGACGCGGTGGAGGATGACTGCCAGCCAGAAACATATACCGTGTCGAGGTACTTCGCCATTTGGGTGACCATGACTGGGTCTAAGCAGCCGTATGTGTATGACACTTCTTTATCCTAGTCAAGCATTTTAGTCTCAATCCGAAAAAGAGCGAATGACGATATACGGACCTTCCACCGCTGCTCCACGATCTTCCAGAGCTTTTTTGCCTGCGCATTGCTCGGGTATTCAATCTTCAAGTTCCCGCGCTTCGCAACGATCTGCTCAGCCGTGTAGGGTCTCTTGGTGAATCTCCATCTTGAGTCCGTCCACCACTTCTTGACCTCTTCCACCTCAGCGAGATACTGCTGCTCTTCGGCATCTAGAGACGACATGGTCTATGTGTGCGATGCAGTAAAACAGACAAGATAAAGTGAAGATGATGAATGGAACAGTGGAGGGGTGACAATGATCTAAGTCACTTCAAAATCTATGCGTACACACGAAAACAAAGCAAACAGAGAACCTTTCTGGCAGGCGGGAGGCGGTCCGTCTTTGTAGGTGGAAAAATGACGTCCAAATACTTCGAGCCCGGGAGCGCCTCGGCCGTGAGTTGGCCCCCCAGAGCCTTCTCACAAGACGACGAGAATGCATGCATGGCGCCGATTAGACGGAAGACTCATCTCCAGACGAGACCAGCAGCCAATTGCAGTGGCTCAGCCTAAGGGCATCCAGATCGAACGACGTTCCTCGGTCGAGAGCAAGGTTAGAGGCAAGAGTCTGGCACCTGTGACGCGCAGAGAACAGTCGTGGGGCCCTTTGGACCGAGGGGCTATCCTGTTGCGGTAAGCGGGCTTGTGGGGGAAGATCCAGAGTCCGGCTTGTGTGTGTGCGCTTTGGCTGTTTACCTGTCGACTGGGTCTTTGGCTGGTGGCATCGCCGGTGATTGTCGTCGAAGCAGACGTGTTCAGCGCTGACAGTCTCACGTCTGCCACTGCGCGCCTCTCGTTGCCAGCCTGTGTGCGTCTCATCTTGGTGGTGTTTCTGAGCCGTCGTCCGTGGGACTATGCTCGGCACTGGCACTGGGGCCGGCCAGGCGTCGTGCTCCATCGCGAGCATGCGATCGATTTCCTGTACCTGGCGCGAAGTCTCTGATCCATGTAACCTCGGCGGAACGCGACTTTCCGGCGGCCTTTTTTCGCAGCCCACAGAGTCGTAGTGCGGGCAATGCTTAGCCCCCCGCCCCCGGAAAAGCGCAACGCGTCGACTGCCAAACAAAAGCCGTTGTCGGCAGCAGACGGACCACGTCTGAGATGATTCATCTGTTGTACATTCGACGCCCCGTCTCCCGGTCGTCCGTTCGCGACAAAGAATGGTCTGTCCGCCAAATGTGTCTCGTTGCCTTAGGCATCATGTTCGCACGCTCGCAGCGGACCTTCACCTGCCGCATGCCTCTGCGTGATCCACGTGACCCGCTTTTCCGAGCCGGCAGCTGATGTCCCGAAGGTCGCCACACGTCGACCAGGACATCGTTCGGACTGTGTGTCTCTGCTTTTGCGATGGGTCACTGGATGCGCCAGGTGGGTTCCACCTCGTCACCGTAGCAAAAACTGCACGCCGTGGACGAGAAAGGTGTCATGTGCGCAAGGATAGAAAGGACGGCCACCTGGTGGTCGTTTGTGGGAGCCGTGTCTACTAGATATGGGAACTTCTCATTGCTTTGCTTGCCCCAGCCGTGTTGTGACGCTACAGTGCAAGTTTGGGCATTATCGAAATGCACGCTTAAGGTTTCCTCTTCTCATTCTTAGTAGCATTCTCTTCAAGACACCATTCTGCCGTACGCATAGGATACGTCGAACCATCTCCAATCATCATCCACGGACTCCTGAGTTGTTGACTGCTTTTCAATTCCTAGGTTTCCTGAAACTATCGTCCTCCGTGGTCGACTAGCTCCGTTGTCCGTACCAGTCGTATCCGCATGGCCATTTGCCATTCCATAATCTTGTCAATCGTGGCTTTCCTAGTCAACCCATTCCACCAAGGTTTGAGCTCTGCAACGGATCGAATGTGTTCCCTCAGTCCAGCCGCCGACATCCTCTCAAAAACCGTCCGATCTTGGAACACCCAGCCTCTAGCCAGATGCTCTGCGTTTGTGTATGCTGGAATTTCTTTCGCCGGTCTTCGCTCGGGCTTCTTCACCGTTTCTTCTTTACCGAGACCAGTTCTCTTTCTGCCTTGACCTCGTGGCGTACGCTTCGGGTGGAGTCTCTTAGCGGTACCTCCATCATGCGTTGGTGTTTCACTTATATTTCTACCATGCAATTCATGAGCAGGGTGTGGATTGGACGCCGAACGCCGATCTACAAGCTAAATCTTCGTTAGCCCTCCTCACTTTGATAGCGGATCTGTTCGCCAACCTTCTCTGTTATCTTTCCTACGTCGTCCATTGCATCTTCTGCTCCTGTCGAGTTTACAAGGATTCTACCAACGTTGTTCCCGTTTCTGTCAAAGGTGTGGACCGCCTTTTCTTTCGGTGATGGCTTTGACGAGCCATCTCGACTGCTTCGAGGCGTAGGCGGCAAATCCATCGCCTCAGAGCCCTCGTTTAGAACTTTATTCTCTCTTATCTGACAACTGCTCGCTGTATGCACGAGATCAACATAGTCTATGCTGATGTCGTCAACTCCGCCAGGCCCATTCTGACACCAACCAGCATATTTATCGATCAACTTCCAGCACTCCAACCACGTGCTTGAATCCATTCCCGAGCCCAGAAGGTCTGAATTCGGGCTCGAGGTGGTCTCTGTATCCTTCGATGTCTGTGTTGAGAAAAAAATTTGTTTCTGGTTCTTGGTAGTCGGACTCGATGAGAGGAACACCTTGAAAACTATATCTCTTTACCTATCAATGTGAAAACTTGCTAAAGATTTTGCGCGATTGCGGTCATCGGACGTCCAAAACCATGTTGGAAACAGTTTATCGAGATGGCTACTGCTGTTAGCGTCACACAGCAAGAACGATGGATTCCGTCTACAACCTCTTCAGTTATTGATCAGGAGTACAATCTGGCGGACACGAAATTACAAAGTATGAGACCGAGAAGTGAAGTATTGCTCCTTGCTACTTCAGTGGGCGTTTGCTTCACTTAAACTTCTCCACATGCTCAAGTCGAGCGCATGCATATTTGAAGCTGTTAAGCATCGTGTCGGCACCGTACAGTTAGAATCGAAAAACTCGATAGACGTTGAAGGCCCAGTCAACGAAAACTTGAAAGTCCCATGTTCAAATTACCGAGATATCCATCTCTATCTAAAATAAGGTGTCGTTACACATTTTTGAAATAAGTGCAGAACTTCCCAGTCTCTACGTGAGCGCCGCGTTCCTTTCCATTGCACTGTTGAAATTCCAAATGTCCTTCGCTTCACATGCCCAGAATTTAACCGACCAGGAAAAGGAGAAGCCCATGCAATGACACGCACGAGGAGGGATTATGACTTAGCTAGAAGTAGAATTTATTGCGGACCGTCGTTTATTCGAGAATGGATCGTTGGTCTTTTCTTCAGGATGAGCATGCCCTCCGTATTGTGCACTTCTACCGCGTAGATCTTGCAGCGTGTTCGCCATCGGTCGACAGCTTCGAGAATGGGAAGAAAACGCTCCCTGCATTATTTGAATTTCTTCGAAGGACGCGTAAGGACAGCTTCATGGATATCGAGTCATGTTGCACAGCTACACCATCTCACAGAAGTAAAGTCCTCGACCAAAGGTACAGTTCATTACGGCGCAGTAATGTATTCAAAGTGTGAGAATGACTCACATGTTCCCGGCGCTTAAGATTGTTCTCATCATAAACTTTGCCAATCTCATCTTATGTGAATGTTCTCAAGATGCGCACTATGCAATAAACCCACATTTATGGGCTGCCGGAGGCGTTTAACCAGAAAAATAAGCTCATTGTTTGGCTTTTTTAGTTGGAGTAGACGTCTTGGATCAGCTGAAATAGGAACTGAGGAAGCTCGCAATCCTTCAAAGGCACGAGAAGCGACTAAGACGAACACAAAGCTGAAAGGACAAAGACATCGCTATTCGGTCACTCGACGTAAGCTTAATCGATATGGTCAATTCGCATAGCTTGGCACTTCTACATTTCGTACCACCACCTTGTTGTCGCGATTATTCGAATAATTTAAATCAATGCTGCCGAAACGAATTCTAACCCATTCCGCAGCGGTGACGCCTTCTGGCGGCAAGGCTCTGTTGTTGTTCCCTTGCACCATCTCACGCTCCAGCACAGGACTTTCCACAGGCTTAAGTAGTGTATCATCGTCTGGACCAGAGAAATATATCACGCCATATCGAGGAATGTGCCGTTGATCCTCTGGGGGGAGCACGACACGATGTATGCTACTCTCGAGATATCCTCCGGTGAGAAAGGAAAGCGTGTCGGCTACGTTCACCGTGATGCTTCCTCGGAGCGGCTTGACCCATTTCCACTTCTCCTCGCCGTACGGGCGCACCTGAAGCGCTGCCACAGGCTGGCGCATTAACAGTGTCAAACTTCCAAAATCCGTATGTCCATACACGTTGTGTTCGATGTTGTGTTCCTTCATGATGCGTAACTCTTCCTGAGTGCGTGGGTGGTATAGCATGTATCGTAAGTGACATTGAGAAGCCGACTCGTAATTGTGCAGCTTCCACAGTGCTTCTTCATCAGGCAATTCCATGATTATGGCGCATAGAATGAGTAACCTCTTCAGAACGAATGACGACAAATGACGCTGGAAGTGCTCAACCTTTTCTGCATTCTGGGCAAGCACGGACGGTCTCGCAAAGTCCTTGTAAACTGCATTCCATTTTGGATCGTCGTATAACTCCAAGTTGTCCACTAAACCATGCTGCTGCTTTCGAGCACCACGTGGTTTCCAACCAAAGAAGCCTTGCTTTGTTGGATCAACCCTATATTTCTGCTTTTCTGCGTCGGGTAAGTCGAAGAGTGCCTTCGCGAGTGCGAATTGCTCGTCAACCTCATCTTCTGTCAGGCCAAAGTTGATGACATAGAAAAAGCCGATGGTGCTGATAGCTTTCTTCAGCTGGGCTGCAAGCTCTTGCTTGCCGCCTGGCGTATCGAATTTAGATAGATCGATTGTAATTAGATCTGCCCATTCAAGATCTGCTGTGGTCTCCGCAACATCTTGATAGCGCGTATGATCTTTAAGGCTGTCGATAGATCCCATGGCGAATTTCAGAACTGTACGTACAACATAAATTTGGAAAAGAACCTCGCAAAGATGCGGGCTTGAGACAGAGTATTCATACAATATATACCCGAATTAGCTCTTTTGCTTCCAACCTTTACAGTTTTGCCCGCGCATCTGCTAGCGCGCGAAGACTCGAAATTCTCCATGGATGTAATGTGGGGAAAGCCGAGGATATACTACAAGCCAAAGGTGGGATCAGCATCGCTCGCCTTTGGCAATTGACGTCATGTATAGTGAAAACCATGCCCTCTTAGATATTCACCGGGGGTTTCGTAGTATCTGCATTTGAATACGGCGCGTCGTTGATGTAATTGCATGTTCTCTTGGATGATGTGCTTGAAGGTCGGATTTTTGGACCACAGTTTCAGAGAAGAGAGTGCGTTTGAAGATCAAATCTGTCAGTTGCGTCCTTACGGTCCAATCAACCGGAGAAAAACTGAAAAGTCCCTACGAAATTTTTGAATATACATTACTCGCAAGCAATCTTCAATAAAACTTTGCTTTGCGAGGATTCCCCAACTATGGCAAAGGAGATTGACCTCCTATCCGTGCTTTAGGGGAATGCAGAAGTCTTGAAGACTCTTTGAAGACATAAATGAGATGGAAAGTTCAGACCTAGTCAATTTGAGAATTCTCACCCGCAAAAGACCTGCTTTCGGAAGAATAGAAAGCCATATCAGAACCATGCACTACAAGCTTTCCATGTAAAGATCGCATGCAGCATGATAGAACTAATTAAGCCCTTAACCCTGCGTACCATATATTCGTCCGTTTCAGAGCTTCCACTCTGCAAACGTGAATTGTTAGTGGTCAAAGTCAGCGTAGTATATACACTGCGTCATCTATAAGACCCAAAACAATGTGCAGAATCTATGCCGCATTCGAAGAAGGTGGAGGTACATCAGCATTGCATTGAGATGGAAAGATATATATACGAAAAGCTCGAGCTGAATTGCTGAGTTGCGGTGTGCGAGAGCGAACAACTGAACATATGTTATGTATGTTTTTCATACCGTTAGAAACTACAACTGAAGCGATTGCAGCCAAGCTTCTTTTCTCGGAGTCGAATAAGAAGATTGAGAAGCAGATAAATGCCAAACGAGGGCCAATGAAACACTTGTTAAGGCAACAGAAATGAAATCGAGCATCGGATAACAGTCACAGAATAAATCAAAACTGATGCCCCAAGCAAATCCAACTGATTTGAGATCGACTAAGAGAGCAGGTTCGTCGATGTGGGAGGGAAAAAATTCGAATCAAATTTAAACAGCTGCCCAAGAAGAAAGATGCGAAAACTTGAGGACGTACACGGTGACCAAATGAACGAGGACTTTAGATATTAAAACCAGATGAGCATTCAAAGATATGCAGATGAAAGAAATATGCTCTGGTAAATCGGAGGTCGATTCTATCTCTGAGATCAAGATCTAGAGTCCGGTCTGTCTGACTGATCGGGTTCAAGACAGATGCCTCAATCGCTACAGGATACATTGGAAGGGGAAACTTATCACACGCTATATCGATTTTGCAATATTCTGCATGCAAGCTCTCATTTCCCTATCCAGGATGCCAGACAGACGACTTGGACGGTCGAAATCGTCATCTCTTTGGCAGAATCAAAGATGAGAAGCACCACAGCACCGCAGAGGACCTCGTTCTTGCCGATTCTTTGGGAGAAAAGTGAATGAGAAAGCGACGTGCATTTCAAGAGGCGAGGTAAATCCAGGGCTCTATCCGGACAGGCGGAATGAGTGCACATTCAGGTTGGCACCTTGAGGGCCACACAGAAGGACACACGTTAGAATAGTTCTAGAAGTAGTGACCGTCCGCTGTGTTGAAATTACGACAACAAAGTAAACGGAAAGGAGAGGACGACGGAAGAGAAAGCGGCGGATTCGTTTCGTTGTTTAAGTAGGCCGACTGTAGCAACTTTAAGACCAAAGAGAATCTCGCGAAAGTGACGCGAGGCACGTGATATGTCGTCCAGGCAGTGGTCATAGCTTCGTGGTCTGAAATGCCCGTATCGATATCCGTCCCGCATTTTAGGTAGATGCTCTCTTCCTCATCCTCTCTTGTCGCTTTCTCCTTTTGTGAAGATGGCGGTCGAAGACTCGATCTTCTTCCAGGAGATAAGAGCTGATCATGGCAAGATTGTAAATGGTGAGTGTTCATGTTTATCAAGACCCTCCACTCAACCAAAGTATCCGGCGCAAGGCTGCGAAGGAGGACTGACAAGTGGTGAGGATAACAGACCTTCCCAAGTTCGAACTCGAGAGCTATGTGGGGAACTATGAAGGAATACTTCGGTTGTTCAAGCTTCGATGCATCGCACATACCTCTCCGCCGTTGTCGGCCGATGCCTTCAGGTTGCTAATCCAGGAGCTTAAGCGAGGTATCAACGTGGACATGTACATGCAGGTCGTTGAGGAGTTTTCTAAGCTGCTACCCTCAGATCCACTTGCTCAGGTTGACACGGAGTGGGCAGAGACGACAGCACGAAGGGTCAAGACAGACACAGACAGGCTGGAACGCGAGCTCAAGGCTTACAAAAACAACCTCATCAAGGAGAGCATACGCATGGGACAGGAAGATCTAGGCAACCACTACTTCTTGGTAGGAGACTATCCGTCCGCTTTCAAGGCGTACACCAAAATGCGCGAGTTTTGCACCACGCCAAAGCAGATCGCTCAGATGACGTTCAAGCTTTTGTATGTGGCGATCATGCAGCGTAACTGGGCTATCGCTGCCTCGTACCAGCCAAAGATGGGTGCTCTTCAGCTCAGCAGCGAAGAAAAGGCCAAGTTCGATCCCATCCTCTTCGCATGCGTTGGCCTCTCCCACCTTCAACAGTGTCACTACCGCGACGCTGCCCGCGCTTTTCTCAACGTCGACCAGCAATACATGACTCTGCAGGAGGCTCAGGGTGGAATTGTTTTCCAGAAACAGGTCATGACGCCGAATGATGTGGCTGTGTACGGCGGTCTTTGCGCACTTGCTACTATGGATCGCGCAGAGCTGCAGCGTCGAGTGCTCGACAACACAACCTTTCGCCCTTTGCTCGAACTTGAACCTCATATCCGCCGTGCTATCAGTATGTTTTGCTCTAGCAAGTACAAGAGTTGTTTGCAGGTGCTAGAGTCGTACATGGCTGATTATCTTTTGGACTTCTATCTCAATGGCCACTTCTTGAAGTTATACCAGTTGGTCAGAAGCAAGTGCATTGTGCAGTGGTTCAGTGCGTATTCGAGCGTTACTTGGCAGGAGATCGAAAGCCATTTTCCAAATAATCTGTTAGATATTGATTTAGAGGACGAGCTGAGAGGGATGATTCGCAACGGCGTTTTAGATGCTCGGATTGATCTCGTTGATAAGGTATGCAAGGTCGCACATTCACATAGCACTCTATATAATGCTAACTTGGATACCAGGTCCTTGTTTCACCTAATCCTGACTCTCGTATTGCTGTCATTCAAGATACCCTTTCCATGGCCAAGACTACGGAGCATGCGCTTCGCCTCCGCCTGCACAACATAAACATGCGCGCCGCGGGCTTAGTTGTCAAAAGCCCCAATCAAGGAGCTATGAATCTTAGCATGCTTGCTGAGCAAGGGAGTGAGTTTTTCAATGGTGCAATGGGTTTGCGCCAAGGAGGTGGGGGTGCCCAAGGCAAGATAAAGAAAGCCAACGGCGCAAACATGGTGTGATGAATCGAGGCTTCAAAAAAAAAATCTTCAGCGGCTGATGAGTAAACGGTCAATCTGTACATGACTTTCGTACGGTGTGATGACGGCATGAATTGGCGAAACACATCTCCACAAAAGCGGAGCATTTTCCAAAGGCGTTGTTTTCCCACATAGCGCATTTCTCGCAACGGTGTATAGATATGAGCTTCGCAGTCATCAATTTATAAAGCAGGACTAATATTGCATAATTTAGATGCACGTACCTGATCTAACTCCTCTCAGCGTTCGGGGCCCCTTTGGAAATTTTGGCGTGACGGATATCGTGAAAGCAGTGAGATGACGAATTCTAATCAAGACGAAGCAGATGAGCCTCGATCAGCGACGATGATAAAGAAAGTGCATGAAAGTTTGACCTCGAGTTCCATTTCAGCTTCAACTAATGGCCTACGGAAAAGTCCCGCCACACGACGGATCGGGGCGTGAGAAGATGCATCAATACTCATTGCTCATGTGCTAAAACGGGGTATACTGAAATTATGTACGGGCGTCCCACAGATCATGTCCTGAGAACATCTTAGAGCCATGCCACTGCTCCAGCCAGTGCAAGGCCCAAGCCTACCGCACCTGCCTTAATCTCTCTCTCGGGATTTCCACTTCCCCTCGAGGTTGTCGTGGATGCGGAAGCGGACGTGGTTGTGAATCCGGCGGTGATGGAAGAACGATCGAGAATCTGTCCGACGCTGGGGGGTGGCACATTCCCGTTGACCTCCCATACGCCGCTTGTGTAGCTGGGGCACGGAGGCGGCGTGAGAGAAGGCGAATAATCGCTCTCTTTAACACCGGTCGGAGTCAGAGTTTTCCACTGGTTCTGCAGGTTCTGGAAGTCAGGAGTGACCGGCAGAGGCGTTCCAGACCGCGTGAAGCCATCTGGAGGCGCGCCGGAAGCCGTGGGATCGGTCCGTGGCCCATATGAAACGAGTCCATAATTGTTCTGCTCCTCGATCCATTCGTAGATGATGGCGCCTGACCAGTACGGATTCATTTCGCTGCCAAAAATTGCCGCTTGATCGGTAAAAGTGCGCGGTGGGACCGTGTTGCACCCTGTCTCAGAGAAGAAAATGGGAATGTCGTAGTCGGTAACGTTTTGGGTAAGCTGTGAATATCCAGACACGGTGTAGGACGAGTCGCCACACCATTCATACGCATTCAGTGCGTAGTAGTCAATGGTCTCAGAGGCGTTGGAGCCACATGCCAAATAATTTTGCAACATCGGACGCAGAGAGGCGATGTCAGCAGCTGAATAGCCGACGGGAATTGCGCGGTAATTTTTGGAGTCCCTGTAGGCCTTGATATCGCGTGCGGCGGCTTTGACATATGGAGCAGCAGCGGAGCCTTCTCCTGTTGTCAAGACTTCATTGCCTACAAACACACCGGCGAGATTGTCGTAGCCGTGAAAGGCATCGAGGACCTTGGAAAAGGCGTCGAGCTGTGTCTGGTTCCAATGGGGATCTAACTGTACGGGAAAAGTCAGCGCAGAGTCCCTGGTGAACATCCGAATCGGATTAAGCTTGTACCTGCTCAATCTGCGTGTCGAACGTATCGAGGTCAAGGAAAACGTAGATGCCAGCGTCTTCGAAGGCGCTCATGCAGCCGTCATGGTCGCCGTTTGGATCAACATGGTATACACGAATGGTATTGGCACCCAGCTCCTTCATCAAGCTTGCGTCTCGCTGGCATTGGGCTGTGTCGATGAGAGGATCCTCGGGCTGCAACTGATATGCCACGCCCTTGATGTAGAATTGGTTGCCGTTGGCGTCGAAGAACTTGGAGCCCTTGATGTGCAGTTGAGGCAACGCAGCATGAGCGAGGCCAACGCCAGCACAAGCCGTAACGAGAGTTGAGAGTCTCATAGCTGTGGTTCTTATCTTCCGAGCACGTATCGAGAAATCAGTCAATGGCCAAAGGGTGGAGGTGTTTAAGCGAGCGACGAGGATAACGAGGGTGGCGGGATGCAGCAGAAAGAAAGAAAAAGGTCCAGCTGCTCCTTCCTTAGATAACGAGAGCGGAAACAACCAGGACGATGACGAAGACGACGATCAGGACGACCTCGAGCGACTCCAAGGTTGTGCTTATCGAACAGTCAACGAGCGATGCAGGTGTTCCGTGTAGTGTTGAACGAGAGAAGTGATCACAGAAGACGGGAAATCGGGACAAACATGGCTACGGGATTTGAGCATGGGAAGCTAACCAGGCGTGGGAGCGCGCATGTTCTATGATACAATGGCTCAAGACGACTTTCCCTGTCGATCGCGGGCGCGGCATAGTTCTACCTTATTTTCGCTCAGAGAACCAAGCTTCAGACGAGGAGTTGATCTCGCCCGTTATCGATAATGGTCGCAGCCGTGCAAATGCTTGGGCCGACGACGTTGCCGTTCACGGTGCGCTTAAAATTTGCCACTATCCATTCAACTTCTTCACCAACCCAACCGGCGCGCTGACGACTCGATGCGCATGGCAAAGACTGGCCCTTCCAATCGCACCACCGGACAGGCTGGACTGACGCTCGAAACAAGCCTGGCTCGGCGGTCTTTGCTGGACATGCGTGGGAATCGGAGATAATGGGAAATGAAACAAAAATGCCATGATGCAAGATAACCCAAGCGCCACACATCCACGGGCCGCAGAAAGACTGGCGCTTGCGCGTTTTCATGCACGCACGGCAGGGATTCTGCCTGGATTGGCTGAAGCCATGAAGTCAAGTTAACTGCTGTTGGATAAGCCTTCTCATCAAAAGCTGATCCTTCCTAGCGAGACAGCCTTCCCCTTTCGCCGTGGCATCTGGCCTTTGACGTTGGGGGTACCCAGAGCACCTGAAGTCGTATGCAGACGTGACAAATGGGGCGCTCTTTGACTCTCCATGTAACCAAGTTAGACGCTTTTTCTGCATCGAGAGACTTGAAAGGTCCCTGTACGAAGCTTTTGACTTCGCTGTCCAGCATTATTCCTCGTGGACCTACGATTGGTGCAGCAGCTTTCACTCCGAAAAAGCTTGGACTCTGTCGCGAAGATTTCGATAGCATCGGCAGCTAAGCGATCAGAGGACTGCATTGGACGGCCAAGTCAACATTGCCGTGGACAATCTTACACAATCTGGCAACTCGAGTTGGTCCTTTTTCTCTTCTTTTTGTGTTCGTAAAATCTCTCGTCACGACTAATGACGAGACCACATTTCTCCATTAGAATTATGAATATACATATATATTGGATCGTGTGCTGGGGCCAGGGCCATGGTTGCATTGTTCTGTCAACAAACTCCAGACGATCTGGCATCTCGTGCATCCACCGATGATTCGTGGGTTAAACAACGTCACACTACCAGCTCGTTTCGCTCGTAGGTTCCAAGCTGCCATCGTCGCCCCACCACGTAATGTATTTGGCCTGATCACAGCTATGCTCACGAGTCCACGTCTGGATCTTCTCTATTTCCCACCCGCTCCTCACGGCTCCTCTGCCGACGTCAAGACCCTCGGTACTCTTTTCCCCTAACACGATCGTCTCCATCCTCAGTCCACATTGCCCGGGCCAAGTGTCTAAAGGCTGGCCCTCGCTCGTGACGTTCGGTCGGTATACGAAAGAAAAACATTCGGCGTATCGCTGGCAAGCATCGCGACAGCCCTCAAATGAGAATACGGCAGCCTCTTCCTCCGGACTCGGCTCCCACGACGCCTCGGGGTCGGCCTCAAATTCCTCGCGCGAGCGCTTTGGAGGATACAAGATATCCTCGCCACCACAGTCCCACTCGTTGGCCTCTGGTTGCAAAGACGGCTGTACAAATTTCCAGAAGATGTCCGAGTACGTGATATTCTAGAGATGTTAGCACACGCGCAGAAAGTGCGGCAGGAAGCGGAGTGGTCGGCACCTTTACAAGTCCTACTTCCCTATCAAACTGCCACAATTGCTCGACCTGCTCAGGTGAGGTGTGATGAAACGTAACCGCGGCATGGCACCATTTGAACTCGTCGTAATCTAAGGTATCTGGCCTAGCACCTTGTATGTTGGGCCAGCTCCCGTTGAGCGCGATCTGATTGTCATGAAACGCATGCGCCAGCACCATATCTCCGCAGCATTGGCCCTCGGCATAACTGGTATGCGCCTTTGTCTGCTCCTCATCCTCGTCTGCCAAGATCTTAGCTGCTGCTTGAGATACAATATAGCCGGATCCGCCATGAGCGAACTCGACGTCGCCAATCCAGTTTTGCGAGCCTGTGTAAATGGGCTTGGTGGGATCCAGCATTTGCAACCAAGTAAGGACGTTGGACCACATGATGGATGTGTCCGCATCAACAAACATGTACCACTTTTTATCCGGATACATGGCGTAGCTCTTGCGCAGGATCGGGTAGTTTTTGTACTTGTCCATTTCCCAAGCCAAATCACTTTCCCGGAATTCAGGACGTTCAATCTCATCGTCCTTTTCCGGCTCGTAGTGGTATTCTTCATACCGACTCCAGTCGCCTGCTTTGTTCTGATGCTGTTTCCCTTCCTTCTTCTTTTTCCGTTCGCTCGTCTCCTTCAGGTACTTATAGTACGCGAGGTCGGGATTGGACATGTCAACATATTTATAGAGCTCGTCGAGCGCATCGTGAATCTCTAGACCGTTGAAGTTTTGGGCCATGTCAGAGAAGACGAGAAAATGTGGGGTGCAACGAAATGTCGTGTTGAAATGAACTGGCAGTCTCTTCTCAATGACGCTGGATCCTGTCTTCATAACGAGAAGTACATCGTCCGCCCCCGTTAAGTTTGCACATCTGGGATCCAGTCTTATGGAATGCGTCTTGTCTTCGACTAACGAAGTGGACGAGGTCGATGAGTAGGGGTTCGGCCATGACGATAGATGCGCTCTCACTTCAGACACGTATGCTGTGTCCGCTGCAGAATAAAGAAAGGAGACTATAGATAGGGTGACAATAGCTAAAATGAAAAATCGACGGGCGCGCAGGCTGTTAATATTCTGAGAGAGCTTGACGGGCATTGCGCTAAAAGCCGGGCAACGGCGCAACTAGGGGAAAAAAGGTATTAGATTGTTTGGCCCAACGCTTTCATCGGTAGCAGAGGACAGGCAGCTCGTGAGCTGTTCAGAGTTGTGGAAAAAACATGAGTTCATGTGCTACACCGGTACAGTTTGCGGTGTATGCAGAGGATCGAAAGGCGAGGCAGGAAGCGCGACCAAACTTCCCGATGGTGGCTGTAGTAGAATCGTCGAGAGCTGCGCTCGGGCTGAGAGAGCTAAAGAGAGTGCATGCGAGGAAAACGGGTTGAAGAAAAAGCGCGTATAAAGCAGAGTATGTGGATGAAAGCGAGTTAGTGCAAAAAATAAAGTTGGGTAGAAGAAAAAGGAGGTCGAGAAATATGCCAAACGATTGCCCAAGATGAGGATCTATGGGGATGACCGGCTCGCTCGTATTGTCTCCCTGCAGATGCACAAAAACTCCGCTTCATCCATGCTCGTGGCAATGATGTATCACCAGAATCAGACAGGAACGAAAAAGGGTCGAAGTCTTGATTCGTCCAGCGAGCGGAAGGCTGCTAAAAATGGCGCTTGGTTAGGGGGTTTTAAGTTAGAGCTACAAGGGGACATGGTCCTTGGCAAATACTGATCAATAGTTACTAGGGCTACTTCATCTCATCGTTCTGTTGCCTCATCGTGTTGAGCCATAAGTAATGACGATCCCTAACTTACGCGAGTCTTTCAGTATCTACGTACTTCCCTCGTCGGCTGGAAGTAAGCTTGTACGCAGGATCGACGATACATCCTCCTTGAAAGGCCATAGTTTGGACGTCTATTGTCCCGCTCGGTGCTCGATACTACAGTTGGCCTGCGCCGTCATGCGACATGGAACCATCATGGAGACGAAGGAAAAGTACGTCAAATAGAGTGAGAATCAGTCGAACGGTTGAATTCGCTCGCTTGGTGTTCTTCGAACGTCTGTATTTCTCTAAGGCTGCATTGCAAGCGCAGTGAACAATACACATTAAAACTAATGACGTTTGATATGCCAAACGAAATTGCCGAGAAGTAACTCGGATGCGACGTCCAATCCCATCGGCTTACCCGATTCTCTACGCGGCAACGAGTTGAATATTTGCCGCCGGCATTCCAAAATCTCCGTTATCAAGAAGCATCTCTCCACTTCCGCCACTGAAATAGTTCAGATGGTTCCAGCTGGGGAAGCTGCTCAGGTAAGCGGACAGAACGCCACCCGACACAGAGCACGTCAGAGGAACAGGCGTATAACCATGATCATCATCCGTCGGTTGCCGAAGGATAGCAAAGTAGGAATCATCCGGAGCATCGCTAGTCATCATAACGTATGGTGAAAACGAAGTCCCATACTGTCGGAGGCAGCATTTAGGCGTTGTGTCATCAAGATTCAACATGGCGAATTCAAAAACAACGGCATTCCCTATGGAATCGGCATCAAATTGCATGACTGGTCCAACAGCGTTCCCATCCACGTTGACGTCGGCATACTTGCCATTGGCCGACGACCGAAGATAGTACCTCGTCCCAGTTGGGCATGATTGGACGCTAGAGGAGGAGCTGCTCGACAGTGACTACAAAGAATCATTAGCGCTGTACTTTTTCCACTTGGGGCTAGTCAACATACCGAAGACGACGACGTCGCGGAGGAGACTGTGGACGAGCTGCTGAAGCTGGTGATAGTGGATGAGGACGACGAGACGGTGGACGAGCTGCTGAAGCTGGAGATGGTTGATGAAGACGACGAGACGGTGGACGAGCTGCTGAAGCTGGAGATGGTTGATGAAGACGACGAGACAGTGGATGAGCTGCCAGTGCCGGAGCTGCTCGAAGCGCTAGAGACGGTCGAACTAGCGCTAGACAAGCTGCTCAAGGAAGACGAACTCGTGGTTAGAGCACTGCTAGTTCCGGAGCTGACACTTTGAACGCTGCTCGTTCCAGAGCTCGTGCTTGACGCGCTGGGTGCGCTTGGTGAACCATTGGATGCCGAAGTGGGAGTCGAAGCACTGCTAGTGCTACTAGTGAGGACTGGCGAAGCAACTGGCGACACAACCGAGGATTGAGTAGATGGAGCAACTGCGGAGGAACTCGAGTTCGAGAATCGAAGCGATGAGAAGCTGATGGGGCCACGAGTCGAGCTTGAAGGTGTGCTCGAAGGTGCGCTGCTGATCCCTGAGCTGCCAGAGATACTTGCGCTGGATCCCACCGAGCTTGCCGTGCTTGCAGGCGAGGCGACGCTTGATACAGAGCTGGAACTTACTCCTTGGCTCGTGGTCGACGCTGATGTAGATGGTAACACAACGGAGGACTGCGAGGATGTTGGAGCAATGGAGGAGCTGGAGTTAGAGAAGCGGAGTGACGAGAAGCTCAGCGGGGGTCGTCCAGAGCTGACAGGCTGGCCGCTTGGGCCAGAAGCAGGTGCGCTTCCCGAGACAGACGGGGCAGCACTGCTTGCGCCTACAGGACCACTGCCTCTGCTCGATGCAACTGGTCCAGCGCTGCTGGCGGGGCCGGATGGGACGCCGCTGTTGGCTGGGCCAGAAGGAACACCACTGTTGGCTGGGCCGGATGGGACGCCGCTGTTGGCTGGGCCAGAAGGAACACCACTGTTGGCTGGGCCGGATGGGACGCCGCTGTTGGCTGGGCCAGAAGGAACACCACTGTTGGCAGGGCCGGATGGGACACCGCTGTTGATGGGGCCACTGCCACCATTGCTGGGCGAAGCATTGTATCCGGTACCTCCTGATGGCCAGCCGCTAACATAGCTACCACCGTTTCCGTTTTCACCACCATATGCACTGGTTGGATGGCTGTTGCCACCGACTGGCCATGTGCGCGTTGTAGTGTAGATGCACTTGGACAAGCTCGTTGTGGAGAGAACTTCGGTTCGCCCATTGTGCGTTACCGTTTGGCCAGGAGTGCAGACAGACCAAGATGTATACAGTTCTGTAGCTGTAGTGTAGCTTCCAGCACCATCATAGTTCCATAAGCCGGAGTCACTATCGCCTGTCTTTGTGATGGTCACGGGCCACATAGTGGGTTCGGTCAAAGTCCATGTCTGCCCATTCTTTGTGACGACATCACCAGCGTTGCACGAGGAGTATGACGTCCAGGTAGCAGTAGTAGCCGGCGCAGCCTCGTTTTCCCAGGCTCCCGTAGCCTGATCAACCCATACGGTGGTTGTCACCGTCACTCTCTTCGGAATGCAGCTTAGGCTGGACGCAATCGAGGGAGCGACCAACCCTAAAAAGAGCGTGAGAGGCAGCGCGGCCATAACGAGCGACTGAAAAACGACGAAAACGAATGGACAACTAACTGAAAAACGAGTGGCAGTCCTTGCGGAAAGAGGGTGGGAAGAATTGTCAGAGGACAAAAAAGCCGCTGGCAGAGGGAGGCTCACATTGTTTATGAAGTGGTGGTGGCAAGAGGCCAACGTTAAACTAGAGAATGCCACAGCTATGGTACCTGCGTTAGCGGCTTGACAGCCTTCATGAGATGGAGCTCATCCCGCTTCTTGATGTGAAAACACTAAAAAGCGCAAAGGTAGCAGCCACGCACCAAGTACGGCGTACGAGGAGTCGAAAATAGACCCACAGAAGAAATCTCGACCAAATCCGTTCTGGCCTGGTCTGCTTGCTCGATCGAATCGCAAAGACGCCACTCAAGCCAATCTGGCCATGTTCGTTCACGCTAAGCGTTCTTATTAAAGTACTGTGTACAAGTATATCCTGCGGCGTCGCCGCTGCTGAAGAACATTTGTGGATATATGCTCAGCACCGCGCGTCGCTGCAGGATGACCCACACCGGTAGATTTCGATCAAAAGGGCGATCAAGAGACGAATGTCAAGGCAGAATATGACCATGACCTGCCAGCAAAGCTAACAGGGTGTGAGTACAGTAGGAGACAAAGTCTCGCCACAGCCGGCTTGGATCGCATCTGAGCAAGACGATGAACAAAATCTGGGTTTTCGATCAGCAGCCAGGTCTTCGCTGATCCCCCTCGTGGCTCCTGGCGTCACTTCTGTTAATTTGCTCCTCGCGTGGCTTCAGAGTCGCTTAAAGGGGTAGCGAGTGACGGTCAGAGCGGAGACGCTCGGTCAGGTGTGTGGAGACCTTATGCCGCTTTTGGGTTCAGCCCCTGTTGAGCGCTTCTCAGTTGTCTCTGATCTACGCTTGTGGCGCAACTGAAGAGCGGCCGAAGTTTCCAAGTATGCAACGACGTGGCTTTGCAAAATGAAGAGCTGAGAACGTGTTGATCGGCCATGCTTGATATCATCGGCATTTCGCATCCGATTTCATGGCGTTAGACATAGCGCTAGATTGTCCCAGAGGTGCTCCGTAGTCGCCATTGCATACGTGTTTTGGCTCTGGCGGCGACGGTGATGGCAACAGCAGCAGTCGTAGCTGGACTAGTACCAGTATAATTGCGAGTCCAGGTACACCTGTTCAGCAGGCGTACGATCCATAGAGAACAGGACGAATGCACAACTTCTCTAGAATATCGGTCAATGCGCGAACTACGTCTTATCGATGCTGCCCTATGTAAAGTTCACCAGCTGCTGTCTTAGTTCGACTTTCGTTGTTTACTCTTTTTGTAACATGATCCGATGATCCTCAACACCAGCTTTGCCTCAGATTGACTGACCTTACGTCCGTGGTAGGCAATTGGCACGGTCGATCTTCACTACGATGATGACTTCCACCTGCAAATTTGAGCTTAACAAAACTCGCATCACACTCGGTCCGAACGTGGAGTGAGCCATTTGTGAATAATTTGCATTGCGTGTTTTCGATAGCCTCGTTGTGGAGACACAAATTTGTCCGTTCGCTTAAAATGTTCCTAGTGCCTCAGTCTAGGGCTTGGGCCTTGCATAGACGCCGAGTCAAATTTCTCAAGGCTTACAACACTTTTACCGTCTACGATGCGGGGCTAAGATCCTCTGTTATCAAAATCTTTCCGTCAATCGCCCTTAACCATCCCATATTCACATTTCCTGCTCATTCTTTGAACCGAGTATCGCAATGTCTTAGTACCAAACAGACTATATCCTTGTGATGTGTGTTCTGGCTTAGCCGACAGCCTGCTATGCTCTCGACTGACGCTAGACAAATGCTCCGATTTCAAAAAGGGGCTAGCTTAACGAATTTCGCACTGAAAGGCGTTATGCTACGTGCTTCAGTACATTCGCTAGGTTTAATTATGGAGGCACGTCGACTTGACAAGAACGATGAGCATTACGCCTACTCATCATTCATCATATCCTCAGGCAGGCACCTGCGATATCTTACAAATCACGAAGACTTCAGGAAGCATAAATTTCACATCAACTTCGCATTGACTAGATAATGAAGACTGTAGCAATGCAAAATTTTTGGCAGTTGACACCTAGGGCTTTCAAGCCTACATAAAACCGCCGTTATGATTCTTACATGGCGGTGTATCCCCCGTCGCATGTCAGCAAAGTCCCTATTGCACGTTAGATGTGCGAGTTCAGAAATAGATGTCTATTCCTCTTTACGACCAAACCAATTAGATCACGATACGACCTTTCCTAAGCTTCACTCATCCGTGGAAGGGACAAGCCCAGGCTCTAGGCAGACAATGGAAAGAAAGGGGAGAACAGTGACGAAGTGTATTGGTTACTCTGCAAAGCGCGTTAATGTGGGCACTACCTCATGCTGTTTTGCGGACTGACCACCAGTCATATAGGTATTATCCGGCGAACAGAGGAATAGAACTGCCCGCGCAATGTCGTCGGGCTTGCCAAAACCTCCGAACGGGTGCATGGCTGAGATTTTTGCGTAATTGTCTGCATTGGCCCGAACATGTTGCGTCATGTCCGTAGCGATGACTGAAAGTGCCTTAGAAGTGAACACCCCAAAACAAAAAGGAGGTCGACTTACATCCTGGGCAAACCGCGTTCACATGAATTCTATGTGGAGCACAGTCAAGTGCTGCTACTCGAGTGATGCCGACACACGCATGCTTAGAAGCCGTGTACGCCACTGCGAATTCTAATCAGAATGTTCAATACAGAGGAGTCGTTGCCATACTTGTATTAGGTAAAGCAATCAAGCCCAGGATCGAGGCTGTGTTCACGATCCAGCCTCTATCCCCTGTGATTCCGGGGGTCTGATCTTTCATGATCCTGCTGGCATGCTTGCAGCCGAGGAAGACACCTTTTGCGTTGACATCCAACGTGAGATTGAAGGCCTTCTCGTCGTATTCCCAGATCGACTTTGGCGCACCACTTTCCAGTGCTATCCCTGCATTGTTGATCATTATATCGAGTCGGCCGAACTGCATAAAAGCAGAATCAACGAGCGCAGCCATATCTGTCTCAGATGTGACATCTGCTTTCTGAAAGACGGCTTTACCACCAGCTTCTACGATAGCATCATGCGTTGAGGCAGTTGAGCCATCTCGGGATTTTGGAGAGATATCAGCACATACTACTGTCGCGCCTTCTTTTCCCAGCAAGAGGGCTATTTCACGACCAATCCCTATGACCAGCTTAGCTAAATCCTCTCAATAAAAGTGAACTCCGAAGGAGGCTACCGTTGCTGGCACCGGTAACGATGGCAATTTTTCCACCAACTCTTCCTTCTACTGTCTCTGTGTGCGTGCCCATGGGAGACCGTTTGTGTGGGGTTACGCTCAATAATCTGGCTATGAGGAAGAACCACGACTTTTGACGAGTCGAGCTTATTGGAAAGACAGAACCATTTTAAAATTCCGGAAATTTCTGGGCCTCGTTCGGACACTGCAGGACAACACTTGCGGTTAATGTCACACCTGACCACATGAGCAAGTGCGGGGGAAGGGGGAGCAGCCGGCAGTCCGGAGTCGTGATGCCGAAGTTCTGTTGAACCTTTTTTTTACGCCTTTGACATTTAAGTGTCAATCAAAATAAGGTTCGATAATATAACATGTCGAAGGCAAGAAATATGAACTTCATTCCGCAGCGAGTCCACGGGAGTAGCTTCTATTATTTCTGCAGAAATTTCAACCTCGGGTTATCATTGTGAAGCGACATCAACAGCTGTTCATAAGAGAGGGAAATTATGATAGCAAATAGATGCAAATTTTTAAGAAGGGAAGATTTGGACCAAGATCAGCTTAAGAGAATGTTGAGGAAAGCCCTGTTTTCGCGTAAGGCAGGTACAGATCTTCAGTCAGTAAGCGAAGATTGAACAATTGCGCATAAAGAGAATCACACTATTATGCAATGCCTAGTGTGATTTTTTCTTTCCTAAAATTTGAATATGTACATACATTAGTTTTATTTCCTTTCGGCTGCGGAGGTTGAAGAGATACACAGACACAGAAAGTCATCTCACACCCGTGGACAATGATGAAGCACTCCGAATTATCCAAGTATAACATGCCCGTGAAAGAAAAATTACGAAGAATATACAAGCCTTGATTCGGTTGTCTACTCTCGGGGGTGGTTGTGAAAATGAGAGCGTTGAGTCTGGTTAAGACACAGGCGATTTCAAAATCTTCCGGACTTCCTATTGATGGGCTTTGTAGCAACATTTGAGCTACGTATATACATCGTAGCATAACGTTCTTTTGAGTATCGAATTAGTTTTATAATTTAGGTGGAAAGGATGAAAAAGCCTGTAGCGCCTCTATTACTTGTCGGTCGCCTCAGATTTTCCAGTCGTCGCACGCGCATGTTTTGCAGATTTGTTTCGTTCCACCTTTCTCCAACCCATGCCTAGACCTGTCAGTACTGTCACGGCACTACAAGCCGCTGCCAAGTAGAAATTGGAATTTATGGCTTTACTGTATGCCAAAAGTACTCCTGACAGGTCATCAGAAGACACTATATCTCGCACGCGACTGGCACCAGCGTGAATCACGCTCTGAGCATCAACATGAGGAGCGTACTCCGTCAAGCCCATATCTAATTTGCCGTTGAATAGAGCTTGTGCAATGGCGAGAAAGAGTGCACCACCGAAATACTGCTCAAAGATTATCATGGCCTGTCCGATGGGAACCGTAGTTGGTGGCAAGTTTGTTTGCACAGCAACGATTGTCTGAACTTGCATTAACCACTGAATAAAGGAAATTTTTCGAGTTTGTGATCTTACCATTTGCATGCCACAACCTCGACCGAAGCCAAGAATAATCTGGTACCAGACCCATCTAACCGTTGATGTGTGCAATCCCAAACTTGATAGCAAGCCATTGCCGACTGCAGCCAGGATCGCAGATGCCATAACCCAGGGCAGATAATATCCCCATCGACTCAAAAGCGCACCAGATCCAACTGATGCTGCCATCATACTGAATATGGAGGGAAGCGTATAGACTCCACTCATTGCAGGACTTGCGTTCCGTATGGTTTGAAAGTAGATTGGTAAGAAGTAGTTTCCAATTATTTGCGATCCGAAGAAGAAGAACATCGTCACCATGCTCGACCAAACAACTCGCTGTCGAACAACAGACCATGGGAACATGGCGCTGTCTCCTAGTCGGTATTGATGAACCGCAAAAATCAGCAACGAACATCCTCCACCGACGAACAGACCGATAATAGTTGCACTAGACCAAGCATAATCCACCCCGCCCCATTGGAGAGCAAGTACGACCATGACCGAAAAGCTCGCAAATAGCGCGAATCCTGCAATGTCAAGATCATAGAGTAGAAATTTGATTCTGCTCTTCTGATCTTCAACATTTGTTGCCATCTCCTTTGTGAGGGCCTTGGGAACGTTCACAAACACCATGGCTATGGTAGCAAGTGCGCCGATGGGAAGATTGATGTAGAAACACCATCTCCAGCTTGAATACTCAGTTAGCAAGCCTCCGAGCAGCGGGCCACAGAGGACTCCAAGTTGGGAGCATGACATAAGAACCCCCATGATCATAGGACGCCGATGAGCGGGAATCGCTAAGTAACACATTTGAATGCCTCCGTTCATCAATCCGGAGCTACCCATACCCGCTATTGCGCGGCCGGTAATAAGCATTTTGGAACTTTGCGATAGACCACATACAAGTGATCCAAACTCGAAGAGGCCGAAGAAGGCTATGAAGGTCCTTTTCGTGCTAAACCGGACATAAATCTTGCCCGTTAGTGGTTGGAGCACGCAGCTGACTCGAGGTTAGTTACATTACTTCCCAAGGAATAGGAACAATGTACTTGGATAGAAGATAAGCACTTCCGTACCAGCCAACGTCATGTAGTGAGTGAAATTGTGAAGTAATTTTTGGAATTGCCTACATGTTAAATCAGGATCATCTTGGCAAATAAGTAGTATACGTACTGTGGCCACGATAGACATGTCCAAAAGCAGCAAAAAGAAGACCAAAACTAAAGAAGCAAGCATGCTCCATAATTTAATCCCTGTTATGTAGCTCGTCTCCATATTGGGTTGTTCTTCCGCAGGCATCGAGATACCTTCGCCTGTTTTGCATCTGTCTTGACTGTTTTCAACAACACTGCATGCTGCGACATATGTTTGCTCAATGTTGACTTCGCCAATTTTTTGTTTCAAGTCGGTCATATCGATGCTGCTTGGCTGACGGCAGCCCCACGCCTTATATTTCCGAAAATAAATTGGCAAAAGCGAACTTGCTCGTCGAGTAATTGCTCGGACGGTTTAAGTATAATAAATGACGAAAATCTGTAACGAAAGAATTTGTTGCTCTCTGGGACACAAAAAGTCAAGATGGCTTTAGACATATCTCGACAGAGCGGAAATCATGTGCTTTTGAATTCCGTCGGAGATCGGGCAGTTGACCAAGTTGGAGTAACTTCACTTATTACACTATAGATCATATGTGGAAACTATTTGTTTTCAAAAACTTCCCCTACAAAGCGGCTGAGCTTATCTAGTTTTGCTGGCCGACAATTTTGAAGGCTAGTCTGACATGCTCACCTGTTTGCTAGTGCACCATTATAGTCAAAAGCTTCATGCGAAACAAGAGTCGATGTTTTGAGATACTCTGCGCTTTATATGACGAGCTAACAGAATTAATTTTGAAGATACGTAGCTAGAAGGGCCCAAAATCAAAGCCGCTGTCGATAATATCTTTAAACCACGATTCAGTCTCGAAATTGAAGTCCATGCTGTCGAGATCCGCTCCATTTGCTGGGCCACCGAAGTTGTCTGCGCAACAGATGATGCTCTCCTTCGACTGTCCAGGAAAGCCCACTATCGAGGGCCGCACTTTGGTTTCCCACCATTTAAGTACCGTAGTCAACATAATCTTCTTCCCGTGATCCCATTGTGTTTCAGCGTCACCCGCGTCAGTCGTGTCTATACCTGCCGCGATTGGTGCAGCCTCATACATGTATACCAACTTCCTCACAACGTCTGCCAAGTCTAACTCAGCGATGACACGTCGCCGATCCCAATGTACATTATGTCCCTCGAAAGTGCTTAATCGAAATAGCGCAACGAGACAATGACCTAACTGGCCGTATATGCCGACAGAGATATACAGAAAATTGAACGGAGTGAAACCCGGAGAGTCAAACATGGCTTCTACATACGCTTTCACGGCTGCAAAGCACGACCACAGCCCCTCCTTACACTGCATCGAGTCAAGATCTGATGTTATTGGGGACAGATCGAGCCTCTGTTCATGGACTGTGACTTCGAGACCGAGGAGATGGAATTTGAGAGTCAAGTTGTCAGCAAGATGTGACGGGATAGATCGTTTCAAGTCGTCCAATTGCATCTTGTATATGTGACTGAAGTAGTGCCGCGGCATTCGTTGACTCTTTCCGGAGATTGGATAGACCTCAGTCCAGCCCTCATCTTCAATACTGTTTGCAATAATTTGAATTCTAACGAGCATGGTAAGCAACTCATCACTCGGGTACTCTTTGGCTTCCGCAATAAGCTGAAGGCATTCTTCTAGGTACGATGTCCAACGCATAGGCTCTGCTCTCTGAAAGAAGTTTGCGCAGCTAAACCTGGTTAAAGGAGACATCGAAAAAAGCGAGGGAGATGTGACTTACATGGAGCTCACCAGAAATAGACCAAGAACGACTCGGCGTTCTTCCATAGTTCGGAGCTTGGGAACAAGAGCCTGTGGTGGTTTTGGGCACCCTCGTTTAGTCCAATTCAGCATAACAGCAGGTGAAGTCTGTGGTGCTGGTTTTGTGAGGCCCAAATCCCCTGCGAGGCCAATTGCCAATTGTATGCACGGACTTAGATTTGCTTTCATACAAAAAAATTGACCCCAATTTGCGTACAAAATGAGGGCACAGAGAGTGTCGAAACTTCGCTCGCCCTCGACGACAACGGACTTGGAGATGAGAAACTTTGCTTGAGCAACAAGCATGAATTGACGAGAAAGTTTCCTCGAGCATATTGCGCGCAAAATGAGCCACAACATGGGGCGATTGGCGGCCATATATTCAACCGTCACTTCAGGTCCAAGCCAGACAACCGGGAAATAAGGGAAGAGCGTGCGCCTATAGGTTTCCAGCACTTCTTGAAGCTCTTCTTCTGTCTCTAGAGATGTTGAGGAAGGCTCATACACTGGCGGAGTTGCAGTAATACAACTCGAGCTGGTGGCTGTCAAGCACGACTCCATTGACGCACCTCGAGATGGTGTCGATGTTGCGTCGGAAGATTGTCGCTGCTGACCATTGGAGTTCTCCGCGGTGTTGACTTGGCAAGTGGCTGGCTCTGGTGCAGTCCTTTGGGCTCCGACATTGAGATAGAAAGCGTCGTTGTTCAGAGCATCGCGTGGTATTGTCTGGTTTTTCTTCAACAATTCGACAAGCATATTCACCTTATCTTCAAGTGCGACATGATTGTCTGCGTAGCGTGCCCGTTTCGTAACCCTAATTCTGGCTACGGGTTCGCATTCTTTCCGCAGGCGTGTACATCTATCAAAGTTCGGGCTAATTAGCTTTGAACATTCACGCTTCAAAGATAACGAAAGCAGTAATGGTTGCGTGGCAGCATTGCCTTGCGAGATTCTTTTTGGGGAAAAGCACCCACCTTTCACATGGTCCTGCATCATCACGATATGTGCACCGGACCTTGGCTTTAGTGCACTGCAAGCATGCCTTTCCGTAGGAAGAGGCCATGTCTAGAAGGGAATTATGTACACGGACCCCGTAGGAAATTATCCATAGAAAATACGTTCTGCAGTGGCTACGCTTTCTGGACTTCATAATAGTGACGGACTTTGGACACGAAATCCGCCGGATTTCAACGCGGATTTTGCGGTCGGCTTTGGCAGCAGCCCAATCATCTGGCCAAGCTCCGCAACAGGAGCCTCAAAGACGGTGCAAGGCAATGCTGTTCGGTAACAGCAATCAGAGGAATGTCACTTCTGAGCCAAACAGACTCCTTTTGAACTACAATACACCTCCATCTCGCATCGCAATCCGAGATGTCCCCACTCGGCACATTTGAGGAACCAAGGCAAGTAGTGACGTAATATCATGTGACTTAGCGCGGCAGTTCGCCCTCACACTCGTTCACAAGTTCGTCCATTTCGCCTTGGCCATGCGCCTCAAGTTATGGCATGATGACGCAGCGCACTAAGAAAGCCAATCGTCTCCGATTTTTTATCGCGTGACGGTTTGTGGTGCGCGATGCTGCACTTGCCCTTGATAGGCTGATTAGGCTGATAGTGTCGAGTAGGTTTTTGAACTAGGTTACGGCTTACTTCCAGGCTTCTCTCCTCTTAACTCTCACTCCTCAAATCCGACCAACTGCGGTACAAACAGATATCTATTATATACCGAACTAATCACTGTTAGCAGCAGCTACCATCATTGAAAATGGCTACCACTTTTCAATTGGCTATCCGGCTGCTCCTACAACTCTTCCTGACCGTGTCCTTCGCCGCATCTGCTCCACTTAACACTCAGAACCACGCGCGACCATGGCATTATGGTGTTAGCGGTGGGATTGTTGGCTTCATTGTTCTTGTGCTCGACATTATTGTCTGGCGTGAGTATTCTAGGGCCTCTCATGCTGGATGCTCGTGTTAAACTTCATTTGCAGTCGAGGTCCTCCAGTCTAACCGTACTGTACCCCAAAAACTTCTCTGGGCACTTCTCGTCTTTATCTTCCCAATCGGAGGCGTCATTATTTACTTCCTTTTCTCCAACCGTGATGCACATCGCACAGGTGGTTATGAACCGATCTAAGAGCTGAGCGGACAAGTATTGGCTTGTCAGGTTTTGAAATTCTCGTCAAGCTTGGTGAATGCGAACAAATTGTTGGTTATTGGTATCTAGGGGAAAGATATTAGAATACTACGATGAAATATAGCTATTTGGACAGCTCAACATGGAGATAGATGATGTCGTAAACTTGGCTTGCTAAGCATCGCGTCATCCTAGCTCCTTTATATCGTAGAATGGTATAATTCTTCTTGCTCAGATTGAAGTACAGTGCTCGAAAATATATTGATTTTAAAGTTGCGACATGTGTCACGGAACTCATGTTCACCAAGTACGTTGGAAAAGCTAATGGCAAGGCCGCTAAGTCCTGGGAGCCACTCTGTTGAGACTACATATTCGACCAAGAGTTTAAGACAACTCGCCCAGTGCTCTGCGAACGTTCTATGTCTTTTAAACCACCTAGACAAAATTCATCCTGTACGTCTACCGTGCGAGTCTCGTATTGTCCCCAAAAGATTCAAGTAACTGTTTTAAGGCGCTGACGAAATGGTCTGGAAGGACCAGTCGTAGCATCTCGGATGGCTGAAATTCCGAATGAGCACTTGCAATAAGAAGAAATGCTCTTCTTTGCTCAAAATTTATCTATCGAAGCCAGTAATCATATTCATAGATGCATTATAATAAGATCTTAAGATTATCATGTCTATAATATAACGAGAAACATCGCAAAATATTGAAAATAGCTGCTCCGCGGGCTATGTAACTCCATTGAGCGTCTCCGCTCGTAATGTGTTCATCTTCATAATTCTATCGCGAGTCTAAATAATATCTTGCTGCTAGCGTGATCAATTTACGCTTTCTAAAAGCAGAACTTATTGACGTATAATCCATCATGTAATCAATACATCTCCCTGTCAGCGAAATACTGATATGGTACACTTCTTCCACATCTTCAAGCGCAAATAATAAGCAGTAGATCTTCGAATTTGCGAGAATAGCCTCTCGTCGCGGTAGATGAAGATTTCAAAGAATTCAGTGACTCGAAATGTCTAGATTTGTTTGTTTGAGATTAACCGCCCACAGACTGAAAGAAATGCTCCCAACTTGATCTCAGTAAAACCATAAGTTAATTGTGCGTCCTCGGTCTTGAGATCGCTTGGGCCGTGTGGAACTGAGTCTTAGGTCTTCAGGAAAGGAGGTAGATACACATCCACTCTTTCGCTGTTCTTCATAATATCATCCGCACTAATAATATAATGTACAGACAGAGTACTGCCCTACTTGTCGCCACTCAGGTCCGAGTGAAATGCTATGAATATCGTTTGGTTAGAACTGCGTGCCTTTTGCAGCCATGCCAGGAGTGTGGTGCACTGCTTCGTCTGAACAATCAACCAAAGAAGACCCCCTGATGCACTATCGAGGATAAGCATGCGATGATACTGTATTTCCGGTCTATAGCTACTCTGAAGCGATTATGTATTCGCCAGGAATTTAGAAAGCTCCTATCACTCTGCATATGTGTCTGCAATAACGAAGAGTAATATGCTTTGCTTCATGTTTTCTTTTTTCCGTTATGTCTGGAGACATTTTGGCCAAGCTGTCAACTTTCCCAGATACATTAAGTATCCGACAGTATTCAGGAGTGAACAACTCGCTTTTTCGACACCTCCATCTTCTGGCTTTCTTATCGAAGCCCTAACACGGCAACATTGCACTGTTGAAAGCTGAGTAACTACCAGAAGTTTCGTAAAATTGAGGATAACACAAATATTTTTGATGTCTTTGTAAATAATTTTACAGTTTCATGAAACCATATCTTACTCCATTGTCTCCAAAGTTTCTGGGCAATTCAGGGCCCCAAACAGAGAGCGGACCAACCTCAGACCGTTTTGTTGGCGTATCTTTGTTCACAAGATCGCCGTCGGCATAATGTTCAACCTTAAATCCTGTCGGATCTGCCCAATAGTCAAAAATCTGACTCCCTAGGATATGCCTTCCCACTCCCCAAACGCTTGTCCAGCCTTTCTCTGCCAACCACTTGTGTCCAAGTAGCTGGGTGTCGAAGTCGGATACTTCATACGATGTGTGATGGACGTATGTCCTTCGAGTTCCCGGTGGCGCTCGTTGTATGAAGAAGCAGTGATGATCTGAGTACTCCTCGCCTAGGTCAAGATGCATGAAGGTCATGACATCTACGTTGGGAAAGGCCGGATGGTACAGAATATCAGAGTGCGCAAAGTTGAAGTTAGACGTATAAAAGTCCAGCTCTGTGTCGAATTCCTTGCAAACATAGCCAAAGTGACCTAATTTATGTACTAACGCCGGCCCAGAATGATATCTTTGGAATTTTCCTTCAAAATATTAGAGAAATCAGATATCTGTATGAAATAGTACTCACCTAGCCTCGGCTTATGAAATGGAAGGTTGTATGGGCCTTGAGCTTCACGGGTCTCGGAAGGCTCTTTACTCGTACTAATTTTACGTTCTTCTTGTCCGAATAGAATGTGAAAGAAAGTCCCGTTCGGGCGAGCAAAGGTTATGAGCTTCCCACCTCCTGGGGCTTCATCAAGGGTACGGACTGAAGCGCCTGGAATCTTCATCGCCTTCTCAAACTCTTCCTCTGAGGCTGCTACGAACGCTGCCCCATTAAATTTCCCCTGTCCATTCTTACTCTTACGTGCAACATAGACATACTGATCAATGCCGTATCCACGAAAGTAGATATTTTCATCATTCTCTTGCTTCACTTCGACAAATCCAAAGTCTACCGCAAACTTCCGAAACTTCTCGAGGTCTGCATGCTCAAAGTAAACATGTGAAATTCGACTTAGTTGTACTTTCGAAGGATTATTGGGATTCTCAGGAATTCGCATTGGAGGCACAATGTAGTCTCGGAAGGATTGAGGAAGATAGCTCAGAACATTCACGAGAAGCCCGGCGGACATTGTGAGCAGATTTTTCTCAAACGATAGATAGTTTCAGCTATTCCTCACATGTTGCAGTGTGAATAAATCATTGAATAATATTTAAATACGCTGATCAAATGCATCCGAGGCTATGCTTAGTCGCACGGCTAGCTTGATCTCTTGCTCTATGGTACTATTGTTCGTTACGGAGAGATTTGAGAATTTCGCCGCGGAGTATCTCGCGTTCCTAGGGTTTCGCCACCAAAAGCGCTGGATACTTTAGTGATCTTAGCTCGAAAAATTCCAGCCCGAAAGATAGATAATTCGATAAGATCATGGAAATGACGTCGACTCGTGGATGGGGTTGAAAGTTAATCTCCATGATGTTCCGCGCTGAGAAGTAAACTCCACTGACTCAACAACGCACGTGTTGAGAACTTATACCTTTCTTAAAGTCGGCAGCACATTCAAACCCGAAGCATTCTTCTCGGGGACTAATATCTCTCTAAACCAAGAACCGAATTATTGCCCATTTCAAGGACGTCTTTGACTACGGAGGCCTTGATGATAGCTTGTTATACATCTGAAAACTTACTCGCGGAAGTTAATCCAAACTTATGAACATGTGGGATTCAATCTTCAAATTCGAGGCTACAACCGGAGGAATATATTGGGCTGAGAATACACTGATGCAATCTCCTACGGTTGGACAGACTGTTCAAGGATTCCAGAGCATTGAATCTCTTGAACAGAACGAGCAAGCAACCGAAGTAATTGTTAAAAAGCTCCTCGCTCCGCTTCCAAATCCAAACAGCCCCATAATATGTATAGGCGTTAACTACAGAGATCATGCTCGTGAAGCAAAAATTCAAGTCCCGGAGTACCCAGTGATGTGGTACAAACCACCAACCGCATTATCAAATCCAGACGAAGGAATTGAAGTTCCCCAATTCCTCTTCGATTCATTTCTTGACTACGAGGTGATCTTTAAACCGTCATAATCACCACGATCTTTGACTTGCAGCTGACCATGTCCTCTAGGGTGAGCTTGTGATCGTTACTTCGAAAACAGTCAAGAACATCGCTCCTCCCAAAGCCAAGGAGTGCATTCTTGGGTACACAATTGGAAATGACTTATCTGCAAGAGCATACCAAAGCACAAAAGCTGGTGGTGGGCAATACACATACGCCAAATCATTCGACAAGTTCGCTCCTATTGGGCCAGTGTTGCTTCGCCCGAAGCAATTTGATTTACAGTGCTGTCGTATTGAGACTCGGGTGAACGGAAATGTCATGCAATCTAGCAAGTTTGACTTCCTACATAGTCCAGAGAATCTCATAAGCTTCTTGAGCAAAGGTTAGTCATCTAGCATGACAAAACGGATTACTGAATCACTAATATGACGATTCGCAGGCACCACAATCCCAGCCGGTACGGCCATCATGACAGGAACACCTGCTGGAGTGGGTGTCTTCAGAAAGCCTCCATGCCAACTTAAAAGGGGAGATGTTGTTGAAGTAGAAGTACAGCCTATTGGTGTTCTTCGTAATGAGATTGTGCTTGAGGCTCAAGCCAGGACGGTTATATAAGGACTAATCTATCCCAATTTTTAATCATCTACGATAGACGCTATCTTGAAATTAAAAGAGGACCCTGGATTTGTTCATGCAAAAAAACATCAGCCTGTATTGTCAAACATAGACAACTAGATCAATTCCATTGCCTCAGACTGATGGATGCCTCAGTCTATTGACTCCACATTTTGCAGGACACGTATTTTTTGTCCGATATTTACAATCCAGCGTGTTTAAGGCAAATCTGTTCTTGGTCAAAGCATGTATCAGTGGTCGCCCGCGCCCCTAGTTCTAAGCGTAGCTTGCGAGCGAGCTAGTTCTATTGGCTTCAGGCCTGCAAACTCGGACGAACGCGCGCCCGTTTTCGCTTAGAGTTCCCCATCAGAAGTCTACCTGGCGACCAACACAACTTCAATACCTCGGTTTCTCTCACTTCTAACGCATACACTGGTGTGGCACACAATATGAATGGACTGGAGATACCACACGCCTTGTACATGACACTAGCTGATCTCTCCGGCGGAGACAGTGACGAGCAGAAGAATGAGCCCCACAGAAAACATGCCGAAAATCCTCCAAGCTTGTCGCGGAACGAGGGCAAAGCCCCACTCACTCGCGTGTGTGAACGGTGCATAAAGTTCGTAAAATTGCCCATCTAGAAACTGTTCGCTAATCAGGCATAGGAAGAAGGTCAAATGTACTGCGACGCACCTCCAGTTGACAAACCCTGACTGACTGCTATCCTAGGCAGCCAAGGAAGACCTGCTTGCTCTCGCTGTCAAGAAGCAGGCTTGCCATGCATATATTCAGCGACAAGGAGGAAGCCTGGTCCTTCTAAAGGCTCAAAGCGTGTCCAAAAAGGTTTCGTTGCTCTTCCCCGTTGGTCCATATCCTCTAACAAGTAATCTAGCAACTAGAGCGTTGCCACAGGATAGTGGTTCAACACCAGAGATTTTGATGGCTGACTGGGCAACCGAGCAATTTTCAAGCAGCTTAGACTACTTGCATGAAGATTTCTTGCAGCTCCCGAACTCAGCATTTTACCCCGATGATGCTGTCGACTCTGAGCGAACCCTGCTAGTGACGCCGACACCGACAGAAGAGGAGAAGGAACTGTGCGTAAAGTGCCAAGTGCGACTATGAAATCTTTACGCTGATTCCCTTCGGCAGTATCAACCTCTTCTTTACTTATGTTCATCCGTCCGTTCGAATATTTGACCAGCAAACATTCCAGTTCATGTATGACCTTGGCACTGTGGATAACAATCTTCTTCTCGCAATTCTTAGCATATCTACTGCTCTGCTTAAACGAGGCGATCAGACTGCCATTGCTGCAGCTGAAAATACACTGACCATGCTTGCAAGTCTAAACTTGTTAGAGAACTCCCGGAATATGGCTTCGCTGCACCAGTTCCAGCTGGCTTGTTTACTTGCCTATTATATCTTCCATCAATATCCAGGGCAAGATTCATGGCTTAGAATAGGGAAATTGTCTCGTATAGCATATCAGTTTGGACTAAATCAGATCGACAATCCTCACCAAGTGCCTTCGGTAATCTCTGCCTGCGCGAATTCTGATGAGATTGAGGCATGGCGACGGATATGGTGGTTCATATTCTGTCTGGACTCGTATTCGAACATCCCAGCGGCAACACCTCTCATTCTAGAGCGCGAGAGCATCAGAACTGCACTTCCACGACCGATGGGAGTCCACATAGAAAATGAAATGGAGCCAGCAATATACCTGGACGATCCAGAGTTCCTTTGGAATACTGTCAAAGCTATCACGAGTAGCAACACCATGGTAAACGAGAATCTTCATATAGTCACAACTGCTATTCTAAACGAGGCAGCACATCTGCAGCGTCTGGTATTCCAAAATCCATCCGATAAGCTTAGAAATCGCCTGGTATCATTGGACGCACATCTATCTGCGATAAGGCTTGCTCTCCCACCACGATTCTTGGACCCTTTTCGAAACGTTTTGGGCAACGAATCAAGCTCCGCGTACCATGCGAGACTGATATGTGTGCTACACCTTCATGCTGCTCGCATCCTCTTGTTCCTCCCCCTTAATGTGTTTGATGCAGAAGAACGTAATGACCGTTGGCAACGGACCCTGGAGTATTGCGAAGATGTAGTTTCCGTGGTTAAGCAATGGGACAGTCTCCATTCGCTAAGTGTGGACCCGGCGGTCTGTTTTATTGGATTTGCAGCAATGAGCATATTGCACCTTCACTCAAAATGCATGAATGGGACGAACTCTGAGATGCTGGCTAAGTTAAAGGCTGATCAAGGTGTCATCATGCTCTTCATTGAGCAGTTTGCTTCTTTCTGGGAGCTTCCAAAGTATCTAAAATGTAAGTTTGTCGCAAACTCCAGCTCGATACCAAGTGATGCTAAACTTAGCCCAGCGGTGTTTCTTCAGGCATCTGAGAACATTCCGCAACAATTGAACATAACCGAGGTAGAGTCAATGATGAGCCACTTAAACTTGCCCTTGCACCAAAAGTGGACTTCAAAATTGCTGAGCAATCGAGTATGTGCGTTTTGAGCTTTGATAGTCTTCAATGGACTGGGGATATTAGTATATGTCGTCTGACTAACTGGACATAACATGCAAGGTGCTGTGTAACATTGTAATAAAAAGCTGAAGCAATAAACGATGATTCGATTATCATAATTTTGAAAATTTACTGTTCTTCTGGTAAAAACAAGTTTCTTATGACACACCCGAAAGCTAAGGTCAGTGAATCGAAGCACTCGCAACGCATGGGAAACTAGGACATGATAATCCGGATGTAAAAGACTACATAACTTCGCCGAATTACATCCATTGAAACAACCTACTCTCTATTGGCACATGAAGATGTTTGGAGAGATTCTTGCCGGCACTTTACTTTGGAGGAACTGCAGTTGGGCCTGGATATTCTTTTCAAATCCAATCTTGCCATCATACAAGTCGAAGTGGCCACCTGGAACAGTGATTAGTTCCCCGTTCTTCGCCTTCTCGGCAACTTCCTGCGCAGCCTTTAGAGGTGCAACTGTGTCATATTCTGGAACGACTATTAGATATGGCGCAGTAATCTTGTCAGCCAACAACGCTGGTCTAGCAGCTGGAAACGAGAGAATGGATCGGGCGGTCAGTCGGTTCTTGAATGGACTGCTCGAATTATTGACTACCAGAGCATAGCCTTCAGCAACATCGGGTGCCTCCATAAGAGCTGGACCTTGATAGTTGTCATCCTTCATTTTTGCACAGGCAAGGTAGATCGGATCAAATCCAAGCACAGAGCCCAAAAGATCTAGGACGGCCCAAAATCCAATTCGTAATGTGGTTGTGAATGGTTTCATTCTTGATGCTAATGCGGCGTCTACGCAAGGACATTGTGATATCCCAGCAGCAATTTCATAATCCTCTGCGAGTAAACGCGTTACGTGAAGACCTCCAAAACTTGATCCCCATACAACGATCCGAGCTGAATCGAATTGCATTTGCTGACGAACCCAAGCAACAACGTTGCACATGTCGCGATACTGGTCATTTGGTCGAATTGTATGTCGCGGTTCGCCATCGCTTTCTCCCCAAGTTGCGTAGTCAAAAGTTACAGATGCGTAGCCTGCGTGCGCGAATGGTTTCACGAATGAGGAGGTTCTGTTTTCTTTCACTGTTCCCAGACCAGTCGCAAATATCACCACAGGATATGGAACATTTCCTTTGGTTGGCTCATACACACGTGCAGCTAGCCGTGGTGCTCCTTCGGTAACAATCCACTGATCTTTGGAGGTCATTATGCCTGCTAGATCTTTTGAGAAGCTCTTTTAGGCTTCGGGAGCATAAAAATTAGAGGTAAAAAGCTCAGAATTGCGTTTTAGGTGTATTAGAGTCCCCGGATGGTCAGGATATGCGCCACTTTGTTTTTCGGGTTGGGTTGGCGGCGGGATGCGGGATGAGGGGAGGGTATGGGTCGTTCGATCGGAGGCTGCTTCCTGCAAGCTTTGACAATTCAGAAAACTTTTTTCAATTAATCCTCCGCTCAGAAGCTTCAAGAAGTCTGGTTATATTCTAAAGGCTTATCTGTGTTCTTTTATTCATCATGAGATATCTAAATCCCTGTGCAATTGTCCTCGGCCAGAAGATATCCCTCGGAGGAACTGGCACTCGGAAGATCAAAATCTATCTCCTCGATCCCAATAGGATGCTAATGAATCCACTTCATTATAGTGCCTTTGAAAATTGGCCTCGAACTTTAATTTTGCATTAGTATGGACTAGACTAGAGAACTTGTCTGCCCATGTGGCTTGTTAGAGGATCTTCCGCAGCTGGCGTGCTTTGTTAGACAGCAATGTCGGACAAACGTAATTAGTTCTAGGGGATTCCATCTTAAGGTGGAGTAACTTCTAACCTACAATTTAGATATACCAAAAGTCTATTGCACCAATCTGTAGCATCAGAAATCTTGAATGTCAAGAGCCATAATGGAACATACTGAAGTTGTGATTGTCGGAGCGGGCCCATCTGGACTCTCATTGGGATTAACTTTAGCACAATTTAAAATCCAAGTAAGTTCTTCGTATTAGCTACTAGCATGCCCATTCCGACTAATTCTCGCAGTCGATCATCCTTGAAAAAGAGGCGAAGGTTACAGAAGATCCCCGCGGCGTGTATCTAGCTCAAGATGCAATTCGAATTCTCCATAACATTGGAATTGGAGATCGCATGAAAGAAATCGGACATGGTATGATGAAAATTCAGCAGATAACTCACCTCTTGACCGGCTATAGTTGTTCCAAGCGTCAACTACCACAGAACAGCACTCGCTTCACCACCATTCCTCAAAATGTACCCGAACGATGACAGTTTCTGCCAGACTGTGCCTGATGGTATCTTACAAGTACAGACGAAATTAGGTACTATTTCATGTGTTAGATACGACGTGGCACTAACGGCTCAAAAGAGCAAGTATTACGTGAACTCATCGCCGAATCACCGTACTGCAGTCTTCGACTACGTTGCGAAGTGGTCGATAGAGTTGAGGAGGATGACAGAGTTATTATAAATTACATAGAAAACTCTGACTCTGAAAGACAAATCCAATGCTGTTGGCTTGTCGGGGCGGATGGTAAGAAGGGAACCGTTCGCAAGCGATTTCTTGAACCCGAGGTGGGAATTGTCCAAGAGACTGGGATTCTGCCTTACGAAGGTACATGGATCGCTGCGAATCTAAAAATTACCCTCCCAACGAAATCTTCGCACCCAGATTTCCCGCTTTGGAAGTTGGGATACACGCCCTCAGACGTCTATGATCTGTTTTGGCCCGAGGGATGGCACTTTTGTAGTCCTCCCGGCACTCCAGTTGCTTGCGGAAGGTTTGGCCCATATGAGGATAGACTCTGGAGGCACGAAATTGAAGTGCTTGATTGGAACGACTCTATGGATCCACATAAAATGATGATAGAGCATCTGAAAGGGATGATGACGCGATCCATTTCTACGGCAGGCCAGCCTGAAGTACAGTTTCCCTTCGACTGCATTAAAATTCTTCGATGTCGTCCATTTAAATTTGCTCACAAGGTCGTTAACAGATGGTTTCACAATCGGACAATACTCATTGGAGATGCAGCACATGTTTTCCCACCTTTTGGTGGTCAAGGAATTGCCTGTGGGATAAGAGATGCTCATGGTCTGGCCTGGAGACTGGCTCTAATCTTGAGACTCTCCAAAACTCCGAACTACTTGGCAGAAGATTTGCTTATGAGATGGAGTTTGGAGAGGCAGCAAGGAGTTTATGACAGTATGAGATATACAATGAGCAGTGGCATCTTGGTCAATGGCGAAGACAGGTTCCCTTTTTCTACTCTCCGCCGAATGGTCTCCATCATGAACTCAACCCCATTCATGAGTGGAATAGCGATGAGAGAGAGTGTTAGTACGGATCGAAGCGGATATCGACACATGAACAATGGATTCTACCTTCCCGAAATGAATGGTGGGCGGAGGTTAGCCCAGGTTTACATGGTGTCAAACCATTGCGACCCTTTTCTCTCTGACAAACTTCTCCTTCAGCAAACATCCATCTTCACACTGTTTGTTATCGACTCAAACCCAGAAAAACATCTCTCCGGAGTAAAATATATTATCGAAACTGCCGGACTAAACCCGGCTATCCTCTCGGAGAGCTCTATTTGTCTCATTGATAACGGCACTAGGGCCTCTGTGGATTCAAGAGCTGATGATTTAGTCTCTGACAAGATTATGAGAGTTGCATCATTACAAGAGCTACATGGCAAAGACTTGCTCCGTTTCTACACAGGCCAATCTTTTGTCAGACGAATTGGACAAAATACCAAATTCGTCATCGCTAGACCAGATTTCATTATTTTTGCAGCGATGGACTCCTATTCCGCGCTGAAGGATTCTGTTGACAAGCTTCACCATCGGCTTTGTCGCTTATAGCTTTTAGGGAAAAGGACACTATTGGTCATGGGTAGTAGATAAACGGAGTTTGACGGTAGTTATAGTGAAATATTTAATACTATAATCTTATGGTTAGTTAATGTATCAGGGAAAAATTTTTCATTCCAAAATTTATATCGCATGTAGGTGCCTACTCAAGTATTGTGCTGCGAATAGCGTCACATTTTCAATTTCCTCCTATATATATATAAGTGACTGTCTAAAATCATATTATATTTTTTTATCTACCCTATCAGCCCTTATATAAAGATCTTGAATCGCGTCGCTTTTCTGCCTCCTGGAAACACATAGTGATTTTCTAAACCCTAACCTAGCTTATTATTAGGAATACTATCCCAATACCGACTAGCCTTACTAATGTAAGCCTAAGGTCTAGTGTCAGTCTAAGCACATACCAAGTATCACGTGACATAAGCAAACGCTGGCTAGATAAGAGAGGAGAGCCAGGGGTAGGGGATAGGAGAATAACTATATAATCCATCAGTCAAGACAGCATATAATGAACTAAGTAGGTTTATAATCTTACTTATGCACTATTTATTATTCCTATGATCTTCTATACAGATATTGATAGTTATAAGCCTGGTGTCATGGGGTCACCCCTATGACACTGTTACGAAGTAACACGTGAGTAGATTCAGGAGAACGCTGATTGGTAGGAGCGATCATTTCGCTCAGTATTGAGCAAAATGAGCGCGCCGACCAATGACTAACGACCAAGGGAACGCCGATTGGCAGAAGCGATCATTTCGCTCAATAATGATCAAAATGATCGCTAGGAGTAAGGCAATAAGG